AGAATCTTTATCAAACAGGTCCTTAGTTTTTCACCTGAGGGATGTACTATGAAATCTGTAGCTGATTCTTAAAATTAAACCAATTCATATCAGATGCATCCAAAACTTTTTTTAAAATTTATTCTGATGTTGTTCCATGAATTTTTTAGTTTTCCACTTGATGAAAGAGGTACTATGAAATCAGTTGTTGAGTACTTTCATGAAACCTATGGTTTCATTATTAAGCACACCCAACTGCCTTGTCTACAAGTGGGAAATCAACAAAGATCAAATTATTTGCCCATGGAGGTAAATAACTGTAACTATTTTTGGTCATTATAAACTGGGAAAGCATGCTAATAGGCCGTTATTGTGTTCAGGTCTGTAAAATTGTTGAGGGTCAAAGGTACTCAAGGAGGTTGAATGAGAGGCAGATTACTGCTTTGCTGAAGGTGACCTGTCAGCGTCCTCACGAAAGGGAACTTGATATCATGCAGGTTTGATATTGTGGAAATTTTCATTCTTTTAGTGAAATTAAAGGTTGTCACCTGATGTTTGACACTCCATAGGACTGATATGTAAAATATACTCACTTGGTATGTGTTGGTTGAAATTTTCACTCCTCAGACAGTTCGTCAAAATGCTTACCACGCAGATCCTTATGCTCAAGAGTTTGGAATTAAAATAAGTGAGAATCTCACTTTAGTTGAAGCTCGCATCCTTCCTGCACCAAGGGTAAGAGATATTTAATTTTCTGCTGTCTAATAGTTTTTTCTAACTGGTGCCACCCTTTGTTCCTTCACTATTTGGATGGTAATTAAGTTTTGAATCTTGTGTCGCAGCTTAAATATCATGATACGGGTAGAGAAAAAGATTGCCTGCCTCGCGTTGGACAGTGGAACATGATGAATAAGGTATCTTTTACATAGATTTATGGTTTCCTTATTTAGAATACCTCTTTAATTTAAGAACAGATGAAGCTGGATATCTATATGTATCTGTTTGCATGCGTACCCAATTAATTTGGCCGCGTCCTATGAAATCTGTTATCGACTTTGTGCTACATTAGCATGTTTGTTTCCCTGTGATGGAGATGTTAGGGGTTCCTGTTAATCCTGTAGCACTGGCTTAGAAATTAATTGGTAAAACTAAAATAAGTAGGTGGTGGTGGGTTCAAGAAACATTGTGTTTGCATTGTGAAGGAAATCAAGTATTTCAATTTTTTCCCAGTTCTTTTTCTTCTTTTGGTGGCTGGGTGGAGGGAAAGGGAAAGTGCAAGACAAACCACAGATATTATGAGTCAGGTGATCATTAGAAATTTAGCAAAGTTAAGGCTTGTTTTGAAATTGCTTGTGGAACAATAATGGTCTTGGGCACTGGTCGGCTGCTGGGTTTCAACTATCATTAGTCAAGATTCTGTTTAAGAGTTATCACCTCTGCAATATGAAGTGGATTGCATATCTGGAGTGGCATGTGGTCTGAAATTTTGATCTTCTGGACTAAGTTGCTAACTACATCAGTTGTTGATTTGGTTGGCCTTGCACATGCTATCCTGCCCTATCATCTGCTGGCAATTAAAACACATATTTTTTGTGTTGAGTTCCTGTGGGTTTTCAAATAACAGGTGTTACAACCCATGGTTGTAATTTTTCGGGGGCTGTTGATTCAGCCATGCACTAAATATAGCTTTTCCGATGGGTGACATTTGCCTGTTGAGCAATGTAGCTATTTTAGCCACTAATTGGTCACTTTCATGTTGAGTAGGTTTAATTGATACTGCTCGTGCATGATTTTGCTTTTCTATACCCTAATACATTTCTTGTGTGTTAGTGTGTGCGTGTGTTTTTTTTAATTCCCCAGGAGGGAGGAAGATGATTGTGCCTTTTGTTGAAGTCATTAGTAAACTTCCGTAAGAGTTTCAAAATAGAGAGATTATGTTATTCTCTTTAGACTTTTTATTTACTATATATTGTTACAGAAAATGGTTAATGGGGGCACAGTCAACAATTGGATGTGCATAAATTTCTCATGGAACGTGCAAGATGCTGCCGCCCGTCGGTTCTGTCATGAACTTGCTCAAATGTGTAACATTTCTGGCATGGTATGAGGCCTGTGATGCTCTTATATTTTTCCCTTCTCTTCTAAATCTGAGATGTCTCATGTTAGTGTTTGATTTCTCTCTAGGCATTTAATCCAGAACCAGTTCTTCCACCTATTAGTGCTCGTCCAGATCAGGTAGAGAGGGCCCTAAAAACTCGCTACCACGAAGCGATGACCAAACTCCAGCCACAGGGCCAGGAGCTTGAGCTGCTTATTGCTATTTTGCCTGATAATAATGGCTCTCTTTACGGTTTGGAACTTGAACTAAATTCACCACATTATGCCTTTTCGAAAGTTGTCATTATTTAATTTTAGCATTAAAACTTGGACTTAAATATGTCATGATTTGTTATCCAGGTGATTTGAAACGAATTTGTGAAACAGATCTTGGCCTTGTTTCCCAGTGCTGTTTAACGAAGCACGTATTTAAGACAAATAAGCAACAGTATTTGGCAAATGTAACATTGAAGATTAATGTTAAGGTTGGGGGAAGGAATACAGTGCTAGTTGATGCTCTGTCAAGGCGAATTCCTTTAGTCAGCGACCGACCTACCATCATTTTCGGTGCTGATGTCACCCATCCTCATCCTGGAGAGGATTCAAGTCCATCAATTGCGGCTGTGAGTTACTGACCTTACATATGTGCTTTAGCTTGCATATGAATTTATTCTCTGTTCCTCCTTGAGTGGCTTTTGACTGTTTCAAGATTTTAATTTAAAAATCAGGTTGTGGCTTCTCAAGATTGGCCTGAAGTTACAAAGTATGCTGGTTTGGTTTCTGCTCAAGCCCATCGACAGGAACTCATCCAAGATTTGTTCAAAACATGGCAGGATCCAGCAAGAGGGACAATGTCTGGTGGCATGATCAAGTATGACTCTCTCATTCATTTAGGTTCTTGTAGTATGTATCTGTCTTCATTATGATTATTTAATTTTATTTTTTTTAATAAACGTGTTTTGGGTAGTAGGATTGAGTTATAATTATTCTTTTGAATACAGGGAACTGCTCATATCTTTCCGTAGATCAACTGGGCAGAAACCTCAACGCATCATATTTTACAGGCACGTCTTATATTATGCTGCCACTGCATTTCATCCATTCTTTTTCTTATCTAATGGTCTATTTATTGCTTTACAGGGATGGTGTCAGTGAAGGACAGTTTTATCAAGTTTTGCTGTATGAACTTGACGCCATTCGTAAAGTAAATCTACTTTGCTAAGTTATCAATTTCTCCATTTTTCATTTATATATTGTAAATTTCTTTTAAGTTTTGCAGCTGTCTGGAAATTGATAAACGTCAGTCAATCACTTCCTCATCTTAATGTATATATTTCTGTTCTCTGTAAACTCAGGCATGTGCCTCTTTGGAGCCTGACTATCAGCCTCCCGTGACTTTTGTTGTGGTTCAGAAGCGACATCATACCAGGTTGTTTGCCAACAACCATTCTGACCCCAAAGCTGTTGATAGAAGTGGGAATATATTACCTGGTATTCATTCTGCTTGATTTGAAATTTTTTTTCCATGATTTTCAGAACATACATATGTGATATAAAACAGTTTGACATTAATTTACAGGTACCGTTGTCGATTCCAAAATCTGTCATCCAACTGAATTTGACTTCTACTTGTGCAGCCATGCTGGAATCCAGGTAGTGATTGGTTAATTCTATGTTTATATATACGCTAAAAAGTTTCGGGAGTGTTGTTAAATTGGTAGTCATCATGTCAAACAGGGCACTAGCCGTCCAGCTCATTACCATGTGCTATGGGATGAAAACAAGTTTTCAGCTGATGGATTGCAGACCCTTACAAATAACCTTTGCTATACGTAAGTTTTTGATATGTCTCTTAATTTCATGTTCAATGTATTGGTTATGTTCTTTTTTGGGGGGTTAATGATTGTGTTCAACTCATGCAGATATGCAAGGTGCACACGTTCTGTGTCCGTGGGTGAGCTCTCTCTCTCTCTCTCTCTCTCTCTCTCTCTCAAATAAACACACAAAAGTGACAAAACACATATCCTCTGTCTTATGCATTTGTATTTGATGCTTGTTATTTTGTGACAATTATTAGTCAATGGTAAAATTAATGAGTTATGTAATTTGGCAGTGCCCCCTGCATACTATGCACATCTTGCTGCATTCCGAGCGCGTTTCTATCTGGAACCACAGACGTCAGAAGGAGGGTCAGTGACAAGTGGTGCAAATGCTGGACGTGGGTACACGGGTGGACGGGGCACTCGAGCACCGAATGCGAATGCTGCTGTGAGGCCTTTACCTGCTCTGAAGGAGAATGTGAAAAGGGTTATGTTCTACTGTTAGGGATAGATAGTCTGTCTGGCCTGGGCCCTAAACCCTGGTGCGGTAATCATAATAATAATGGGCTCTCACTTCACTTGATGGTTGTAATTAAGTTAAGATAATATAGTTGTAGTAAGTAATGATGATGTATGTGTTTGCTTGCTACTTGCTGCGCATCATCCTGGCTGATGATGTGTTAAGTATGTGATACATGAGTTGAGATGCTGAATAATCTGTCCGTCCACAGGGACAGGGGGACCTTTCCTTTGCTTGTCTATGACAATGCATATGTGTTTTGAGTGACTTATCCTGGGCTGGGCCTTGTGAATTGTGAACTGATAATGTGTTTTATTGAACCGGGTGCTGGTGACTCATCTGATGGAACTGGAAAAGCTTGAAGCTGTCTGAGATGGTATTTGGACTGTGCCTGCCTGCCTGCCTGCACTGATTAAATTAGATTATTAAGGTTTAAGTGTACAAATAGTGATGAGTAGTTTTGTTTGGTTTGGACACTGTTTGTTTAGCAATATATATTGAGGCTCAATCGGAGCGAGGGGCCCAATGGGCAAATGGGTATATTTGTAATTTTGAGAAAGCATCAGTCCGTTAGTACCGTACAAATGTCAGGGAAAAGAAGAGGTAGGGAGGTGCGAAGTGGGCGTAGTGGCGGTTTGTGTCGCACATCGAGTAGAAATGAAAACAAAGCCGTCAGTGGTGTGGTGTGGCTCTATTCTTTGGACATTGGGCGGGCGTTGGGTTGTGCAGTGCAGTGCCCTGTCTGTCTGTGTCTGTCTGTCTCTGTCTCTGTGGTGTATTATCGAGACGGGTCGCGGGTCGTAGCCAATCTTGTGATTTGGAATTGGAGTTGTTGAGTGGACTGAACGACTATCCGTTGACCATCTCCTTTTCATAAATTAATTAATAATCTCATTTCTCTCTCCCTCTCTCTCTCCTCCCCCGTTGCTTGCTTATGCCACGTCACTATCCCTGTAGACATTTTATCTTCTAATCATTATAGCGACCACTGACCAGGTCCAGCAGCACCTCTTCTTTCTCTTCACCGTTTTAAAATTTAATTTATATCCTTCGACGACCAGCCATCTTCCTTAATTAATCCCACTCTCACTCTGCGCTTAGATATAAATCATAATCCTTAAAAGAGAGACATCGATGGATGATATTACTGTGGCGTAGGAGGATCCATGAATAATAATTATATCATCCAATAAATATTTAGAGGAATGTTAGCAACCTTCTATCTAACCTTCTACTTTGGACATTTTTCCTTTTTTGCTTGACATGTGTCATTCTCCTTACACTTAAAACAATGTCATTAATATATTATACAAGTTAACTTTTGCTTTCCAAATTTACCTGTATTAAATGTATTCAATTTATCCAAAAACAATTCACAATTTTCTTAATATCTTATTAAATTTAAATATATCTGCTTTTAAGAGGAAATGTCCCCTTCTTTTTTTCTTTTTTTTTCCTTTTTTTAACACAAAGGATTTAGATAGGAAAAAAAAAGTCCTTTGTGTTTAAAAAAAAAGGACATTTCCTCTTTTGTGAAAAAAAAAAACATACATTTTCTTTAAAAAAAATAATTGACGTTTAAAAATAAAAAAAATTATAAGAAAGTTATGAATATTTTTTTTGATAAATTGAATACATTCAATAAGGGTAAACTTGGAAAGCAAAAGTTAACTTGTATAATATATTAATGACATTATTTTAAGTGTAAGAGCATCCACAGTGGGGGGTGTATATGGAGGTGTATGTTAAATATACACCCCGAGTCATCGGAATAGTCTCTAATGGAGAGATGTACATGGATGTAAATATACATCACCACCATGGAGATGTAAAATAAAATGTATTTTTACATCTCTTGCAGGAGGGATCCACCCGAGAAAAGAAAAGAAAAGTTAGCATAAAAGGTTGAGACCCATGGCTACACTCCTGAATTTACACCTTCCACTATAGCAAAAAACATATTTACATTATCCGGATGTGTAAAAATGATGTAAAAGTAGCTTTACACCCCCCCACTGTGGATGCTCTAAGGAGAATGACACATGTCAAACAAAAAAGAGAGAGTCTAAATGAGAAAGTCAGAGAGAATGTTGCCCAAATATTTAAGCCTAAATAAAATCCACCCAACCAATGAACTTAACCTATGCATGCGCCGACGCCCACGTACCAAGTTTATATTTGCAGCATGCATGCGGTGGGGTGTTTTGGCGAGCAGGCTAGAGATTGAAGTATCAGTCTTAACATTTTTCTTTTTCCGTGCATAATATTAATATACGTCATTTAGGTCTTCTTAATAACAAATCATTTTGATCCTTTTTTACTTTTGACTGTGTGGTTACCAAGGCCAAATAATATTCTAACTTGTGTTGTGATTATCCTTGCGACAAAGTTGGTCACTAATCTGCGCTATATGGACATTTTCATCTTTCCATGTCACTATCAATGCTACACATGCCAGTAACCCCCTCACCTCCCAACCAAATCTCCCTCTAATTTTCCCTTATGTATCAGTTACCAGTCCAGCCCGAAATTTATTTTGGGTTGGCAAGTTACGGATATGATTTCATTTTTGTACTAATTATATAGACTTAGTTCAATTGGTTGACTTCTTTCAGCTCCACTCATGTGAGTAGAAGTTCAAAATCCTCAAGCACCTCGCCCCCCCAAACTCGCACCCAATCACTTGTACTAAAAAAAATCATATATGAATTAGGCCGGTCAATTGGAATACATTTTACCGCGGTTTTTTTTTTTTTTCCATTCATGATTTCATCTCATTGCTAAAAGCTACGTAGAGGTAAATGTACCATTAAACTTCTACTAAATGCGGAGTTTCATGCCTTTCTAAAATTTATTTATTGGAGAACGTCTCATATACACTTAACAAAATTGTACCCAACTCATTATCACGATTTATGTATGAAAAATTGTGGGTTCATATGCAACTTAATAGATAATATCGATAAAAGGATGGACCCGTTAGTTACCCACTAAAATAACAGATTGTTTCATGTGACCACTAATAGAATTTTTATTTTTTTTTTTTATTTTATTATTTTTTTTTCTCATGGAACAAAAATGTAAATAAAATTTTATAAATCAAACAAAGTCACATTACGATATCAAACTCTTTTGATTGAACTACGTGAGATCCGAGTTCATAAAGTTTCTCAGGAATTGAAGTATCAACATTAGATGCAGAAGGTGTATCCTTATTATCGTTACCACTTTTTTTGAAGAATGAATAAATAGTTTTTCCTCTCTTTGCCGGTCTATTATAATTATGTGACATGATATCCTAATAAGAAATACCATACACCAAAAATCATATATGCTAATTAATAATTCAAGTTGCAAAAATAAAACATATATCAACAATCTCCAAAAAAAGTCACCCAAACCCTAAATCATAAAAACTTAACAACAACAGTTAAAATTGGAAATTAAATATATATATATATATAATAAAATAAAAAAAAGGGAAAAACTTACCAAGATTGAAGAACCCACTGAAGATAGGTTAGTACAATTTTTTAGAGGATGATAGCTATTTCCTCTAAGCTCTCAAGGTTTAAATATGACGTTTTGGGTGGCTAGAAGAATTTTGTTGATATTTGCTCTATGTGGATGTAGCCCAATATCAGTATGATTAGAATAGGTCAAGTTGATAGAGCCTTAGCGTTAGTTTTACTTCTAATCAAATTTATATAGGTTTGGATTGATGTTTATTATTTCCTATATGCTTCAAGAATGTGCTTATTTTAAATAAAGCTATTATTTACTTTACTTAAATTAGGCTATTATTAGTTTATTATATTTATTTGGTGTAATGGGCTAATATTTATTGGAGTATGAATAAACTTAACTATATTTAATATTTAAAAATCTTCTCCTATGCTGGAGCCCACTCCAGCCTAGTAATAGATCCGCCCTTGGTGACAACGTTATGTATAATACCTAATATTTTTGACTTTTTAATTATAAATTATATTAAAAAAATTTATTTAGTAGTTTAGTGAATTTCATTTTTTTAATAATTACGGGTGAAATGGTGTTAACATTTGTTTGATGGGTCGTGTCAAACTAGTATTTGTTTTGTTGTCTTAATGGATGAAATGACTCGTTTTGGATAACACATTAATTTTGCAAGTTGTGTTTATGTTTGGACTTTCTCACCCGTTAACTTAATGGGCAGTTTTATGTCAACCCGTTAAAAAAATGAATTGGGTCATATATACGGTGGGTTTGTTTAGTTTGGAATTAAATCCTTTAAGAAAAGACTCTATTGAAAAAGAAAAATAAAAGAATCCAGGATTGACTATAACACAAATTTTTAAATATATTTTTAATTATAAAAGCATCGCAATTGAATAATTAAATAGATAGAAGAGAGTATAAAAAAAGAAAAAGATAGAAGAGAAGAGTATTTGGTTAATACAAAGGACGCAGTGGTCATTTCGATAGACCTACCCCTCAGTGGGGTTATATAAAGCACAATGCGAACCGCGTTGCTGCTTTGGGTTGGGTTTGGGTTTTTTAACACACAGGCACAGCATAAATATATAGAATATTCAAGTGAGAGAGAAAGAGAGAGAGAGAGAGAGAGAGAGTAACTATCGAGTGGGCAGAGGGAGCCCCTTTTCTTTTTTCCATTTTCATCCTTCTCTCTCGCCTCTGAAGCACCAAAAGCAACCACTGCTGTGGTCTTGTACGACGTTCATCGGTATTCCGCTTTTACGGTAAACACCCCAACCGAGTCGTTTTAGGGTTTCCTACTGCCCTTTTTTTCGTTGATATTTTCTTTTTCGTTCTCACTTTTCTCTTTCTTTGCAAATTTGTGGTATGGATCTGCACTTCTTTCGCCATAAATTGGTGTTGGCTCCAGTCTCTGGCGCAAAGATCTGTTTTCATTTTTCGTTTTTGTTTTGTTTTTTGTTTTTCCGTAAGGCCTTGTCGTCGCTCTCTTTTTATTTGGGTTTTGTTTTGTTAGATCGTTAGATCTCGTGCATTTTGGCAATGCTGGGAAGCATAGGTGTCTGTTTGGCCTCATAATAAGTTGATTTTTTAGGGTTTATAGTGAGTATTTCGATTTCTTCTTTCTATTCTTTTTTTTTTCTTTCTGGGTTTGCTGTTGAACTTTGAGTTTTGGTGTTAGAGTTCGTGGGTTTGTATCAAAGTAGCCATTTTCTGTTCTGTTTTTATTTTCATTTTTTGTTGTAATCATTTCAGAAACATAATTTTACATGAAATTCCTACTACATTATGGATTTTCGAAATGATCACTCCACTTGTTGTGAAGTAAATAGCAAACACCCACCCATTTGTTTGTAGTGGTGTAGAAGAGAACCAAGTGGATATACACACTGTAGTCATTTCGGAATTCCAAGACCCTTTAAAAACGGTCCGTCAGGAAAAATATATTCCTTACTTTTCAGTCTGATTGAAGATTTTTATTTCAATTTTTTGAAGAAAAACTCAAATAAAAGAGCATTTATGGATATAGTTTTTGTTTGTTTGCTATTATTTCTGGCTAATAAGTATATTTTGGTTTAGATATGTAACTTCCGGCCTTTTGAAAGCCCTTGTATATATGTCTCTAAATGATTTTATGGAAACCCTAGCCTGCTTTGCGGCTCTACTTTATGCATTAATTTCTTTTAGAGTATCCATTGTTTTGCTCTCTGTCATTATTTTGTTTTGGGTTTGTAGCTTATTCTTTTCTAGTGTTGCTTTTGATGCATTCTTGCATTCTCTTTGTGTAGAAATCATTATGGTCAGGAAGAGGAGAACTGAACTTCCTAGTGGAGGTGAAAGCTCTGAGTCGCATGAACCTTCTGGGGGTAGTGGTCGTGGTTCTCAGCGGGCTGCTGAAAGGACTCCACCACAACAACAGGCTGGAGGAAGCTACCAAGGTGGAAGGGGATTGGGCCCCCAGGGAGGACGTGGAGGCAGCTATGGTGGGGGTCGTGGAGGCCGTGGAGTGCTACAACAGCAGCAGTATGGTGGGCCCCAAGAATATCAAGGCAGGGGAAGGGGAGGGCCGACTCAGCAAGGAGGTCGTGGAGGATACGGAGGTGGTCGTGGCAGTGGTGGTCGTGGAGGACCACCTTCTCCAGGTGGCCCAGCCAGACCACAATTTCCCGAGCTGCACCAAGCAACCCCAGTTCCTTATCAAGCTGGGGTCACCCCTCAGCCTGCGTATGAGGCGAGTTCGTCGTCATCGTCCCAGCCACCTGAGCCTTCAGAAGTGGTGGCACAGTTTAAGGACCTTTCCATCGAGCAAGAGACTGCACCTTCACAGGCTATTCAACCTGTGGCGCCAGCGCCCTCAAGTAAGTCAGTCAGGTTCCCTCTTCGCCCTGGTAAGGGTAGCACCGGCATAAGGTGTACAGTCAAGGCAAACCATTTCTTTGCTGAACTACCAGACAAAGATCTCCACCAATATGATGTGAGCTCTTTCGTCCTATGTGTCTGTCTTCTTATATTGTACTTGTTTGACAGTTGATAATATATTCTTTTTTTTACACATATTAGGTTACTATTACTCCAGAGGTCACATCAAGGGGTGTAAACCGTGCTGTGATGGAGCAGCTAGTGAAACTGTATAGGGAATCCCATCTTGGAAAGCGTCTTCCAGCTTATGATGGACGAAAGAGCCTGTATACTGCTGGACCACTTCCTTTTCTTTCAAAGGAGTTCAAAATCATTCTCATTGATGATGACGATGGACCAGGTGGACAGAGGTACTGCTGCTCATAATCTTAGTTGCATATTTATTATGCGTGCACTCTTCTTTACTATTTATTTTATCTTGGTTTTCTTCTTGATGCAGGAGAGAGAGGGAGTTCAGAGTAGTCATCAAGTTTGCTGCACGCGCTGACCTGCACCATTTAGGTCTCTTTTTGCAAGGGAGGCAAGCTGATGCACCTCAGGAGGCGCTTCAGGTTCTGGACATTGTTCTACGCGAATTACCTACTTCTAGGTAAGCGATGTTTCTTCTATTTGTGTTCATGACACGATGACACATTCTTGTTTAATTTGTTTGAGAGCTAATTTGTCCTGTTCGGTTTTAGGTACTGTCCTGTGGGCCGTTCATTTTATGCCCCTGATTTGGGCAGAAGACAGTCACTTGGAGAGGGTTTGGAAAGTTGGCGTGGTTTCTATCAGAGTATTCGTCCAACTCAGATGGGGCTGTCTCTGAATATTGGTACCTAGTTTTATGCTATCTTTACATGTATTATTATTTATGCACTACTTTCATGAATTTGATTGTTGTAAGAGTGATGTGTTTCGCTGCATAATTATTCCACACTCCTTGCTCTGACGTGTATACTATTTTGCTCACCAATTATCTGTTCTCCAGATATGTCATCTACTGCCTTTATTGAGCCATTACCAGTTATTGAATTTGTAACTCAGCTACTGAATCGGGATGTTACACATAGGCCACTTTCCGATTCTGATCGTGTAAAGGTTAGGTTTTGCTCATTGTCTTTGTCTTGGTAATTTGATTGTTTCTCTTCTGAGTGTTTGCTCCAAAGTATGATAATGATTGTGTTGGTATGTTTAATTGGTTCCATTTTTCGTTGTCTTTTTGTTTGTTAAATTAACTTTCATGTGTGTCAAACTTTTTGGCTGGGGTTTCTCATGTAGTTTTGTAAGAGGTTTATGTTCTTAAAACTATATTGTTTTTAAAATCTTATTCCGTTGAAGGTGCATGTATCATGATGAATGTACAATTTAATTTCCCATTAATTTTCTATATTATATGGCATCACCATTTTATTTTACTTGTGTAAACAGATAAAAAAGGCTCTTCGTGGAGTCAAGGTTGAAGTAACACACCGAGGAAATATGCGAAGAAAATACCGTATATCTGGTTTAACGTCGCAGGCAACTAGAGAATTGACGTGAGTAATAGTATCGTAGGCTATCATATCCTTGTATATTTCTTAATGTCATATTGTTTTTGAGGTCACATTGAGATGCATGTATCTTAGGCTATACCACATAGATGTATGCATCCTATGCGCAGAAAATGCGTATTATATTTCTTAATGACGAGTGTATCTTAGGCTATCATATGCTCGTATTGTTCTCAATGTCATTGTTTTTAAGATCACATTGAGCTGCATGAAACTTGTTTCCCTGAGATTGTGTTTTTGTCTTGTCAGTTTTCCTGTTGATGAAAGAGGAACTATGAAATCTGTTGTTGAGTACTTCTATGAAACCTACGGTTTTGTCATTCAACATACACAATGGCCTTGCCTTCAAGTTGGAAATCAGCAGAGGCCGAACTATTTACCCATGGAGGTGAGTCGTTGCTATAATTACTAGCCTGTAATACTGTGGGGATATGCATGCTAATATATAGTCATTGCTTTCAGGTTTGTAAAATTGTCGAAGGGCAGAGGTACTCTAAGAGATTGAATGAGAGGCAGATTACTGCTTTGCTTAAGGTGACCTGTCAGCGCCCTCACGACAGAGAACAAGATATCATGCGGGTGCGTTATCTTTTGCTTCTTCTATTTTTTTTCCTCCTCTCCCCTTTCCCTGTCTCCTTCTTTCCCTCTATATCTCGACATACAAGAATTAATTTTATTGCTATAGAGTTTCTTTTGAGCTTGGCTTATTCTGGTGTTGCATATTTCACTAGTAATACTTTAGGTTTACTCTTTCAAGAAGTGGTGATTTATGAGCCCTATACTTATTGCTTTGATATTTGATAATTTCCCGGAAGTTCACCTACAAAATGTTGATTCTGATGCTTTCACCTTGTGATCCTTAACTTTGTATCTTGTGTCATAATTTAAGTGCTGGTGTTACTTGATATTTTATTGGCATGTTATGCTCTATCTCGAAATTCTGTTGATGGTGATATTTTAAGTTCTTATGTTTATGTCTATGCAAATATCACAGACTGTCCGTCATAATGCTTACCATGAAGATCCTTATGCAAAGGAATTTGGAATCAAAATTAGTGAGAATCTGGCTCAGGTTGAAGCTCGCATTCTTCCTCCACCCTGGGTAAGATCTGTTATTGTTTTTTGTCCAAAAATGTATTGTGGATGGTACATCTGTATTGACTTTGGTCTTGCAGCTTAAATATCATGATACTGGAAGGGAAAGGGATTGCTTACCCCAAGTTGGACAATGGAACATGATGAATAAGGTAATATTCTGCATCAATGTTATATTATTGTATGCAGTATACGTTTCACCTGCACAGTGCTGATGGCACCCCTCTAGACCATTGATTACATTGGCTTAATTGTGTGGTCAATGCCTTGTGGTTGTGCCCTATTTTTCAACCAAAGAACAAAGAGGCCTGTTTACTTATCTATACATCAAGTTTTTTAATTCCTTTAATTCCCATGTCTTGTTGAATTATTACAGACCATTTCTTATTGTTGCAGAAAATGGTTAATGGGGGAAAAGTAAACAATTGGATTTGCATTAATTTCTCAAGGAATGTCCAAGACAGTGTGGCCCGTGGATTCTGTTCTGAACTTGCCCAAATGTGTTACATTTCTGGCATGGTACGATGCGTTTCTGCTGGCTTTAATTATACTTTACAGTTTCTATATTTGTAAATTCCTGATTGCTGAAATGTTGCTTGTATTTAGGCTTTTAATCCAGAACCAGTTCTTCCACCGTTCAGTGCTCGACCTGATCAGGTGGAGAAGGTCTTGAAAACTCGGTACCATGATGCGATGACTAAGCTTCGGGTCCAGGGCAAGGAGCTGGACTTGCTTGTTGTTATTTTGCCAGATAATAATGGTTCTCTTTATGGTATGTGTTTGAAATCAATTGACTCCATTCTCTCATTATTTTTCCTCAGAATAATGTGTAGACTTTTATTGGCCTAACGTTTTTGACTCATGTATGTTATGATATCTGATCCAGGTGACTTGAAACGAATCTGTGAGACGGATCTTGGCCTGGTATCCCAGTGCTGTTTGACGAAACATGTATTTAGAATGAGTAAACAATATTTGGCAAATGTGGCATTGAAGATAAATGTAAAGGTTGGGGGAAGGAACACAGTGCTTGTTGATGCACTGTCAAGACGTATTCCCTTAGTCAGCGACCGGCCTACTATAATTTTTGGTGCTGATGTTACCCATCCTCATCCAGGGGAGGATTCAAGCCCATCAATTGCAGCTGTATGTCATCGAACATATCTACGAGCTTGTAGATATATTTGTTTTGAATTCATTTAGAGTTGGGCCTTAATTGTTCAAATGTATTTCTTTATAACACAGGTTGTGGCTTCTCAAGACTGGCCTGAGATTACCAAGTATGCTGGTTTGGTTTGTGCTCAAGCCCATCGCCAGGAGCTCATCCAAGATCTTTTTAAAACCTGGCAGGATCCTGCGAGGGGGACTGTATCTGGTGGAATGATAAAGTCAATCTCTCTCTCTTTCTCTCTCTGTGTAAACTTTTGTTATTTTTTTACTATGGATTCTTAGGAATTGAAGAACTGAATTAAATTTTTTTTTTTACTAATGCAGGGAACTGCTTATTTCGTTTCGTAGAGCAACAGGGCAGAAGCCACAGCGCATCATATTTTACAGGCATTTTTAAAACTCCTTTTGCCATTGTTTGCGTCTTATGTACTTCTCCTATGTCTAATGATGGTATGTATACACCTTTTTTTTTCAGGGATGGTGTCAGTGAGGGGCAGTTCTACCAAGTTCTACTATATGAACTTGATGCAATTCGTAAGGTAAAGCTAATATTGTTGAGATTAATCTTCGGTTATCTATTGTCGTGTATTAATCTGTCTTTCCTCTTGTCAATTTTTTTTCTTCAGGCTTGTGCTTCATTGGAGCCAAACTATCAGCCTCCTGTGACTTTTGTTGTGGTTCAGAAACGTCATCATACAAGATTGTTTGCCAACAACCATCATGACCGCAATACAGTTGACAGGAGTGGGAATATCTTACCTGGTAATTAATCGTTTTAAATATGAAATGTTCTAACCATGTAGCTCAGTTTTCATGCTTGTGTTATGGAACTCTCACCCTATTGTTTCATCAGGTACGGTCGTGGACTCCAAAATCTGTCATCCAACGGAGTTTGACTTCTACCTGTGCAGTCATGCAGGAATTCAGGCAACGAGTCTTCCTTGTGTTTCTCTTGAGTGTGTGTGTGTGTGTGTGTGTGTGTGTGTGTGTGTGTGTGTGTGTGTGTGTGTTTTAAGGAGAATGTTTATAAATGTGTTGCCAATGTGTTATGACAGGGTACAAGCCGTCCAGCTCATTACCATGTGTTGTGGGATGAAAACAAGTTTACAGCTGATGCACTGCAGTCACTCACAAATAATCTTTGCTATACGTAAGCTTGCTGATTTTTCCCCATGCCATATGCCCTAAACAACCATTTTAATTATTGGCAAGTAGTTTTGTATTTTTTATGCCTTAAATCTAGTACTGAATAGTTGACCTTTTGAACTCCTGCAGATATGCAAGATGCACTCGTTCGGTTTCCATTGGTAAGCTCTCACTGCTGATTCACACAATTGTATACATGTTTGAGCCAATATGCATCCACTGCATTTATTTATTTTGTTGCTCATGTTTATGTGAATACTGTGCTGATTAGTCTTTAATTGGCAGTTCCTCCCGCGTACTATGCCCATCTTGCTGCGTTTCGAGCTCGGTTCTACATGGAACCCGAGACATCAGACAGTGGATCGATGACAAGTGGTGCTCCTGGACGTGGGGGCATGGGTGCACGTAGCACACGAGCACCAGGTGCAAATGCTGCTGTGAGGCCTTTGCCAGCCCTCAAGGAAAATGTCAAAAGGGTTATGTTCTACTGTTAGAGGGGCCTTCCTTGGTCGAAGTTAATTTGACAATGTCCCATAAGAATGTAGTAGATGCACACATTGTAATGTCGTTTTGGAATTTGCGGAGGGTGTTATAGGCTTGGTGCTCTCGTTAGGTGTCGTGGTCAAGAATCTGAAATTTCCCATTGCAACTGGTTTTTGGGATGCTTAGTTTAGTTATATGTTTCATGAGATGGAATTGGACAACTAGTAGCTTTCAGTTATATTGAAAGGGAGGAAAAACAATTGGTAGACTTGAAATTGAATCTGGTGTAGGAAGGAAGTAACCTTTGGAAATGAATGCACTGCTCCGCTCTTGTATTTTCAGATGATTAAACATTTGATTGAAGTGGATTCTTGTTCTTGGTGTCATGATTCGAGCATTTAAAATTAGAGATTAGTATTGCAAAGATGACATTCCAAAGAAAAATTGTAGAGGAAAAAATAATTAACTCTGAAAACATCTTCCTGCACTTGTACGTGAAATATAAGAACATCGGTGAACATAGAGGAAAGAAGTAGGATAATAATTACTTTTATTTTCTTCTTGAAAAAGGAATGGCTCAATCAAATTATTTAGGTTGGTGTGGTGTTGCTCGCTCGTTTGCTTGTACAAGTAGAATGAAGGAGTACGCATAGATTAGACAATTTGAGACAGCGTGTATGTAACCTTGGAGATTGAAACAACGAACAAAGTAAAGAATCAAAATACACACGTTACGGAAAAGCCCAACAACGAATTACTTGAGATTCTTTCCCTCCACTTTAAAGATTAGATACAGGCAGAGACACACAAAAAGGCCAAAATCCGATTTGCTAGCTTCTAACCAGTCTTAAAAATTCCTTTCTTTCCTACAAATGACATTAAAGAATAAAGTCTGGGTGTTCTTTCTTTCTCCTCCCATGGCAACTTTGTGCCAGCCATGCATATAATATATATACATTAAGTTCCCTATAACTTCATAACACCAAACCAACTTGAATATTGGTTGTATATCTATCTTTGTTTTAGTTTACTGAATATTCGTCTCTCTTTTCTTTTTTCGTAATACTGGTACTGCCTTGCCTTAAGCCTTGTTGATTTCATAAATGGCTTCTACCCCGGCCTTGAAGCGATCGGATTCGATTGCAGAAACCATGCCAGACGCACTGAGACAGAGCCGCTACCACATGAAGAAATGTTTTGCCAGGTTCTTTATTTTAATTTGATCGAGAATGTATAATATATTATACATATGTGTGTGTGTGAGTGTTAGCGAAATTTGATGCTGATCTTCTTGTTCAATTTATATAAATGGGAACAAAAAGGTTTGTTGCAATGGGGAAAGGTTAATGAAGATGCAGCATGTAATGGAGGAGTTGGAAAAATCAATAGAAGACAAGCATGAAAGAAGCAAGGTCTTGGAGGGATTACTTGGTTACATCATCAGCTCCACTCAGGTATATATAATATATATCATACAATGATACACACACACGCAACTATATATATTAGGCTATATATAGCAATCAGGGCATGCAATTTTAAATTTGAATTATTTACAATAAACATGAACTGGCGCAGGAGGCGGCTGTTGTTCCACCGTATGTTGCTTTTGCGGTAAGACCGAATCCTGGTTTCTGGGAATTTGTTAAGGTGAATGCTGATGATCTAGCAGTGGATGGCATCACTGCTTCCGAATACTTGAAGTTCAAAGAAATGATATTCGACGAGAACTGGTACGTATAGTATTTGTATTTGTATTTGTATTTGTATTTGTATGTGCAATATATTTTGCAAGCTGCAGCTATATTGAGTTGAGCTTACTTGCATGCATTGCTTTGCACTGCACTCCACAGGGCCAATGATGAAAATGCTCTGGAAATAGATTTTGGAGGCATTGACTTCGCCACTCCTCGCATGAAGCTTCCTTCTTCAATCGGGAATGGTCTCAACTTTATCTTAAAGTTAATCTCCTCAAGGCTGGCTACTGCCAACTCATCCGATTATGCCAAACCCTTGCTTGACTACTTGTTACAACTTCATTATCATGGAGAGGTACTTGATCTCATTACATTGTTTCATGTTAATTATTTTTAATATTAATTACTCCATCTTCAATTTGTGGCCTGTATTTTCTTCTCATATTATAATTATCTATGTATACATGCCAGAATCTTATGATCAACGGAACTCTGGATACGGTTGCAAAACTTCAAACAGCCTTGATCCAAGCAGAAGTAGTTGTGTCTACACTCCCAAAAGCCACACCATTTCCGAATTTTGAGCAAAGGTCTCTCTCGCTCTTACCTTAATTGTTTAATAAATTTTAGGATTTAGGACTCACTTGTACGTATATATATATTAATAGTTTTGATGATGATCAGGTTAATGGAGTTGGGTTTTGAGAAAGGATGGGGGGATGCAGCAGAAAGAGTTGGAGAGACAATGAAGATGCTCTCAGAAGTACTCCAAGCACCAGACTCAGCCAAGTTGGAGAGTTTCTTTAGCAGACTTCCTAACACATTCAACATCGTCATCTTCTCTCCTCACGGCTACTTTGGCCAGTCTGACGTTCTTGGATTGCCCGACACTGGCGGCCAGGTGGTTTATATTCTTGATCAAGTCAGAGCCTTAGAGGAAGAGTTGCTCCTCAGAATAAAGCAGCAAGGCCTTGCTGTCAAGCCACAGATTCTTGTGGTGAGCTAGACTACTGTTATAAACAAACAACTGATGATCCTTGTTGTCTTGCAACTTGCAATTATAATTCATTTTTACTTGTACCTACATCATCATATACATACGTACGCTGTACACAGGTTACACGACTCATACCAGATGCTCGAGGAACAAAATGCAACCAGGAGTTGGAAGCTATCATCAACACTAAGCACTCCCACATCCTTAGGGTCCCATTCAGGACACACAGAGGCATTCTCCGCCAATGGCTTTCTCGTTTTGATATCTACCCTTATCTTGAGACATTTGCACAGGTATCATTTCTTCTTCACAATCTTCTGTCCTATAAATACATTCATTAAACATACATACATCTATCATTTATTTTTGGACCAACGCGTACAACTTTATTGATTTTTTTTTTCCTTTTGTTCTCATTGTTAATTAGGATGCAACTGCAAAGATCTTAGAACGCATGGAATGCAAACCAGACCTCATAATTGGGAACTACAGTGATGGAAACTTGGTGGCCTCTTTGATGGCTGGCAAACTTGGAATAACTCAGGTGTCTAAGTTCAACCACCTCTCCCTCCTTCGATAATTGTTTCAAAAACAGATTAATTTTACTTTGAATCTGAAATTAACATGTTCTGAACATCTGTCCTGCAGGGAACAATCGCTCATGCTCTAGAAAAGACCAAGTACGAAGATTCAGATGCCAAATGGAAGGAGTTTGATCCAAAGTACCACTTCTCTTGTCAGTTCACAGCTGACATAATCTCTATGAATTCAGCTGATTTTGTCATAACGAGCACCTTTCAAGAAATAGCCGGAGGGTTAGTAGCACTAGTCTTTCTTGCCAAAAGTTCTACTTCCATGATGCCATTCATAATCATAAACAGTGTGTTTATTTCTTCATGTATGCAGCAAAGACCGGCCTGGACAGTATGAAAGCCATACAGCATTTACAATGCCAGGACTTTATCGAGTAGTTTCAGGCATTGATGTATTTGATCCAAAGTTCAACATTGCGGCCCCTGGGGCTGACCAATCTGTCTACTTTCCCTGCTCCGAGAAACAGAGACGCTTTACCAAATTTCATCCTGCCATTGAAGAACTGCTCTACAATAAGGCGGAAAACGATGAGCACACGTAATTAAACTCTCTCCCTCTCTCTCTTTCTCTCTCTCTCTCTCTCTCACTCACTGTCTACAACTGAGAAAATTTACTGAAGAGTCTGTCAACACAGACACACAGTTGTTGTACTACACCACCACATTACTCTTTTCAATTGCCTAACAACAAACTCTTACAAAATTATAAATTAAAAAAAATGCTTGGAACAGAGGATATTTGGCAGACAAGAAGAAACCCATCATCTTCTCAATGGCAAGACTGGATACAGTGAAGAACCTCTCAGGACTAGTTGAATGGTTCGGGAAGAACAAGAGGCTGAGGAGTTTGGTCAATCTTGTTATAGTAGGAGGATTCTTTGACCCATCCAAATCCAAAGACACAGAAGAAATTGCAGAAATTAAGAAGATACATGCCTTGGTACTAGAATACAAACTGACTGGTCAGTTCAGATGGATAGCAGCTCAGACTGATCGATATCGCAACGGAGAGCTGTACCGCTGCATTGCAGATACAAGGGGAGCATTTGTGCAGCCAGCACTGTATGAAGCTTTTGGTCTAACAGTGATTGAGGCCATGAACTGTGGCTTACCCACATTTGCAACCAACCAAGGAGGCCCTGCAGAAATTATTGTTGATGGAGTATCAGGCTTCCACATTGATCCAAACAATGGTGATGAATCCAGCAACAAAATTGCTGACTTTTTTGAGAAATGCAAGACGGATGGGGAATATTGGAACAAGATGTCAGCAGCCGGTTTGCAGCGTATATACGAATGGTAATTAGTTACTTAGTTATACTATACTTAGAATAATGCATAAAGTTTTATGAATGAATGTGTTATATATTTTTGTTTTTGGTTGCAGCTATACATGGAAGATATATGCAAACAAAGTGTTGAACATGGGATCCACTTATGGATTCTGGAGGCAGTTGAGAAAGGAGCAAAAGCTTGCCAATCAAACATACATTCATATGTTTTACAGTCTCCTCTTTAGGAATTTGGTAAGTCCACTACTCTAACTCTGCTTGGATTTGGACTTTGCGGTATACTATATTTATGCATACATACATAATACATTATACATATACTTACTGTGCGTAATAGTATGAGGCAGTAAAAAGTTGTGTGTTTCGTGCTGCAGGCAAGGAATGTAGGTGTCCCAAGTGATGGTTTCGAACAACCAACGGCCAAGGCGATAACTGCAGCTGGCCAAGCAACCCCAGTAGTTGCACCACCAACCTCGCCAATCCCTCAGCTGATGACTTCAACACCAAGGTTTCATCATTATTTAGATTAGTAGCTTAATTACACTGCATGCATGCATAATATTGTGTTATGCTACTTTGATTTCCTGTTTAATAATATGACATTGAGAATTTTGGTTAGTTTTGCTTTACTTCAAGTCTTGAAGTGAGAATAGATATTTTAATGGCAGGGAGAGGGATGAAGGTTTGGAGGAGAAGCAGAAACAGCAGCAGCTGGCAGAACCTCGAAGCCCCACGGCTCGCTGCATCTTGAATTGCTGTTGCGTGATCATTGGTTTTCTCATCCTTGTTTACTACAAGATCAGGAATATGTACAACTACAACTAATGGAGCTCGTTTTGTTGTGTGTATTGATGTAAGATCATCAACTCACAAACAAAACAAAGACTGAATGGTCATGTAAATTCTCCAATTTCCAATAAATTCAATAAACATATCATTAATTGTCACACTGTATCAATCAATCAATCAATCAATCAATCAATCAATCAACTGGACAAGAATACAGAGGGAAGGGAAAGAAAGACATAATCACAGCTCACCGTATCTGGCACTGACAGCCATGAATCATTTAATTAGGATGCAATTTTAAGAGTTTTAAGGCAAACTCTACTGGATCCAACCAGCACCAAAAAGACCTTTAAAGCCGTATATAAGAATCATATAAATCCAACAAAAATATGAAAACTAAACTAAACAAAACTAAATCCTCTGCCTTTATTAGACATATTGTTTGATAGGCTGTGAATCGCTGCGGCGATGGAAAAATTCTCCGTTGGTCCTGATATTATCTGTCACTATGTTTCGTCTTGAACGACCGGTGAATTGCATCATCAGATCTTCTTCCTTTTGTGCATTGTGCTTTAATCTTACTATTAAGGCTTTGAATGTGTAATTCAATATTAGTGGGATTTGACCCTCACTAATTTGGGCAAGTAAAGATATTACAAATATTTACAAAGATATTTCTTAATAAATTTGGACAAATTATCTTTGTAGATATGGGATGATTTGTTAGAGGAAAAAAAAAACAGGAATTTGATTTGGGAATAAAGCTTGAATTTATGAGACCGTATTATTATTAATTTTCGTCTGGCAACTCTTATAAAAGTTTAATTGATGTATGTGATTAATTAGTTAATAGTCCCCTTGGTATCAAACAAGTAGCTCAAATTTCTTTGTTGGGCGTTAGCCCCGTTTCAAATAAAACAAAAAAAAAAAAAAAATCTCTTGGTATCGTAATAATGCCGGAAATGAATGAGAGCCACCCACGACTCCACGAGATAAGACAACATAAGCTTGTGGATGGATCATGGATGGATGGAATACATTTGGGAATCTTTGAATTATAATAATACACTCGACTGGAATATATTTGGCAAATACAAATTATACAAGACAATGATTGATTCATTAATTCCTCAACCTAGACTTTTCATATTCAGATCCCTAAACCAAGACTTTTGCCTTCCTGCCTCCTTCGTCATCCTCATCCTCGTCGTCATCATAGATAGAGGCAGAGTTAGTCGGTGAGCGAGTGAGTGAGTCGTAGTTCTTGTAGCTGAATTTCATTGACACAAAAGAAAACAGTTTGAAAAGTCCTCTCCCTCCGTCGAAATCTCTCTTTGTAAATTATCAACAACATCTTCTCTCTTCTCTTCTGAATCGTGTCTAATAACAAGTCTTTTGGAAAAACAATCATGCCTAGGTACTAAAATGTTAAACACGAACGGGTGGGGTGGCCTTTGGTCTATCTATTAGACTATTAGGCAGCCATCAGTTGACTTCGCCAAAACTCTCTCAAACTCAATTCAGGAAAATTCGTTCCTCTAGAAACTTTTACAACTCCAATTTTTTTTTTTTTTTTTTTTTTTTTTTTTTTTTTTAAATAAAATAAAAAGCTTTTTGATTGGTGTGTGTGAAAGATTTTGCATTTAGCGGACACAACAGAAGAGGACATGTTAGAAAGGGCGGGAGGCCCCCTGCTGCCTTGTTTTGTCTGTCCGCTATGTGCAATGATTAAGTGGTTATCTTTATATTTCAATTCAAGTTAAAATATTATAATTATATATAGGATTTCGAGTCTCTGTATTTAGCGATTAAGCATTCACTCGCATTTCATTAAATCTAGACTATTATAATAATCTAATCCCTTAGAATATGACACACCATCAATTTTTTTCTTCTTCTCTAAACAGATGTTAACTATTTCTGTTAGTTTGGAATTTTTTTTGCTTCCGCATTGGCGTCTGGTCCACTTAGAGCGTTTCGCTTTCTCTTTTTCGTGTTATAGTCATCTTCTTCTTTCTTCCTGCTTGATTGATGACCTCTCTCTATATGGATGGAAAAACGCGGTTGTATTAATCTTCAAACCCAACCAAGTAAAAAATAGATATTTTCTTTTTTTCATCATGCATAAACTCACAAATAAAATTTAATGTCTGTTTAGAAAAGGAAAAAAACACTCAATGATGTGTCACGTTTTAAGGGATTAGATTATTATAATGGTCTAAATTGTACTACCCTAGTTAGTAGTTACCTTAACTAGTAGCTAGTAGCTAGTACCCTCCCTCTTCGGTTGCTTGGTTCGTTTTTCCATTTATATATAATAAAAAATAGGGGGGTCGGGGGTATTTTATATGTAGATTGTTTTTTATTTTATTTTATGAGAGAGGTTTTTAGGTTTAAAAAAATGAAGTAATATTATAGCGCAAGGCAGAGAAGGCTAGCGATTCTAGCCAGGCAACGAGTAGTTGACTTGAACGTATAAAGGATGCATAATTAGCAAAAACAAAGAGGAAGGAAGGCTAGCCAATCCAGATTCCAGATTCCAGTTCATAAATCATAATCCTAGACGAGACATCGACCACAAGTAAGTAAGAATGAATAAGTCACCTGTCGGCGGCGAAGGAGGAGGAGGAGTCTTCCATGACCCTGAAGTTGACGGCAACGGCGAGGCCAATACTATTATCAATAATACAACTAGTAGTATTGATCAGAATATGAAAGCAATAATATCCAGCGGCGGGATTGGGAGTGGGAGTGGATTGGTGACGAAGAAGAAGATGAATATTGTGCGGATGACACTGCTGTTTGTGGGGATGACTGTGGCTTGCTTTATTTTCTACAATTCTGTCTTTCCTTCCAGATTTCTCCCCATATCCTTGTATGACTACACCGGAACCACATCTTCTCAGGCAAGTCAACTTCTTTTCTGCCATCAATCAAATTCGAATATTCAAACTCCTCTGGATCATGTCTTCTTTTTTATTTTTCTTTTTGGGGAGTCAATTCCAATCCCAACACCGGCATGCTCTGCTCTACTTTTACTTTTACTTTTACTTCTTGTGTTGTGTGATGATGAAGATTCATAATATTATTATTATACACACATGAGCATGACAAATTGACAATCAAATACTAGTCGCACACTGGTGGATTCTTTTTCCTGTCAAAGCTGCTGTAATTTCATTCCAAACTAAACCAGCCTTTGTAAATTCTAATATCTTCATTGGATCCATCCATGGATTTCCATGCCATCCCACCTTTCTTATTCAATCAATGCGGGCTTCATTTGGATTCTCTACGTTTCTGTTCTCTCTTCTTATTAAATATGATTATATCGTTGTTTGTTTCCTCTGTCTTTTTTAGTGTGTGGATGCTAGCTCTTTCAATTCAACTTCAACCAATGAATTTCACTCAAAAAGGCATAATGCTTTTACACATGTATGCCCGGCTGTCCACTGTGGCGGCCTTTACTCCCCTTAGGCATGGGGCCTGCCTATCTTATCTTATGCAATTCCTTCCACTACCAACACTTCAAGGTGGTTGGTGGGTTAAATGATTAAATCCAATCCTTTGTCATTGCTGGTTTGATCTTGACTTGGTGATGCAAATTGCAATTGCAGGGCAGCGACCATCTATTGGATGCGGTTCTGAAAAATGCATCCATGAAGGACAGAACCATTCTGGTAACTACATTAAACGATGCTTGGGCTGAACCCAATTCCATATTTGATCTGTTTCTGGAGAGCTTTCACATCGGAAGCAACACAAAATGGCTGCTCAACCATCTGGTTGTGATCTGCTTGGACCAGAAAGCATATGCTCGTTGCTTAGCCTTACACCCTCACTGTTACGAGCTCTACACTGAAGGTGCCAACTTCACCAGCGAGGCATCTTTTATGTCTTCCGACTACTTGCAAATGATGTGGAGACGGATCAAATTTATGTCCAAAATTCTCGACAAAGGCTACAACTTTGTCTTTACGGTGAGAACCTTTTTTTCTTCTAATATCCTTCGAGGAATGCTAGCTATGTCCCCTCCCCATTTTGTGTGTTTTCTGATTCAAGTTGAGTGAAATACGTGACACTTACTTTTGCAATCATCCAATGCACAGGACACTGATATCATGTGGCTCCGGAATCCCTTCCCACAATTCTATCCGGATGCGGATTTTCAAATCGCATGTGATTTCTTCCTGGGTGATTCTTACAGCATAAATAATTTGCCCAACGGAGGATTTACCTATGTCAAGTCCAATGAGCGCACAATTTGGTTCTATAAGTTTTGGTACTTCTCCAGAAAGGCGTATCCAAAGATGCATGACCAGGACGTACTAAACAAGATCAAATCCGATCGCTCGATTTCCCAAATTGGATTGAAAATGAGGTTCTTGGATACCCAATACTTCGGTGGCTTCTGTCAGCCCAGTAAGGATTTTAACAAAGTTTGTACGATGCATGCGAATTGCTGTGTTGGTCTCGATAACAAAGTCAATGATCTTAGAATTTTGCTTCGAGTTTGGAGAAAGTTCATGGCATTGTCTCCCAACGCCACCACCACGGCACAGACTTCATGGACCGTTCCACAAAATTGCAGGTATTCCTAATTAATTATTTTTCTTATCTTTTTGAGACTTTTACATTTGAGTCAGTCCTCATGTCGTGGGTGGGGGCCCCACGATCTCACGGGCCCCACGCCATGTGATGAAATTGAAAGCAAAATAATTGATTTTTTAAGCATTTTCTTCTAGAACTAGAAGTTAGAACCATGCGGTTGGTTTGTCTTTCCTTTCTTTTTATTTTCTTTTTGGCACTTTGTTGTAGAATCTAGAACTAGACGGTTTGATCCCTTTTACTGTTTGACTTTTTATTCGATTTCCAAGTACTTCCTTCCAACGCCTTGGAGAGCACTCGTGACAAGAGAAAGGGAATATTGACGAAATTCTTACGATGTGTAGAGCTTTGTAACATATAATTTACAGGTAAGTCTTGTGTATAAATAAATAAATAAATAAATATATATATGTATTTTGTTTATAACTGAATTGCCTCGAATACATCTAACTTGTATACAAGAAAGAATCATGTGATGTCTCCGAAAACACTTTTACAATGTTGCATTATTTATAACGTTCCAACAAAAACATTAATTTGATATTCTTTGGTAACCAATTGGATCAACTTACGTTTTGTAATTGATATTGTCATATTTCAGGTAGAAGAAAAGGGTTGCTTTGTCAAGTCCCTCTCCCATCCATGCCACCTGTGGAAATGGCACCTTGCTCATCAATCAATCACGTCATTTTACAACTTTTTTGGTTGTATGTTTGTTTTATTTTGTTTGGCGGAAAACAATGAAAACAAACTAATACATAAGGATTTATTCCAGTTGTTTTAGACAATATTAGTTTTTTTTTATTTTTTTTAAGGAAGACTATATTAGTATTTTAAATCACAATATGAGCATGCATGAAGACGGATATCCACACCACACGTACATGAACAAAGGAAATATAATCCTACGTACTAAATGACTCATTCTTTTTTTAGCTATAGATATAAAAAAATGCTAGACACGCCGCATTTATATATCAAATTGTAGACCGCTTTTCTATAATAGAGGTTGATTATATTGTATTGGCGAGCTCTATCTCTATCTCTATTGCCTCTATTAGAGAAATAGTACCCAATAATAATACGGTATATAATTATGATAAGCCTAACAAACCCATTGATATATATATATACACACACGTACCGCGGAATATAGTTTTGAAAGCCCCATGACTCGGGAAAATAAATATTTGGGCAACCATTAAGCAATATCATATTAATATATCTAAAATGAATTGAAAAGAAATTAGGTCCAGGTCCATCCATCTATCCGCACATTTTTCCCTAAGTTAAACGAAAAGAATTAGTCCATGTTCATGTTGGGTTGGTCTATTCCACTGGGTTGTATTTATTTGGGCCTTAAATAATCAGCATGTGACATGCACGTGGTAGAACCCTTGACTTGAAGGGATTTGGGATTTAGGGATTTGGGCATCAAACCAGCCAAGAAACTTGAGAGAGAAAGAGGAAAAGGAAAATTGAAAACAGGGAGTGAGGGAGGATAGTGACTCGTGAATAAGTCAGAAGAAGAAGAGGGCAAATCAAAGATTACAAAAGAAGGGATGTCAGATCCGTTCGAGAGAGTGAAAGCAGGCAGGCTGACCTTCAAAGATGGAAGTGTGGCCACTCGCAGCAAAGCCATCGACAAGAAGAAGAACAAGAAGAAAAAGAAGAAGCAGCAGCTTAATCCTAACGACGATGGCCCTAACTCTACTGGACCCACCGACCTTGATGTGGTGCCTGAGGACGCAGGCGCAGAAGCAGCAGCCGGAGGACCGGAGACTTACACCATTGACGCGGCGAAGCGCATGAAGTACGATCAACTCTTCCCCGTGGAGGCCAAGAAGTTCGGTTACGATCCCAAATCTGTCGCACACAAGTCCATCGAGGACGCTCTTGACGACCGTGTCAAGAAGAAAGCCGACCGCTACTGTAAATAGATATCAATTCCACACATATCGGTTTCCTATTCTTCTTCTTCTTCCCCAATTCCCAGGTCCGTCCCCTTCTTCTTCTTTTACTCGTTCGACTCTTTGTATTTATAATTATTTATTATTAGGGTAGGGATGTGCTTTCAGTATTTCTGAATGTTTTATTGAAATTATGCTTCATTGTGTGTTTGAAATTTGTTTCTTTTTGTTGTCATTTATTTTAAGCTGCTACTGGTTTCTTTGAGTTTGAATTGAATGATCAATGTTTCTTTTGTTTGGAACTCTGTCCCCTTTGTATACTACCGCTTATTGTTTATTACCATAACAAATGATCCACATTTCCTTATGAAGATTCTGTAGCCCTCCTTCTCACCTATGTAAGTTGGTCACTTCAAATAACCATTTTTCTATCTTTTTTTGTACCAATAGAATAATCATGATATGCATGGCGTATAATATTTGCTCATGTGCTCTGCCGCCTATCTTCTGCTTAGAGGTCTCACCAACTGACCCTTAATTTGTAATGAGGGCTATTATCACTATCAATCATGCACCTCATCCTGCCTTACACCCATTCCCACTACAACTTTTTTCTAATTTGTACAAGTTCGTAGAAATTTGCAGCATCTAGTATCAGCTGAACCTAGTTAAAAGTTAAAACTTGTTTTGGTAGGTTGTTGAAAAGATCCTAATGTTACCTTACCTGACATGTTCCTACATCAATATCATGTTGCATCTTGTTCCTTATTGTTTTTGTTGCAAGTTACTAAATTGTCTCATACCCGCTTTGTTGCCTTCCAGAAGTATGTGCTCATGCATGAGTACAGTCAGCTGCTCATTTGTCTCCTAACATGATTTTGATTTAATTGATGGCAGGAGCGGCATGGTGGAGTTGCTGAGTTTGCAGGAATTCTTATTTAGAGACTGCCATTGCATAATTGACCAAACGTACTCAGTTCTGTACTTTTAATTCAAAGATTGCTCCATGCTTACTGTACCCTTGAATATGTTCTATTAGCGGGGCGTCGCTGCATCTTGTGGTTGCCTATTTTGTTGTTGCTCTGAATCTTCTTGTTTGTTTTTACCTTACCTTGTCATATTAGTTAGGCATGAATGGATCCATTTATAATTGTACTCGCACTGCCACTTAGTCACAAGCTGTTAAATTTTGGCTCTTGATCTAGTCTACGCATGAATGCAAAGTCTGCAGCCATTAGTTTAGTTGGTTGATGATCCAAAGCGTATGAATTCAGAATCGATCGTTCTCCATGGAGATTTGTTTTAGTTTTTTCTCATTGTTTATAAAATGAAAATCGCTGTGGAGACAAGAGAGTAGGCATTGTATGTACCTACTCCTCTTAATATTACTATATTCAACTTTTAAAAATACAATTGACAAAGGAGCCAAAGAAAAATATCTCAGAATGTATGCAAAAACAGTTGGACATTAACACCGAGCCTGCACATCGTTGGTACCCGGACAGAAATTTTTTGTCTCAGTTATGAGATAATGTCACACTTTACTGTTGACATTACAGTATTTGAATATGCCAGTTCCCTTCAAGATTTTGGGAACATAATTCCATAAAAAAGAACAAAAATGGTATACAATACAAGCAAGCACCAGGAGCTTTGAATTATTCTTCTGCCTAGATAATTCAGGTCCTGGTCTCGTTTCGTTTGGCATCTGTCTTTTCCTATAATAGCTGCAAGCTGAATATTGCAATTTGCTAGCCTAGAAAAGAAAATAGAAGGGAAATTCAAGGAACAGCTCCACCTTGCATTGCAATTTGCAACAAGTCAAAGGGAAGCACAAACAAGATGCACTGGTTTGGATAAGTGATGATGATGAATATGTAGTTTCCGCCTCCAGGGATTTGAGAGTCTGATCAAGCTGTCAACTTGCTTTGTGAGATTGTCTCTCGATATATGTGCCACTTTTTATATCTCTGGAACCCAGGAAGAACAGGTCTAAGTCGAGGAGCACCTGTGCACTCCAAACAGCAGCATCCTCTTAAATCCTTCACACAGTTCATACAGCATCTGAAACAGAAACGTGCTTATGTAAGTAAGCATTCAGTCTTCAACTAGTAGTAGTAGACAGACAGACTCCAACACCCAAGCCCAAACGGCTTCTCTGGACAGAAATTGGCTTTCCAAATTTTGGGAGAAAGAATAGCTGGCAAAAGGAACTTACAGATAGAGCAGGTTGCAGTCAAGATTTGCACAGTTTCTATGTCTTAACTCGGAGACTTGTAAACCGCATATATAGCATTGAGCAAATGTATTGTTCTTGGAAACTTCATGCCTGTTTGGTTTAGTTATGGCTTCAGGCTTGTAGGCAGGCGGTGGGAGGGAGAGACGAGAGTCAAATACAAACAAATTCCCAACCCATTGGGCAGGACCTTCATTCTCCAGATAATGAGAAACACCGCCCTTTAAGGTGTATAAGTTTTGAAATCCCTGTTGTCTGCCACATGAAATTAAATTAGACCTATAAATGGCCAAAATAAGAAAATTTAAAAAGAGCTACTTCCAACATTGCAACATTATCCTTCCCTCACAACTTTTTTCATTAATCATGCAGTGCAGTTGAATGGGTGACTCTTTAACAAAGCAAATCTGTGGTGAGTGCTTGTATTGGAAAAGTGCCAGATGGGAAAAGTAGCGACCATGACTAGACCAATACGCAAGCCTTCGAATTGATCACACTAATACAAAGATTGAATGATATTCACTAGCTGTTGTAATGCAGGTGATATTCACTGGCAGTAAGAAATGAAAACACACACACACAACTTTTTCAATTGTGCATTGGAAACAAGTACAATTTAACCTGGTTGCTCTGCGTAAAGGAAAACAGGTGGTAGAAAAAATGTTGTGTTACCTTAAAATTGTAGAATATACATCACAACGGATACCTCCAGTGCAATACATCAATATATCTGTTTTTTCTTTATCAACATTATCTAACGGATCTGCAGCAATGACCTGAAACAGGGACAGAAAGTAGTATGTTCACATCCATCACCAGAAATTGAAGTTTCTTGTGTCTTTCATAACATAATAATGCCTAAATGTTCGTATTCCTGTGGACTGATAAATAAATATAAAAAAGTAGAGGCTGCAACATTCATGCTGACATACTTATGTACATAAGAGGAAGTAAGAAAAAGACAAGATGGCTACAAAAAATGTGTTGCTTGGCTACAAATTTTATACCTATAATTCCGCCTGATCTTAAAATCCCCGTAACAAGGAAAAGACGTTCATCAAATGATGGGAGAAAGACATACTAAGACTAAGATGGAGGCGCATCGGAACTGTTTGTCAAACCATTTACACCTTTTGGCTGTCAATTCAGCCAGCAATAAGTCCTTGATCTTTCTCTATTAATTATGCTTCTAACAATTTGGCTACAAACAGAATGTTTCCACATGTAGCATGTTATTGAACTAAAATTCACATAGCAAAAGTTACAGTTCCAAATGCACCAATTGGTAACATAGGGTATAAGGCCAAACCTCTGGTTGGGATAACCCAAAAGAAGTGCTCCTAAAGCAGTCCACATCAGGTCGTCGAGCCCCATTAAAATGACCAATATCCCACTCATAACCTGATAACAAACAGCGACAAAATCTTCAAACTTCCTATGGCTGAAATTATGAACATGATTGCTGTGAATTATATAGAGGCTACAGAAATAACAGGAATTGCACGCACAGTTAAACATACATCAGAAACATGATCAAGGGCAACATGTCAAACAACATAAGAAGTGCTATATAAACTACCAATGTTAAACAAAGTTAGCTATCAAGAACCATTCAAATGTACAGTTAAGCATAAATGTATATGATTCACAGCATTGTTCCATCCATCATGAATACAAAATCGAAAAAAATTTCCAGATTAAAGCATATGAGGAAAAATCATTTAAAATGAAAAGGCTGGGAAGTAAATACCGTTTCTCACATCCAATAAAATTTGGTTCGTTTTAAGATCCTTATTTGATGCTTCACTAGTTGTATTGACTGCTTCCAATCTTTTCCGCCATTCGGATGGCGTAAGAGGTGTTGCTCGCATTGAAGGGTCCAGCAAAGGAAGATGCGAAATACCTCCTTCTAACTGGACGTGGGGGTGAAAAGAAAATAGATGTAGACATTAGCTCACTCACATAAATTGTAATTAATTCAAAAGTCAAGAAGGAAAAAAAGAAAAAGTTTAAAAGCGAATGGAAAGGATTTAAAAGCACAAGGTGTAGAAGAAAAAGAAGAAGAAGAAGAAGAGAAAGCGATCGGAGCTTGCCTGAACCAGTGAAGGCTTATAGCGTAACTTGAGTTTTGGAAAGGCATGCCCATTCAGTGCTGCAGAAATCTGCACAAGAATGTCGGAAAATCTCTCATCCCCTCTTAACCATTCAACATATGCAAGCGCATCTCTTGACGGTCCACTGTACTGCACATAAGAATTCATACAAACGATTGATTACAAAAGGAAACCAAAGCAATATCATTATAGTTTATTTATATCAAGACCAAAATACATACCTGTGCATTTATCCCTTGTTGATTCACATAAATCCGCCCACGTATGTCACGACCCTCTAAGAAAGAGAGATGCTTGGCCACCTCTGCCTCTGCGTCTTTGATGAACACAAAATGGTAAAAATTGACGACCACCCACTCCTTGTCCTCTCTGCTTTCGTAGGTGCATTGTTGCTGTTGTACTTGTAAAGCAACTCCCACACTACGTCCACCTTTCCATTTGCTTCTTTCTGAAAACCAAACGCATTCTCTTCGTCTTTGTCTTTGTCTTTGAATTTGGCTTTGCTGGTTATGTTCCTTATGGATTAACAAGGCAAAGCAAGTTGAGGTTGAGGAGCAGACTGATAATTCAAAAGGATCTTTCTTTCTTCTGCCCCCTAAAACAATTTGAGTCATTGTAGAGCTCGCTGCACCGGAGATAACCGCCGGCGCCGGAAAACACCCTCTCATCTTCTCTGTCTCTCTCTCTCTAATAGCCTCTTATCTGCTGGAGGAGCTACCTTCAGTTTCAGCAATCCGTCAGTCCGAAATTACCGACTATGATGAGAGTGAGCATTCCATTACATATACGGTGTCGTTTTCCCCCCGGTTTTCCTTGGTTGCCCAGCCCAAAATTAGAGGCCCGATTCAGATGAGGCAAAGAGCCGTACCTGAACAAGTCAGGCTCAGGCCCAAACAAAAATGGCATAAATAAATAAGTACAGTTTTTATTTTTTTATTTTTTAAATACGGTTCTTTTGGTTGGAAAATACGGTTTAACTTTACGCTGCAAGTAAAAATGACTCAATCCAACAACAACAAAGAGTAAAAATGACTCGATACGCTTTGTGACCGAAGAAAAAGAAAAGAAAGAAAATAGATAGATTGATTCTGCTGTTCTTGTTTGAGCGCAGCGAGCACGCAAGCAATCAAAACCCTAACCCTACGGTATTGCAATTAAATTTTTTCGATTCGATTCGATTCGATTGGGGAATTAAAGGATGGGGGCGAGTCGAAAACTTCAGGGCGAGATCGACCGCGTTCTCAAGAAGGTCCAAGAAGGCGTGGATGTCTTCGATAGCATATGGAACAAGGTTTGTGCCTCGTTTTTTTGCTTAGACAACGCAAACCAGAGCTGATAAATGACTAATGGGTTCTGTGCAATGTGATTAGGTTTATGATACGGACAATGCGAACCAGAAGGAAAAGTTTGAGGCGGACCTAAAGAAGGAGATTAAGAAGCTCCAGAGGTACAGGGACCAAATCAAGACTTGGATTCAATCCAGTGAAATCAAGGATAAGAAGGTCTTTCTCTTTCTAGTTGTGTGAACTATGTTCAATATGCAATTATGAATTCTTTTCTACCTTGTACTTGATCATTTTGGACATGACAATTAATTCATTTTGATACATGTTGACGTAGGTCAGTGCCTCTTATGAGCAGGCTCTGGTGGATGCTCGCAAGCTTATCGAGCGTGAAATGGAAAGGTTTAAGATTTGTGAAAAGGAGACCAAAACAAAAGCATTTTCTAAAGAAGGCTTGGGCAACAACCAAAACCTAAAACCGTAATTGCCACTCCTTTGCATTTCCTTCTCTTTTTTTTTATTTTTTAATTTTTTTTTTTTTTTTTTTTTTTTTTTTTTTTTTTTTTTTGGTTTTCATGTCTTCGTGGCAATGCTTATTTCCTCATTTCATTTGCTGAACTTGTTTTCTGGAATGTAATTTTAGTTATTCTTCATGCTTCTTGTTTATAATGAGCGGTGCATACTCTGATTTCTTGTAGTTTTAGTGTAATACTAATAATCATCATAATAGATATAATGATGATAGGAATAGTAATAATAGTAGTCATAATAATAATAATCATCATCATCATCATCATTATTGTACTTGTTATAGCTTATACAGTGTAGCCCTTTTATCCTTATGAGAATTTATTTGGCAGTTGTTATCTAATTGTCATTCTTCTTAATGATAGGATCCGAGGGAGAAGGCCAAGTCTGAGACAAGGGATTGGATAAACAATGTGGTATGTGAAACACTTTTGCTTAAGGTCTATTTTTACCGATTTATGTACCTTAGAAAGCGCATGAGTAGAGAAAGCAATATGTTTTAAGACGTGTCCGCTGCATTTGTAGTTTAATCATCCCTGCTTCATGTTTGGCTTGTGTCTGTTATGTGTTTAATTATGTCATAATACTGTTGAATGGTTGTGTTTCTTCCATGTGTTGTGGTGTTTTAAAAGTAGAGTTCTTTAATAGGCTGATGGTTGAAATTGGTGCCTGGTGCCACTAATTGAGCTTATTGTAATGTTGTTCTATTTTGGTTCAATTATTGTTTAACTCCCAATTGTATGTTGTTTCATTATAACTTGTAAATAATGGTCTTGCAATAACATTTTATGCAGTCAAATTTAAAAGTTGAAATTGTAAATTATCATTCAGTTAATACTTTTGTGTTCAATTGTGTTGAGAAGGTTGGGGAGTTGGAATCTCAGATTGACAGCTTTGAAGCTGAGATTGAAGGCCTATCTTTCAGGAAAGGGAAGGGCAGACCACCCAGACTGGTAGGAGAAAGAAAAGCACACCAATAGAAAATGTTGGGGTTTTCAGCATACTTTGACATTGTTTCTTTGTTCTGGCAGACCCATCTAGAGACATCTATTACTCGGCATAAGGCTCACATAATGAAGTTAGAACTGATCCTGAGGCTATTGGATAATGATGAATTGAGTCCTGAGCAGGTCAATGATGTCAAAGACTTCTTGGAAGACTATGTTGAACGCAATCAGGTTTGTGGTGCTTTACATTTTACCTTTGTTTCTTCAGCATCTCTTAAAAAAATCCATATATGGCATTCTCCGCCATGCTTATGTATGTACTTCGCATTACCTATATCAGACTTTTTTTAAAATGTTATTTTTAGGAGGATTTTGATGAGTTTAGTGAAGTTGATGAGCTTTACAACACCTTACCATTGGACAAAGTGGAGTCCCTTGAAGATCTGGTTACTATTGTCCCTCCTGGTCTTGTCAAGGTAATTTTTCTTTGTGCAGTTTTTATTTAAGGTTCTTATGTTCAGTTGGAGTTTGTAGTTTTTTTTATTATAAGTTTTTTCTGAAAGGTCTCTTGTCAGTTGAAATGGATATGTGGAAACAGGAAATTGTTGACCAACTGCCTTTTTTTATGGGCATCATGTATAAGAGTTTGCTCATGTTGTTTTATGAAGTACAGAGAAAAGTCAAATTACTCGAAATTGATCGCAAAACTCTGCAATGCCAGCAGAGATTTCTGTTTGGTGGTTTGTGGAAAGTTAATTTTGGATCTTGCGCTCCACTCAGATAACCATAGTTTCTACACTTCAGTGTTGTCATTCATTTTATAGAAGTTTTCCTGACGTGTAAGAAAACTAGAGACTAGATGGCTTCTATATTCCACGCTAATAGAGGTTCTCATTAGTAGTTAAGTTCAGATGCCAAGTTGACTCATCCTCTGCTAACTGAGTTCTTAGTTGCGACTTGTGGTTGACTGATTTAAGCCTATTCCCAGTTGTTTCTTTAACTTTACAAATCAATTGTTTGCTTATGAATTTTGTTGCTTTTGTGATCTGGATTGCATGATCTTTTTCCTGGCATCAGGTGTCATTGATTTCTTAATATACTAAGATCGAAGGATTAATGAGCACGTAAAAACCCAGTTTAATTTTTCTTTTTTTTGGGGGGCAGGGTGCACCGGTGCTTGGCTTGAAGACTTCTTTGGCAGTATCCGCATCTCCAATGCCTGTACGTCCTCAGAATCTTGAGTCAATGTTATTGTAATGAGTAGGGTGTTGAGGAGTTGAAGCTGTATGGGTTCTGTTGAAGAAGCTGAAATTCACATATTTAATTTTGTATTTAAAAAAAAATTGCATCCTTAAATTGTGTAATGGTGCAGAATGCTGTTGAGATGTGTTTGTGGTAGACATTTTGCTACCTTTATCACATGGTGTCATCCTTGTCTCAGAGGATGGGGTCAATAGTTGGTGGAGCACGGTCATCTGTTGTTGATCAAAGATGGACTTGTGTTTGCCTATAAAAATTACTGTGCAGTTGATTGACTAGCATGTACTTAAGGTGATCGTTAATGGAATTAGGTTCACTTCTAATATAAAGTGTCATTTTGCTTGCTGATATAGAACACTAAACATGAAAGATTTATCTAATTGTTAGTTTATTTATTTTCATTCGTTTTTAGTAGATTTTATATCAAATTTGGTAATCAATTTAAGTTATCTTTGGTTTGTAGGAAGTTTAAATTGAACCCTAAAACCTAGTCTCTTTGCCTTCTGGTTTCCTCAGTAGAATCTTTTAGAACTTGGAGATATGTTGATGACCTCTGCTTTATTTCTGTAAGATGCTTTATCTCAATTGATGCTGCTGTACTAAGGGTTATTATTATTATTATTTTTTTCCAGGCCGCAGCTACTTCCACTACTCAGCAGAGTACTTCTGTGCAAGAGCCAGTTGAAGATACAGTTTCCCAGGACAGTAATGTTGATAATATTCCTAGGACTCCACCTCCTAAAAGTAGTGCACTTGCTTCTTCTCCTGCATCAACACCAGTTGGGGGTCATGCAAGTCCTCTCTCTGTGAGTGTTTCATCTCACAATTTGCCTGGTGCGCCAAGTGTTTCAGCCGTTCCAGGTTCAATTGCTGTTCGTGGTGTCACAGAGAATGCAGGAGCTTCTAATTCTTCATCTCCTGTAAGTCTGTCCGCTTCTGTGAAGGAAGAAGAATTAGCAAGCTTCCCGGGCCGTAGACCATCGCCATCTCTTTCTGATGCTGGGCTTGTGAGGGGCATTGGTAGAGGTGGCCTCTCTGCACAGATTCCATCTAGTATCCCTCTTAGTTCTAGCAATGTAGCTCCTAGTAATAGTACCCTTAGTGCAGCTCCTTCGGTTTCTGATGTGACAAAGAGAAATATATTGGGAGCTGATGAGAGAATTGGGAGTAGTAGTGTAGCGCAGCCTCTTGTTTCCCCTCTAAGTAACAGATTGATCTTGCCTCAAGCTGCCAAGGCTAGTGATGGAAGTATTCCAGTTGATTCTGGTAATGCTGGTGAGGCTGCTGCTATTCCTGGCAGAGCATTTTCTCCTTCTATGGTCTCTAGCATGCAATGGAGGCCTGGAAGTTCCTTCCAAAACCAGAACGAAGCGGTATGTTACTTTCCACTAATAAGCTTTTCCCCTCTCTCTCTGCCCCTTTTATGCTCATATGGATGCAATGTCTAATGCTGGATTAATTAACTCCTTGCATGTCTACCATTTGTAGAATTCAATATATGTTTGTGTATTGCTGCTTTGCCATTATATATCTTCTTTATTTGACTGAATCATAGGATAGAAATTTTGTTGACCAGATCCGTGAGGTGCTATTTTAATTGAACTTACCAATTATCAGGGGTTGTTTCGTGGAAGAACTGAAATAGCACCTGATCAGAGGGAGAAATTTTTGCAGCGGCTCCAACAAGTGCAGCAAGGTCACAGTACCATTCTCGGCATGCCTCCTCTTGCTGGTGGAAATCATAAGCAATTTTCTGGACAGCAGCAAAATCCACTCTTACAACAGGTATTTTTTTATTTTTTTGGTAGATTTAACTTTTAGCTTCTGTTTTCTTCTGATTCCGCGAACCTCTTGTGGACAAATTCAATATTTGAAAAAGAGCAATTACTGTAGTTTATTGATCTTAATTTATATCATACTTTCATGGAAACAGGTTTATGTTTTTTTTTCTTTTCCAGAAACATCCCTTTGGTCGCACTTTGTTTGTTGATCCAATTAACAACATCTATTTTCTATTACTGAATAAGATACGTTTATTTGGTGCAAAAGACCAACCTGGGGTTAGTTTTAGTTCCATGGTTTGCTCCCATGTGGACTGAGGTTCGAAACCCCAAAAGGTGCCTGTCTAGCTATTTGTTAGTGTTTCCTGCCTCCCAAAGATTGTAGGGGCGGCCCCAGTTTAAAAGCTATGTCCGCTAAGCGGATTGGTGGAGTTCTGGGTATCAAAAGCAAAAAACAAAAACAATAGTTGCAAAATAATTATTTTACATGAGATTTGATCATATGTGCAGTTTAATTCTCCGAACTCATCTGTATCTTCTCAAGCTGGCCTCGGACTAGGGGTACAAGCCCCAGGTCTTGGTACTGTTGCACCTACCACCTTACAGCAGCAGCTAAATTCTATCCATCAACAATCTAACCAACAGGCATTGATGTCGAGTGGACCAAAAGAAGCTGGTAATCTCCATCTTTATTCAGTTCATGCTATTGTTAAAATATTTTCAATTTATTTACTGGCGCTATTTCGTCATGAGGACACTTTGATTTCTTCCACCAAGAATTGAAACTCTGAATTGAATGCAGAAAGTGCAAAGTACGTCTTCTGAAATAATAAGAATTCCATAACCAACAAAGAGTGAAAGTTTATTGTCCAAACTCCCACTACTCAAACACTTGGGGTCCGATTTAACAAGTAGTGGACTGTATTGAGCAGCCCTGTGTACGTGGGTGCAATATGATCGAAACTGAATAATCTCCTGTTTTATGCGATGCAGATGTTGGTCATCCAAAAGTTGAGGACCAGCAGCAACAACAAAATACACCTGATGATTCAACTGCAGACTCTACTCCGGTTTCTGGGCTTGTAAAGAATCTAATTAATGAGGATGATTTGAAAGCCTCATATGCAATTGATTCTTTGGTATGCGGAATAGTTTTCTTGATTACTGTATTATGAGTCCTTGCCGACTATATAATTTTTTACTAGTTATACATTATTCTTGCATAGGTCAGGTAGTTAATTGTTATCAAAATTTATTATATGATTCTGTTAAACAATGGATAGACAGGGTAAGATGAACATGGTGGCTACTCTATATGTACTGCCTGCCTAAGTAGAATCTATACAATGATAGGCATAAAAAGTTGTGTCAAACTTAATTTATTCCAAAATGCCTTAAGTATAATAAATTACCAATAATAATGATGATAATTCGATATATTTATACAAGTCTTTTGGCTAATTTAGTTGAGTTACAGATGTTATGTTCTCCATAACTCTCTGCATTTCTCTACGTACTATTCCATGCTTTTCATTGTGGTCAATCAATATCAATACTTGTATTCAAATATAATCCTCATAATGTGTTTAAATATAATTGTTTACTTGATATGTCTAATCTTAGGCCCCATATTATTTATTTAATACATTTGGGAACATATATTATATCAGAGTCTGTGGTGGTGTCTTTTTTCCTTTATCGGGCCATTGTTTTGCTCCTGATTTGTGTAAATCATATTTTTTCTGTAAGATGATTGCAGTGTGCATCATGGACACGCTGATTTATTTGGGGAAGAATGGATGGTGAATGTGACTTACTTGTAAAATCTTTGTGTTTGTAGGCTGGAGTTTCTGGCTCTTCGACAGAGCCTGCTCAAGTACCACGAGATATCGATCTCTCTCCTGGGCAACCTTTACAGCCCAATCAACCTTCTAGTAGTCTTGGTGTTATTGGCCGAAGAAGTGTTTCTGACCTTGGTGCAATTGGTGATAACCTTTCTGGATCAACTCCTAATTCTGGGGGAACGCATGATCAGTTGTATAATTTGCAGATGCTTGAAGCTGCTTATTACAAACTTCCACAACCCAAAGACTCGGAACGTGCAAGGAGCTACACTCCAGTATGGACCCAATTATCTTTACTATTTAATCTCCTTTTTATTGCGCATGAATCTTAATTTTTTTCTTCAATACTTATCTTCCTTCCTTTTGCCATCTACAGAGGCACCCTGCAATAACTCCTCCTAGCTACCCCCAAGCACAAGCACCTATTGTTAACAATCCTGCCTTCTGGGAACGTTTGGGTCTTGAACCGTACGGTACTGATACCCTGTTCTTTGCATTTTACTATCAGCAGGTACTTCTTATAAGTTCATTTACATTCGATGCTGTCCTTTGATACATTCACTACGAAGTATGAACTTGTTCTCAAGTGCATTACTGTGTGCAGAACACTTATCAGCAATATTTGGCGGCCAAAGAGTTGAAGAAGCAATCTTGGAGATACCACAGGAAATATAACACTTGGTTTCAACGACACGAGGAGCCAAAAGTTGCCACTGATGAATATGAACAGGGGACATATGTGTACTTTGACTTCCATATCGCAAATGATGATCTACAACATGGATGGTATGATTTTATTGATCCAAGTTCAAGTTTCTGTGTTTCTTCGTGCTACTTGTTCTTATGTGGAGTCTAAGGTGCAAGTTTTCATTTGGATGCTCTTATGTATATTTCAACGTGTGGAGATACTCTACCTCCCTTTGCCTCAAGATATTTGAGTAAGAGGAGCAAGATTTTATTATTGGAGAGATCATTTATGAGGCATGTGGTTGCTGTTATTTTCTCTGCATCTAGCGTAGGGAGAGTCTTTTTTATGTAAAATTTGCTTCAATTTTCTCCCTGTTTGGCTCTTTGATGCTTTGATGATTGACAGTCATTATCTTTTATCTATTTACATTTTTGTGGCTTTGGGGCTTGGCTTGCATGAGGGAGTGGTGCTCTTCCTCCCGGCATGGCTGCAGGCATCTGCATCCACAACGCATATGCACACACATACTCCCAAACAACACAAATGTGAATAGTGAAACAATCACTTAATTTGGGAGGCACGCTTATGCTTGACATTTTTGTTTCCTTTGATGATATAATATCTCTTTTCCAATTACATAATGATTTAACGATGGTTATATGTGATGTTTTGATATGGTACAGGTGTCAAAGGATCAAAACCGAGTTTACTTTTGAATATAACCATCTTGAAGATGAACTTATCGTTTAGAAAATGTTGAGAGGATGCTATGCTACCACATTGAGCATGTCATGGTCAACTTCCTGGTTTGTAATTTTTCCTTTCCTTTTTTGTCATGTCATGTGCCTCTCGTCTCGTTCATAGTATAATATATTTTAGGCTCCTGGTTGGTACCTTATGGTAACATAGAGAGTTGAACTGGAAACATGTGAGGCTTTATTAAATGGTTTGGGGTCTTTGTTGTTTGCAGGTAATGATACAGTCAGAATATTGGTGGTGGGAGCTTGTTGATGGTTACAGGTTTACTAGGCTTAATGATTGTCTATCAAGTGTGTGATCTTTGTTTTTTAACTGTAAAAGGGAGACTATTTTTGTCTTTTCCGTCTATAATGAAATACAAATGCATTGTTATTTCTCCACTTTTGTTTTATTTAGCACATTATGTATATTGACGAAAGCAAAAGGCAAAGTTGAAAGCTCAAAGATCAATTGCTTGCTAGTACTAAGTAGTCTAGTAGGGTGCTATGCTATTGGCCACTAATTTATTAAACTTTGGTAGTAGCTCTTTTTAATTTAACGTGGTAAAGCAAATGCTGCGGACTGAGTTACTTGGACTTGTTTTCCTGAGCCTATCTTTTACTTCGATTTTCCACTAGCAAGAGCAACTATTTGTTTTACTTTGATTTTCCACTAGCAAGAGCAACTATTTGTTGAACCCGATTTACTCTTAATAATGTTACTTCACTCGAATTATTGACTGACGTCAAGCAAACCAGAGTTAGAATGAAGACGATACTGTATTCGGTTATCCTTTTCTATTATTACCAAATCTAAATCTTGGTGTTTAAAACTTTGAATGCTTGGAAACTGTTTATATCGTATCGTATAGGGTAACGACTCGAGAACGTGAACACGAGTTAAAGAGTAATTGTTCTTCTTATTAATATTACAACCAAATTAACGACCTTAATTGACGATCACAACCGCTAATAAAGTCATGGAATGATTGTTTGAACTGGTTCAGCATCGCACAGTGCACACAGTAAGTTAGTCAAAGTCCTAAGTGGAAAAAAACATGGTAACTTAATAAAAGTCGAAGTTTGTAAAAGTGGTAGTTACAATAAGCTGTGAATGAGAGACGTGGCAAGGTTCTAGCAAGGGAGCAAACCAAGCGAAGCGAGAAGCGAGAAGCGAGAAATGGAGGTGGTGGTGTTACCTCTACCTGGTTCCGGATCCAATAACAAGTCCCTCTGCGGCCTCTCCTCCTCCACCGCTGCCGCCACTTCATATTTTAGACGACGCCGTATTGTCGCCGTCACCAATTCCACCATCAACGGTTCTCACTCTTCTTCATCAGCGGAGGCAGAGCAGGACATCCAGATTGAGGAAATCAGGGTGTGCACCAACCGGACTTGCCGTAGACAAGGTTCCTTTCAAACCCTTGACACTCTCACCGCTCTCGCGCCCTCCAACGTCGCCGTCAAGTCCTCCGGCTGCTTGGGCCGCTGCGGCGCCGGCCCCAACCTCGTCGCGCTGCCTGCCGCCACTTTTGTCGCTCACTGCGGGACCACAGCTCGAGCCGTGGAGGTCCTCGTGGCACTAGTACTACTCAGCCGCCGCCGACGAGGAGGAGGTGTTTCGAATTCGGACGGTGCTAATGCGAATAAGAACATTGAAAAAATTGCAAACAAGAGTTTGGAAGCGCTTGCGTTGAGAAACAAGGCTCGGAATGAGCTTCTTCACAACAACAATTTCTCCCAGGCTGACCTCTTCCTCTCTCAGGTTACTATTAACACTAATATTTAATTGATCATTTCATTTCATGATTAATTAATTAATTAATTATGCATGTTGCCTTGCTTGCGTGCTTGAAATTTGATTTACTGAGCCTTGAATTAATTGGTGGATGCCTTGCTTACTTGCAGGCTATAGAATTAAAACCAATTGGTGGTATCCATATTATGTATAAAGACAGGTCCCTTGCAAGACTGGCATTGGGCAATTATTCCGGGGCTCTTGAAGATGCTGCCCAAGCTTTGGCTTTAAATCCTCTCTATCCTGAGGTGCCCTCATTATTTACTTCATTCATTCATTAATTTCTCATTCCACCAAGTTTATTACTCACTTTCAAAGTCCTATAAAATTTCATCATAATGTGCATCTTGCAGGCTTACATTTGCCAAGGTGATGCATTCTTGGCTCTGAACCAATTTGATTCTGCTCGTAACTCATATATGGCTTCTTTAGAGATAGATCCTTCTCTTCGATGTTCCAAATCTTTCAAGGTATAAATGTATTAGCTATTAGTCAATTTCGATGACCGACCTCAGATTCTATATATCTCTATTTTGATCTTTTGGTTTTAATCTTGGGAAAGTTGGTCACTCCTCCAAATAGTTCTTTGTGGAGTGTTTTGGAAGTTGCATGTAATAGTTTCTTCTTTCCTTATTTTACGATCTCTGCATAGCTCAGCTGCACAGTCAAATAATCCCTGATGTCATCAGCATTGCATTGTTTCACATTTTATTGCTATCATATTTTCTTACCATTTATGCAGGCTCGGATTGCAAACCTTGAGAAACTCACCACTGGAAATATGCCTTAAGATCTGCAATGTGCTTGGAGCTGTTTATAAATCAATTACAGAGCTTTGATGATAAAAGGCACAGTGTTTAGTCATCTTCTATCCAGGTTGGTTTCTGTCTTTCAAATTTTACTCATACATCATCAGTTTTTGTTGCTATAACTGTTTGCAGGTTTTAGACTTTTCACCGTAAACATATAAATACTAATAGCAATACTAACAATAAATCATTTTAAGAATGTTATACTAATGATAATTTTTCATAACAATAATAAATCGAAACAAGCTAAAAAAGAAAAACTCTGTTCCTTTCACTGCACTATACTTACCAGGACATCACAGACATGAATTCTATTTCCCAATCTCAGTTCCTGGAATTTGAGAGAAGTGCCCAGCCATTTTTGGCCTCGATGGTGTGGGTTGTACCACTATATTAAAGGAAGGTGGTAACGAGGAGGAGGAAGATGATTGTACTGATGAATGGGTCTTGCTATAGGAGGAGCATTTTTATCTTTTTCCTTTTGAATCAATTGCAACTGCTATGATAGTATGTATATATTGAAAGTTGTAAGTTTTTTTTTTGGTTCATGAGCCTAGCACTATGTCGTAGGATGGGTGGGGGGAGCTCACATTATGCTGATTGTTACCTGATTTGGTTGTCATGTAATCTACCTTAGACTTTTGTTATACTAAGGATCGGTATCCATTGTTTATTTCTACTGATCTTCTAATCTACATGACACGTTACGTTACGTAGTGCTCTCATTACCAATTGTTTAGAGACATTCATCAACAAGTTTCAGAAGTGTCATTTTTTCATCTTGACTCTTGAGTGTGGTGGGAATCAAATTTGTTTAAAGAAGGGGTTCCGCCGAGTCCTACTGCCTACTGTACAGTTGCCAAAACACAACTCAAACTCCGCAAATTCATTTCAAGGCTTAGAAGTTTTGTCAGGTATTAAATATTCAATACATTCATGATTTGGGACCTTTGGTGTTCAATTTGCTACCCCTACAAACTTAATGTAGACATTGCAAGAGATCATCTCATAAGATTCTTTTGGATTTGGATGATGAACTTAACATATAGACACACACACACATATATATTAGGGTACCAAGTGTCGCCATAAGAATGTAGTATCCGAATTTCTCTATTGAGAAAAGTTAATATGCTAGGCTGCTAGTACTACTAGAATGACCATAGAGCGAAGTCAACAGGGTACAACCATTAAGTTACGTAGAGTTTTGATTACGTCCACATAGAAACAAATCCATGTTCTTGACCCTTTCCCACAAACTAGAAGAAGAACCCTTCTTCTCCTTTCCGACGCCAATCTCCTTCCCACTACCATTACTATTACCTCCTCTCTTGATCAGCCTCCGACTAATCTTCCGTATCTGAAAGCAAACCTCCAAATTCACCTGATTACCATTTATCTTGCTCTTGTTGATGTTGCAACTCTCTTCTTCTTCTTGTACAAGTTGAAAGGATCGTTGGTCTCTCTTCACAAGTTGCTCATAGTAGTCCTTGTTCCTCTTCTCCAAGCCATAAATCTGTCCCTGAAGGTCCTCGATTTTACGGCTAAGCATGCACACCCTCTGGTCTTCCCTCGTCTTGAGCAAACACCGAGCTAGCTCGCCAGCCTTCCTCCTGATGAAGAGAGACTCGGACGCAAGGGCTTTGTTCTCTTCCACCAAGGCACCCACTGTATACCCCAACTTGGCATTCTCATTGAGTAAGATGAGCCTCTCAGACTCCAACACCTCTAGCAAGCTCTTCTGCAGCTCTATCTTCCTGGATGCATCCTTGTATCGCCTCTCCGTGATGTTGGCCTCATCAAGTAAGACATCATATTCAACATTCTTCACCACAATCTCCGTAACGATGGAATCTAAATCAAACAACATGGTGTCATCATGTTGAGTAGCAGCAGAAGCAGCGAGTAGTAATGTTGGAGGCAATTGCTGATAGGAGATGGAACTCTCTACGTCCGAATCAATGTGGCTTGTGTAAGCATCATCATCTTCTTCTTGGTCGTCATAGTCATAGTAGTCATTATCTATTACTGAGATTTGGGAAGAGGGTGGACGGTGATGCTGAGTCTTGGCGACAGTTTGAATGTAACGGTCAGATAAGGTGAGGTAGGAATTGTACAAGTCTCGAATCAGGGAGAGCAGCTGAGGACGTCTTTTGTAGTAAGCTTCAGCACGTTCAGCGAAGGTGTCCCCAATCTCTTGTTGAGCTGTGGCTCTGCTACATCCCAACATCTTCATCTTCTCTTCCACATCTGACATAAAATTACATTTACAAATATTGTATTCTTGTTTGAATATTACAATTAAATTTAAATGACATCCATTATTCATGTCCCATATTTTCAAATTGCATTCCAATTCCAACGGGCACCAATTGAAGTTTGAAGTTTGAAGTTTGAAAAGAGAAATTGAGATAAGCACCAAATTGGAAAAAAGATATTGAATTCTCATTATAAAAAAATTAAAAAAAAAGATATTGAATTCTCAAAAAAATTATAAAAAAAAAAGATATTGAATTTCACAATGATAGAAGAAAGCAGAAGGGCTGACGCGTATTTAATGTATGGTCAGACAGAGAGAGTCATGTTCCTATCCTAGTAGTAGTGTGCCTATTTATTTGTAGCAGAAAACACCAAACCAAACGAAAAAAATGAAGGACACGTCACTCTCCATCTTTCCATTCCAGGGAGATTCCCTCAAGTTTAAATCGAATTTGAAAAGAAACAGATAATTTCATTGGCAGCCAAGCAAATGAGATCCATATTGTAATAATAAACTGAAAAAAGGGCATGGAGGAATGCGCGTTGAAAGCGACGTTAGGAAAGAAAGGTCGCTGCCTCGAATATCAACAAAATCAATTATATAGTGCGACAAGGCAAAAGCCTATCCTAGCTTAGCTTTCGTCAAATCAGAGTTTCAAATTCAAATTACACAGCACAGCACAGCACAGCGTCATATCACATCGTCAGATTCAGATGCAGGAACAGGAAGAGAGAGAGAGAGAGAGAGAGAGAGAGAGGAGAGAGAGAGAGAGAGAGAGGTGGTACCAGCAAGGATGGACAAAAGCCATTTGGGGTTTCATGGTGGACGGGTTGGTGGAGGTGGTGGTGCAACTGTTATTGCTGCTGCTGCTTAAGCTCCTCCGTCTTGGAGTTGGAGTTGGAGTTGGAGTTGAAGTTGGAGCTGAGTGAATGAAAGCCGACATTATTATTGGTTTCTCCAGTGTCCTCATATCCCTCCGTCCTTAAGACCAAACACGTTACCTTACTAGCAGAGACAGAGAGAGTCGGTCAATAAACTTGAAATGAAAAGCACACAACAACTCAAATGAACAGAACGAATACATTTATTATTATTATTATTATACAGTATATACACAGTATACCATTGATGAGACCAGTATTATTAGGAGGGAGGGATGATGGAGGGAGGATTGGAGAATAGAAATACAAGAGTGGTTTGTGAAACGCATTAAATACGAGGCCCTACAATTGTCTTCTTCTATCTAATTCTTCTGACTTGTGTTGTGTGGTGTTGTGGTGTGAAAATACAACAGCTTTGCCCTTCTTTCTCAAGCATGTCGCCTGTCGCCTGTCGCCTGTCGCCTGTCGCCTGTCTAGTACGACAAGTTGTTTTGTACAACAGAAGAAGAAGAAGAGAAGAGAAGACATTTCAAAAAGCGCAGATCTCGAGAAAAGCAAGAAACCTAATGATAATAATAAAAGAGAAACATCAAATCAAAACTATTCATAGATATCAATGAACATCACCGCGTTGCAACTTGCAACAGCAGTTACTTTCTGCTCATGAGGACTCCACTCAATTCCCCATGCACATTATTATTTTTTCTGTTCTTTTCTTTTCTTTGAAGCTCCATGACCATGATTTTTGTTGCCACTTAGTTCTTAATTGTTTGTTAATTTTGACTGAAAGAAGCTCAACTAAAGCTATTACGATGAGTTCGAAATTGTACGATACGCTAGTGCATGAGATTGGGAATTATCATAATTAACAATCAATGGCCTAATACATGATTAATAATAATATGAAGCAGCTACATATCGCATACATGAATAATAACATGAAAATGGCTTTAATTAATAACAAGTTCCTGACGAGGAAAAGGAAGAGGAAGAGGAAGAGGAGCACATACATATCGTATACATGAATAATAATACTACATAAGTTTATATTTTGATGGTAGAAGAAGAATGATCCAAGCAGCAAGCACAACAGACAAGACAAGACAAGACGAGAAGAGTTACCTACTTCCTGGGTTATTTGTACCAACTTTGAAAACCCAGCAGCAGCAGCCCAGGCGGCCAGCCTCTTACTCAATAGACAGAAAGACTAACGTTTGATAATGAATGAGACGGAGGAGGAGGAGGAGGAGAGGAGAGGAGGAGGGAATGGCTGTTGGGTGTTGTGTTTAGACGACAACACTTGTGGTGTGAGTCTCAGAGTCTATTATATGTACTCTTATACATCTACTAGTACAATTATTTCCTTCCTTTCTTCACTTTCTCCACTCAGAGACCGACACGTGTTTTCTCTCACCCCTCCCCTCCTCCCCCATTTCAATTCAAATTCTCTTTGGCTTTCCTGCTTTGCATTCGGGTTTCTCAAATTTTCTATATGCAAGCAAATCGAGCAGCAAAAGCTGGTATTTGCTTCTGATACTAATAAGATTTGAATAAACTGGAAAATATTTGTAATTAGTTAGTCATAGTCTCATAGACATTGCTTGCTCGACAGCATCCTCGAGTCAAGTCATTCACATCTCTACCAGACATTAATTAGTTAACTCATTCTTTTAACTCAAGACTCGTAGTATTATTGTCTTTATAGAATTCTCTAAATTGAAACATTAGCTTACAGAAACAGTTCCACCAGTGACAACTGACAAGGGCGCGCGTGAAGCAAACAGGAACACCAAATCTTCATAATACTTTCTTTATGTGTCCACACTCCACACCCATGAAAACATATCTAACAAAATAAATGGTGTACAAAGCAGAACCATCTCTTCAAATGCCTATCAGATGTTAGTGGTACTCCAGTCAGTCTTCCCTCCTTTTCAAAATTCAATCGCAATTGCTCCGCCATTCAACAACCAAAACAACCTTGAGATAAGCTCGCTTCTCGGACTCACTTTTCGTATCATCAAATAAGCCTACCCCTTATGACCACCATATCTGCACGCAACTTCTTCCCCTTCTATAAGCCTCTCCACTGCATCAGAAGGAAGGCCAATCATCTCAAATGTCTTCTCCCACACTTCGTGAGAAGTTTCAACATTATGAGCTTCTTCAGAAGGATTCGTTGGACGGCAATCTTGAGAAATGAACGCACAAACCGGCCAGTCATCCGCTTTCAACAATTCACAGTACTCAGGAACCTGGGGATCAGTGGCTGCAAAGAGAGCACTCCTGGAACCTGCATTGAATAAACCATTACAAGGCTTGGTTTTCACATTTCCTCACCTCCCCTCTTTTGTACTTCTCTCTTTTGATTTGGGCTCATTATTGCCACTATTGGAAAACATCAAAGAAAACCAGCTTTTGTTCTTTTTTTTAAATTAAAAAAAAACTAATAAGCTCATGACATGATCTCTTGTCACATTTTGCAATGACCTATATGGTGATCAGTGGCTCAGTTTTCTAATAAGTACAGAGAGGTACTACCTTAAAGATTTCTAATGTGCTAGCAGTTAAATTAGGCGACTACAGTAAGTGAGATCAGATCTGCTAAGTATATCACTTTTGGAGATCCTTCAAGTAGAAGAGTCGAAAAGTAGAGAGGTACCACATTAAAGATTTCAAATTTTTTGCCTCTATTCAAGTTACATGTTCCATATGTTATCAATATAAGTCTCCTATGCCTTATGTGGTTAGAAAAGTTGGATAGAATCTTGACTACCTTGGAGCTAGCTAGTTAACAGCACCTCCTAATAGGTTAATTCTTCTTAAGGTTAACAAGCTACAGGCTTATATGACTGAAATTATGGCCAAACTCTAATTGTACTGACATAATGACATTAATTCATCAACGATTACAGTTACCAACCTCACTTCTGTTTGGTTTCATCAACTTATATATAAGAAGGTGGAATGGTAAATCAAATGTAATAGCAAGAAGACACACCTTCTTGAGCACTAAAGATAAAATAGGGTATTAGATGATAAGCAGCTTGAACAATTTTGGGAAGATCCCTTGCCTGCAATTAATTGAAATCCAATGTGATGCACCAATGCACTAAAGTTTATATATAAAGAAGATTTGAATGTAAAATCTAGAAGGTAAATAAAACCTATAACATGATACACTGTCAATTATAACTATTATAGAAAAAAATAGAAGGTACATCCTTTTTCTAGATAAAAATGAAGAGGAGGGTGAAGGAATGCATCACGATACTTACAACATTAGTCTGCACAATTCCAGGTGAAACACATGCTACAGTAATGCCAGATTCGGCAGGGAGCCGCTTATGTAGAACACTACTAAACATAATCTGCAATCCAAATACAACTATGTTATAGTTTTCTTGTTACAGCTTCAGAAATTATATAGATAACCACAATAGTTAATTCACGTTTCATTATGTGCAAGTGTGCAGCCTTGGGTGGTAGATATTCCGCTTTCACAAACTAATAGAGAGAAGAGATCAGAGCTGAAACAGCCAAAAAAAAGCCAATGTATAGCACCAATTAATTAAAAAGATCTAACTGAAGGTAGACACATCTGTATTTCAAATATATAAATATTATATCTATGTATGGGACATTCTCCCATAAGTATTTAAGTTAAGGATTGATTACATACTTCTAAGCTCGGCCGTTGGATTGCATCTAAGAGAGTACCAACACATTTAATGAATGCAATCCAACAGCCAATATTAGAAGTATGTAACCAATCCTTTAACATAAAATAGTTGTTGGAGAATCTCCCATCTATGTGTATATATATAAATGTATATTGAGTAGCTAAACAATTTGCAGATCCAAAGGACCAGAATTCAGTTTGACAAGCCTAGATAGGAACGCAAGCTTGTAAGAGCTTGTGCCAGCTAAAATATGGAAACCATCAATCAATAAAGATTTCCTAGAGCACCTGTGCCAGCTTGCTGCTTGAGTAACCCACTAAGCTTGTATATTTTCTTTTCCCAGAAACGACATTCATGTCTTCTGTGTCAACAAAGCCAACATAATGCATCTACATAAAGAAGGACAGAGGTTTCTCAGATTTAAATAACATGACAATAAAATAAGAGTATCAAAATGTGAAACTAACTTTAAAAGAGCCTATGAATAGATCTAATTCTAGTTAGCACGTACACCAACTAGCTTTTCTTTCCATGTGCGCTTATATATGGGTGTGTGAATGTACACGTATCATATATACCTACAACGGAATGATGATGGTGATGGAACTTACAACGGAATTCAAATTAATAATTCGACTTGGAGAGCCTCTGATAAGGGATGGCAATAGCAAAACTGAGAGCAGTGCTGGAGCAAGATGATTGACTTGCAAGTGTTCTTCGTACCCATCTTTTGAAAGTTTTTGTGGCTCTGAACATACCAAAGCCAAAGGTATATCAGTAAATGACAAATCAGACTCTGAAGGGGTGTAGCTTTGAAATTAAGTAAATTATGTCAATAAAAAGACCAACCTCCAATTGAAAATATCCCAGCATTGTTGATAAGAACATGGAGAGGTCCTAAGCGTGCATTCCACGCTTCAGCAAATCTCACAACAGAATCCAAGGAGAGCAAATCAAGTTCCATTACCTAAAAAAGTCACAATTTAATAAATGTTATAAATTTGATTTAGTGGGTTTGTTTTTCTGGGGTTTTACCACCCCCAAGTTCATCAAAAAAAAAAAAAAAATTGATTTGGTGGTGTTGCAACATGGAGTTGAGGCAGACCTCAATATTGAGAGGAAGGCCCATTCCAGTCCATTCATTCTGCCACTTCTGGATCAACTCATTAGCTGCTTTCGTGTTCCTCACCGCCATCACAACATGCGCCCCAGCTTCCGCCAACTGCCTGTTCAGTACATAATAACCACCACCAGACCACACATCCTTTTCAGTTTTCATGTTCAGGCACTCGGTCTAATTCAAAATTCAAAACTGAAATTGGGACCAAATTTCTTTTGTATCATTTTCTCAGCAACCAAACAGAAGGACACCCACCCCTTTCTTTGCATAGTGAGTTAAGTTATTACTTAAACAAACAAGGAAAGTAAAAAAAATATATGAACTGAACTCATCAATCTTTGTAGATTTGAAGAAAGGAGACGCTGACCTGGCAATTTCGCGGCCGATACCGCTGGTGGATCCAGTGACAATGCAAGTGAGATCGTTGACAGGAGGCAAAGGCATGGGGTTTTGCAAGTGGCTGGCCGTGATTCTCTGGAACAGCATCTCGTACACCAGATACAGCCAACCCCTTGCCCACTCTATCCATCCCAATCCCTCCTTCTTCTTCTTCTTCTTCACTTCCTCCTTCGGATGAGACGACGTCGTTGCCATTCCAGCCTCCTCCCTCTTCTCTCTCTGAATCTCTGATGCGGTATTGGGTTTAATTTGGGGAACTCAGGACAAAACAGTAGCTTGGGCCTGTGACTTTACTGGCAAGTGACTAGTGACCATTTGGCCGGCGACCATATATTGGTGTGTGTAATTTGTGATGACTTAAAAATCTAAAATAATCTTCATTATTCTGGAATCTGGAGTTGCTTGTAATTTTCAACCAAAATAATAAGTATCTTGTAATTTGGTCTTTGCTTGGGTGCAACTCGGAATATAATTGGAGGAGACAATGGAATATAAATTTTTTGGTGTTAAATACTACTAATCATTTGAGTTAGAAATGTAACTTACATTCGAGTTTGAATTTGAGACTCAACTTCAAATACTACACTCAAACTTAATTAGCGACAATTTATTAAGAGTGTTAGATTTCGGATAAAGAATTTATTGGATATTTCAAATTTGAGAGCCCAACTTCAACCAAGTAGAACATAGACACTCCAATTCAAACCTAATTAGTGAATAACTTTCTAGAATCGTGTTAGATTCAAATCCACCGATTTAACACATGTGATGCATTATATCAACTCAATGTACAAAAATACATGAAATTAGTGTTAATTATGAATTCGGGTTAAAACAATAATTATTATATAATACATGTTGATAGTCTGTCAATATAGCATAAAATACAATGATTAACCATTTAAAAAGAAAAATATTATATCATGATTTGAACGGAGTTTAAATGTTAATTATTTAACAACAAGTACAATTTATAGTGGGTTTATATGTTGTGAACTTTGAAGGCGATGATTGGTAAAATGATGTGGGCCTGTTATGCACGCGCGCAGGCGCAACAATGGCACCAATGGCATTGTGAATAATATAATAGAAATAGTAGGGACACGTGGCATTTCCTATAACAGAATTCTCACCAGAAGAGAAACAACGACAGTGTGCCACCTTTCTCTCTCTCTCTCTCTCTCTCTCTCTCTCTCTCTCTCTATAACTAAAAGTTTGCAAGGAAGGAGCCAATACAATGCTTGCTACGCTGTCCAATCGATTGAGCAATTCGTCGCTTCGCTTCTCCAGCATTTATTAATATTCTAGAACTTTCTTCTACTCATTCACTATACACTCACGCTCGTCGTCATCTTCGTTCCAGTGACAGGCGCTGTGAGAAAAGTTGAACGATTTTCTTTCATCATTTCAACGAATCAAGAACCGCAAAAGTACGTACGCATTATTTGAGAAAGGAAATTTAGTCTGCTGCCTTTCTTTGACTTCCATTGACGTTTCAATTTCAGTTTCTTTCTTGTTAAGATTTTCTTCATCTAATTTGTCATATATATGTAACTAAAGTCTAATGCGTTTATCTTCAAATCAGTGTGTAATTTGGTTGGTTATTTTCTTGATCGAGAAAGTCACAGCAAATTGTTCTTGTTTTCTTTAATTAATGTGATATTATGTATAAATATATAATATTAATAGCACTGCATCTGCATGCATGTTTGGTTTGGTTGCTGATGATTTCGGTGAACAGGATTGTGAAAGAATACTATATAATATCGATCCAGATTGAAAAGATGAAGGGAGGAGTGAGAGCAGGATTGGCAGTGAAGGCGATCGTTGTGGTGATATTCACATCCATGTGGTTCCGTTGCGTCTCTGCTTTTGCTGCTGCGATCAACACCAACCACTCTGTTGGCGGAGCTTCGGGCTGGGATCTCTCCTCCAACCTCCAAGCATGGGCTACTCACGCCACTTTCCATGTCGGCGACTCTCTTGGTACGTCTCTAATTTAATTTAATTATCCTTTTGCTCTGTTTTTCTACCTTCATCCATCCATCTCTGTCTTTCTTTATTAGTTTCATCTCTAATTCACTATATATGTTTGGCTCGCCAGAAAATGACGAGGGAAAGAAAGATTATGATTTTCTTGATTTAGTAATTTGAAGATTATGTGAGTTTTTCACTTTATTTTCTTTGATTTTCTTGATAACCAAACAAACGCTCCCTAAATTGTAATGTGTACATTGTGTAGTAAAATGATATATATGAAACTGTGTGATGGTAGGCTCCTGTGAGTGAGGAATTGAGGCGGTGAAGAGAAACAAAACAGGGCATAGGGTATAGGCTATATAGGATATAGGCATTCGATAGAGAGAGGGGGAGTAGGTGGATAAGGACATAGGATCGGCTGTTGGTTGAATTATATTGGAATTAGAGAAAAAGGTTGAAACTTATTAATTGCTTAATCATTTTGAAATGAATCCTTGTATGCATGATTGATGGTGGTGGATGGGTGAGTGGCAGTGTTCAGGTACACACCGGTGCACGATGTGCTGGAAGTGAAGAAAACAGACTACGATAGGTGTCACACAGTGGACCCAATGGAGACGCACGACGAAGGGGAGACAGTGATCCAGCTGAGGGAAGTAGGAAACAGGTACTTCATATGTGGGCGGCTGGGACATTGTGCTATGGGCCTCAAGCTCCATGTCCAAGTTTTCCCTGCACAGCTTATGACTAATAATGCAACCTCGCCCACTGCTCCTCCTCCTACTACTTCTGATCATCATCATGATCATCCAAACGACAACAACAACAGCAGCCATGGGATGATGCTGCCTTCTCCGCCGCCTGCAGATTCTAATTACTCCAATAATAATGATGCCGTAGCAGCCAAGACTTCTTCTACTAGTACTACTGCTGGTAGTACTGCTGCTGCTGCTTTTTTAGTAGTTGTCTTCGTCACTATGCATGCAGTTGCAGAGCACTCTGCATCATAGGATAAGATAGCAAGCAAATAGCTCTACTCTAATCTTCAAATACCAAATATCATCCATCACCTACCTGCCTGCCTGCCTCCCCTCAGCATGCAGCAAATATTATTACAAGGTTGATGATATGTTTGACACAGCCAACCCATTTGATATGTTTGATCCCTCTTGTCTACTTCTAGTATGAACAATCACCAATTGCCTAGTTATATGAATTCAACTCACACAATATTATTTTCTCAAATTCACCATTTTCATTTCAATTACAATCTTACACACACACACACACCACACTCATATTCATGTATGTTACATAGCCTTAATATTTCTACTTTTTCTCTTTTTTGGGTACAAATAATTTCTACTTATCTTCACTTAATTGTTATCCTTTCCTTTCCTTTCCTTTGGGTTTATGAGCTACAAATATATGAGGCCCAGTCAGGTCAACTTGTAAACCTTCATTTTCTCTGCCAAGCAAAACGAATGCTACTACCAAAAGGTATATTGATGACAGAAAACAAAAAGAAGACAATTTATTGAAGGTTATCAAAATGTCTAGCATTTTATAATAAGCTAGGTCGTCCATCATTCACGGTCTCAAAGTTTTCCCGTCTGTCGTGACTTAACGTAATCATCCCAAATTCTGAAATGCTTTTTTTTCTTTTTCTTTTTCTGTGTGTTGGGGCTTCATATATATCATATAGAAGCAGCTAGTGGCTGGTGGCGCTTTCAACCGACCAGCTCTGAATTTGAGTTGGCACCCATTAGTTACTTCACCAGCAAAATCCATGATGCTCTCACTCCCTTCCCTTTTTTCGTGGAGGGGAGTGAGTCGATGGACCCAATATTAATAGTTGGGTCAATTTCAATGTCCATATCCCATCCCCATCAAGAGCCCAAAAAGTCTTCATTAGGCTCAAGCACAAGCATGGGAGAAAGTTCCATTGTGTGATTCTTCTTCTTCCTACTCCTACCTTACCTTGGTCAAGGAAATTAAGGGGACCTCTGTTTCTTCTATGCCCCTTCATAAATTCAAAAGGTACTCACTCTGTACTAACCTACTACTGGCTGACTAAAGCAAATGCAAACTCTGCACACATGGGAGCTCTGACTGATAAAACTTATATGAAAAGAAGAAGAGAATTTCACAGCTGAGAGCTCCGACTCTGAGCTCTACTGATAAAACTTATATGAAAATAACTGCATGAAACCAGTGATAGGAATGTGAATTTGATGTACCTTCAAAGTTGACTCTGAGAATCTCTCATAGTTCTTGTTCTATTTAGTTTACTACTTGCAAGCAAACTATACTGTAGTCTATAGTCTATAGTCTATAGGTTATAGCATACAACAACACACAAAATTTGCATTTACAAGAAGATAAACCAAGTACAAACACACCAAAATTAATAAGCATGTATATCATTAAGAGAAGCTAAGCTAGAGGCCACCGTTCACAATCTCCCTGAAACGGCGTTGATCAGATTCTAGCCTCTGAAGCCTCATGTCATTGTTGAACTTCTTGATGAACGCCTCTGCTCGCTGGTTCAACTCTTCCTGAGTCATGGACTTTTCCCTTCTCAACGACACCCTGTCGCTAAAAGTGTCTGATTTCTTCAGCTCCTGGCGAGCCCATGTCACTGCATCATCCTCTCCATGACCATCATCATCATTATCATCATCATCACCGTCTAAGTTAGAGTGATGTAATTGTACTTGATGGTCAAGACCCCCTTTGAGTTTATTCCTTGTGAGGGCCAATTGGGTCAAGCGAGGAGGGGTATCCCAAGTGTCACTCTTTTTTAGGTGCCTACCAACTGCCTTGCCTTGCCCCTCCATGATGGCCTTCCATGTGGTGTCCAGTGTGTTAATATGCTCTCCCACCTCCACCTCCAGTCTCGGCATCTCCACAGATTTCGTCAACAAGTCACCGGAGGGCATTTCCGGTGAAGGGTCAAATCCCTGATCATCATCATCATCGTCTTCTGCTGCTGCTTCTTGTTTGCCATCATCAGCTTGTACCATGTGTATGTCATGCCAGCTCATCATTTCATTATTCGAGTGGCCATGAGAGGATGGAGAAAATAATAGAGCAGTTACATCCTCTTTGGAAAGACTTCGGATTGTGTCTTTGGAAAGACTTTGGATTTTGGGCTGCTGCTGTTGCTGCTGGGACAGAGACTCGGATTGGATGCTGCTGTTGTTGTTGTCTGGACTATAGATATAATTGCTACCACTGTCAATATTGTCGGCGGTTTTGGCTGCATTGTCACTAATGAAGGAGCTGAAGCGTACAGAAGAAGAAGAAGAAGAAGAAGAAGAAGAAGAGGGCTGCTGGTGTTGTTTTTGGTTTTGGAATGTGGAGGAGGCAGCAATGGTGATGATGATGAAGTTGAGGATGATGTAGATGTAAAGTGGAGATAAGAAGCAGCTTTTGAAAGAGGTCCATAGCTGGGGAACAATGGAAACAGTGAGATTCAGAAGGTAAGGAATGATTGACGCTTTGAAGAATACCAAAGTGGAGACTGTCCCTACACAAAGCAGTAACAGCTTTGCAGCCCAGATTGCTGTTTCCAATCTTGCTCTTTTCAACACATCCACCGTCATGTTTCCCGATCCGATTGCTTTCTGTCCCAAATTCAAAACAAACCGGTCTTGAGATAATTTGAGAAATTCAAATTCAATCAAGTCTAATAAAGTTGTGGAAGATTAATGCTATGAAGAAGAAAGAAAGAAAGAAAGAAACAAGCATGAATGTGTCAAAAACCACACGCTCTGCTCCTGCTCAACAAAAGAGACCCGAAATAGCATCTAAAACCGCCATTTTAAAACAGGGACTTGGAATTTGGATACGCTATACTATACAAAGAAGAGGTGGATGAGAGAGACAACAAAAGGGAGGGTTCCTAAATCAGCATTAAAAAAATATAATTGCTGGTTTGTATGCCTCAGGGTTCAAGACTGAAGACTCAAGAGAAGAAGAAGTGTCTGCCTGCCACTGATGAAAAATGTTTCAGCTGAGGTTGAGGAAGGAGAAAGTAGCTTAGCTAGGAATTACAGGATCACATAAAAAGTTGGATCACTCCTTTCCTCCTATATATTTATATGCAAAAAAAGAATAAAAAAGTTTTGAACTGAAATTGAAGTGAGAGTGAGCAGCTGCTAGCCTGGTAGCCTGGTAGAGAAAGAGAGAGTGAAAAGAAACATATGAAATTAAGGTTGACCTTCATAAACAGCTAAGAATGGCCAGAAAGTAAAGCAAAGATTGGATGCAGTTTGCAGAGGGACTTTGCATCTCTACTCTACTTCCCAGTGGTTATGGTACGCTCGCTACTAACATATACCAGACACCAGCTGCTGTTGCTGCTGCTGCTGCCTATATATGAAATATGAAATATGAAATATGAAATGAAAAGAAAGACCACTACTAGGTAGTAGCTAGCCAGGGAGGAGGAGGAGGAGGAGGAGAAGAGTCTCAGACATAGTAGAAGAACCCAAAAAGACCACAAGGCAAGGCATGGCATGGCTTAAATGCACGAAATGGCCTTTGCCTTTATGTATGCGTGTGTGAGAGGCAGGGCTTAGACTCCTAACAACTATTCTTCCTTGATCAAATCTCTGCCGTCCAATGTTCAAATCCTCTGCTGAATTATTTGACGTTTAAGATTTCATTATTACTTGTCTGTTTGTATGTTTACTTTATTATGGTCATGGCCCAACAAGTTCATCTTAGAAAAAAAGTAAAGGATATTTAAACCAAAATCTAATCCCCATAAACGCGCCGCTTTCATCCGCGGCCATGTTGTATACCATCATGATGAGTGGCCAACTCATTAACGCAGAGCCATGTCGTGTATATAAATGTCAAACCTCTATGCTATGCCTTTCTTTCTTTTACTTACACAGATATCTACTTTAATTAATTTGCATACCCTTAAGTTAAGTTAAGTTAAGTTGAGTTAAGCCCACTCCACTCAAATCTCAAAACCACAAACTTGATTGTTTAGCTGACTCAATTATTACAAACTGAAATAATGAATGAAGGAAATATCATTAATTAGTATTTAGGTTTTGGGTCAGATTGTGTGGGTATGGACACTTAGGCAGGGGCCATTGGGGTCTCTTGTCTGAGCCCAGGGAACACCCACAGCCATGCACTCAGTACCCACCCCACCCACCGTTAGGCTGCCTGCTCTTGAGCTTTCTTAATTCCTTCCTTCCTTTCCTTCCTTCAAGTTGTTTTCTTTTTATATATCTTTATTATTTTTAAATATTTATATAAATATTCCTCATCAAACTAATAGTGATAGCTCACTAGCTACGTACCAAAAGCCACTCTGTGCTGTGCTGTGATGTGCTATGCATGCCATTGCCAAGCCCCAAAAAAATTTATTTAACCTCTCCTCTCCCTCAATCAGTAAGTATTATATATATATATATATATATGTCGTCAAATTAACGATACGATATACATATTCCAAATTACTCTCATTGTTTTATTTTACTTATTCATATATGTACCGCCTTGCCTTGCCTTGCCTTATTGCCAGCCTCAGCCTCATTATATTGCCAAGAGTAAGAGATGAGGAATAATGACAAGGAGGAGGAGACTGATGAAGAAAATTCAAGATTATGTAGGACAGACAGACAGACAACAAAGGCCTTGGTGTAAGTTTGGGAACCGTCAATTCAGTTCAGAAGAGCATGCATTGATTTGATTGAAGTACCCACCCATGACCCCATATGTGTTAAAACTAAAACTTAGCTGTAACAACGTCACTTGCTGCTATGAGAGCTAGCTACAATACAATTTACGAAGACATTGAATTCACAACATCAACTTTAAGTGAGATGAAAGTTCAGTAAGTGGTATATTTTGCTGTCGTTGAAAAAACATATATGAAATATCTTCTTCACACAAGGACGGATGGATCACTCGCTAGTACTAGCTAGGTGCAGGCTGGCTGGCTCCATCAGCCATCATCAGTGATCATGGCCAACAGTAATCTATCTGCTATCATGCTCTTGGAGTTTTTCCTTTTTCATTTGATGCTGCGCAAATATGCATACATCTTTTATAACTGTAACCCTAGTCAAAAAGAGTATTAATTCACTTTCCCAATAGAATTCAAGATTTCTTTATATTTATCAATCAGACTAACTAACAAGTCCCAAGTTTGAATTCCTCTAACCCTCCTTTTAATTCAAAAATTAGAGAGTATAATGGACCCTAGGCAAAAGTATAATGAAAAAAAACTTTATCATATGCAAACAGAGTCAAAAGGAAAGAATTGAAAAACCCTATCTCTATCTTTATTGAGATTATTTTTTCCATATATATTATATAAAAAAATACAGGCAGGCAGGTGTAACAATTATATTTGCTGTATAGAATAATAGATAGGTGAAATTTGTCCAAAGACTGATTTTATAAGTTACCACTTACCAGCAGAGCAGCATACCATTGTCCTCTCTCTACCATTTTAAAATGGTTTGAGAAGGTTCCACTTTGACTTTGACTGCCAGTTTTCTTTGGATCGGCAGCAAGATTAAACAATTCCATATCATTATGGAATGGAATGTTCCATATGTTATGTATGGGAAGGTGAGCTGATCATCTTGAGTTGAGGTTGAGGTTTAATTAATGCGTGTGAGAATGTGAAGGTAAAGAGTCTCACATTGGAAAGTTGAGAAACCTTGTAAGGGCTTATAAGGAGTTGGGCTACTCTCCCCATTGCCAATTGGTTTTGGAGTGGAACCTCAACTTCCTTCATGATAATCAGAAACTTGCAATAATAATTAGAATTGAACCCGGAACTTGCTCTTACTGCAGAGTCTGTCTGTGTGTTGCATTGCAACCTACAAAGGGATAAGCCAACCAGTGCTAATAGCAATGGAATGCACTATTCTTGGATCTTTTAGCAAGATGGAGACACATTGGTAGTAGCTAGGGGGCGCTATGTCTATATGTATTAAAAAGCCTCCTTCCTGTTCCTAATTTCCTATATGTTGAGACTCAGTTGAGTTGTGTTGAGGCATCCATCCACTAGAAACCAAACCACATTTGCCAGAGAGAAGCGCTAGTGGTGAGTCTCCACCAAGCGGCGCCCTATCCCTTTAACCTTTTCCATTACCCAATTGCCAAGTGGCCAATGGCCCTGGCTCTCCTTTTAACTTCTTCTCTCATTGTCACTAGTACTATTATACACAAGGAAAGATCATTATGATTAGGGTGATGGGCATAAAAACTACTGAATTGTCAAAACATATCTAACCTACCAGATTCGGTTTGGTTTGGTTTGGCTCGGTTACACTAGTGATTTTCCGTAACACCGTATTTAATTTGAACTGAGACATGAGTGACAATTCTATAGCTGATTAAAGTGGTATAGTACAGATCGAATCGACCTGTGCTCCCCTCTAATTTCAATATATTAGCAATCTAACATGGATTTGGATGTTTCATGATCTTTCAGTCTTTATTGAATCATTTGAATTGTGAATAATGGCTGGCTGAATGGGTCCCCTGGAGTCTAAAATTGGAGTGGTCTTGTACTGAGCATGCGTCTATAAATTGCTTGCTTGGGCTGGAAGGCTAGGCCCCCAATTTGCTGGGCGGCACCTGCTTTGCTCTCAAGCTAAGCTAAGCACTAATATTGCGCTTTTGCGTATTTTTACCAAATATTATTCTTATATAATTATTATATGTGGGTGTGTGGGTGTGTGGGTGGCCCTCTTTTCATGATTCCTTTTCTCCATCACCCTAAATATCATCAGTTTTCTTCTTCTAGTGCTATTACCTTGTCCTCTTTCTTTATCCAATATAATTATTTCCACAGCACCATATAATATAACACGAGCATTTCAAAGCACAGCTCTCTCTCTCTCTCTCTCTCTTACCAAATGTTGTTGCATATTGCGTTGCACCTTTTAAATAGTTCCATAAAAGAAAAGAAACCTATATATCTTTTATATTTGAGGAGAATTAACGCAAATTAATCACTAAATCATGTATAGAGTTGATTAATTAACGAGTATTTAACCCAAGACAATATTATATATGTGATTCCTGCTATGCTTATACCAAAACCACCAATAAGTTTAAATTATGATACAGTAGAGTAGTAGTTGCTTCCGTCCAACAACGGTTCTATGAATGATGACTTGGTTGGTGCCGTGCCAGTGCCAATGCCAACGCCAACGCCAACGCCAATGCCAATGCCATAGAGTTGTTGTTAGGGCAAGGACAAGAATCTATGGTTCTATGATTGAGAGAACCCTACCAAATACCAAATACCAAATACCAAATACCAGGAGAGGAGGTCCTGGTCCTCCTCCACAAGATAAAAAAGAAGCAAGGACAAAACAGAAAACGAAAATCTTTTCTTTGGATGGGCTGGTCCCTTGTACTTTCTTGTACAAATATATGAAATAACAAATGTCGTGTTCTAGGTCATACTAATTTTCTTTGACATTTTGCTTTGCCCCCCTGCTAAGTCAAATTAATAGTTTCTCTCTTGGTGCTCACTCACTTCCACACAGTTGGTTTGGTTCCAAAGACCAACTATCTGTATTATGTATGAGGGAAGGGCCCTGAATGAATGAATTAACTAGTGTGTGTCTTGGAATATTGGAGAGAGAAAAGGAAAGATGATCTAGGTTGTTAGTTGTTAATTAGTTTCAAGTTTGAATGGATTATATGTATCATGTATGGATGATGAGCATCGTCAAGCATCGTCAAGCATCAAGCATCTCCATCACAATGAAACACGAGACAGTATTATAAGAAATCAATTTTCATCTAATGACTCACTCAACCCCATGTGCACATGATTTTGTTGGCTTGGCTTGACGACGATCCTTTGCAATATATATTCATTTCTGTCATTCAAAAAGATAATTAATCTTCTAATTAATCTATTCTATGGCACAAGAAGAATAAGAAATGTCCATGCATGTACGTGTACCCTAACAACCTTGGCCTACTTCCCCTTTCTTTAAAATACCATCTTTATTAATTTGCTACGTCCTTGTCCTTCATTATACACCAAATTTTATATTATATATATGGCTACAGAATCGTGGACTTAGCATATACAATCTTTCAATAAAAGAGAACTGTATATTTATATATATAAAATAGCTGATAATTTCATTGTAGAGAGAGTATGCCACGCATTGTGTATATATGTGTATCATTCTGCAGAGCACAGAGAGCATGCATGCATCAGTCCTATTAGTTCGGTTCTTTTCTTTGTACAAGTCATATGTATCAGAAGAATGAAGATGCGATCAGGAAGGAAGGAGGGAGGAAAGGAGAGAACAGTTGAGATGTCATTTCACTGTTATTGCTGGGAATAATAATAATAATGTGGGGAGAGTTATTGCTTTGCCTCCATCTTTAGAGGCAAATGGGTCAAGCCTGCCAAACCCGTTCGAATTGGACATTTGTTTTAATTTAACAAGAGTTGAGTTGATTATAATTATAAATAAATAGCATACAATTATTGTTTTCCTGACATTCTCTAGTATAAAAATGAACCCAATCCATGAGCGATGAGGCCAAGACAACATACACTACTTGTTTTAAATATTGTTTAGATGGTTGATTGGTTGGCCGAGCATCTAATTCAAGTATGCGTGTGTGTGTGTGTGCATTCTAATTAAGAATTAAGAATTAAGAATTAATTAGATGCTTGGCCAAGACAACACACACACACATATACTTGGATCTGCAATGAAATGAAAGGTGATTCATTCAGATCTTTCCCCCAACCTCATTGGATCTGCAAGACAGACGCCTCCTCATTCAGGATCAGGACCATGTGTCGGCAAATTTGACCCTATAATAATTCATACACAATCTAAAAATGAGGGCTAAGTTTGACCATATTATATGATCCATAATCTAATGAAAGCTACTTCCTCCTTCTCGAGATGATGAAGTTGCTGCAAGTGTACGGAGAATTCTGTCATGATAAACAACCAAAACAATGCCCAAATTGGTGCTACATTCGTTTACTGCCCAAAAAAATAAAAAAAATCATTCATACTGTTTGCTCAACTTCTTAAAAACAAAAAAGAAACATGACAAGGAGAAAAATGTAGGAACAACATCATATCTTAGCCACCCGCTCTCCTGTCTTCTTAGTAAGACCTACGAAATCTTGTAAAATCAAATGCTCACTTTTTTTCTTCTTCCTTCTAGATCCTAATATTAATATTACGTTCTTTCTCAGGTACTGTACTGATCTGATACTACAGATTCCCTCTGTAATATGCAAACTATGTGTTTTTTCTTTCAGAGATGATGCCAGGCTTTCAAAATTACCATATCTCAGCACCACAAAGGAGAAGGCGGTGTGGTGTAACACTCTATATCTTGATTGAGATCCAATCCTGTGTTGCCGTGTAGAAAGAAGGAAATATTAATCATTCAGACAGGATAGAACTTTTGAAGGTGACATGAGAACAACTAAATTAAGAGGAGTATCGAACTGAACAATATAAATAAAAGCAAAGGCTGTCCTACACAAGCGCGAGAGAAGAAGAAGAGACAGGTTCACAGACCCTACTCTTGTTCCATTGAAGGATTTGCCAAACTGGAAGGTATACTATAGGCATCTACAATTATCTCAAATAGAAAGTTTTGACACACAACATTTAGTCTAGAGGAAGATGCAGGACATACTTTTCTCTTTCTCCCATCAAGGTATTGCAATAAACTATATTTACTGGGATCTTATGAAATAATTTACAACATGGAATTAATTCCAGTATATAATGCAAAACAAAACCATTGCTCTCAGATGCTACGAATATTAGATGCAAATTTGACATGTGGTGCAAAAGTGCCAGGTAGTTTGGTTGGTATCGGGGAAAGATTTAAAATTAAATCCCTCCCTCTCAACAGGGTTATCTCCTCTGTGGTGTTAGTCCATAGGCCCAAACGGGCCTCCAATGCACTAATTAGAAAAGGTTGACTTATAGTACTTAAAATAGCAAACCTTGGTGAAGAGGTATATATCCTGTCAAAACTGTTCGGTAGGAATACACACTGCCCACTCCAGTAATTCCATGGGCTTCACTCAAAAATATCTTCTCCTGCAAAAATTGATTTGGATTTGAGAGTTCAGAATGTAGCAAATCTTGAATGATCACAAGGTCAGAGCTGTGTCCAATGCCATGATAAGCTTATGTTTATCCGGCCTTTTTTTTTGTTGAAAAAGGAAGAAGAAGAGGAACAAGAAAAAGGAAAGATTGCTTCCACGTCTTTTTCTTCTGACCCAGAGTTCAATTTCAGTAGTTTCTTGAGAAACCCAACTAAAAATATTAAATAAATAATAATATTTCTTTTTAAAAAAAAGTAGCACCAGTTCTCTTACAATCAAAAGTTTGCCAGCGTGGAGGAGTGGGATAGTCCTGTTTTGCATCAGGGACATAAAGCAAGCTGAATAGATCTGTTGTACCGTTGCTCTTGTTTGAGGCTGTATCACATTCCATCATAGGTGGTGGCCCATTTGGTGGAGGTGAAGTAGTAAACTTATGATTCAAATCTAAAGAAATCTGCAACGAACAAAACAAATATTAACCAGTGAACTCCTTAAACTTGGTCAAATGTACCACAAAAAATGACTTATAGCAAAAGGAGCATTACAAACACATTTGAAAAAGCACGTAGAGAAACATGAAAGATTAGAAGGCATACATCAAATCGCAGAAGCAGATAGGCCCTGGAAAGTAGTGACCTTTCTCTTTTGTTTTATCTTTTTGACACTCGAAATCAGTCATATTATATCTTAATTGCTATGGATAAAGAAATTTTGCGGAAGACAATTTTAAGAGAGGCCTGAGTATGGTATGTTAGGTATATTAAAAAAGGGTAGAGGCAAATAGCAACTCAACAACCCATGAACTCAAATGATGGATCATTTACCAACAACAACAAAAAAAAACTAGGAAAATCAATATTGTAAAACTTCTTTGTGCTTCACCATCAGACCTAATTTCTCAATCTCATAAACTCCAAAGAAAGCAACCCGCCCAGAAAGAATCTGGACTTTCTTACTCTCAGCTTTAAACCACCAAGTTCTAAAGCTCCCTCATTGATCCACGAATGAGCATGACCCAACTCAATTAAGGATCAGAAATAAACATAAAGAAGTCTAATTATAGTGGAATATTCTACAAACACACCAAGTGGTAGAAGCACCCTAATCAATGACATCTACAAAACAGGTTTGTTACAAATGCAAAGTATGAGGAAGGAGCAATAAACATTTTTATATAGCTAATAACTACAAACAAATTAATGGTTTTAAGCAAGAAAAAATAAAAAACTTAATAAGATACAAAATTTACCCCACGGGATCTTGCCACTGAAGGAGCACTTTGTCCCAGGTGCTTAGAAAGTACTGCTTCTTCAAGAGAATGTCTCCTTGTTTTCTTGGGAACTTCGCTTGTAGCTCCACCTTCTACCAACTTGTTGGAACTGATGCTCATTTCAACTAGTTTAGGAGCCGGTTGTTTTGCATTCTTTGCAACCCACATTTTTCCTTCATACCTAAAAGTTACTAAGAAAGTTAAGAACAAAAGGAAATAATAAACAACAAATTCTTCAAGTTGCACATGAAAGCTCATAATTAGCTTCACCAAACTACTTACTTGGCACGAATAAACTTTTCGATCTCGCTTCTTTCAAAATGTGCCGGCAATTCTTTTTCCCAATAACTGTTTGCCTTTTCATTACCCACAGCTACACAAAGATACACAGAAAGTTGATTAGTATGATAATGAATCAGAACATAATAGTCAGTTAGACAAGAGATAAAAACCATCCAGAGCAAAATGTGAATACTGAAGTGATGTTCCCTAACAGCTACTTCAGTCCAATTATTTAGGGGGGGAAAAAAGGAAATAGAGGAAAAATATATATTCACTAAGATGAGAGCAATGCATATGCACCAGTTACCGTAGGAATGCCCATGTTTCTGAACCATATAAACAATGATGACAGAAGCTGCCTGCTTGTATGGTTTACCAAATTTGTGTAGTCCTGTCTTACTAAATTGAGAGTGTTTATGCTTGTATAACATGACCATGCATGTATGTGGGGTAGATAGATAGATAGATCATCTATTATAGATGATAAAATATATATATATATATATATATAGAGAGAGAGAGAGAGAGAGAGAGAGAGAGAGAGAAGACGAGAGAAGCTGAATGGTGTTCTTACATTCCATAAAAGCAACCTGTTCTGGCAGCCATGTATCCAAAGTAGTAGACCGTACCTATTTCAAAAACAAACCAGGCTACGCTATCATTAGAACATAGAGCTGCAATTATATGAGACATAATCTATTCAAACAGATTAACGATCAAATAAAGAAAATTACTGAATTTTGGTAAACCAACAGGTCAATAGCCAGAACATATAAATAGCTTACAGTACATTCAAGCTATGCCAGTAACCAAACATAATTTTACATTCACATGACTATATAATAATGAAGAGTGAAGCCATTCCCAGATAACTTCTCATTAGTACCAAACCAATTGAATTTTAAAAGCCAGAGAAGGAAAGAATAAAAACAAGAAAAGTTTACCGACTAAAAAAGGATATGAAATAGAGGAAATAGAGAAATGATAGGTAGGCAAATAAACCTTTGAAATATGCACTCCAAGGCTACGATGAATTCCTGAACATTGCATGCAAATAAATATTCCCAGGTTCACACTTGCCCATCGTGGGGCTCTGAAAGAAAAATATTGCAGCACAAAAATTTCATTAATATCCATATCAGATTGCCACCAGGCTTGGGAAAACAAATCTAAAACTGAAATTGAAGAGTTTTAGCAGTTGGTTTAAAAAGCTTTAACACTTAAAAGAACCTTCCCAAACCTAAGGAAAGAGATTTTGGGATAAATAATTGAGGGTCCAAGATGAGTAACTCTAACTCAAAGGATTCTCAATTTCAAGATTGTGTGTTATACAAAATTATTCTACTTGTGCACGCATACTTGCTTTCCTAAATGCGACCTCAGTCAGAGAGATGATGACTACCTACAAACTAAATGAACAGGAACATGAACATGGTTTTGTACACAACAAGAAAGAGAGAGAAATTTGAAGATATGAGTCTGCCTTAAATTTAATTAAGCATCATCAAGAAATGGCCATAAAAAAATCGGATTTTAACCAAATACTATGAAATGTAGCAAATTAAAGTACTTTAAGACAGAAGAAAAAATATGGTAGACGACACATTAAAGAAGGAAATGGATTGCGAAATGTGTACTTGCTCCGACAATCAGCACATTCCCTGTTTTGCGGCAGCTTAAGGAGACCTTCTAAAATCTGGACGCACATGTAACAACACAGCAGACAGAATAATTGCAATTGTAATAGATGAACGTCAAATAATAAAAAAAAGTTGAAACAGAAAAAGAAAGGAGACCTTGGAGTGTTTGGCGTTGAGCTCCTTGGAAACGGAGGCTTTGTCATTCATTGTTGATTGCGAGTGTGCCTCCCCTCGTTACTGTGTTGGTTTGGTTGATATGGAACCTGAAACAACAACAACACAATAACACATAGACAACAGAAGCAACGCGGAGAGAGAGAGAGGCAAGCAGACAGACAGACAGACACAGATTGAGTCTTGAATGAAGTTAGAGGCTCAACAAATTCCAAGGGGAATCGGTTGGCATTCCTTAAAACACGCCACATTCAGTGTTACTTCAATTTCCATTTTCCTTCCAACTATACCATATATATATATATATACTCATTCTATTCTATAAATCTATTTGAGCTTTGAATTTTGACTGACCATCTCACCTCAAAAAGCAAGCATTATGCCCTGCTACTCATTCAACAACAGAATCCAGATGACAAATTTATAGTTGTAAAATTATAACGCATATTTCTGAAAGAGATTGGTATTTCAATTTCAAAGTTCGACTCAGTAAAAATGCATACATCATCTGATAAATCGATTCATAAAAGATAGAACGAGAAACCCTCATAAACAGTGACAAGGAAGGAAATAGCAGGTGGAAATTGGAATGGCTTATTTAGGGCCAATCTCTTGGGGAGTCTTGGCCACAATAGACAGCGCATGGAGACCAGACTGGAGCTCGTCGGCTAAGGCGTCGTACACCATGCGGTGTCGTTTCACCAGGCTCTGCCCCTCGAATTTTGGGGACACGACCTTGAGGTTGAAGTGCGTTTCGCCATCCTTGTTGTTAGCGTCCGCCCTCATGGCGGCGTGGCCTGCGTGCTGATGCGACACGTCTTCTATCTCCAAAACGCTCGCTTCCAACGCCGTCTGCAATTTCGTCCTCATTCTGCTCGCTCGAGACAGCTGCAAAACCTTCGCTCCTCCCCTTGAACCCATTTTTCTTTTTCTTTTTTCCTTCCTTCCCTATACTCACTCCAGCTGCAGCACAAACACAATACTCACACACTAACTCAGTCAGGAGGTTGAGGTTGGGGTTGAGGCTGTGCATTCACTTAATAATTCTTTTACAGATATATAAAAAATGGAAGAAAATAAAAACAAAGATTAAAAAATGGAAGAAAAAAAAAAAGTCTGCGGTGAGCGTGGATCGAACACGCGACCTTCAGATCTTCAGTCTGACGCTCTCCCAACTGAGCTATCCCCGCAATTGTTGACACTTAATGAATGATAGACTTATTTATCTCTAACATAACAGAATGTACAAGCCAACAAACAGAAGAATAACCATATGAAAAAGAATAAGACTTCAATATATTCGTATATACGAATCATACACCCGTAATTTCAAATTCAACGGGGCATGTTTATTAGTTAATTAAATCACAGTATATATACATAAGTGTAAGTGTAACATGATGATCACGAGTTTGAATCTAGTTTTGGAAACAAATAACTAATAGGAATAGGAATATGGGTGTCCATGTTTGTAATATTTGACAACATATGCCCCGAAACCAAAAGCGACCACCGCCACCGCCACCGCCACCCCAAGCTTGAAAGCAACATCTTTTCCCACTAATTTGGATCTTGAAAGTAAAGCAGTACTGGTACCACAAGAAGAAGTCCTTTGGCCTTTACATTCATTATCATTATTATTATTTTTGTAATCACTTATTTGGTCTTTAATTGTAGTTTTGGCTTGTTGAAGATGATCAGCTGGTACCACTAGTTTTTCCTTTTGAGTACTAGTAGTAGTGTTCTTGGGAGGACTGGAAATGTGGACGTTGGAAACTTTCTGAGGCATCGTAACTGTAAGAACTCCTCCCGCAAGCTTGGCACGAACTTCATTTGGATCGCAGTTCTTGTCTGCAAGTTTGATTTCTTTGTGGAAGCGGCTCCATGTGTTCATGAGACTCAGGGGACGCTCTCCATGGATTGTAAGAATCCCCAAATTATTGGTTTGGACCTTGAGGTGTTCCTTTCTGAAACCTGATATGACAGTCACACACGCACATCATCGTCCATTATCACTACATTAATTCATTATATATAAACCCTTGGTTAGCTATATAAACCCAATACAAAATCTAATTTACTAGCTAGTACAAATTACAAATACATACCATCTGGAAGATGGATCTCAACCGTGTCGGGCTTATTCCATTTGCAGTAGGGTTCAAAGTCTTCATAAATACGTTGGGGTTCAGCTCCGGCGTTGTTTTCCATGGTAATATCTAGACTTTAGAACACAAGAATTAATGTCTGGATATGTATATATATATGTTAGAGAAATATTAATTCTTGATAATAAGGAAGATCTATCTAAGGCTTGTCTCTATGTCTCTATTTATACTCCCCATTTTTTGTTGGGGAATGAATGAATACAAAGGCGCCAAGCTAACTATATAGCTAGCTGATATTAGACGTTTCTTATGGTTGTCCTTTTAAGAGAGAAAGAGAATCATTCTTTTTTTATTTCCTAAGGTTTCTGGATTGCTTCTGTGCCTTCTTCATTTCAAGAATATTATTCAGGGAAGGGAACTCTTTCTTCAGAGTCCATGTTCATCTCCTCGCTTGCAAAGGTACTGCTACTGTCTTCTTTCATATGCAATACATTTTTACCTTCATCTTTTGGCAACATGCACATGTAGTTGCGCGTCGGAAATGTTATGTAGCTATAAAGAACAATTAAAAATAAAAATACTGAGTCTATCCCAATGAAAAAGGGAATCCCCACTACTATGGCATCGTAGTTGTGTGTGTGTGAGAAATCCTCATCCTCTCTAGTTTATATTATAGCTTGTACTCCAGTAAAAAGAAATGTAAAAATACCCTTGTGTTGGATGTGAAGTGGATTATGAGTTGTACGACTATTGGTCAAACCAATGTAGCCGCTTCATTGCAACCGAATTCAAACGCCCCTATAAATTTAGACAAGAAATATTAATCTCATATTATTTTTATGTAACAAAGTAACAAGTTTTTTTTTTTTGCTAAAATCCGGTGTCAAAGGTTGGACTAGGGCTAGAAGCTGTAGAAATGATAGACCATGTGTGTAAATCATCACGTTAGACAAAAAAATTTAAATTAAGTAGATAGATGCTCCGCCCGCGCCCAGGTAGTCGTGCTCTTTTTGGAGACACATTTACGCTTGCCGCATCAAAATCCACACACATCTTGGCCACAGAGGAAGAGACTTACTCCCACTTGTTGCGTACATGTGGCCAAACCTCTAACTTACCCCATGGCAGAGCAATTCATGCAAAACTCATCAAGGGCTCTCTGCCCTTTTCGCCTTTTCTTCAAAATCATTTACTCAACATGTATGCTAAATGTGGCGATCTTAGCAATGGTCTCCAACTGTTTGATGAAATGCCTCACAAGAATGTTGTGTCGTGGTCTGCGGTTATTACGGGCTTTGTCCAACATGGCTGTCCTAAAGAAGCCCTATCTTTGTTTGGTCGTATGCACCAGGATGGCACGACCAAGCCCAATGAGTTTACCTTGGTTAGCGCGCTCCACGCATGTTCCTTGTATGGCAATCTGACTCAAGCTTACCAAGTTTACGCATTCATAGTTCGCCTAGGATTCCAGTGGAATGCTTTCCTGATGAATGCATTCTTGACTGTTTTAGTAAGACAGGGGGAATTAACAGAGGCTTTGAAAGTGTTTGAGAATTGCCCCAATAAAGATATTGTGTCTTGGAATGCTATCATGGCTGGCTACTTGCAGTGTTCTTATTTGGAAATACCAAACTTCTGGTGTCGTATGAATCGCGATGGAGTGAAACCCGACGGCTACACATTTTCGAGTGTTCTCACTGGGTTGGCTGCTCTCACTGATCTTAAAATGGGTGTCCAGGTTCATGCACAGCTTGTCAGGTGTGGTCATGGGGCTGAGATGTGTGTGGGGAACTCTTTGGCTGATATGTACATTAAAAATCATAAGTTAGTGGATGGCTTCAAAGCCTTTGATGAGATGCCTTCAAAAGATGTGTGTTCATGGACACAAATGGCTGCCGGGTGCCTCCAATGTGGGGAACCAAGCAAAACGCTTGAGATTATTGCTCAAATGAAGACAGTGGGTATAAAGCCAAACAAGTTCACGCTTGCAACTGCCCTGAATGCCTGTGCCAATTTGGCTTCCTTGGATGAAGGGAAGAAATTCCATGGCTTGAGAATTAAACTCGAAACTAGTACTGATGTTGATGTGTGCGTGGATAACGCTCTGCTAGACATGTATGCAAAATCTGGATGCATGGAGGGTGCATGGTGTGTTTTTCAGTCAATGAAGGATCGTTCTGTGGTGTCATGGACCACAATGATCATGGGGTGCGCACAAAATGGGCAAGCTAGAGAAGCTCTTGACATTTTTGATAAGATGAGGCTGGAGGAAGGTGTTGAGCCAAATTACATCACCTTCATATGCCTGCTTTATGCGTGTAGCCAAGGAGGGTTTATTCATGAAGGATGGAAGTATTTTGCCTCCATGACTCATAACCATGGAATCTCCCCCGGAGAAGACCATTATGCATGCATGGTGAATCTTCTAGGCCGAGCTGGACGTATAAAGGAAGCTGAGCGATTAATCTTGAACATGCCCTTTAAACCAGGTGTTCTGGTTTGGCAAACTTTGCTTGGTGCTTGTCAGGTTCATGGCGATACAGAAACTGGAAAGCGTGCAGCAGAGCATGCATTAGATATAAACAGAACAGACCCATCAACGTATGTATTACTGTCAAACATGTTTGCTGGTTTGAGCAACTGGGACAGTGCTGGGATGCTGAGGAAACTAATGGAGTCTAGGGATGTAAAGAAATTGCCTGGATCCAGTTGGATTGAAATAGAAAAAGGCCTCTGACCAACTCTAGCCCTCAAAAGATTTGCTTGAAATGCAATGGAGTGACGGGGGACGACCAACTTTTTTTCAATCTACTGTGAGATGGAGTAATGAACCAACTCTAGCCCTCAAAAGATTTGCTTGAAATGAAATGGAGTGACTACACTGAGATCGAGTAATGAACTATATTGTCTTTAAAGACTCTTCTTTCTTTGTATTTGATTTCTTTCTTCGCGGTAAGCCTAGTCGTCATATGATCTGTGATCGCGATTCTGGCAAAATTTGATTTCATTCCTTATTCAAACTCAAGCACTCGTCTTGCAACGGAAATTCAACTATGGGCCGACTACTTCTTCACGGATCAGAGCCTCTTTGAGCCTTTCCTTGGAGCTTAATCGGCCCCCATATTCATCAGTTTTCAAGCCCAGTAAGGCAAAGAAATAGGAAAAACTATAAAAAGTAGACCCTCCATACGTCCAACACTTGTGCAATTGATGGATGGGCATTAAGGAGTTCCTCGTTATAATTTAGAGTATCCAATTAAAGGAAGATCGCCGCTCCAACATATTTTTTTTGTTCTTGAGGGATGTTAACTGAAATCTATTTCAGGATTTTTGTGAAAACTTTGGTAGAGTTTCATAATTATGAGTGGGCATCAAACCAACCAAACTGTTCAAATTGACTCCAATATGACAAGTTTGGTTCGGTTTCAACACCAAACAAGTGTAATTTTACACTGAACTGAATTGATCGTGATTAGTTTGGTTTTATTTGATTTAGCCTTTATGAAATTCGCCTATCCCAAATCAAACCACTTATGCTAATTTTATTTATTTTTGGCGCTAGACATTTTTCTTATTGGTTATTACCACTAGCCTTTTCGCACGCTCTTCCGAGCCTGCGAGAGACTTTTAACAAAATTTTAAATTTATTTTAGCTATACTATTATGTTTCATTATAGACATTGATATATCAACCTTTAAAGTAATGAGAGATTTAGAAATTATAATGATGGATGCAATGTTCGTTTTACATGTGTTCAAAAAATTATCCAGATTGTCAGGTTGATGATTTTGGCTCCTTAAGATTATAAGTAAGAAATTTTTGATGTGTTTGTTTCAATTTTCAAGTGTAGAATTGTTGTGTTTCATTTTGCATGACTATTAAATTTGAAAAGTGTGTAAATACAAGTTCTAAAAAATGAAACAATAAAAGTAATTTATAGCTTTATATTAGGTAACAATCACTATAGGTAAATAAAAAAAAAAAAAAAAAAAAAAAAAAAAAAAAAAACAAAAAAAAGGCTTAAATTCCCTAAACCACAAACCCTAAACCATTAATAATTAATTAGTTTTATCATAATTTAGAGATGAAACTAGCCCAAACATGATCATGCCCTCTTTTTTTAAGAAAATGATAATTCATTAATCAAGCATCAGAACATAAGAGTTGGCATGTAAGAGCACTTCCAGTGGTAGTGCTAACCTGGGCAAAAGGCCCCCTAGGTTCCCAAAACCCATTCCAGCAATGAAATCTAGCCCGGGAAAATGGTGGGCTCTATTAAGACTGGACAGCCTCGAAGACAAGAATAACCCAAGTTGTTACATGAGGGCTGTGATATTAGTGACAAAAATAATTTAAAAAAATATAAAAAATTTCTGGAAAATTACCAAAAAATACATAATATTTTTTGATACATACCTAGCAATTTTTTAATTATTAATCTCATACATATAAATAAAATTAATTCCAGTAGTAATTGCTCTTGGGTTGTCATGATAATGAGTGGAAAAGCAACAAAAATATTGCTATGGTATATACCATTCATGTGAACATTAACCGCCCTTATTTGCCCTTGTCTTTTTGTCATAATAAATGGGTGACAGGGCTCTAAAAGGAAATAAATTACACGTAAATAAATAAATTACATGTAATGTTAAAAAAGAAAGAAGACAAAAGAAAAAGGAAAATTGCCGTTGTTTGTGGATAGATAGGGAAAAGTGGGAAAAAAAAATTTGTAACTTAAAAACCATATAGGACGTAAATAAATTTGTGTCATATTAGGACTGTGAGTCCGCTCCTAGTCACCCTCATCCGTCGTATACTCGTATATCGGCGTACACTCGCGAACAACGCCTAAACACTCACCATTCATCCATTTATTATTTATTTCAACTTTCCACAATCTCTCTCTCTCTCTCTCTCTCTCTCTAAAATCCCTCCCTCCCTCCTTCAGTTTCAGGTCTTCCTCGTTTCGTCCTCCATATAAATCGCTCGCCTATCCTCTCTGTCGAAACTCTCTTTCTTTCTCAATCAAAGCGACATGTCGTCCTCGGGCGGCAACTCCGGCAGTGTTGGTGGCCCGATCGCTCCTCCTCAGCTTTACTTTTGCCACCAGTGCGATCGTACGGTTTCCCTCAACCCTCCACCTACCTCCGATCTCGTTTGCCCTATTTGCAGTGGTGGTTTCGTCGAAGAGATGGAAACCCCTAACCATAACCCTTTCCCCCCCAATCCCTTCTTCTCCGTCCCCTCCTCCGACGCTCCTCCCTTCGCCTCCAGCGGCTTTCCCTTCCTCTTCTCCGCCCCCGGCCCTGGAAATTTCTCCGACGATCTCTCTGCCCTCTTCGGCGGCGCACCCGCACGCTCTTCGCCGTTTCAGGACCCCGACGCCTTCAACCCCTTTGTGTTCCTTCAAAACTATTTGCAAACCCTAAGAGCAAATGGTGCCAATGTCCAGTTCGTGATCGATAACAACCCCGGCGCCGGGGGGGACCCGGCAGGTTTTCGCGTCCCCCAAAATCTTAATCTCGGCGACTACTTCTTCGGCCCGGGCCTCGAGCAATTGATCCAGCAGCTCGCGGAGAACGACCCAAACCGGTACGGCACGCCACCCGCTTCGAAATCCGCGGTGGAGGGCTTGCCGGTTGTGAAAATCTCAAAGGAGTTGTTGGATTCCGATTCGTCCCAGTGCGCTGTGTGTAAGGACTCGTTCGAGCTCGGCGAGGAGGCCAAGCAGATGCCCTGTAAGCACATATACCATTCGGATTGCATTCTGCCTTGGCTGGAATTGCACAACTCATGTCCTGTTTGTCGCTACGAGTTGCCCACCGATGATACTGATTACGAGCAGAGGCTTAGCGGGGCCTCCGCCAATGCCAATCGAGCTAATCAATCTGCGGCGGCTGGTGGGGTCAATATTTTTGCCGGAGTTGGTGGTGGGAGTGGGAATGGGAGTGGGAGTGGGATTGGGATTGGGATTGGTGCGCCATCTCTAGACAATCAGAGTCCAACTCCCCGAACGGTGGAGCGGAGATTTACCATCTCCTTGCCACGCCTTTTCAGGGTATTTGGTGGTTCTGCTGAGACTAGTAATAGTGGGAGTGGAAACAATGATGAGTCAAACTCGGGAAATAGGGGAGGTCATAACTCTGGATCGGAGGAGCCTAGGCATGAAGATCTTGATTAAACACAATTGGTATTGCACTTGCTACCATACACATTCATTTTTGTCTTCCATTTTGTTTCTGTTGTATGTCATTCAAAGAGAATCATCATTTACTCGTTTCATGCTTGCATCAGTAGTTTAACTGATACATATTGGGAATTTTTCTTATAATTGCGCTTCATGTGAAATGCTTGACTAATATTGACAAATATACTTGTATCTGTACTTGAATTTTTATGTTGATTACTTAAGAGTTAGACCTTTCATGTTGCAAATTTGCAACTCTATTTTACCTTAGTGACATTGTTTTGCTTGAGTTATCTGTAGATGTTGCTTCAAAAAAAGTTATATGTAGCTGATTAATGGGGGAAGAATGACATATGATGGTCTTTAAAGGTTTGGTGAAAGGAAAAGCTATTATACGGAGTTGGGGCATATTTTTAACAAAAGCATGAAGTTATAGCAACAACATGCAACCAACCAATGATATGACTTAAAATACATGTACCTATAAATTGTTTCTGAATTACCATGAGATAAAGTTGTATGTACTGTGTAGTAAAAAGACAAAGAAGTACAGTAGAGCTCCTTTCATGTTAAACTCCCAACAAACCCCCACAATCATATATTAGCCCTCTTTGAACTAGTAAATGTCAATTAAATAATGCATACAGAATAATTCTAGAAATCATACCATAGTCTATCAGTGGTAACACACAGAAATGCCACACTAACTGTTACACGGAATTATTGATATTCTCGATATGTATCATATCTGCCATCTTGCAATGTGGGTATGAATCATCCGTATCTTATGAAACAGTTGTAAGAGGTGACTTTCATGACATTTGTAGGATATTGTATGATATCCTAGACAGTAAGATACTTATTTTTAGGAGAGATAGGAGAGAGATCTACAAGGTGCATAATTACCACTTCCATGACAGACTAAGTTTTATTATGTCCCAAGGCATTATTGATCATCCTCTGCTACAGGAGGTTTATGTGGTCTAAACTCCTCGAATACTCCTTAATCTTTGTAGGATTGATCGTTCCCCATATCTAGTGACTGGGATGTTCTTTTGTTGTGTTGCTCAGATGTCCCCTGCCCAGAGCAGTCGTAAATCACATCCTGATAATGTTTGATTAGGGGATCAGCAGTTATCATAGTCCCCTCAGAATTGAGAATATGTGGCTTATCGTTCCTGATTTCAATGACAAAATCAAGTTGGGTGTCAGGGTTATGTGGTAGAGGTTGTTCCCAGTTTTTGCTTTTATTGGAAGTCCAGCTTTTGAAGCTAAATCTCAAAAAAGTCGAGAGAGATGAGGTTGGACGTATAGTTATGACTTATGATAATTTAGATACATTGACTATTGGAATCATTTGATGCATCAGATTCTTGCTAGGAGCATACTTGTTGCTGTCAAAATCAGCTGAACTTGTGTGCTGATGAGATTTTATAAGGTGTTCCATTTCAAAGAGTTGGACCACGGAATGTTTGTTTTTTGTTTCATCCGAATCTAGGATAATTAATGACTGCATTATGTGAATCCAGCATAGAAAGCATATTTTGGTTCTCTTTTGCTTTTTAACCGTCTTGTTTGTGTGCGGTCTTGTGTACTATGAGTATGTCTGAATGACTTAAGGTTTTTTAGCACAAGCCATACATAACAAAGTTCTTTTGTTCTACTTTATTGAAACTTGAGGAATCAATATGGAGCCCTGGTTGGATCATTTTGACTGAATATTTTACTATATTTGCAGCAATTTATGCATATAATTCGTTTAATTTATCATGTATAATTGTTTTACATGCAGTAGGTGATTTAGTTACTCTAAGTTGTAAGACATTTTGCGTGTGTTTTTTTTTCTTCTGGCTTGATATGTGTTGAGTGCAGTTTTGCCTTGCCTTTTTAACCCCCCCCCCTCTCTCTCTCTCTCTCACATGTTATAGTTTTTATGAAGATTTCAATTAAAAGGTAATATTCTGTCTTTTTGGTAGGTGCAATGAGCAGCATGGATCTGCAACCATTGTTGAACAAAGAAAGATCTTATACATTAACAGTTAGTGACAGTTGCTTTTTAAAATATTTTGCCCTGATAATCATAGGTAAAATGCTGTTGTTAATGTCGTTGTTGCGAATTCTTTTATAGGTTCATCATCATTTTGTGCGAATTTGATGTGCATTATCAGCGTTGTGTTGTGTCCTGTAAAAAATTTCCATTTGGGTACCATGGTAATTTTTGGATGTCGTCTGTAATACGTGGTCTTGTTTCTTCTTCTACTACAAGGGGGCTTATTTGAGTTGAGAGGTGTCGTCAAGTGCTGTATCTATTTTCTTTCGTTTTATTCTCCATTTTGCGCACATGCACATGCACATGCACATGCCGACCCTTTTAAAAAGAGGCATTGCTTGCTGCAAGCATCCTTCTTGTGGTGGTGATGCATTGTGCATAAACATAATAATACGCATAAATAAATAAATAAATACTGCTCTGCTCGCTGGGGCCTTTTCTTTTCCATCTTTTATCTAGGTTTCCTTGTTTCTCGCACCCTCTCCCGCTCCCGCTCGCTCTCCCTCCCCTTGCTTAAAAAAGCCTTTCCAAATGAAACAATGAGCCATTCGACCGAAAAAAAAGTGAACCAGAGCCAAAGAGGATTTGACTGACTCACTGTTTTCTTTTTTTTCTTTTTTTCACTGGGCTACTCGAATTAGAGGACTGCAATTTGATGCTATCCGTTTCGTTTATGTAAAAGATAAAACTTGGGTGGTGGGATATCTTATTCCTCGCCAAAAGAAAAAAGGCAAGAAGGAAAAATTCGGTAGTTTATTTATTGCGTGGCAGGAAGCAGGAAGGAAAACTAGAAAAAAGAAGAGCTTGGACACCTGGCGGCTAGAGACAATTTTACTAGTATGATATGATATGTACACAGTACATGTCAGTCAGACGATTTTACACATAATTTAAAATTATATAGTAGCCAATCAGTGTTCAGTCTAATAACACTCGTAGTCGACTTTCTTTGAAGAAATCGCTTCAAATTTCGCTGACGATAAAATTGATTTATTTAATAATTATTTAGGGTTTGTTTGGTATTATACTATAAAAAAAAAAAAATTCAAAAATTATGATTTATTTTTAAAATATGAGTTTTTAAAATTTAAAACTTGTTCGGTATTGAACTCCAAACTATTTTTTAAGATCTAAAAAAAATTGAAATTAAAATTAGAAACTCTAAATTTCCTAATTGAAATTTATTAAAAAATAATAATAATAAGAGAAGAGGAGAGAGGAGAGAAGGATGCGTGCTGCCTAAGTTTACTAGGAAAGAAATGAAGAGAGACACGAGAGAGAGAACGGGACTCGGGGGAGTGCAAATAGAGAGAAATTTTTTTTTAAACCTCACTTTTTTTGTTTTTAATAATGAGGGTGTTTTTGAGTTTTGTTTGTTTGTTTGGGTTTTCAAAAATGGGCGTATCAAATGGGTTTTTATGACTTTGGACTAAATATTTGTTTTGAAGTTTATAAAATTGAATCTAAATAGGATATCAAAGGAGCCCTAGCGACAGACATTCATATTATGTGCTAGTAAGTTTTGATTTAGTAAATGGTAATACCATAAATATTAGATTTCAAATTGCATTAGTCCATCCACTTCCACTAGATGTATGCATAAATGATTTTAAGTCATTTTGTTCTCAAAAATTGAAATCTTGCGTGATATATCATATCATCAAATAAGTACAATAAATAAAAGAAAAATAAAAAAAACAAGGACGGAAACGGAATATACATTACAATTTTACATACGAGATGAGGTGGAGGTGGGGGCCGCAAAGAGGCAGAGTCGTTTGTTTGCGTGACTGTATTGAGGGAGAGTCTCCCTTTTAATGTATGGAATAAAATATCATAAAAATGAATGAGTGCTGCTAAGCTGAGCTGAGATGTGTCGGTAGTCGGTATCTCTCTCTTGCCCGCTGTCTTCCTCCTCCTCTCTCCTCTCTCCTCTCTCCTCATCCTTCAAGTCCTCAACTCAACTGTATCATTCCGCGTCAGGGGAAATACATACAAAATTAATATAATACTTTACCATTTCTATCTTTTTATGTTCACAAATCTCACAGCTCTCTTCTCTTCTCTTCATTTTCTTTGGGGGAGTTTTTTTTTTTTGCTGTTGGGGGCGGCGTTTTTTTTTTTTTTTTTTTTTTTTTTTTTTTTTTTTTTTAAATGCTGATGCTGCTTCTCCCGGACAGGAGAAGCATTTGACTTTTATGTAGACTCCATTTTTTTTAGTTTAATATTTTAGTTCTGTATGTATGGATCTGCTTTTGTGTCTCTTTCTTTTCTAAAACTCTTCTCAAGAAAGAAACCAAAGATTGGATTTGAGGGCAGCAGCAGCAGCTAATTAAGCTATAATATATACATATAAATACAACAAAGGGAAGAGATCGGGGAAGAATGTCTCCTTCGAATACAAGGTCGGTGGAGAATGGCAATAACGGAGGAGGAGGAGGAGGAGGAGGAGGAGGAGGCAAGAATTTCATAGAGCACCAAGTCTCCAAGATGGACACGCTTGCCGGCGTTGCCATCAAATACGGCGTCGAGGTTTCTAATTTTTCTCTGAAATCCCCCTGCTATATTTATATATGCTCTACTCAAATCCTGTCGTTAAATTAATTTGTCTCTGTTTTCAAATCCTGTCTTTAATTAGTTCGTTCCCTGGCTCTGATTATTTCCCGCTCTATTACTATTAGTTCTAGTCTATTGCTTCCTATTATTGCTATCATCAGCTGCAGCTTCATGCCCTCTTCTTCTTGGTCTTGTTCTAAGTTTCTCACTTTTCTTTAATGGTCTCGTGCTATTGCTAAAGGGTAAATGCTGATGATGCTTTGTAAATTTGTAATGAAACAAACAGGTGGCTGACATTAAAAGGATGAATGGGTTTGCTACAGATCTTCAAATGTTTGCTTTGAAGACTTTGAAAATACCTTTGCCAGGAAGACATCCGCCATCTTCCCCTCTTTCTCTACGGTAATCAACATCTTCTCAATTCTTTCCCTTCCATGTTCTCTCATTTTATCCCGCCTTCCGCTTCTGTTCTACCCTCTTTCTTCTCAACTCCAATTCCAAACAATCTATAAGCATGAAATACCAACAACAAAACGATAATATCAAATGTTACTATTACTTACATTTTCACATGCTACCTTTTCCATTGCAACTATAATACATCCACCGAAGCATCACCCTAAACATGCTATAGTTCTACACCGGTCCTGCCTCTATATATGTAATCCATATCTAATGTACATCTGTTATTGCTGAAAAAAAAACTGAGGTAGAATTTGTAATCTGCAATTCTAAATTCCCACTGTTTCTGGTAGCTGGATGTTCAAGTGCATCAATCGATCTTAGTCTGTATTTATAAACATCAGTTAGCTTATAGTTTCTATGTCTTGCTGCAGAGAAAACAACACTGAAAAATCCACCCCATGTCTTGGCCAAGCTATTGTGCTAGAACCATTCCGCTCCGTGGGTTCAAAAGCTCCCAAAGAGAAAGTCACTCCAGCAATGAGCACTTTACAAAAATACTATGGTCTAAGATCTCCAAATTTGAGGGATACAGCTGAAGGCATGGAGATGGCAGTCTACAGAAGTCGAAGTTCAGAATACGTCAATGATGAGGTGCTCTCACCATTGTCTGAAAGTCACCCTAACAAGTCTAGGCATTCTTCAATTGATCTTTTAGCTGAGAATGGTGCAATGGCTGATTATACGCCCCTTGCAGAACCTGGAAATGGGGAAGGTGAGAAATCTGATGAGAAATCGGTCCGAAGGCGTCAGAAAGCTGAAGTTGATAATGGTACTGGTACACCAGAAAGGCTGTTAAAAGGGGAAAACAGTGGTGGGAGCAGTGGTTTCTCTTCTTCAACAGGAAATGGTTTAGCCATGAGGCAGAAATCAGCAAGCCGAGCAGTACTGCAATCTGATTCAGAGTCAGGATGGTTGAACTCCATTCCAGTGGGATTAGGCGATTCTATCATGACTGACGAAATGGCTGTCGTTCGTAAATCATCAAGCACATCAAGCTTAAAAGACCAGGAGAGTAATAACACAGCATCAGTTTGGCCAACGTCAAGGTGGAGCTTGAAACAAGACTTGCAAGCTCTCTCAACTGCAACGATGGCTAGACCAATCTTTGATGGCTTACCGAAGCCAATAACTGGCCGCTGGAAAGCTGCCCTTGATTAGAGAAATTCATTTGCACTTTGATATAGATGATTTGTTTCCTTGCACTAGATCCAATGGGCTGAAATATCTCAGCTACAAAATTCGCCAAAGTTATACATGATATAGCTGCAGTAAAATCAGAGGGGGAGAAATATAGAAGGAGAATACAGTAAATAAAGATTTATTTTCAACTATTGGATGATAATGATATGCGGCCATATGCTAAATAGCATTTCAAGTCTGAAGCAGTAGCTGCAGCAGCTTGAGAAAAGCTGTAATGGAGATGGTATGTGACCAAATTATTTATTATTTTGTTATTCTTGTGATGTGTTACTTTGAATCAAAAAATAGCAATCCCACTTGGACTGGGAATTTAAGTTAAGGTCGGTCATGTTATCTTAATAAAGGTAGTAATGTCAAGCTGTGCATTACAGTACAATTGTATCATCGCTTGCTTATTGGCAATGGAGATTGAAAATTTTTTTTGGCACAACACTCTGACTTACACTAATGCCTTTTCCCTTAACCTTTTAGCTTGTGAAAATCACTAGTGCTTTTTTCCATGAAAGGCGATATTGAAACAATGAAAGAAAATGGTAATGGGTTGGTTTGTTTACAATACAGATGTGTTCCTTGCGATTGATGTTGTGTGGGCTGTAGATACTGAATTAATCCATCAATGGTTGGCTATTGCCTTGTATTGTAATTTACAGGTTCCTTCAAGTAAGGTTTCATTTCATGTGAAGCCCAATCCGAGCTTGCTTTGTGGCACAGGCATGTAAGGTTTTAGGTCGTTTCTTTCGGTGAAATAACCAGAACCAGCCAATTGTTCATTAGAAGAAATCAACTTTCAAGTTTTAATTGACATTCAGCAATCAGCAGCATCAAATCATTATCAACTCAACTGATCAACAATAACATATCACAACCGACCTCTGCTCTGTTTTGTAGAATGTAGATCACAATAAAACAAGCAAGCAACCACCCATGGGGGACAAAGATTGAGGGGGCATTACATATATATTATATATGTTTGTTTATCACAGATCCTAATTCCTCCTCCCAACTCCTAAAGAATTATGAAATCACAGATCCAGATTTGTGAAACCAATCACTCTTCACTGGATTGAACAACTAGAAAGAAAGTATGATTCTACGATTCATCACAACAGACGTTGTTTTGATGGCCCGAAGGTGAGGGGTGATGCTGATGGTGGTGATCCTCATCATCGCTGTCGTCTTCGTCGAAGGGTTTCTGCTTGTGGAAGATGCAACACTTTTTGGAGCTCTTCTTCTGCATGAACTCGTTGTCCACCGTCCCCTCCTTCCATGTCACTTGCTTCTTCTTCTTCCGATTCAGCCGCAAAACCAAAGCTTCCGATTGCGATGATGCTGATGCTGATGCCGATGCCGATGCCGATGCCGATGCCGATGCCTCGGGATTCTCAAGGGTGATGGTGGTCGTCACGCTCCCGCTCGTTATCGGTTGTGCTCTGCTGCCGCTGCTCATGCTTCGATGATTTCTTCGCAATCGCAAATCGCCCAATCGCTTGGCGTTTGTCCCGTTTACCTCGTTACCAGGTCTTAAACATCCGTCCGTGTGACCGTCGCTTATCTTTTACCTTATTTATTTATTTTTTATTTTTTATAATAAATGTTTTTAGGGACTACTACTAATGATAATTGCTTTTAAATTTATGGACCTCTACCTATTGGTACTTTTCTTTTTTACGGAAATAAATTCTTATTCCTGGGGCTCTGTCCCTTTGTTTAAATTTTTTTTAAAAAAATAAATAAAAATAAAATCTTAAAACCCTCAACACAATGCCGACAAGTACATTTTCTACATGTTGCGGGGAGCTCCAAGGGCTATGGTGGTGGATTTACCAATTTTGTAACTTTCATTACTTCTTTTTGGTGAGGCTTTAAAACCGTGTGATCACATAAGTTACCAACGCATTTCACCCAGCGCAATATTTCCCAAAGTAAAAAGGATTACAAGTTCATGAACAATTCATTTGAAAGAAATACAACCCTTTTAAGAAAATTCGTCGGAGAACTACTAAATGTAAATGCATGCATTGAAAAGAAAATAAAAGAGAGAAACAAGAGAGCTTCTTACAATTTTACTTCATTGTAATGGAAAACCAGCAACCCACATGGACTAGCGTAATGTAGAGTTTAGGGCAGTACAAGCATTCAGGTGTTCTTTGCATTTTACTTTTTTTTTCCCTCCCCAAAATGTATTCCTCCTGTTGCAGTAATGATGGTAAGGCACTAAATTTATCATGAGATTTAAAGTTAAAATTAAAATTGCTCAAATGTTACATTGTGAATCTTATCTATGTCTCAACGATACAATGAACAAAACCGTTGTAATTAACCGAGGCAAAAAAGACCGCAAATCCATTTAGGGGGTTCCCGATCATATCAGTAAAGAGCCTTGAGTGCCACAAACCAACCCTAAAGGAAATCCATACGCTTTACTTACTATCACTAAAAACTATATTTCAAGACTCCAAGCTCTCAGGCTTTCATCTACCATGTTCAATTACTGTCTTTTCTGTAGCAGCAGCAAGAGAGATAGATCTACCACCTATTATTAGGTGGTTTGACTTTGTAAATACGAACAATCCAATTAGATGTTGTGAATGCCTCTTCCAGATGTTCAAGTTTGATATCCTTATTTCCAATTTCAACCCCCCGTGCACGATCATACCTGTCAAAAGCCCGCAACAAAAAACCAAAAAATTAAATAAAAAATAAAAAATCAGCAATTTGACATGAAAATTCCAGACTTGATACACCTAATGCACTGGAAACAAATAACCTATTCAAGACACATGAAACTTACCCAGGTGGTTTGCCATACTCTGTCGTCAGCTCTCCAAATCGATAGTAAGACAGCTTGTACCTAATCGCCAACAAAATTGAAAAACAAATCATTTTTGTACACAACTTGACATCATACAAAGAATGGAACATCAATAGTATAATAATTTCCCAAATAAATAATTCACTGAAGGATCTAAGATTAATTTTAAGTGAGAAAGCACCCAGTAAATCCCACATTAGAACCAGTGGTCCAGCAGAATGAAACTCCATTTACTTTCCGTTATAGCTTGCTTACATCAATCAGTAGGCATTAGGGATTGCAACCCAAAACATTGTCAACACAATCATCTCTTTGACAAATTTCAAGCAAATGTAATATGTTAATTTAGTTTAAAGAAGAGTATGTTACGCTATTACAAAAAGTTTGAGAGAATTCATTCATAAAAGAACAACCATAATCATATGCTCCAGCATAAAAAGCTCATTTTATAATAATTTTATTTTCTTTCTCCCCCACAAATATGCACAAATTGTTCTGGTTTACAGAACTCCTTTGGACACCAGTGCCTTTTGTTTTACTATGTTGATAAAATGAAGTAAGGTGTCGTTGGGAAAAATATGAAATTATGTGTTAAGAATTCTTAAATGCACCTACACATGACATAAGTTTACACATCTTAGCTGTGTGATGAAACTTACATGAGGCAGTTCAACATCTTGGGTGCAGCACCTTTGTCAACCCGATATTCACCATTAACGAGGTAATCGGGCTCCTTAATCACAGGAAACACTCCACCCCCAATTCTCACCATCCACAGAAATCTAGCATGGACAAATTGTATTACTATATAATGAAAGCAGAATGACAACACCCAAAATATTACTTCCAATTAAATTGAACAAAAGGGTTCTGAAAATGAATCAGAAATATTGATAGAGTTAAGAGAAACACACAAGCATAACTGCACTGCGCCACCAACACAATCATCAAATGCTTCTACAAGTATTATCAAATAACAAGAGATATTTCAAAATTTTCAATGAAATTCATATGAACTTACTTGTTGATATCATCAGAAGAATAACCAGTAACACCACCAAATACAACTAAGACATAATCCACATCAAGCGATCTCATTATCTCATATGCCTCATCTTCATAAGATGACATTGCACGCCCAACCGTAGCAATGTGTGTATTGTTCCAGGTGTTATTGTCAACTATGACAGTTCTGTTTCCCATTGCAGTGATTTGGTACCCATAATCCCACCATGACATCACTTTAGCATCTGGAGGAGTATTCTGACGAAGCCAAAAGTATGCTTCACGATAGTCATCAAAAATGACCCTGTTCCCATGGGCACCTCTTGCAGCCAAAACAATTGAGGGAGATGAGTATGCCTCTGACGTGACCCAGGTACAGTGGGTTGCATACTTACTAAGCAAGTAAAATGCACCAAAAAGTAAGACGGTAGCACCATTTCTTTGAAAAGGCTGAGATTGATCAACAGAGCCCTGTTTGTGAGACAAATGTGAGCAATGATAATTGTTATGTACTATAATTTAAAAACAAAAACTAATGTTTGATATAAACCACCAAAACAAATATCAAAAGAAAATCACCACGGACCAAAATTCCAGTACTAACTATGGATCAAAATTTGACAGCAAATATTTATTCAGAAAATAAATTTATTTTCGAGATTTGAATATCAGTCATTGGATTTGGTTCAAAAAGTTGATGAGTATGGATTCTCTACTCAGCAATAATCAAGAAATCAAAATTGTATAATGTATAGTATGTTTGTTTGTTTGTATGCGTGCATGTATGTATATAAAGGAGGAAAGATCTCACCTTCGAAGAGCCTTTTGTGCTGCTGCCTCCTTTGGTGGAACCCGTCTGGGAAACTTTGTTCTTTGCCCTTACCAACTGTGTCAAATTCTTTATAGTAGCAGAGACAGCAATGGCACTAATAAGACAAACTGCAGGTGTGGCAACAAGAATTAACCGAACCATGACACCAGCGAAATACATGCTTGTAAGACCATACATAACTATAAATATAGTGGCATCTGACAACCGCTTGAAGCAGAAGTAGAGACCAGCAGGGAAAAGGAAGAGTAAGATATGGAAATCAAACATAAAAGATGACCAAGCCGTTGGCTGATGTTCAGAGACAGATGCAATAATGGGAATGTGATCCTTGGCATATGTTGGGTCTAGCAAGGAATAAAACCGTCCGGTCCATGGAGAGATATACCCAGATGCAGTGCCGACTCCCAAAGCAACGGCACCAACGCCTACTGCACAGGTGACAGTGATCCTTAGAAAGGCTTGAAACATCTTTGTGTCACTCAATAGGTGCCTGACCCAATCTAAGAAGTAAAATACCTGCCAACACCATCCCCACGCACCACCAAAGAAAAATGAATAAAAAAGTAAATGAATCGGGTAAGTTAATTTATACTTTAACAATCTGTAAAATGACCAACGTGGTTACAAGGCTATCTTATAATAGAGATTTATTGGACTATATGTCATACCATATACACTGAACGGAAGCGGAAACATGCAATACTTTATATAACTGATAAGAGTAAATTGAATGTGCATGGAAAAGCAAACCTGCATCAAGAAGAAGACGCCCATGGCAGCCATATGCTCGCCAGACTGCACGTGCTGAAAGCCGACAAAGCGAATTTGCATAGCGAGCAACATTCCGATAATATATGTGCAATTGTAGGCGACATACAACCTCATGGAATAGCGACCGGTGATCAAAAGCACCAAAACGTAAAGCGGAATCAAGTTGATAATAAAGACATAACCTCCCCAAGCAGAGACCATGTAGAAATAGCCGAACGCCGAGGCCAAGGCCCAAGCGAGCGAGCCGGTGTTGACGGCCTTCACAAACAAGTAAAAGGTCAAGAGCAGGGCGAAAATGGCGACACCCTCATTGTCATAGGAGCCGGCGACCGATCTGGAGATGTAACCGGGGCAAATGGCGATCAAAGCAGCGGCAACAAGGCCGGCGCCGGTGTCCCAAATCTCTTTGCCGAAGAAATAGGCGACAAGGGTGGTGTTGGAGGCGAAAAACGGCGCCGTTAAAACGCAGACCTCGCGAATGTGAACGGCGAAGCTGAGGAATCGGAGAGTCCAGTAGATGAGGGCGGCGGTGACCATGAGGCCGGGGTAGAGGGTGCCGCCGATGATCCGGCCGAGGGGGTACCAGCTCTCGGAGTCGAACCAGTTCCAGAAGTCGTAGAAGCCCTTCTCGGTCAAGTAGAGGGTAGTGCGGTAATTGAAATAGGGATCGAACTCATGGATCATGGACTCGTAGCGAAGGACGCTGAAGAGGCGCGTAATGAAGGCGAGGATGTAGACTAAGCAGAGGATGGAGACTCGGATCAGGAGCTCCTGCTGCTTGGTTTTGAGTTTTAGGGTTTTGAATGAGAGGTTGTTGAGGAGATCTGGTTTCAGCCCTGACATGGAGGTGGCCGGGGACGGAGATGGGCCGGTCTTCGCAGTGGCTGTGCCGTTGACCGGCTCAGGTTTTCCGACCATGTCTCCTTTGAGAATTGAGGAAGATGAGGAAAATGAGTTATGGATTTGGGGCTTTTGCTTTCAGAGTTTGGGATTTGGCATTTGGATTGGGTCTATGAGAGTATGCTAAGACTGAGACTGAGACACCACTCCAGTGAGCAGACACTAGACAGGGAAATGTAGACACTGATCTGCGAACTGTATAGATAGATTCATAGAATGAATGACTTGGAGGGCTCTCATTGTTTAGAGAGAGAGAGAGAGAGAGAGGGAGACTGGAGATGCGGACTTTTTTATGGGCCATCTCTTGCCTCAAACTGGTCTTTCCTTGTTTCTTTTTACTTTCGTTGGGCCGGCCTCTCACCCCATATGCAGCTTCTCAATTTCATGCCTTGCTAGCTGTTATTTTTCTTTTTCTTTTTTTCCAATTTTAAACGAAGCAAAATATATCCCTTCCCTTTTTTCTAGAGAAAATATAACCCCTCTATGTTTCTATTAATTTATGACATATTTACTAAGCTAGAAGGGATTTTTTTGCTGTGTTTACTATAATCATGAGGATTGAAACTATTTTGAAGTCAAAAACATCTATATAAAATTCATAACCAAATACTTAGGAAACCATACACATTCATTATCTCATCATTGTAGAAAATTACGGTTGTGCCCAATGTGAAACTAGGAAAATAGAAAAAACCTTAAAATCAAATACCCTGCTGGTTTTGGTCCAAAAAAGCCCACCTTCCCTCTCTCTCTCTCTCTCTCTCTCTCTCTCTCTCTCTCTCTTTTAGCTGAGCAACAGTTGGCGATTGTCATTGCCTCCCTGAAGTTGTCAAAGAAGATGTTCTTTCATATAGTGTTAGAAAGAAACATGCAGCTTCATCCTCGTCACTTTGGGCGCAATCTCCGTGAAAATCTCATGGCCAAGCTCATGAAAGATGTTGAAGGCACTTGCAGGTTCCCCCTCCTCCTCCTCTTCTTCTTCTTCTTATTAAATACAATATAACCCTTGCGATTTTCTTTTGCTTTTTGTTGTTGTTGTTGCCTTGTAGTCTTGCGAAATTAAATCCGAGGAAAACTTAAACCTTTCGATTCTCTTTCTTCTTTTCACTTTATTTGCTACATGCTTATTTAGGAATGGAAACCCTTATCTGTTCGATTATGCTCTAAACTTGGGTAAACAAAAACAAACCAAAAACTGAGTCTTGTCAGTCCTTCTGTAGACACAGTAATGTTAAATACATTGAAGTTTGACCCGATATTAATTTATAGATAAATCCCAAATCACATTGAGTTTGGTGAGGGGGGACACTCAGCACTGGTTCTTGTTCAGTTTTGACTTTGTGAAAGCTCAGACCTTGGCCAATATAAGCTCCAATACGGCATGTATTTGTATTAACATGGCTCATTCTGCATAATTAATATTAGTTCAACTCCATTTTTAGTCACTTTATAATTGAATTTCACTAAGTTCTTCTACTCAAGTTTAACTTTCAAGTGCTATATCTTTGAAAAACCAAGTATGTGGTAAATGTTCTTCGCTGTTTTTGCTACTCGGTGGGATGGATCAAGGAGTTGGTATATTTTCATCTTTTGTGCAGTGGTCAACATGGGTTTGTGGTTGCAATTACTGGCATAGAAAACATTGGGAAGGGACTGATTTGCGATGGGACAGGGTTTGTCACATTCCCTGTGAAGTACTAGTGTGTTGTTTTCAGACCATTCAAAGGAGAGATCTTAGAAGCTGTTGTTACTATGGTGAACAAGGTATGCTTTCCTCTTTTACCTATCAAGGTGATGGCATCAATATTCTTAATTTGTTTTTTCAAGCACTTGTATTCTTAACTGCAGAAAATATGTAATGGCATCTAAATTCTTATAGATGGGATTTTTTGCTGAGGTTGGTCCTGTTCAAATCTTTGTTTCAAACCATGTAAGTATCCGCCCTTCTTTATTCTGAGCAGTGATAAGCTTTTATCCATATCTTGTTAGAATTTTTTTTTTCTTTAAATTTTGTCTTGTATGAAGTTATAAGCTTTTGCAAGGACTAAGGTGGGTTGCATTGGTGCTATTGTGTGTGTTTCTCTTTGCCTTCTATTTTCCCCCCTTCCTTCAAAATAACCATTTATACTCAACTTTTTTAATAAAGTGCCACTTCTAAAGAATCATATACTTTTGGCCTTTAGGTCAGTAAATGTTGCATCTTTCTTCATAAAATAGTCAATATTTTGTCTTTTGTTAACGTAGTCAATGTTGTATGCTAATTGTATATAAGCAGTAGTCTACTAGTCATATATATGAGAAAATTTCTGTGTAAGTTGAAGTTCAATGAGAGCTATACTTTTTCAACTTCTCTAACTTATACTATAGGTTACTGGTTTTTGGAGTTTGAAGTGCTCCTCTCTTGTACCTTCTGAGTCATGGCTTCAAATATCATATCATAGTGATTATATCTTACAGATAGAGTATATGTTAACGTCCTCATCTTGTGTTGTAGTTGATACCGGATGATATGGAGTTCCAATCTGGAGATATGCCAAATTATACAACATCAGATGGATCAGTATGCTTCAGTTTCACCTGATTCTCTAAAGAGTAGTTGTTTCTTTTCTAGCTTAGTTTATATGGTTAAATTGATCTTTTGTTATTTTGTAGGTTAAGATTCAGAAAGATAGCGAAGTTCGGTTAAAGATAATTGGAACCCGAGTAGATGCTACAGAAATTGTATGCGCTCACTCTGTTTTCTTTTCACTTAGTGATTCTTTAATTTGTTTTTGTTGTTTTCATTTTCCTTGTGCTGTCCTTGTGATTGGGAAAAGGGAGTAAAGTCATCCGAGGAATGGTCCTTTTAATTGTTCCTTGATTAATCGGTGTGCCATGTTTTGAATTTTCAACCCTAAATCAAACTGAACGGTGGAGTGCTGGGATGATCATATCATGCATTTCCATGAATCTCTTACTTGTTTGATCCTGGTTAGCTGCCATAGTTAGTTTTTGACACACTTGGTCTCTTAGAACCGCTTGACAAAAGGCTCTTTTGTACGGCTGGGCTAGCATAGTGCAGTTTAGATTCATTTTGTTTGCTTCTGATACTAGTTCTCCCTCTGCTTTGCAGTTCTGCATTGTTACAATAAAGGATGATTTCTTGGGTGTGATAAACGATCCTGCGACTGCTTAGTGAAGTTGGGAGTTCTGCATGCAAGATGGGCTTTTGCCTGTTTTGCCTTGTGTTTCTGTTGAACAGCTCAGTTTTTAGACGTGCTTGTAATCCTATCCTGCATTTACATGAGTGTAATATAATAATACTGTCCTTATATTTTCATCTTATTTCTCCTCACAACATTCTTATCTCATTTGTACGTTTCTTTTTTTGTTGGTCTGATTTGTGTTGTAAAGGATGAACTATGACAGAGATATAAGTCTCAAATGGCAACCAAGGAGTTGTTTGACCTTCAAGTGAAGTGGGGGCAAAAGACATAAAACAAGCCAAATAATTAAAAACTCTGACAAAAAATAAATAAATAAAAAACAACCAGATTGTAAGAAAAATAAATTCACAGCAACAAATACAATCAGATACCTACCTGAGCGAAATATAAAATACAAGCAGATACCTACCTGAGCGAAAAAATAAAATAAAATAAAATACAAGCAGATAATTGTTAAAAAGAAAGGAACTGCACAAATATGATAAATGCCATCTCTACCCTTTCTGTTTTGTTATGGAGGAGTTGGCTTTTCTGTTTGGCACCAAAATTTGGAGAAGCAAAGGAAAAGGAAAATGGTTGCATAAGAAATCCAAAGATTCATTTTGATGTCTCAGTCCAAAAACAATGAGTGTATCTCTGCTTTCACCTTTAAGAAAAGCAAATTGTTTCTTGTTCAACGCAAAAACCCTTACCATTCCATTTCTAAAGCTTCTACTTCATCAGTAAGATAGTTACAAAGGGAAAAAAGAGTCATGGCTGCTTTGTCTCACGCCTTTCCAAGCATTCCGTCTTCCTGTTGTCATTGCCGAATAAGTAATCTCAAGGAAGATCACAAGGTCTGCGTTTGGGGTTTCTCCAGAGAAATAAGTGACAATGAAATCGGTGTTTCTAGGGTTAACAGGAAGAAGGATAATAATAATCTCACCGGTCGCTGGACTGTGAATGCAGTTGACACCCACATTGTGGAGACCGCTCCACCTCGCACCACCGTTGAAATTCCCATTACTTGTTACCAGGTCACTGCTTCATTTTTCTCTTTTTTTTAAATCCTTATTATTTTTAATCTCTCTCACTCTCTCTTGCTACTTGTAATGTGTAATGTTGGTGGGCTTTGTATTTGTTAAATCCTGATTATGTGTTAAATGTGTATTCATTCTGGTTGGAGCTGAGAAAATCGAAAGGGGATAAAATTGCTTTCCCTCCGCCTCCTTTTGAATTTTGTTCTGGCTCCGGATCCTGCAAGTCACTTGAGTCGCTCTTTAGTCTGCTGGCTAGTAGCATCATCTGCAATAGTGCCATATTTAACATTTTCCTCAAGAGCTTCAATTGTTGAACATACTCTGCCATCCTTACACTTGAAGTGGCATAATCAAGTTATCAGAGTTTGTCTAGTGTGTACAATTTGTGTGATTTTTATGTGAATCTTGCGCTAACATATCTGTATTTTCTGAACTTTATTATTAGTCTGACTCTGCATTTAGTAACTTAGTGCTAACGTAATGAATTTACAGCTTATTGGCGTTCCTGATCAAGCTGAAAAAGATGAGGTTGTTAAATCAGTGATGGATTTGAAGAGTGCTGAAATTGAAGAAGGTTACACCATGGATGCTGTTGCATCTCGCCAGGTTGAGACTTTAAAGTTTTTTATTATATGTAGTAGATATACCAGGTGGAAAGAGCTTTCTGCTAGGTTGTTTAATTTCATCTTTAAATTATTTCTCTTGTGGGCTGCTTTGCAGGGTCTTTTAATGGATGTGAGAGATAAGCTTCTTTTTGAACCAGAATATGCTGGTAATATTAAGGAAAAGATCCCACCTAAATCTTCCCTACGAATCCCTTGGGCTTGGTTGCCAGGTGCTCTTTGCCTCCTTCAAGAGGTACAGATTTGTCTTTGTACAATCTACTTAGTCTAACATAGATTTTTGTGGCTTAGTGTTTAGCCTTCAGCCTTTCAGGCTCTTTTTTTCTTCTTTAAAGAAAAATAAATATTGTTAAACACTAATTTAAGAGGGATTGAATTCTTTTCAGAATTTGATTGCTACAGTTTGTCGCGAAACTCATTTTTTCACCCCTACTTTTTATTGTGGATTCCTCTTGTAGATACACGTTGGCTAATTGCATTTATTAAGTGTGTAACATTGTCTTCTTTGTAATATTATAGAATAGTTTTTTCTTGTTTAATTAAAAAAAAGAAGAAGAAAGGATTTTGTTTTGGAAGGTGGGTATAATGATATTGGATTTCTTCATTCTAGGTTGGAGAAGTTAAGCTTGTGCAAGATATTGGTCGCGTAGCTGTTCAGCATCCAGATGCTAAGCCGTATGTTCATGATCTTCTTCTTTCTATGGCACTAGCAGAGGTAAGGCATATCAGCAAAGAGGTCAGGATATTGTACCGTCTGTTTTGTTTCAGCATTGTTATGCCTCCTTTTCTTATCCTAGGTGCTTTCTTGAAGTGTGCAACTGCAAAGATTGGTTTTGAGAAGAACAAGGTGTCCCAAGGATTTGAAGCTCTTGCTCGTGCACAGAGTCTTCTAAGGAGTAAAAAGTCTCTTGGGAAAATAGCATTGTTATCTCAGGTAATCTCTCATCTTCTATGTGCTTTTGTGTCAATTTTTTTTATCTGATATTTTTTTATGGCATTTACTGGTTCAATCCACTAATTGGCATCTGGTCTGTCACTCTGAAATGGAACTATTAGAATTCAAATCATCTGACTGTATCTTAGTGTTTGTTTTGCAAAGTAGAGAACATATATCTACATAACAAATCAAAGTATGGTGGACCAAATATTGAGAAGTTAAGTTGTTATTAGTCAGATTGACCTGGTGGTTGAAAATTCTAAAATGTGACAAATTTCTGTTAGACAGCATTTAACTTTATTCCATGCCTGTACTTGCCCTAAAGTAAACATATGTTGGTCATGTTTTATAGATAGAAGAATCTTTGGAGGAGCTTGCACCTGCTTGTACATTGGAATTGCTGGGCATGCCTCACTCACCTGAGAATGCTGAAAGAAGAAGAGGAGCAATTGCAGCCTTGCGTGAATTGGTCAGACAGGGGCTTGGTGTGGAAACGTCGTGTCGAGTCCAAGACTGGCCATGCTTCTTGAGCCAAGCATTTAATAGACTAATGGCTTCGGAGATAGTTGATCTTCTTCCATGGGATGATTTAGCTATTACAAGGAAGAATAAGAAATCACTTGAATCACAGAATCAAAGGGTTGTTATTGATTTTAATTGTTTGTACATGGTGTTGATAGCTCATATTGCCCTGGGGTTTTCAAGCAAGCAAAAGGAATTGGTAAATTCATTCTGCTCCTATGTCCAAATTATTATTTTTGAATATGAAGCCTGCTGACATAGTAACTCTCTCTCTCTCTTACTTGGGGCAGAGGGTGTTGCTGCAAAATGTTCCATTTTGTTAATTTCAGCCCTTATAATATGGTTGTGCAGATTGACAAAGCAAAGACTATATGCGAGTGTCTGATTGCATCAGAGGGTACTGATCTGAAACTTGAGGAAAATTTTTGCTTGTTCCTTCTTGGTCAGGTAAAATTTTCAGTTTCCTCCTAATTTTATTTCTTGTGCTGTTTCATTAGAATAGTTTTGGATATCTTTCAGAAACTATGAATTTGTTTTACCTTTTTTCTTATTCAATCCTTCTCTTATGTTTCCTCAATGGAATACTTGGTGATATCTCGGTTTCCAGGGTAATGAGGCTATGGTTGTTGAAAAGCTTCAGAAGCTTGAATTAAATTCAAATTCTGCTGCACGAAATCCAATCTCAGGGAAGGAAGTTAAGCATACTTGTGGAGCAAATCAAACTTTGGTATATCTCTTATTGTGTGCTGGAATTCTCATCTTAGCTGTCATTAGGAGCATGCTTATCTTTACTTTGAAACATCGGGTAATGGGAAGGTCCTGAAAAATTCAATGTGTTGCGCCACTTCACACGCTACTTATTTCACTACAAACTTTATGTTTGTTTTAAAGGTCAATACTTTCTCATGTCAGACTGCCTGCTGAACTTGATCAGGAAATGTGGCTGAAGGAGGCTGTCCTTGCTGTGTTTCCAGACTCACGAGATTGCCCTCCATCGTTGGTGAGATTCACGAGAAGGGACTGTTAAAGGATAATAGCTTTAACTTTAGCAGAGGGTTTATGTATGTATGTATCTCTTTGCAGGCCAACTTTTTTGGTGGTGAAAGGAGGACTCCTTTGAGCAAGAAAAGCAAAGTAGCTCCACAGAATTTGCCTATTTTAAGTCACAGACCAATTTCCACTACTCTCATGTCAGAACGGAGAGATTTCGATGAGTCTCTTTCCCATATGAACTCTTCTCAACATCTTGGAACAGCTGTTAAGCAGCTGGCTCCAACTGATCTTCAGAGTCCCTTGATATTGGGCAAGACTGGCAGTGGAAGCAGTGCTAGTGCATCATCTGTTCAATTGAAAAGGAATCTTGGCATGCACCATGACAAAGTTTGGAATGGTTGGGTTGCTAGAGGAGTTTTGGTGGGAAGGATCACTTTTGTGGCAGTACTGGGGTGCATTGTTTTTGCTTCCTTAAGGTTAACAGGCATGAAGGGAAACAAGATGAGAAGTGCTTCTAAATGGGGCCCTAGTAAGCCAAATATGCACACAAGTTCCATTTCTTGGACAACAGATTCATCTGTGGATTCTAGTCTAGTACCTGCTTATATCAAGGGAAATGGACTAGCTGGCAGACTTAAGAAGTTTTTGGTGACTTTTATGAAGCAGGTCAGGACCTGCTCAGATGCTGAAAATCCACAAATTTCATATCTGTCTTCTTCGACATCTGTGTTCCGGAGGCTTATGTCTATTGAAGAAGCTAAAGACCTTGTGAAGCAATGGCAAGCAATTAAAGCTGAAGCTCTGGGGCCTAGCCATGAAATTGATAGCCTCTGTGAAATCCTTGATCAGTCAATGCTTGTTCAGGTATAATTTGTGGAGGTTTTTGAATATTTGATATTGTTATTTAAATAGTATTATCTTAACAAAGTTCAGTCTATGAATACTTATGACATGGAATAAGTTGGATATGTCACAAACATTTTATTGTAATAATAAGCTCGGTAATTTACTTTCACATGTTTTCTTTTCGTTGATGCTTCATTTAAGTTTACTGCTTTACTCTACGTATTTGTTTGGTTACTTTCGCATGCATGGTTCACAGTGGCAGGCTTTGGCTGATGCTGCAAAAGCGAGGTCTTGTTATTGGAGATTTGTTTTGCTACAATTGTCTGTCCTGCGAGCTGAAATTTTATCAGATGAAGTTGGAGGAGAGATAGCAGAAATCGAGGCTGTCCTGGAGGAAGCAGCTGAACTTGTTAATGAATCTGAACAAAAGAACCCAAGTTATTACAGGTGAGTTGAATTTATGATGTGTATATAATGGAGAATCTGTATTTGAGTATTAGATTTTGGTTTGCATGTTTTTAATGTTAAATTTGATATTTGACTTCTTTTTTCTTGGATTGATTGCAGCACGTATAAAATTTGGTATGTTCTAAGAAGGCAAGCAGATGGTTCATGGAGGTTCTGTGAAGGGGAAGTGCAAACACCATCATAACATTGGCCTAGTTAGTGGAATATGCATGAACCAGCAGCTGCCACACCGAATAATGCTTTGCTAACTTGGTTCCTCGCATCTATAATTCTTCTTGCGGAGGTCCCAACTAACTAGAAATGTGGATCTAAATTTAGGAGGTTTTTGGCAGAATTCCAAAATTGCAATTGGGTTGTTTAGTTTTGTTGATGTTGATAACTTTTACTTGTAGCTGAAATAGAATGAGCGGAAAATAGTTATTGGTCTCCTTTCGTCCGTGTCGTTGTCTCCGATTACTAGAGGCATTTAAGGCTAATTGAAATTGAATTGTTCGACATGAACTATCGGACTACTGTACAGATTTTCTAAGTTTGAAAATTTACTATGTCATCTGAGTGTGCTTATTTTAGTTTATTATTATTTTTGGGTCTGAGTGCTTATTAGTTTGTTTGGGCCTGAACTGAAGCCGTTAGTTTTTTATTATTCATTTTTCGATGAAATTATGTAAATTTGAGCTTGTGATGTAACACTTTTGACGTTACTAATTGCACTTCACTACTTAATCATGTGTGATTTTAGCTAGGTTAAGAAAATATTATTTCTTCGTTGCGGGAGGTGGAAGACGTTATGATCTTTTAATTCTTTTCCTGTTTCGTCAGATTTAGTAATCAATCAGTATATATATAAACAAGACAAATGCTTGCGAATAATACCTTTGCTAATTTCAACCTTAATTAAACCGGAAAAAAAGGGACCAATAAGAAATATATATATCTTTTTATCAAACAATAAGAAATAAATTATTATTTTTTTGTCAGAACAATAAGAAATAATTTAGGGCATCATTTTATCAGAGAACGCAGCCCAACTAGAAAACTCTCTCAAGAAGAAGCCCATATTAAAGCAGAGGAGAATCTGAAGCTCCTTCAAAAGACTAGACTAGAGAGAAAAGCAGTTTGTTGATCGAATCCTTGAATTGAAGCACAGCATCAAAAGAGGTGATGGGTCGCCAAGCCGTAGCCAAGCTGATCGGTTCGATCGCATCACGCAAACCATCTCCGTCTCCGTCAACTTCTATTCTTCAGCGTCGACATTACTCCCCGGCTCCGCCACCGCCGCCGGCGGTGTTTGTCGACAAAAACACTCGTGTCATATGCCAGGGCATCACCGGCAAGAATGGCACTTTCCACACCGAACAAGCCATCGAATATGGCACCAAAATGGTATCACTAACAAACATGCCTCTCTCTCTCTCTTCTTCTCGTCTCTTTTATTTGCCTTATTGAGTTTTTGTGTTCTTCTTCTTTCTTCTATTTTTGTTTTTCCTAACCCAAGCTCCGAAATCAATTACGGAATTAAGAAAATTAGGCTTTATTCTAGTGCCGCTGAGATTATTTTGCTGTATTACAGTTTTGGGATTTTCACTGATACTGGTACTGCATTATTTGTGCTTAGATTCATTTTCTCATTTGCTTAAACATCTATGTCTCTTAATATCAAAAGGGGAGTTTGAATTGGTGAAAATAATTGGAAAATGAGTTCTTGTTGACTTGTGAAACTGAGAATATGGGTTTCTTATGCTAATGCATTAAAATTAAATGGACTCCTAGATTAGAATGGTCACGACTTTCACAATTAATTGACTAAGTTTGAAGGTTTGAATTTCCCATGATAAGTTTTCCTCTGAAATGCTACATAACTTTATAAATTATAATCACCTTCTTTGTTTCAAACTGTTATGTATTTTTCCTTCCTTTATTTCATTTCTTTATACTATTGTGCTGAAACAGGTGGGTGGTGTAACACCAAAGAAGGGTGGGACCGAGCATTTGGGACTCCCTGTTTTCAACTCAGTTGCAGAAGCAAAAGCTGAAACAAAGGCTAATGCCTCAGTCATTTATGTTCCCCCACCATTTGCTGCTGCTGCAATTATGGAGGCAATGGAAGCAGAGCTGGATCTTGTTGTGTGCATCACTGAGGGGATCCCGCAACATGATATGGTAGTATATTTTTATCATTTTAAATACGAAAGTTAAGTTTACATGTTCATACATGACAATTTGAATCTTGGGTATGACATTTTGTTTTGTCGATATAATTCAATTTGTATCACAATCCTATTAGCTGATATGTCAGTTCTCAAATGTTTTGGGACTTCCAAATGCTTTGGTTATTGAGTTTTGTCCTTCCTGGACTATCATATGATTTGGAATGTGAACTTTATTGAACTTGGTCATAGCTCTGATTATTAATTTTAATTGACTGCTAGCCCAGTTGTTAAGCTTGAGTTTAGTGTTCTGTGATTCATGTGAAACTGTCCTTGAACCTAATAATTATGAATTTCAGGTACGTGTGAAGGCTGCTCTTAACAGGCAATCTAAAACTCGGCTCATTGGACCAAACTGCCCTGGAATTATCAAGCCTGGTGAATGCAAAATCGGAATTATGCCTGGTTACATTCATAAACCTGGTCGTGTAGGAATTGTTTCTCGATCTGGTACCTTGACCTATGAAGCGGTGAGTACTAATTGTGACCCAGTTAGGATGTACGAAGGGAGAAAGAAATCTTTTGCCTTTTGCAACAGAAAATTTTGATACTAATTTGGTTTTTCGGAAGATTGGGTACTACTATTATGGTCATATCTTCATCCTCTTCTTGTTCGATGTTTGGATTTTGTGGGTACCACCTCCAATTTACATATTATGCCAGTTTTCTTATACTTCTAACTAATTTTGTCCCTTTACCTTGCAGGTTTTCCAAACAACTGCTGTTGGCCTTGGACAGTCCACCTGTGTTGGTATTGGAGGTGATCCTTTTAACGGTACAAACTTTGTTGATTGCATTGACAGATTCCTAGAAGATCCTCAGACAGAAGGTTAGTAGTTCGTATTTTTTGGTGGCATGATCCTCAGACGGAGCTTGCTTCTATGAATTTGCTCTGGAGATATATCTATGCACTCTATTTGTTTATGGTTGCATGTATAGGTCCATGGTTTGCCTTTTACTCACCGGATCTGTTCGTGTTTTAATGCGTGACTGTGCTTCATGTAAGCTATTACTAGTTCTCATTTACGAAGAATGTTGTGTATCATATAAAATATCAGGATACTCTGGGCCTTAAGAGCAAATGTATAGAACTCTCTCTCTCTCTCTCTCTCTCTCTGCCATTTGCTTGAAATATTTATATCCATCAACTATAATGTTGGTGGTTGCCCATTTGTAAAGTAATGAACCTAGGCTTGATCTTTTGTGATTCAGATTTGTGTGGTGTGCCTCTGCGTGAGTTCTTGAATACTTACCATTCAAGTTCAACCTTTAGGACTTTTGTCTTTTTTAATTGTGGATGCTCGCCTGACTGTTTTTTATTGCTTAAAAATTCCATTGAGCACATTTTATTGATATAGTATTGTATGTTAGCTAAACTTCATTGATTGGAAAAGAATTATGTGGATATAAGAAAAACAAATTAAATAACTCTTGTGTGATGAATTTTTTTTTTAACGTGCCCCTTTTAACTTGATGTAAGGTTTCTTACCCTTTAATTTGTGTGGATGTTTTGGGTAAGATGTACAGAAAAATAAAATGTGTTGAAGTAGGGGACATGTGATTTGAACGTAATTCTAGGATGTATGTGTTTCAGGTATCATTCTTATTGGAGAGATAGGTGGGACTGCAGAAGAGGATGCTGCTGCATTGATAAAGGTAACAATCCCACTTTCAGCCCCACCCTCTGAGCAGAGTAGAAAGTTTGATAAACCCTTTTAGCATTTCTATTTATAACATAGTACTCGTAAATATGCTCTATGAGTCAAGAATTGAGTTTTGCTAGGGGGATAACCAGAGAGAATTATCTTTTTGTTGATCCTTACTTTTGAAGAATCAATTGATCCACATATTTAATTTTAGATGAACATTTTAGGCCTCTTCCCTTTCCATTTAAGGAAAGACTTCCAAAGCCCCCACACAACCCCACCCCCCCCCCCTAAAACACACACACACACACACACACACTCGACTCTCAGCATCGTAAATTCTCACAGTTAGCTTCACTGCTACCATCTTTATCTGTTGCCTGTATATGGGTGGCGACTGATTATCTGACCAATCAAACAGGAAAGTGGAACTGAGAAGCCTATTGTTGCTTTTATTGCTGGACTAACTGCTCCTCCTGGCCGTCGTATGGGTCATGCTGGAGGTATATGATTCATTACACACTCTCTCTCTCATTGTCTATGGTTGAGTGTGGTTTCATATCATTCTCATAACATGATAATCACACGTCATTGGTGGCATCTGCTTGTGCAGCTATTGTGTCAGGGGGGAAGGGTACAGCACAAGACAAAATCAAGACCCTTAGGGAAGCTGGGGTGACAGTGGTGGAGTCTCCAGCGAAAATAGGGGTTGCGATGCTTGACGTCTTCAAACAGAGGGGCCTTGTGAATTAGCTTGGACAATAGCAGTTCATTTGCAGTCACCTGCCTACAATGTTTTATGGCAAGATGCCCAAAACAACATGATTATCTCCAATTCTTCACTGCTTATAACTGTGGTAGAGCATTTGAGTGCTCAGAGTTTTCTCTGCCGTTTGCCACATTGAGTGGTGTTTGGGGATCCATTAATTTGTTTATGAGATTGTTTTTCATACATGATGAAGTGATTTTGAAGGGTGTCCAGAATACAAATATAAGCTCTTGCAATAAAAAAAGCTAAGGGCATGGTTGACAGATTTTGCACGTTTTTTACTTGTGAGTTTAAAGCTGAATACGGAGCCAACATAAATTTTGCAACAATCTGATTAGAGACCCAAAAAAAAGGTTTTGGGGTGAGGGGTTGGTGGACCGAACCATACACACTAATACTATGGCTTCTGTTTCTTCGTTGATTTGTCAAATGATTCCTTCCCTCCCTACCGTTAAAATGTATATTATCAAATGATTTCTACCGTTAAACGTTAAATTATCAAATAAAATAAAAAGATAATAAGAATAAAGTTGGGGTTTTTCTTTTCCTTCCTTCTGCTTCTTCCTTCAAGAAGTCAACAAAAACCCTACAAATCAATATCAAATGAAAAAAAAAAATCAAAAATCAAATAGTCGGAGGAACAGACAGAGAGAAAAAGAGAAAAGTCCGGTGGAATCAAAATGGCGCGAACCTCGTCATCGAAGAAGAAGCGCAAAGACGAAGAGGATCCAAACCCAGAGGTGACGCAGCGCAAGAGGCTCAAAGCCCTCGCCTTCTCCAACAACCTACTCTCAGAGGTCCCTGCTAAGCCCCACGCGCCTCTCACCCCCTCAAACACTGTTGTTAAGCACCATGGCAAAGACATTCTCAAGAAATCTCAGCGAAAGAACAGGTTCCTCTTCTCCTTCCCTGGCCTCCTTGCCCCCATTGGAGGCGGTAAGATCGGTGAGCTCAAGGATTTGGGCACCAAGAACCCCGTGTTATACCTCGATTTCCCTCAGGTCTACTACTTTCATCCTTCATCCTTTTCTATTTTTATTTTGCTTGTTTGGTTTCTGAGAAAAATTTTAATTTTGGGGTTTTCAGGGTCGGATGAAGTTGTTTGGGACTATTGTGTTCCCCAAGAACAGGTATCTGACTATGCAGTTCCCTAGGGGTGGGAAGAGTGTCATGTGCGAGGACTACTTCGATAATATGGTCAGCTACTTTCTACAGTCTGTTTGCCGCATTGATTGTTAAGTTTCTATTTCAAATATATTTGGGGTTGTAGAAAGATGCATATCTACCATTTTGTTCATAGGCTTGGTCGATGATCAGTGCAGAACTGTAAATTATGATATAAATTTGAAGACAAGTTGACCTTTTATCATATCATTTGAATTCTTTTCTATTTTCTAATGATTTTCTTTTGAGGGTTATTAGAAGTCAATAATTGCATGTCTGAATAAGTTAGAACTGCTACTTGTTTTTAACTGGTAATTGATTCAGTTAAAACTCATAGAACTAAGTATTAGTTGGTTGAGAATGATGCAAAAGAACTGCAAAGCTGATATTTCGTGGAAACTTGTACTCTGAAAGTTGCATCTCATAAGGCAAAAGAACTACATAAATTTTATTCTTGTATCTTTTGGGTTGATTGAAATAGCATGTCTTCATTGTATTCATACTAATTACCCTATGCTTGCAACTCCTCTCTTTGTGTGCTTTTATACTTTGTGTACATAATGTTTCAGAGCTATTGTTTCATACAACTTCCACCAAGAATCTTCTTCTTGTTCTTCTTACAGAGTGTGGTAACGCCATTTTGCAGTCCCTTTCCAAAAAATCCACATCTTTTGTTTTGTTTGTCTATGGCCATGTGCTTGTTATATGAAACTGAGTTTCTCAAAGCATTTTTTACACATATATATCTCAGCCTTAGCTTTGCATGTCCCAGATTGTATTTTCCGATGCTTGGTGGATTGGGACACAAGCTGAGAACCCCGAAGAAGCCCAACTTGATTTCCCTAAGGAACTTACTGAGGTTAGTTTTTGTTCATATAAGTCCGTTGTGTTGATAAAATGTACATATCACTTTTTGATGATCCACTCTCAGGAATTTGTTGGTTTCAGGGACAACACGCAGAATATGACTTTAAAGGTGGTGCAGGTTCAACATCTACAAACAAGCAAAGCGATCATAAAAATGAAACTACATATGTAGAACATTCCCCAAATGTTAAGGTTGAAGATAATGTATCAGATGATGGAAACAAGGATTTGATGAGAGCAACACCTGTTCGACATTCAGCAAGAACTGCCGGAAAACGATTCAAGTACTGGCCTAAACATTTTATTGCACTCACTAGATACTGTCATAAGAGATCAGAAGCTGGGGGAATTAAGTACACACATACTAATTATGCAAAGTAGATACATATATATGTACACATATTTGTACAGTAACATTCAAACACACACACCCACACAACGTACCTTATAGGTGCTGAGGCCATCTCTGAGTGATAATATTGGAAACAAAATATATTTTTTTCATTTGTGCTGCATTACCATATTTGCCTTTTCAGACCTATCTGATATACCTATGAGTAAGTAGTTCTGATCATCCAAAAGAAAAAGGGAAAAAAAATAGATGAAACATATTGCAAATAGTTACAAAGGGCACTGATGCCCATTGTCCATTCTGACGTCACTTATTGAAGGCCTGAATGCACTCATTGCTTTTCAGCAGATGAGTTGTTATGTGGAAATGTCGTGTAGCCTCTACGGATATTAATTATGTAAACTATTAGTTGATTATCTCCATGATTGTTGTGGAACCTTTAGTTAGATTATCATAGATAATTAACCATTTTGATATATTTTCTTTTTACTGGAGAATAATAAAAGAAACGAGAGTGCTTGTTGATCGTCCAGAAGGCACACATTTTCCTGTGATGTGTCCACACATGCTTCAGTGAACTCTTCTTTTGTCACCAATTAATTGTAGATGTTGTATCATGCTTACCTTTCCATTTATCTCTAACATTTTTGTTGGTACAGTTTTGGAAATGCTTCTTCTGGAGATGATTCTTTTGAAAGCGATACTCACTTAAGTGAAGGAGAAGATGAAAAAATTGGGGGACTTGATTCACCATCCGGGAAGCATGCTAGTGGGAATATCCTTATATTTGTCTTAATTTGGTGAATTCCGACATTAAAATTTTACTTTTGTATGTACCCACCAGCTAATTTGTAAATTGAACTTGGGTTTACCATACATTCATTACATCAACCTTCCATCTCAGTTAGCTATACCTTGATTGATTCCCTTAACTGGTAGATACAGACTGAAAATCTCAGCTTTGGAGACGTTGACATTGATAATGAGGATTCTGCGAAAGGAGCTCAAATTCCCAAACAAAATCAGGAGTCCTCTGTGTTAGAAGCTAAATCAAAGAAACAATCGCATTCTGCCTTTGCAGTGACTACATCTGTGGAGGACTCTCATAGAAATCACAGTTCGCTTATTCAGGCTACTATATCTACATTGTTTAATAAAGTGGAGAAAAAGGTAAAGTTTTGTGGTTTTTATTGTTAGTTTTATTACTCGTGGGAACTTTTTGTTGTGTAGCTATGGTATGTTTCAGGACTATTAAGAAGCCTGAAACTGAAAACCAAAACCTGGTCAGGTTGTGATCTCTGAGTTTCTTGGGCATATGAAAATAAAATGGCGCACCATGCATTGCCATTTTGCCTTCAACTCCTGCTTAATTTAATGCTTATCATGCTCTGAAATTTCTGAATTTTATACAGAAAGTGGACTCCATTATGCAAAGTCAAGTACAGCGTCCTTCTTCAAAGGTTCATGAAACACCAAAAAATCCAAAGAAACCTGCATCCCCAAAAGGTTGCTATTTTCCCAACTAGTTTTCTTATTATGAATATATTGGTATCTGAATACTCAGAACAGTGAAAACTGTTGATGTTTTCCAGTTTCTGGCCAGAAGTCGCGCCAAACTGATTCAAAGAAGAAGGTTAATCAGGTTACTGTCAGTTCTTAATGGTCCTTTCCACTTCTCCCTGCCCTTTCAAACAACAATTCTGGCTAATTTTTCCTTTTCTTAGTGCTTTGCATCGGAGTGTTACCCCAGCTGAGGTAGTTTTTTGTCCTTGCAGGATGGACGACCTAAGGAAAAGGCAAAAACTATCGAGGAAAAGGATTCAGGTCTCTCTCTCTCTCTCTCTCTCTCTCTCTCTTAACAAAATACTATTCAAATGTTATGGGATTGATTACCTTTTTATTATCATACTTCTTCCGGATAGTTACTTTTTCCTGCTTGTATTATTTGTTTATTCTGAAAGTTCTTCATAACAGTTCCTCTTAAGTATGCATCTACATGTGGGCAAGTTAGCTTATAATTGACCTCTGTGTTTGTGTAGGAGGCAAAAGCTTGGCAAAGAAAAAACAAGATGAGGTATGTTTGTGTCTGGCATAATATGTGTTTTTCTTTGTAATATGGTCATTAGGGTTTCAGTTTCCCTGTTTTTTTCTTCCCTTTTTAAATTTTTTTAAAAAAATTTCATTAGAACTTATATTTTGTGATTGTTATCAAAGCACTGCTCTAATTTATCCTCCAAAAGAAGCTCTACTCTAATCAAAATGTATTTCTCAATGTAAAAATAAGATTGTTGATTCTTGTGATTCCCTTAGATTTGGAGGATGGAGGTGGAAAGAAGAGGGAATTGGTTTATTAGAGTGGATTTCTGGCCCCACTCTTGTTTGAATATGATCAGGTGGTTAGTTTTCCTTGAATGAAAACTAACAAACCACCAAGAAAGAAGTCTTTTAGAGCATTATCTCACATAGAAATATGCTTCATAGTGATGAAATATATTCTATTGGCCATAAATTAGGTTGTTGCGACTTCATAAATGATTTTTCCTCAACAGGAAATTCTCGCAACACCCAATTGTGAAATCTTTCAATTGTTCACTAGCATGAATCTTTTTGTATTAGTGCAAATTTGGAGGTGATTTATATTGCAGCTTGAGTTTTACTTTTAAGCACGACCTCTTAAATGGTAATTCAAATTGTACATAAACATGTAGGTTGAAGAGGATGATATTGAAGAATTATCAAGTAGCTCACAGGTAATCTCTAGTTTATTTAAATCTCTCTTCTACTGTTTTGGAGATGGATATATATAATTTGTAAGTCCTTGAAGATGGCACAGAGGTGATTGGTAATTCAATGGTGATGGTATGTATATCAGATCAGACGGGTTGGTGCGTTGGGTGCTGATCACTTGAAATTGGCATGTAAAGCCAGATGATATTGATTTGTTTCAAGATGTTATTTCCTAGTTGAAACTGTGATTGATATTTGCTAGAGTAACGTACGTATGATCCTCCCATGCATGAAATGCAACAATCATATTTCTTAATGCATGCAGTGCACTAGCAAAATACCATTTCCATTACTTTTGTTATTTTTACTGGAATTAAACCTTAATTGTTGCTCTTGGTAGCCATTGGTGGTGATGGCACAACATTTGTATGGGAAAGGCTGAGTTTTTGAGCTTTTGCGTTGTGCAGGACACTGATCTTAGTGATGAGGATTGGGCTGCTTGAGATGGTAACGACACAGGGTGTATAGAGAATTAGAGATGCACCCGTGTCAAGCAAAGTGATGTGATATTACTCCCCTGTGCAAGGCCCAAGGGATGATGATGATGATGAGAGTGTTGAAGAGCTTGCTCGCTCGCTCATCTGGTGTTATAAGAAGAGCTCCTCAAAAATTGACACATTGCCTGCCTGCCTGCCTGCCTGCCTGCCACACGCTGTAATCTTCACTTTCTTATTATTAGCAGGCATAGATTGTTTACATAAATGTTTTAAGATGACACATCCGCCCTCTTGTTCCTCTTTCGTCTTCATATCTGATTTTATCCGAAACTAATAAATAAAGCATTTGACATCTTAAATTTTAATGTGGACAAGGTATAGCCATGGTGTTGACTCTTGAGTTGGGATACTACAAAGCCCTTGAGACTTGAAATCTGGATGCGATTCATAGTTTCTGAGTATATTTCTTAGATAATCATCTTTGTTTTTGTTGATTTATGAGTTTTTGGCGAATGGGTATTGATTGTTTCTGGTTTCACTAATGAATTTTCTCATTTGGGGTTTCACTAATGAATTTTCGCACTTCGGGGTTTCACAAATAAATTTTCGCATTCCAGAGTTTCACAAATAAATAATCGCATTTCGGGGTTTCATGAATGAATTGTCTCATTTTGGGGGTTTCATGAACAAATTTTCGCATTTTGGAGTTTCAAAAATTAATTTTTGCCTTTTGGGTTTAAGCGAAACCCCAAAGTGCAACAATTCATTAACAAAACTAAAAAATGCAAAAACTTATTCGCGAAACCCAACATGTGAAAATTCATTAACGAAACTCCAAAGTGAGACAATTCATTAATGAAACCCTAAAATGCGAAAATTCATTAGCGACACATCAAAATATGAACATTCATTTATGAAACTTCAAAATTTGATAATTCATTATCGAAACCCTAAAATAAGAAAATTCATTCGTAAACAAATAATGTGAAAACTCATTTGCGAAACCCAAAAATGTAAAAACTCATTAATGAAATTCTAACATGTGACATACATTAACATAACCCAGCGAAACCAAAAATGCGAAAATTCATTAACGAAACCCTAAAATGCGACAATCCACTAATGAAACAAAAAAAAATTGGGTAAATTTATTTATGAAACCCCAAAATACAAAAATTCATTAGCGAAACTCCAAAATGTGACCACTTATTAGAGAAACCCTAAAGTGCGAAAATTCATAGCAAAACCAAAAAATGTGAAAACTCAATAATGAAACCCCATAATGTGCTAATTCAATAGCGAAACACCAAAATGCGAAAATTTATTAACGAAACATGCAAATGCGACAGTGCGAAAATTCATAACTTTTTTAATGCACTTTTGCTAATTTGAAATTGATCAATACAATCAACTTCTTTTCCATTGTACATACGGTTCAAATAAGATCACCTTTCTTCATCCCAATCATGTGAAGGCTCTTTAACACGAAAATTATCATAATACCATTGTACTAGCGTAACCATAAAAGAGATCATTGTACAAACAATAATTTTCCTTCTCTTCATTATAGCACGCTTCTGTCTTAACCTTGTTAACATGTTATCAGCATTAACAGTAGCCATACCTGTTTATATGTGTGAATTAAACAACTACAGAGCAAGGAAACGATATAGAAAGTAGAGAAGACAAAAATCGATAAACTTAGTAAACAACTACAGAGCAAGGAAAAGAAAGGCTCTATTGCTGACAAGTAGTTTTGCTATTATTTTTTAGATGCTTCTTTGCTACACCTTTCAAATTCAGATGCTTGTAAGTTTTATACTATTGAGGAACATGAACGTTAGGAACTATAGTATTGCCTTTTTACTGGTGTCTTCTGAATGGAATAGATAAGTGGGGGTTGAATGTGTTCCTTCATTGACTAGACTGAGTGGTCTCTCTTAGATGACATAATTCTGGAATTTACTGGCTGCAATCCTATTACTCTCATATGCAATTAGAGATTCCATATTTTACAATTGACTTTTTGCTAACAAACTAAGCATTATTTTACTTTTGTCTTTTAGAGCCGTGGTATGCAATCAACCATCTATATGGAACTAGCTCCGGGGGTAGAAATCAAGGACTTACGCCAACAGTTGAAGTTATCCTATGAGGTATATACTGGTTATATTTTTGCTCTGCTGGTTGTGTACTAATCTGATGCATCTACGACTGATGTAGGATATGGGTGAATAACACAAAGTGATAAATCTAACAAACAACTACAGAGCAAGGCAATAACACAAAGTGATAAAGCTAACAAACAACTACAGAGCTGTACCATAAACACAAATCACACACCAATATCCATGGGCATAGAGTATTTTGTTAAGATTTCCCAAAACCCAGCCATAGTGCCACAAAGATCACAAAACCATTCAACACATTCATAAATTTAGTCAAAAATACCCAATTTTGATAGCCATTTAGAAACCATGGTAACCCTAAACTAGAAAAATATAAACTGAAGGAGAGAAAGGCTTGAAGACTAACCTTCAAACTTGATCCAGAGAGATGTGTAACCCAAGAAGAACTCCTTCTCCTTACTTTTCTGGTTCGCAGCTTTTTACCGCTAGCTCCTTACTTCTCTGGCTCGCAGCTTATGTTTATAAAGCGACAAGGCAATCTGTTGTATAGGGTTTCATAGGTTTTTGGCACTGTTATTTTTATTTTTTTGGCACACTGGAAAATATGAATTCCCGCACCATGGAAATTGTGAAATGACGTCTATTTTGATGGAAATTAAACTCAGGAATTTGATGCCTCAAGTTCCATGATTTTTTCCGCATGTCATTTAATAAATTCCGCGCTTAAGTTGCCAAACATGGAAATTGTCAATTTCTCCTCTTAAATTCCTGACTTTTAGCTAAATTCCGAGTTTTCCCTCATCCAAACGGAGGGTAACGAAACACATGCAAATGCGACAATTTATTAGCGAAACCCAAAAATGCAACAATTCATTCATGAAACCCCAAGTTGCAAAAATTCATTTTTGAAACCCTAAAATGCGAAAATTAATTCATAATTGAAAGTTCAATAACGAAACCGCAAAATGCGACAATTCATTAGCTAAACCCTTCATTTTTTAAACCCTAACTTGTGAAAATTTATTTGTGAAACCTCAAAATACGACAATTCATTAGAGAACCCCTAAAATGTGAAAAGACATTCATGAAACCCTAAATGCAAATATTCATTCATGAAACCCCAAAATAAGACCATTTGCGAAGCCCCAAAATTTGAAATTTCATTAACGAAACCCCAAGATGCGACAACTTATTAGTGAATCCCCAAAATGCAAAAATTTATTTGTGAAACTCCGAAATGCAAAATTCATTAATGAGACCCCCAAAATGCAAAAATTCATTAACGAAACCCTAAAGTGCGACAATTTATTATGTAAAAAATTATTTCCAAAAAATTCATTAGCAAAACCCTAAAATATGAATTCATTTGTGATACCCTAAAATCTGAATATTCATTGATGAAACCCCAAAATGCGACAATTTATTAACAAAACGTTAAAATGAGAAAATTCATTGATGAAATCACGAAATGCGAAAATTGTCTTGCCGATGCTTGTGGATACATAAGATCTTCTTAGTTGGAAGATGCTTGTGGGCATAGAAAGCCCAGTTGAGTTAAATTATCTTGTCGATAGTCTTGTGAGCCTTGGGCTTTGTGGTCGGTCATTTAGGCTTTATCGTTTTCTATTGACGACCAACAAATTAATTGAAGGAGAGAAATTTGTATAATGAGAATGGATTCAATGAGGAAAACACACAACTGATCCTGTAGATGCATATTATTTCAAAGTTGATGGCGACATGTATAATTAAAGATGTAATATTATTAAAGCTAGGACACATCATGTAATTAGAAGTATGAAATCCTTCACTAGTTGACATGCACATGAGTTAGCACTTAGCAGGTGCATGAAGCAGCTAGTGAGGATTGAGGTTGTTGAGGCAGGTGAGAGCAGGGCGGAGATCATTGCGGAGGTGTTGAAAGGAAGCATGCAATTGTTTGAGTCCTTTCAAGTCGAGCTCCTCAAAAGGAGCCCACCAGTCCTGTAACTGGCTCTTGCTGCTATGATGATATTTCTTTTGCTTTTGCTTTCATCCTCTGTTGAAGCGCTTTCCCTCGCTCCCTCTCAACTTCTAGCTCGCTCACCAACTCGTTGTGTTTCTTATTCATCTCATCGATTCTTACCTGCCTGTAGGCCTCCACAATAGTATGGCGGCTCCGATCAACAGCATCAATATTCATTATATCATCATCAATATTATCATGATTTTGATCATGATCATAATCATGGTGCTGATGATGGTGGTGGCGGTGGCCATTTAGAAATCGGTTGGCTATTGAGTCAATGGAGGAGTTAGCGTAGGAAAATGGCTTTCCGGAGGGAGAAAATACCACCACACCAACCTCAGCGCCGCATAGGGTTGCTAACTCACTTGCCTTCTTATACAAGCCAGATCGCCTTTTCGAGAAAGTAACAAGGCGATCATCTTGGTTTTCAATTCTCTTCATTTCAATATTTTGCCTGCCCTTGGTCTTCCTGCCTTCCATGGCTTGAACAACCTCCCAATGATAATATTTAATTACCTTGTAAGGAGGTTTTGCAAAATATAAATAAAATTAACTGGCTGAAAAGAGGTTTTTTCTTTCTCGGTTACTTTGGCTAGTGATGATGATGATAAGAGTTTAACCTTTCTTTGCCATGGTTTAGAGTGTGGAGATGCTTATATGTAAATATATAGAGAAGCGAACCCCTGAAATTATGTGGTATTAGATCATTTGTTATTCCCAGAAGTCGTTACTTCCAGTTTACGCACTTCAAATCTAAAGAGGACCAAATTTTTTTCGGGTGGCACTTCCAATTTTGTTTTTACCATTTTCGATTGTTTATTGTCTTTCCTCGCGTTTGAAGAGCCTTTGTTCCTATACACTATAGTCCGTCTTGCTATCAAATGGGCGCACCTCCTCCGGTCAAAAATCATACATATACAGTATACTTCCTCCGCGCGATATTCGGCATCATAGTTAGGCAATGGAATGTTTTAAGACCTTCTGATTCTGATCATCCATAATGTTAGTTGATCGCTCGTCAAACTTTAACACTTGATGAGCCTGGTCACACCAACACTCAGATGGGATCGATCGCACTATATATACATGTTATGTTCATCAACCGTGATTAAGTTGTATTAGATACACTGAGGGGAGATTTTAATTGCTTATTTGGAAGAAATGAAATCAAGATTGAAATGGAATAGAATCGTGAATGATACACTGAGGGGATATTGTCCTGAAAATGAATGGCACTATGTAAACTAAGTCGACTACGAGAGATTAATTATCAATTTAAGCAAGCAAAACACTTAACGTAATTTTATGTAATCACATAGTTTGGTACGGCTATTTGGCAGTGCCTTTGTCTGCTCCAAAGCAGCATTTGATATTTTACAGAGATATGCAACCTTCCAATTCCAAGACTTTGCACATATTGATCATATACCTAGGCTATCAATCATGCTGATCAGCCTTAGGCTTTACCAGTTAAGAATGTAGTAACTCTATCGTTTTCTGCCCTTGACAAAAACCTCATGCAAATTGGTGGCTTAACCCCGGCAATAGCAAGTATTGAAGCAGGCAAAGTCCAAACTCCATCCCCACAGATCAAACCAGAAGCTACTGCAGGCACAAAAGCATCTGCCTTGGCCTTGTTCACCCTTTCCCACAGAAACACTATCAAGCTCCCAATGCACATGTCAATGGCAAAATACGATCCCAAATAGAAAGGTATTGCCATTGCCATTGGTAGTGGAACGAAGCGTGCCCTCTTCTTACCAATGCAATCCTTGATCACGTTTGTGAGAATGGCCGCACCAAAGAAGACGGCACAAAGTAAGAGGCAGTGCTTGGGGAGAGATTTGAAGCCTTCCACCCCAAGAATAGCCATGTTACGATACACAACAGCAAAGGGAGCAGGATAGGCACTTTTTGGTGTGCCGAGGTCAGTGAAGGCTTTGTAGAAGAGCCAAAACACACAGGGAGAAATTACACAACCCATTGCTGTACCGATGACTTGGCTCACAAACATCGAGCGGGGGGAAGCCAAGGTTAGATAGCCGGTCTTGAAATCTTGGGTTAGATCAGAGGCTGTTGAGACAATGTTCATCATAACTCCGCATGCTGCGAGTCCAGCAAGAACACCACCATGTGCAGAGCCGGCCCATGCCCCGATCATGAAGATGGCCACCTTTCCGTAAGTGGAGGCCAGAGACCAATCAGTGAGGCCACAGCCATATGCATTACAGAAAGCCAAGGTGGGCGCAAAGAGGTAGATGACCAATATATAGTACCATTTGAGTTGGGGAAATATGTGGGGGACAGTGGCAATTGAGACTGCAGCAATGGCAACATAGCCTCCAACAGCAAACCATGCTGGAATTTGGTCTTTGAGAAAGAGTTGGGTGCGGCGCTGGTCATCATATGAGAGAGCAGAGGTCACAGCTGGAGAGACCTGATCTTCAATCGGGAGAATGTTGTTCACATCTTTGGCTCGGAGTTGGGATTGCAAGGCGATGAGGGTTCGACTTAGCACCTTCAAGAAGTTGTATAGCCCGTCACCGAGGATCATGGCAATGGCAATGAAGACCTAATGAATTGATTAAATACAGTACAGGGGTAGGTAAGTTTGAAGATAACAAGTATAACTTGTTCAAAACAAAAGTAGTAGTAGAAAAGAAAACAGAGATCACACACCTTGTAACCTTGAAGGCCATTCATGCTTTTTGGGCTGAGTTCTTTGCTGTACCAATCGCCGCTCCTGTTTTCTATGAGAGGCCACATTAAACCCCAAGACAGAATACCTCCAAGAAGAACAGATATGTTCACAATGTAGGGGCAAATCATCCCTACTCCAACATATGTGGCCGAGAAATCAAAGAAGAACCTGCAAATAGAAATAATGTATAAGTACATTACATATATATAAATAATCGGACAGATTCAAATAAGAATAATGTATAAGTAGTACTGGTTCTGATATGCTTTGAGGCCGAGCGTAGGGAAGCTTGCAAATCCACAATCACTTCCAGCAATATAGAACCACTGAAAGAAACCCCACAAGAAACTGAAGGAGAAGAACTTTCCCAACTCCTTTACTTGTTTCCTAATTGAATAATAATAATCCAAAGAAAAAAAAGGAGTTTAGATTAGAACCATAAAAGAAATAAAAAATAATTTTGAAGAAGGAGTTACTTGGCTAGCTTGACTCCTTGAGGAGTGTGGAAACTGTTGATAAGATGAGCAGTTGCAGTGCCACTTGGATATGTCAATTTGAAGTCTATGATCATGATCTGAAACCAATCTCGTGTTATCTTGACTAGTGAGTGAGTGTTGAAAGAGTTGATTCATTAAAGTTCTTACAAGTTTATTAAGTACCTTTCGAAGAGGGACGACAGAGAAGAGGCCGAGAAAGCTGACAACAAAGAGAAAGCCAATGAACCAAAGCAAGCCTGGTTCTTTGATATCCCTAGTACTGCTGTCTGCGGATTGCTGGGCAATGCGTGAACTCATGCCAAACAGATAGCTCCCAAACCCTCCTGTCAGTTTGTACATTTACTTTACACATTACGTACTTGAATAAATAAATATATAAGCTTGGCATATCATTATATCATACATACATGAATCATGATAGATGATAGATGATAGATGATAGATGATACAATACACCATCAATTTCAATTCAATCATCTTTCCACTCACTATTTATCTTCATATAATATTGGGACCACCACCACACCACTTGCTTACTCAATCTCTTTTTTCTTTTTCTTTTTTCTTTTTTTCTCGACCTAATAAGAGCATTTCCAGCTGGAGGGGCCAACCCGGACAAGAGACACCCTAGGCCCCTAATTTTGTTTCTAGTGGCCAAAGTTTGCCAGGGCAAGCGCTAGGCTCCACCAATCTGGGCAAACTGACCTCATGCTAATGTTAGTAGTCAATTTAAATATATATAATAAAATTATAATATAAAAAAACCACCAGAAATTTCAGAAAAAAAATGTCTATAAATACCTAGCAATGGATGAGAATGCATCAAAAAAATTACTAAGGTAGTCACTATTCACATGAACAGTAATTACTCTTGCCTCCCTTTACCCTTTGTCATGGTTCTAAGTAAGCGAAGCCAATCTTATCATGCTCTAAAAGTCTCTAAACACCCTCAGGAGTCAGGACAGGAGGCCTATCAGCAACATGTAATCCCAAACTCTGACCATACACAATCCGCAGCATAACGACTCTCACTATTTATTTAATTACATCAAATACTAATAATGAAAAATCATGCCGGCCTAAGCGCAGCAAAATTCTATTTAAATTTAAGAACAAAAAACTAATTTTCATACTCCATAGATGAAGTATATGCGAAAAACATGGTTGGTTGGTTTTAATAATTTCCTTGTTTCAAAAAATTAAAAAATTAAAATAATTAAAAAAATTAAAATAAAAGCAGATGTTGTCATTTTACCAAGCTAAGCCAGCATGACAGAAAGAAACTAATAATTATCGACGTCAACAAAATCAAAATGAATGAAGCCAGCTGGATCTCATCTTCATCTTCATCTTCATGGATGGCAGATGGCAGCTTATTAATTAGCAAAGCATAATGAATGAATGAATGAATGAATGAATGAATGAATGAATATAATGAAGGTAGTAGATAGACTGATAGATAAAAATAAATAAATAAATAAATCAGAAGAGATAGAGTCTAGAGATGATAGATAGATACCGCTAAAGGCGATGCCAGAGGAAGCAACGACGCAGGTCTGGATAACAGTGTTCTCTTGCCTGGTGAAGGGCTGTTTGAGGAGGCCACACCTGTCGAGGAACTTGGTCCAAGTCCTGACAAAGAAAAAGCCCAAGAGTCCAGCAGAGACGTTGAGAGAAGGAATAATACCGGTGGTGAGGTTGAGCTTCATCACTATCACACTGAAGAGCACGCTCAGCACAAGGCTTATGAAAAACGCTCTCACAGTCAGCTGCTCCTTCCATGACGGCACCGTTTGCTTCTCAAATATCCTTTCCACTGACAACTCCTCCTCCAACCCCAGATTCTCCTTCTCTTCCTCTTCCTCTTCCTCGTACTTGGTCTTCTTCTTCGGATCCAGCGCCTCAAGCTCTAAATCATCTTTTCTCAATCCTTGTACGAGTCCTGCTTCTGACGCATGATGATCCCTTTGGTACTCTAACTGATCATCTTGTTCAAGTTGATGTTGCTGCTGAGTACCCATAATTAATATTATTTATGATAGCCTAATGTATTTATGGGTACTCGTGACTGTATTGATCAATCTTGTTGATTTGAGTTTGAGGCCGGGCCACATGTAATGCAGTGCTTTAGCCTTTATTTATAAAAGAGTACTAGTAATGCTGCCGCTGCTGAGAAAGAAAGAAACCAACTTTTTTATTGATACCAAAATCAAGCATTTGTTGTTTTCTCTCTCTAGGCTAGGCCCATTCATTTTTTACTTTATTTATTATTTGCAACAAATATATCGAATTATATTGAATGGCTGAGTTTGCCTTTGAATATATAATAACAAGAAGATACACACTACACTTCGTACTAGAATACAAATTATACAATTACTAATTGATAAAGAGTGACAGTTGGTTCGTTGGTTTTTCCAAGGAGAGAGAGAGAGAGAGAGCTGGAAATTTAGAATTAATAAGATATACGATGAGTTTTAAGGTAGCTTTTCCACATTGCTTGCATTTCGATTGCATGATGTATGGATTTAATAGTAATGTTGATATATACAATGCCACAAACAGGGTAGGCTTACAGTTGATCATTTGGATTTTCTTCTTGGGTTGGGTTGGGCTGAGACTCAGAGAGATGCACAGACACAGACAGACAGTGAGAGGAGGCTGGCTGATGACTGGATGAGATCGTGAGAGGCTGGCTGAGTGACCACTAACTTATCAAGTCAACTAAATTTGTTGTGTATCTCTAATAATTACTATTTTATTATATTAATAACCTCTACTAATAATTGTATACTATCTGTCTGTAAGACTGTAAATTGTACATAATAAATACCATACCATGGTATATGGCTCTTAACCGAGACAGCCTCTCTATCGAGAAAGACCGTATTTGGTTAATGAGAAATGAGATTTGGGAATGAAAAATCAATTGTTTTTTTAATTTTGATAAATCCAGTCATGGAAAATGATTGTCTAAACATGGGAAACATAGTGGGGCAGAACATAGTGGGAAACATAATAATTGAAATTGAGTTGAATTGCGCTCATTTACTTTTCACTATTTGCATTGGTCCACCAGTGCCCACGCATCCCCACCAAAGCCCTTTTCACACCACACATTGGAATCTACAGCGTAATCGTAATATATCCTGTCCTTTTCACAAGTTCCAAACTTCCAATACGTTAAATATCCCATCCCATCCCACCAAAAAATAAGAAAATAACTTTCATGGATTGGGAGCCAAACCAAACCAAACAAAAGCGGAATGGAAAATCAGCTCCTTAAATAAAATGACTGTGAATTAAGATGTTGCTAATTGAAGGACTTGAATTAATTCATGTTGGCTTGGACCAAACTAAAACTGATCCATCCATCATCTAATATATTATTGAAATTGAATTAATTAAGGCAAGCATGAGGAAAGTTGATATTTTCAGTTTGGCATGTTGTCGAGTACTGGTGCCTTGTGGCTGTGGATGCGTCGTTCGTCCATCCAATTCCAACATCAACATCCATGTGATGTTCCAAGGGTTGAAAGAAACTTGCACGCCTACGACTTTGAAATGCAATATGAATCAGAAGACCAGACTGCAACTAGCAAGCAACCAAGCATTACAAGAATATATATATATATATATATCAAGACAGCCATCAAGGTACCCTGCGTGATTTTAGCAATTAAGGTACCCTTTTCTTTTCTTATGAAGAGCGCAAATTTCTCCCTCCTCTAAATGATAACGTTTGGGAGATTCACTAATATACCCAATATAGGGGCCCAAATTATAAAAATACCTCATATGAAATGAACTTTATAAACACATCCAAAACTCATTTACAACATAATAAAGAGGCCTTAACTTCTTATAAATTACAAAACTACCATAAATTTCTTAAAACAAGCCCAACCTCAAAATCTCATAAAAATACCCAAAACACTCAATAGGGCATTAAAGTAATTTAATAATCAATATTAAATTCAATAAGGTCAGCTGTCATTTTTGAGGTTTTTTTTGAGTTTGTTTATAGAAATTCAATGATGGAGGATTTATCTATAATATTAGTGCTAAGAATGGGTATATCACTAAATATCTCTTGGTAATAATGGGTGGATTGTCATTGTCAAAGATACATAATATCTTCTTAGCTGGAACTTGGAAGATGCAAAAAAAGAATATTCCGCCGGTTTTATATTAATATGCGTCAACTCTTGAACCAATAATATTGTATTTTGGGTTATATCGAGACTCTGTTGTATTGTTTGATGAATTTTCCAAGAAAAGGATTAGCACTGCCGAGTCAAGATTACAAAGAAAGATGACTCTCTCTGTAAATTTGTAAATAAAAACATGTCACTTTCAAGACTCCATATATAATCTATTCACAACTCCATGGGCTTAATGCTGCTGAGTGCTTGCTTTAGCTGGAGCCTGGAAGAAGAACCACTCAGACTCAGCATTCACATCCTGTTCGGGGACAGACACATATTGCCCCTTGTATATATTTATCAAACCCACGTATGACCAAAATGCCAATTATTTTGTGAATCTCAATAATTATACAACCATGTACAGAGCAAGATTTAGCACAAAACAATTTTAACAAGTAGCCAAAAATGAACAGATATTATACAAACATCTCACTGAGTAGCAGAAAATGAACTTAAGTTCAAAGACATCAAACAGATTCAATACACAGATCGTTGACCGACACAAGCACACCAAGTCTCTTCTTCAGCGTGCCTCATACTGAACAACTGCAAAAACAACCATGACTCGTATAAATCAAGCATTGAATAATGTGATAGAGAATATGATAAGAGTGATTAACATAATCAGCAAAGAAACACAAGACCATCAAAATGCTAGCCAAAAGGCATTCCACAGTGCAACAAAAAGGACACTACAATGCAATAGGAAAAATATATATGTATATGATAGCAATACAACTTGTGTGTGCGTGTGTATATCCCTTTTTTGTTTGTGTTTCAAATAGGACTACAGGATCGATGGATGAAGTTCTTTCCAAAGAGGAGCATATTAATATAACTTGTGTATGCTGGTAGTTAGTATAACACGGTGATCCCAATATGACAGATAAGAAAAGAAATGAGTCTACATATAGCACATTACCATAGGGCTAGCATATAACTTAATGCTTTAAATAAACAAAATGGCACACCAAAACAATTGCCTTTAATCATTCAGTTTAACTCTCTGGGAAGAAGAAAAATAAAGCAGGGAACAAGAGACATATGCGTGTATTGTTTTGTTGGCACAACAGATTGTGATTAGCCTACACCAAGATGCATCAATACTGCTAGACTAATCACTGACCATAATCAGTAGGAATTCCGGACCAAATTGAATTGAAGGAGCATAATTGGGTGCAATGCTTTAATTGACTTTGCTCTAGCAATCCCACTGAGACAGCATTGGTGCATCGTGGTGTAGGCTAATCACAATCTGTTCTATGCACATAAAACCATATCCTCAAAGCCAGAAGCCCAAAAACTAACTAAAACCATTTGGCATCAACATAACTACCTTGTACACACCCTCTCACTTTACTTACAAGTAATTGTCTGTTGCCATGGTGTAATAAGTTTTTAATTAGGACTGGAAAGATAACAGCTACTAATTACAAAACATGAAGAACGCATGAAATGTAAAGCATATCCACATCTTACACTAAAAGGGCGGCAACCAGACGAACACAGTGTTTTTTACCAGGCTTTTAAAAGTTCAACTCACAATAACATTCCAATCACCGAAATCCACAATGGACGACTGAAATTTGATCATTGAGAAAACCCAATCCCCAAATTTGTATACTTTTCAATAGCAAGTAAAGAATTGACTATGCAACAATTCAATTCAAGCATATACAAGTTAATGTATTTCACCCAGTAGAAAACGAGCATTCAGTGAGGAGGACAGAATCAATTTCATTGAAAAATCAAAAAAAGAAGAAGAAAAAGTTGATTAAAAAATCGCAATAAAAGGAAAGGATACATCATACATGGTGGTAAGGTAGGTAATATGATAATGAATGAAATCTATGAGGATAGGGACTTACTGCGACGAGTGCGCTTCTTGTATAAGATACGGTAGCCGCATTCACGGCATTGAATCACATCGTTTGGCTTCAAGGGAATCTCCATCCCACAATCTACAACAACACAAACACTAATTTAGTGTCTATTTGCTAGCCTAGCCAGCCAACTTTCTCCAACAACAAACGCAAAACCAGTACCTCCACAGATGTAGTAGACTGGCTCTGGCTGCGGATCCATGAGATTACGTTCAAAAAGGGCTTTCTACTTCTAGGGTTTATGATATTCGAGCAGAATTAGTTTCGTTTCGGGGGGGTTTTGTATTTGTCTGTATTGTATATACGTGTGTGTGTGTGTGTGTGTGTGTGTGTGTGTGCATACGATATGCATTGATTGTTGGATGGCTCCATCGTGGTCAGAAATTGGTTTGGACTTGGAGTTTTAAGCCCAAAAACAAATTGGACTGGATTGTTAGTCAGATAGCAACTTGGGATTTAGTGACAGCCGAAGCTTGTCTTTCTAGTTTGTAACTTGTACACCCAACCCAGCGGCTTTTAGTGATAAAATTTCAAAATGTAAGGGAAATAAAGAGTAGAGGGACGAGGGTGCAGCTACCAAACCAGACCAGTCACAATTTTGTTTTGTGTTTGGCAAATTGGCAAATTGACACTCACATCGCATTGCAGGCAGTGGATTTATTACTATTAGAGCATCCATAATGATTGTTCAATAGTTTAATTTCAATGCAATAGTTCAAGTATCTATTGAATTGAACGGCAGTTTTATTTGAAATAGTATAGTTCAATAGCTTTAGTTTATTGGTATGTGGGTCCTATGATTAGCTTCTATTGCAATGAACTAGATCACACCTTTGCAAGTGAGATTTTAGAAAATTATATATTTTGAACCCATAAAAAATACAACATGTCATGTTCGTAGTCTAATAAATAAGACCAAAGAAAAAGAAAAGAAAAAAGCTTGGATCCTTAGAAACCAAACCTTTTGAATCGGATGAAATGCCATATCATCCTTATCCCCATTATTTGAGAGTAGAGAGAGATTATTCAATTGATTCCATATCCAGACTACTAAGTCCTTTTCTATAAAACAGAAACAAATGCTGTCTGCCAGTGCCTACCATTGCCAAGACAATTAACTATTAAATAGGTGGGCAAGGCAACCTCATCCATCCTCCACCTTACCTAATAATAATTAATAATTATATGGTCAAAGAAAACATTATTATTACTATTATTATTCTATTTCATTTAATTTTAACCCAAAACCCAAATGGTAATGGAGTTTATGATTATTATTGTTTGGTTGGGGTTTGTTTTGTTGCGGGCTAGTCGTGAAGTAAGTTTCTGGGAAACTTGTTTGTTTAAATTTAAAAAAAGGAACTGCATGCAATTTGCAGACAAACAAAAGCAGAGCAGCCCTGGGCTGGCATGTGTGCGGTGGGATGCATGTGCGCAAAACATTAACTACTACTACTACTACTAACTTGTTGCTGCAGCCTGCAGGCAGGTTGAGCACGGTATCTCTTTCTTCTGTATATATGTGGCTATGTGGTGTTCATTATTTACGCAGCATATATCACATAAGTTATAACCTGAGTGAGTTCATTAAACCAATATTAGAATTAGAATTAGAATTTAGAGTAGCTAGCTCACTACTAAGTTTGTTTATCAAATTTTACTCATCAAGTCTTTCTTTTGATTTTCAATTTTCAAATATGGGACTCCAATTTCCATGAATCTATCAGTCAGTCAAATAAGCACAAATTTAGTGACTGTGTGTTGGTCCAACTCAGTCTGTCAGCCAGCCATCTTTTGTTGACTTGGAAGTTTATGGAAAAGTGAAGCTACTTTAAATTCCAAGCTCGCCCATTGCCACGAAATTGCTTTTGCTTGCAGCTGCATCATACATGACATGTTGATCGTTGATCGTTGATGTTGCTTCTAGAAATAAAATGTACATTTCAACTTCAACAGTCAGTCAACAACTCCACAAGGGGAATCTTTGAAACTTGTACCTTGTATTATATTAATTTATATGGATGGCATTCATTTGTATTGTTATTATTGTATCTCTCCTTTTAATAAGTAGCTAGCTAGAGATAGAGAAGAGACTCAGACTTTTCAAAGACCAAGAGCTCATTGACATTTGCCAGCCGCAGACAAGCTGCACCAGGAGGCATAGAGGATCTTCATACATGGAAATGAAACACCATTTTGCAGATGAATATGTTGCAAATCCGTATATGAACTCGTATGGCACAACACCAGAGACGGACAGGCAGCAGCAGCACTCTCTATCTGAACCTATCAGCTTATGCCACAGTCCATCTTCTTCAGATTGCTCTTCCTCCTTCAAAACCAGTAATTACATACTCTTGCTACTTTACTTGATGTATGTATGTTGTATGGGTGGGTGTGTGTAGCTAATAATTTAATAATCATGTATAAATAAATAAATATCCAATTTGGTGCAAATTGCAATCAAGTAAGTATATTGCCTGGCTAACAATCTAATATAATATAATATAATATATAGATGAAGAAGGTGATTCAGGGAAAGGCCTCAACACCAAATTTGGGAAGAAAAGTAGCAGTTTCGCATACAGGATACGCGAGCACGGTGAGAAACTCAACCAAGATGATTCATTAGATATTGGAAGACTTGACTTGATTTGACTCTAAATATTAATGCAGTGAAACTTGGGCCCAAGCTGTCTGAAACTGTCAAGGGGAAGTTGAGTTTGGGGGCAAGAATTATTCAAAAGGGTGGAAGGAGGAATATATTTAAACAGATATTTGGTGTAAATGAAGGAGAGGAGCTGTTGAAGGCCTCCCAGTGCTACTTATCAACCACGGCGGGTCCTATTCCTGGCCTGCTTTTTATTTCCACTCAAAAGCTTGCTTTTTGCAGTGAAAGATCCATCTCTGTCCCTTGTGCTGCAACTGCAACTGGGCAAGTCGTTCGAACGCCGTACAAGGTTTTCATTCGTTTCTTACTCTTCTTCTAATATCTAATCTTCTATTCTAATTTCTATATATGAAGACGACAACTTATATAAACGGGCGGAATGGATGTTTTGCAGGTTCAGATACCAATAAGGAAGATCAAAAGAGCTAACCAAACCGAGAATGTGAACAAACCACAACAGAAGTACATAGAAATAGTTACCGAGGATGATTTCGAGTTCTGGTTTATGGGATTCTTACGCTATGAAAAAGCTTTCAGAAATCTTGAAAAGGCCATTTCCATTACCAACCAAAACTAGAACAAATTTATAAAATCCATCCATCCATCAAACAGACTCGACTCCTACCATTAAGCTACATGATATGTGTTTTTTGGAGTGCTGCAACCAAGCTAACCTCTAGCTCTCTTCTGTGGTATTCTTTCTTGTATTTTCCTCCTTTTTCTTTTCTTGGCTTTTTGATGTCTGCCTGCCTACCTACCATGTAATAATCATGTCAAGTTGATATACGCTATTGTTTCAGGGTTTGGTTCTGAATTCTGAATTCTGATTTCTGATGATGTGATGAGTTTGATTTTCAGGAAATTTTGATATAAAATAAGGACAAGCTGAATTATCTTAACCCTCCCTGCCTGGTAGTAACTAAACAAAAATCTTGCGGAATAAATTAGTTCAATATTTTACCGACAACAAATGGATGGCTTCTGAAACGATTAATTGGCGCAACGCAATCGTGAAATAAAAGGCGCTTTTGTGTAGCAGCAAGCAGCTACTCAACTCAACTCGCTGACAATATATTCGTTTCGTTGGTTAACTAACAGACTTAATCACATGCACTCTGCAATATTTTCTCGGCTAGTTCCTACCCGAAACCCCCTCTAAATCCTAAGTCTAATATAAAGAGTTGATTAAAATAAAACAACTTATGCAACCACCTAACTGCATTCAAACAGGATGCTTCTTTTAACACCTCGACAGTCACAAGACAATAATCATTAAACACAATAATCGATCAAGAATTAGGAAATAGTAAAACTAGATTTTAACCAAAAGATAAAAGTAACTACTCTCCAGAGTATCACAAGGAGAATCACAACAACCACGGTCAGACTTTTTTTAAAAAAAAGAAAAAAAGGTAAAAGTAAAATAAAAAACTTTCAGAAAATTGAAAGTATATAAAATGACACAAAATCCCCTTGAAACTCTCTAAGAAGCTTGCTTCTCCTCCTCCTTGTCCTTCTCCTCTGCAGCAGCTTCAAAGGTCTCGCCAGCAACAAGCTCAGGGACGTCGTCATCATCGTCCTCTTGGGCAGCGGTTCCACCACCACCACCACCAGGTGCTTGCTTCTGGAACTGCTCTGCCAGTTTCTTCAAATTGTCCAAGTTATCTGGCCCTGAAAATAATAAAAGGTGTCATAAGGAATTCCCCAACTCCTCTTTAAGCAAGAACAGAATAAAAGGATCACAAGCACACTTACCCAAGTGGCTGATAATACTGGGAAGAATATCTTGCAACTCTACAACAGAGAGAGATCATATGTCAAGTTATATGCCAATATGACAAAAATCTAAACAAGGTCAATCAAAAGGTAATAAAAGGCTCAATGCAGCATAATATCCAGGCACAAACACAAATAAACATTTATATATGTTTATTGTTTCAAAACTCAGGTAGCGTTCTCTTACCAGATAGTACAACATTCAAAACAAATTTCCAATCCAAAGCACATATTGACAACCAAAACTCAAGTAAATTGATCGTGTAAATACACTATTGGAAGCCCATAACACCAATATTCTATCCACTTTTCTATATTACTATTAAATTGAAAATATAGAAGACACCAGAACGGTTAACAAGTTAAACCATCACTTCAAATTTAAAAGATAAGAGAATAAATATTGGCATACTCTTTGTCTGCGGAGAACCGCTAACAACCCAAGTATTGGCAGCAATAGAAGCTTGAACTGAAATGTACAAGGAAAATCATCAACTATTAGAGAAAATCAAAATATTAGAAGCTTGAACTGAAATGGACAAGTAAATCAAAATAATAATCTACAGAATCAGAGTTCTGGCAGGTTAGCTTCACCTTTGGGGTTTATGAACTGGATGACAACATCATCCTTAAATATGTTAACTTCCTCGATTGCAGGAATAGCATTCACCCCTATTCTCTTAAGGGTGCTCTGAAGCCTTTTGTCATCAGTGGTAGTTGTCTTGTGAACAGCCTTCTTCTTTCTGAAATTGGGAACATAAATTAATAAACAAAATCATGTACTGAAGATCACACAAAAAACATGTGATAATTACAAAGAACTGCACGAATGTGTAAGACTTATAACTCAAAACAGAAGAGCAAGAGAACCCATCACACTCTCCTCCAGAGTAGGCTCTCTACTGAAAAAGCAATTACAACAATTGGGGACTACCTTTCTGTCATGAGCTCCTTAAACTAGGGAGCCATAACGAACACCAAATGCAGCATACACTAAATGATTGTATTTAAATTCACAGAGCGCCACATAAAGATTGCATGTTACTTTTCTTTGTTGGTTCATTAGTACAACTGCAATGGTTATACAAATCAATAAATGAGAAAACTTTCTGTTCCCCATGGGAAGAACAGACTATGAAAGTCTTAAAAAATTACAAGAATAAGAAGAGAAAAAAAAACATGATAAAACAACAAAAGACAACAGTCCACTCAACATGCCATCACTAACTGCTTCACATAAGGAACTCAAATTGCAAATCAATAATTTGATGAAGTAAACTACTTCATCAGGTGCTCAATATAATGAATGCAGACCAAAATGAGCATCAACCATATTAAGTGACATATTAGGCATTAAACTGGCCCACATATAACTGCACGCATTTTTAACTCATAATCATTAAGGCCAAAACTTGATATTTCAGCCTCTGTGACTCAACTTGGTAGAGAAAAGGAGTTTCAAGCTTAAAAGTTAACCCACCTCCTCATGCTACCCTTTCCACCAGTGCGAACCGCACCGGCCATCTTCATAAGTTTCTCGCGATTCATCTGCATAAAAAGTGGGTACTGTAAGATGAAGGGATGAGTTTCAATTGAAAATGATTCAAGATCCAAAACATTACATCTAAAGTTAAGTAGTCTGTGTTTTAAGCAATAAAACCTCCAACACGACCGAGAAATTTGTTTTACAATTTCTCAAATTGTTTTTAAAACGAATTTTACAATGTCTCAAATAAAGGACAACGATTCTATTTTCTGTTATCTTGTTTCTTCAATCTCACACTATACTAAGAAAACCAAGCATCTATGAAGTGCCAACATGAAACTGATGAAAGAATGCATCAATTGTACAATTTTACACACTGGCAACGAAACCAAAACCATGTAGTTCAGAACACCATCCAAATCCCATAAACATCAACAATTATCTCCGAAACTGAGTTTATCTTAATTAAATTTAAGAGAACAATACATATATACAAGACTCTGATACAAGTAGAATTGCGAAATCTGAATAATATGATACCGGTAACACTGTCATGGTAAAAACCCACTTAGAATTAAAATTTTGGAATTTTCACATCCTCGAACAAAGAGAAATACAAAATCTATAATAATGGATGACACTTCCAAAGTAGTAGTAATAGTATATGTGAACAATACGAGCACAAGTGTAGCAAAATTGCAATCCCATCAAGTAAACGCATTTCAAACATACTCTTTGGCTGCGCAAACAATTAATAAACCAACCAGAAAAGTCTAACACTACAATACTGGTAGCATAATTGCATTACCCACCAAGTAAAAGCAGCCTTTTTGGCCGCCGAATGAATTTGAAAGACATAAAAAGTAAAATAACAAAGAAACTGAAACTTCAGTTGATGATCAAGCGCCCGCCGGATAACCCTCATACCTTTATATATCCGTGTTACCCAGAAAACAAGCATAAACAAAATCAAAACAAAGAAGAAGAGCCCTAACTCAGAAAGCGATACAGATACTATACATGATTAAGGAGAATACCGGAAGTGCGAAAGAGCTCACCTTTGAGGTTTTGGCCTTCCTAGGGTTTTTGTGTGTGGGATAAAAAGAGATAAAGATTAAGAAGCCGAGCCCTCAACCTCAGACGGCGCTAAGGTTAGGTTTTCTCCTCACTATAAAAGCCTCCTCTGGCTTATGCTCAACATCCGACGGTCAGCAAACGACTTTGATTGCCACGTGGCATAACTGTGATGGGTTTGATTATCACCTCGTTTCTGATGCGAAGTAGCGTGCGTTGGTGTTTGATTGGTACAAATTTAAAGAAAAATAATAAAAAATATCGATACTGATTAATTTTATTTTCGAAAAATTAAGAGATGCAAAAAAAGTATTTGGAAAAATACAAATAATTTTTTTTTGTTTTTTTATGCTTCAAATACTTTTTTTTTGTTATAAACATATAATCTCAACATTAACAATATTCAAAGTCTCATCCAATTGGTCAACATGGTCTAGTCTAGTGAAAAGTGGTTTTGACTTGCAGACCAAAAATTGGTATCATAGTTGTGTGTGTGTGTGAGAAATCCCTCTCTCATATAGTTTAAACTATCGCTTGTACTAAAAAAAAAATTATCATCCAATTGTCGATGGTTCTATTTTATCAGATTTACAAATGTGTTGCATGTTGAAGCAATGAGTTTTTGTTAAGTACTTACGTGGGTTATTCAGTTACAATTTTCATGAATAGAAGTTGTGGTCGACGCTTGTTCAGGTGGTAAGGTTTATTTAAGCTTTTGGGCTGCTTATAGTTTTTGATTTGTGGGCTTTATTTGGGATTATATTTCATTGTGGTATTGTGGGCTAGTAATATTAGTGCAACTTTTATCCGCTTTAGTATCGTTTTTGGCATGTTTGTTTGTTGTCCTCTCTGGATAAATGCTTTATATGTCATATCTTTAATTGTATTGTTGAAGTTAATCTAATGAAGTTTCTCTTGATTAAAGAAAATAAAATAATAAAGATAAAAGTTGAATGTCATTCTAAGGATATACAATTACTTTAGAACATAAGGATATACAATTATATTAGAATATAAGATCTATTGTCCAATGTATTTGGTATTTGATTGAGCATATTTCGTAATCTTATGTTCGACATATTTTAAGTGAAACAAATATGGGACATTCTTATGATTATTCATGTATTTATTGTTTTGATGATTTATAGCTCTTTCACATAATGTAGTATATAATTTGTGATCTCCCATACATTACTCTTTTATTTGATTGATTAATCATGTGGCTTGAAAATTTTAAATAAAAGTAAGTCCCTTTAATTTAATAAAAAATATAAGGAAATTTGCATAAATACTACATGAATTTTTAAGCATGTGTGAGATTACCACATGAATTTTTAATTTTCATTATTAACCGCCTAAACTTTATAAAGTGTAGCAATTTACCATCTACGTGTAACTCCGTTAAAATTTTCATTAAATCAAATTACTACAATTAAACAAATTAAAAATTTTGAAACTAATTTAAAAAAATAAAAATAAATCAAGCATATTATCTCTCGCCTCCCCCTACATCTTTCTCCTCCACTACCAATTTGCAACAGACCAATCATGACGTTTTCCTTTTTTCTTTAGGCTGATAAAATCCAACTTGGCAATTAAATATTGCTGAATTTGTTATTGATTTGCAGAGTTTGGCCTCTTCTTTGTGCAGTTGAGAGAGAGAGAGAGAGAGAGAGAGAGAGAGAGAGAGGAGTTTTAGGGTGGGGGAGGCGGGGGCTGTTGGGGAGTGAAGGAGAAGGGGTGTGGGGGAGGTTGGGGTATAATTAATTAGGTTGAATTCTGTTTTTTTTTCCTTTCTTTCTAATTATGTTAGTTTTTAAAATGTAAGTTTTAAATTATAATAAATTCATGAAAATGTCCTTTAAAAAATATCACATGTTCAACTTGTGACTGTATTTAACGGTTATTTTAACGGAGTTATAATAGAAAGTAAATTGCTACACTTTGCAAAGTTCAAGTGATTGAAAGTAAAAATTGAAAGTTTATATGGTAATCGCACACATGGCTAAAAGTTCAGATGATATTTATGCAAATTTCCCAAAAATATATGTATTGACAAAATGCAACCCCAAAAAACAAAAATTATAGCCATTTTATAAAAATATATTTGTTTGCACATAAACTACTCTATGAAATTGTATTGGGGATGGATACGATTGTGTACGATATGACTCCCTTCCAAAACCAAAAACCATATTATAGATATAAACGGTTTGTTTTGGTTCGGATTTATGCACAAATCATCATATTAACTGAATAAATCTAAGGACGGTTGGATTCGGTTTGAGCTCACACCCAATATCTATTCCTAACGTTTTTGGAGCATTAAAATCAAAATATCATTGTAGCAAAACTGTCGAATGGATGTTGATGAAATACGACAGGAAATATAATATAAACAATTGACAAAAATATCGATACAAAGAGAAATTGAATTAAGGAAATTTTGAAAGAAAATAAAAATAAAAATCTAAAACATTTACTCACTAAAAAGATTACCGGATAAATGAATGTTTGTTTTTTTTTTTTTTTTTTTTTTTTTTTTTTTGGGGTGAAAGAATGTGCTATGTTGTTTTCAATGAAAGTAATGTTATTTATTGAATGTTACAAAATATATGGGATGAGCTTGAAATAAAAACATGATTTAGAAAAGAAAAAAAAAGTTAGATAAAAAGTGAAGCTTAATCTTCTATACTACATTTGGTTCATGGGAAATGACCACACATGGGAAGTGGTTGTCCGACATATAGAAAAGTAGGGGGAAAAATGAAACCCTCCACCCTCCTTAGGTTCCATTTTCCCTTTCAATAAGAAACTAATATCAACATTAAATGCACATATTTCATGACCATTTCGTCCTTATAAATAATTTATAATTACAATATAGCATTAAATGCATAATTTTTTTATTATCTAATATGGATATAAGTGGGAAATTAGACAAACTTTGTTTTACATTTATAAGCAAACTAAACATGGGAAATGAAATAAAATGGTATTTCCTGGTTACTTTCACAGCACTACCAAACATGGGAATATAATTTTCCATTTTCCATCCCTTAGAAAAAGACATGAGAAATATTTCCATAAAATCCTTTTTGCGAACCAAATGGGACCTAAGGGTAAAAATGTAATTAAAACACATAAAAAAATAGCCTAATTTATCTTACTACCAGTAATAACTACCTCACATGCCAAATTAAACTTAATTCAATTGATAATTATCTACGAATTAGAGGTCCTTTGTTCAATTTTCCCCTCCCTCAAAGCCAATAAGTTAGAAGAAAAAAAGCACTTTGACATCTTCACTTGTTAATAAAAGAAAATTAAATTGTATAAAAAAGAAGAAGAATTAAATAACAAGAAAGAAACAGAGTGCAAATAGACAAAAAAGCGCATGAAAGTATATATATTCCCTGTGATGTAATTGAATATATATATATATATATTATTTTAATCAATGGTTTGAAAATATAGATAACACCATGTTTCTAAAATGAAGCAACTGCGCAGTGAAGCTGCGTTAGTAACTTGGTAAAGCAAGACTCCGCAGTTTCCTTTTTGCAAGTGCCACCAACTTCAAAAGAAGCCTTCTTAATAAGAAATTCAGTCCCTCGATCTAAATTATCATGTTCGCCTTAAGCTTTGATAGAACTGAGTTCAAGTTTGGCACTTTCTTGATGCTGCATGTCATCGGAGAAAACATGAGATTGAAAAGTATAAGACACCATATATATGTTCTGAATCTGATTTGGAAGCCGTGACAAGCTTTTGAATAAGATGAAAAACAAATATCCATAATGAAAATAAACTTGTACGAGGGACAAACTTGGGAACTACTTTTCTTATGTAAATAAATAAGCTGACTAGGTACACCGAGTAAGGTCCTTCAAATTTCCAACTCCTTTGCAGCCTCAAACAATAGGCATGCACACAAACTTCCTATCCTGGAAAATATGCAGGTAGCTTCCACTATATATATATATATATATATATATATATGAGTTCTTCTCCAATGCAGACGTCCGCATTATGTTAAAGTCCAGTCGTCTCTTTTGCAACTTCTTTTTGCAAGTGAATTTGGTTCTTAGTGGAACTCACTTGGCTTGAGGAGCCATACTGGCTCAGTGGAACCCATTCATCACTGACATGGCTCTATAATTAAACAGAAAAAGAAGCGAGCTTACAGTAGCAACCAATGGTATTGCTTATTGTTCTTCTGCACACCTTCCCACTTTTGGGATACTTTTTGGAAGGCCCAACCCCTAATTATATATTTATATATGGAGTGCTTACCATGTTTTTGCTTTATACATGTATGAAAGCAAATCCACCTACAGAAAAGAAGCTGGAAGGACACGACTGGACTTTAACACAATGCGGATGTCCGCATTAGAGAAAAACTCTATATATATATCATGACATAACTCCTCCCAAACCCATTGCCCTCTACCAAGCATCGAAAAAAGGTCTGTGAAACTGCATGCAAGCCACAGAGTTTACTTAAGGGAAGACTCCTGCCACTTACCCTAAAGTATTTTCTAGAAAACATCGCACCAATTCCTATCCCCTTCCACTATCATATTGCAGTGGATCGGATAAATCAAGTACTAAACAATATGGCGGGATCCAAGATCTACGACACTACTTTCGAATCCAAATCCACCCCTACTAATGAACAAAGTCACCATCAACTCAGCTATAAGCTCAAGATCTATGACTCTATTTTTAAGAGCTTATAACACACTGATAATCATGTAACAGAGATCTCTCATGCACAAAGATATGAATGAAATTTTTTTTTAAAAAGAAATGAAAATAAAAACTCACTTGTACATAGTATCGCCACCAGAAGACTTCCTGTGTATCCAATCTGGAACATGGCTTTCAAGAAGATCAATCTGTTCTTCAACTTCGCCTGCAAAGAAAACAAGGTACAGTCATGAAACACCTACTTTTGAAATGCAATCAAACATGTACCAGTAGTTATCACATTGATACGCACTTCTTTCAACAACATCAAAGTTATTCATAATTATCTTGTGCACAAGCTCCTCTTTTGTGATCGGAGACCAGTTAAGAGACTTGAATATACTGTGGATTATAGTAACCAAGTCAGCCAGGCAAGCAGACATCTGCTGGCACAGCAATGCACTTTTTTGGCTCTTCTCGAGATCCTCATTACCGCAACCAAGGATCTGCTCAACCTATAATGGCAAAGTCCAATCAGTGGGAAACAGATAAGGAGATTTTTGTTATTTTTTAAGTTCAAATGACTAACAGATAAAAGGTAAAAGTACAAAATAGAAGCAGAACAATTGCACAGTTTAGAAAGAAAAAAAAAGCATGTAGAAGAGCAAAATCTAGCATCTTTCCACACCTAAAAACAATATCAGAATATCTACATGGAAAAATAAACAACAATAAATTTCCTGGTATCATATCATGCAGACGAGTACAAATTAAAGATGGAGTGCAAAATAGATGCCAGTCAATCTATTTATCTTATCATGAACCTCGAACTAGATATTCTGGCTGACAGATTTAAGATTACCCACGTCAATCAACACCCTGAAGAAAAACAGGTTATGAGAATGCAAGTCTAAGAAAACAGTAAAGAATTAAATTCCTGTGCAATTGCCACATTCAGTAGAATAACTAGAGACGTTTGAAACCAGCATACCTCCAGTGTTGCCAGAGAACAAGTAACATTTCCATCCTCAAAAAGTCCTTCTTTAGTTTTAGGGATGTTCTTGTTTACAACTTTGTAGCAGTCCGACTCATCTGCAGTGCAGTCCAATGAAATTTTATTACCTTCCAAGTGTGAGAAGTCTAGAATTCTTTTTGCAGGCTTATGACATGATTCTGATTGGCTGTTCATGGTCACATGCTTGGCGTCACAACTGGGCATTGATCTCCTTGGTGTCAAGGGTGTAGGTGTTTCTATCATGATACTATCGGCAGATGAGGTGAGCTTTACAAGAGGGCTTTCTGATACACTGGAAGCACTAGAGCGTTGAGGGTGGTTCAGCTGCACTGAGTGGCTGATAATACTGAACTTGGAACATGGTTTGTTCTGCTGCCCCTTTTTGATATCTAGCTCAGTTATACTATCAGGTTTGGAAGACAGAACAGGAAATTCTTTCTTCTGCTCATTCTTAATACCTTGGTTATTCATACTGCCAGAAGATGGCAAGGGGACTGGAGATGCTAAGAGTTGGGCCTTTTCTGCTTCAGCAACAACAGCATTCTGAGAGAAGTGTCTGCTCACATATGGATATGGATGAACTTTTTCTAAAAACAGCTCAGTTTCATTTGAAGTTGCTTTAAATTCCATTGAAGAATTGATAGGTAATTTCTCCAGGACAGGTATCTCTCTTCTTTGGCTAAAAGGCTCCGGCAATATGGCCTCTGGAACATCACAAGCCTTGACCGAAGAAATACAAATGCATGAGTTCATTGCTTTTATCTTTTAACACCAAAATAATTCATCACCTTGGCTTAACTAATCAAATGACTGATGCAAAAAGCTAAGCCCAAGTGAAGGAAAGAGAGTCAATTTAACCTGATCACCACACATTTCATACAGAATGGGAGTTTCATCTACAAATTACTCAACCAAACTTTCTGACAGGCACTGTTTCATCTCCTAAATGGCACCCAATAGCTAATCCCAAGCCCACCTAACAGAATCACTAAGCTGAAGCCAGCACAATCTGATTGCTTAACAATTTATACACCATGGGGCTATCATATGCCACTTACTGAACCAAAAGTGACATTTTCTAGGTATTGTTTCATGTCTTATGTGGCACCACAAGCAATGTAACAGTTCAGATCCACATTTCCTGTTTTATATAGTCAACTTATCATGCGCCAAAATAAGACCATCAACCTAGAAATCTACAAAAATATTTATAAGGCCCAACCAAGGAGCTTGCAACAGTCTCTCACTTCGAAGAAGGAAGAAAAAAACAAAAAGAAAAAAAATCAGAGAAAGAGACATCACAGTACCTCAGGATGCATGGCAAAGAAATTAATGAGCCTAGAAGCAAAAACTTGGCGCACAGCTATAAAGTCAGATACTTCACGGTGACCTTCCACAATATCAAATAGCAAGGTGATATTCATATCTGGCTTCATGCATGGAGTTTTCTTGTCCTGCACCAAAATTCTATCTATCTTTATGGCTTCAGGAAGTATAAATTTCATTTGAGCAAGATGCTTGTACAAGAACTTTCTGGAAAAATAAAAAGAAGAACAGTTCAGTAAAAAGTATATACTATATAGTCATAACTCGTAAGTTCATAAGAGAAAACAAAATATAAATTAAACAATGGTAACTTTAGACCAGATCCTCATACTAGTTGTTTTAAAAAATAGCATCTGGAAGTACTAGTTGCTTAGAAAAATAACATGTGGAAGTGCAGCTAAGGGTGAGTTAGAATTTCTCTGGCTGCTAGTTATGAAGTTATTCTCAACATCTTGAGAATTACAAACAAGAAACTAAAGTCCTTAACAATACAAAACGGATCCTGGTCCTTGATGGATTTGGCTCTCTCCATTCACTCATTACGTTGATATTGATGGAGCAGGTGTGAATCTAGATGATTGACAGCTAAACTGCATGATCTTATAAGTTATGATTGTGATCTTGATACTGGAGAACCAATACTATAAAAACCATTTTATCGTACATACTGGTTGAATTCTCATATTAGAACAAAAGCCATAGTCCTATTTTCCCTCAATCCATTAAAAGGTTTGAACTTTTTGAGAATCGCACCATATTTCATTGACGCATATTAGTCAAAACCCTATTAAGTCTATTGGAAGCACCAATCCCTTGTTAATTATTCCTCCAATTGATTAAAAAGTTCAAAAAACAAGAAAAGGAAAACAATACGAAAACGAAACAATCCTACCCGCCACCATGGAAAAGAAACTGCACATTAAGGAGAAATATTTTGAACTAAATCAAACATTACCGTTTCGCTAGGACTTCCACCTGAGTAGAAATATTTTGAAAAGTTGGTGACCTTTTACGTAGACGAAGCAACCTCAAGGAACAATTCATATGGTCAAAGAAGTCTGCCATAATCCTATATCTGCAAATCAAAAAAGATGACAAGCTTTAGACTCAAACAATCGTTCGTACTTTGTTAGAGAAGAAAAAAAAAGAGAAACAGAAGCCATGGAAAATTGGATCTGGAAGTTGGACTTGCCCCTCGTGGTATTTGGTGTTTAAAGGCTCGTTTATCTTCTCCGGTGTCTGACATTCAATCTTATTCTCAAGAATTCTTGGGGTTTTCACTCGATCAGGAGACATAGAAGCAGATTTCTCAACTCCAGGAAGAATCTTTTCAAACTTGAAAATCAAATCCACTGAGGCTGAGGCTGAGCTTTGTATGCACTCTTCATCCATGATAATGACAAATTGACAATGCCAATTGCCAAGAACCGGAATCTGAAATCCAAAACTTTTACTCCTTAACTTAGAAAGCAATCTTCACCTATTAATTAAATAAATTGTTGAAGGAGGATTTGAGAACCCAAGAATTCTTTGCAAACTTATTAGGGTTTCTCGGTGGAGGGAAACATTTGCGAGCCTGGGAATGTTAAGCATATTTGAATGTGGGATTTTTATGAGAAGACGTAAATACCCTCCGTCCTTGTGACCGTTGGGTTGGGGCTTATTGGTTGGTGCCCTTTGGTCTTTCTTTGACAGATTATGCCGAGTTGCTAACCAGAAGCCTCGGACGTAGCCCTCTTCTTCGAAACAGAGGAAACGAAAAGAAGAAAGCCCGGCCCAGGACCAAAGAGAAGTAGGCCCCAAACCCGCGCATGATTTGGTGTTACGTGTCGTGCATGCAGATCAGTTATATGGCCATTCAGTCTAATCCCAGCTAGCTAGCGAGTGCCAGACAGACAGTCTATCGTTTGGGTGGTGGGAATCTCAATCCAACGAACCTACCAAACCAGCTCAGGCGGGCGGGCCGGCGGGCATGATCATCATTACGTTGACAATCTTCTACACGTGGCACGCACTCCTACTTTGTTGCCTTGCGTGTACCTCTCAAGAAGTGTCTCAAATTCAATGTCCAATGTATTATCTATTATGGATGTAGCGGAATCCTAACGTAACGATGGCTGCAAAACCTTAGCCGAAACCGGCAAATATCAAAGGATAGCCATCGCTCGCCACGTGTTCCTTTCCTTTTTTAAATTAGATATTTGTGATTTTGTCATCCCAATGACCGTCCTCGGCAAATCAGGGGCTAGAGTTAGATTGTGACAAATATATGAGTGACGACATGCTTCCATGATGCCACGTGTTCATGCACGTGGAAGGCTTAGAGCTCTTGGACGGTGGGCTTGTGGGAGCTGCTTTGCTGTGGGCCTCTGGATGTCTGGTCTCACTGTCACTGGTTTAGCGCCCACATGTAAACACATTAACATATTTTTTTGCTAAGACTAAAACATAAACAGTTAAAAATGTAATATAAAAAAGTTTTTGGTTATGGTTCTACCACAATTGTTAGCATGAAATAGATTTTAACTTCATGTTATCTTAAACTTAGGGTTTTTCTTTCTAGATATATTATACATGATAAAAACTGTTCACACGTTGACTTCTAGTTCTGGAAACAACCCTCTCTCTCTCTCTCTCTCTCTCTCTCTCTCTCTCTCTATATATATATATATATGATTATCCTATAATTATACTTATTGTCATTTTATATATAATATACGTCATCATACAAACAAAATTCTCTACAATAAACAATTTGCATACTGAAAATTAAACGTACTTTTAGTTAGGCTGAGCTAGGATTCGAATTTGGGGTTGGGGGCCATTAACTGAAAACATACAAATTTATGTTAATATTTTACAAAACATTACATTGATTAGTGGAAGCTTACAAAACATTACATTGATTAGTGGAAGCTTACAAAACATTGGGGGCAAAGGTGGCTCTGCCCCTGGCTGTTATTACTTGAAATGAGTCGTTTAAATTTGAGACGAACTGCATGTCTACCTTAATTTGGAGTGTTAGTTGCTCAACTGATCAATCCATGTTAGCTTTGGTTCAACCTTTCTTTTTGCTCCTTGTAAAAATAAAAATAAAAACGCAGCAAAACAAAGGGAAATATATAATATAAAAAATTAAGAAAAAAGCATATTCACCCTCGTAGGATTAAAATTTAAAACCGCACCGCATGAAAATGAAATAGCTGATTTGTCTACCTAAGACTAAGACTAACATATGGAATGAGTTGAGTTGCATATCGAAGAGGAAACTTGCTAAAAGGAAACTCTTGTATGTGTTTGCAGCTAACTGCTCTACTCACTGACTCAGTCTCAGTGTATCAATCATCAAACGCTTTCTTATGCTAACGACAGTTATGACACAAAAGATTACATTTTGATGCGCAGAGGTCCCATTATTAACTCATGTCCTTTTTTAAATGTCTTATTCCTATGTTACGTATTGTATATATGTCTTAGTCAATCAAAAGTGTACAACTAAAATTTACCATCTCCATACTGCAATGCATCCATATCTCTCTTAGTTTATGGACACTTGTCAAAACCCAATGACAACTTGATTCTTACCCTCACACTCCTCAAACTGTGCTTTCATAGCCCCAAGATAAATATCAGCTCATACAAGCATACAAATTTCAAGCTAATTTTGTTTTAAATTTAGATTGGTGAAGAATCAATATGATTTATTATTATTATTATAATACAAGTGATATTTTAAATTACTCTAAATTAATCTAATATACATGAGAAAGATTCGAACTTAGATGTAAGAGGGACAGATTCATTGCCTCGGCCAACCGACCTAACTCGTGTATGCATGAAAAGTTGATGTTTCAATTGTTTTGAGTCAGGATGGATAACATATATACTGCATTTTACCTTGTAATGTGAATTTGATGATGTTGCCTCATAAAAAATGAAAAATGAAAAAAGAAAACTAAAATAACGGGTGTTAAAAAACTTTACAATAACTTATAAAAGAGGTGATCATTTCCTCATTGTCGATTAGTTTTGGGGTTGCAATCTCATCTTTATTCGTGATATTAAAGTCCACGGCCTTTAAGGAATTGGATCCCTTATTCATTACCAATTGGTTTTGACTGGAGCAGACCCGTTGCATCTTCTTTCTCTTGTTTTTTTTTCCCATCTAAAGAAGTTTTTGTTGACCCAAAAAAAAAAAGGGATGCTGGAGATGGAGTGCAGTTGTTCATGCATTTTTGGTGGGGAAAATCGAAAAACTAGTACGCTCAAACTTAAAAAGCCGAAATAATCACAAGACGAGAGATGCAGGACACATCCCCCAATAATTAAAAAACTCAATTAATCTGTTGCCTTCCAATGATTGTAAAACTTGATTCCCAATAATTAGGAGTTTGCTGTACCATTATTTGATTGACACTTGTCATTTCTTGTGTGAAATATTAGTCGTAGACGACTCGGTATTGACGAAGTTGATCCAAAGTCAAGTAACGGGCTTTCTTTTCTTTCCTTTTCTTTGTTCTGGAAAGACGAAAGAGCAAAAAAGAAAAGAAGAGTGCGTTCCAATTTCAATCGACACCGGTTGGTTTGTCCATCCATAATTCATATCATATGATATGTTGCCGCGGATTCAGTAAAAAATTGGTGAAAAGGTAAACATACAAGTGAAAAGTGAGTGCAGCAGAAATGACAAGAATAACAGATAGTTGTTGTTGACGTAGGAAAAGAGGGACCGACGGGGTGATGGGTTCGGTGATGATGTCTGTATGATGATGAGAGAGAGGGAGGAGAACAGGAATTTAGGATTTGGGTATAGTAATAGTACAGGGCGCCATTCAAACGCTATAATTAATTTAAAACCAGAAAATAAAAGAAAATAAAGAAAAAGAAAAAGCAATATATATATATATATATATATATATATCATCATCATATATATGAAGAAAAGAAAGCGACTTTATGCCGATATATACGATACAAAGCTCCACCAAATTTCTAAAACCCACCCACCCAATATGCTGTGTTGAGTGTTGAAGTCGAACCCGCTTAAAGCTAAAAGCTTTAGCCTTTAATAAGAATAAGAGAGTAGAAACAAAATCCCTATTATTTTTTCTTTTTCCATTTCCAATACCCTCTTTGGCTCTTTCTTCTCCGGACGACTAAGGAAAAGGCTTTTCCTTTTATTATTCTTATTAATTTTTGTTTTGAATTGAGAGTCTGTGATCTTCATACTGCACACCAATAAGCTTCGGGATGATTATGGTCCGTAGGGGTTCTGCCTAGGAAGGAAGGCATCTTTATGTTTAGGTTTGAGTTTTATTTGATCATCGAGTGTCTCTCTCTCTGACCAGGGACCTGACCTGACTTGAAAGTTGCAAATTTGCAATTGCCAAAACACAAACTAGTGGCTTTATGTTAGTTGGTAAGTATACAAATCTACTCTTTGGTAGTCAGAAAAGATGTTTCTTTTTTCTTTTAGTTATATTCAATTGAATTCTCCAGTTTTTTTTTTTCTTTTGCTGTCTTTTGTGTTTCATACCCAAGGCCCAGATAATGAGCATCCTCAAATGTTATTACGTTCGCTTTGCATTTTCTCATCTCCTCACTTTAATAAATAAATCTGCAATTGCTTGGAGCTGGAATTCTGGGTTTTCTTTCTTTTTGAATTTTATGCTTTCCTCCAATTGTTGCTTGCTTGAGCTTGTTTGGAGACCCTTTACTCATAATCTTCATCTCAAGTTAACTTTTTCGTGAGAGGTTACCAAATACCAAATGCCAATCTAGTTCAATTTGAATTCCTTTACTTCCACATTTCAACGTAATTGGTTGCACGAGAAATCACCCTCCTTATAAAGTTCGGTACACTTTTTCTTTTCAACTTTCCTAAAATGTCATGGCTCATGCTTTCATGTGATTCTCTTGCCTTTAAAGAAAATAACCTTCATTTTTCTTCTTTTAGCTCTAACCTCGAATTGTGGTATTCATTTTTTTTTGGGTGCAGAAACAACCAGAACTTTTGACCAATCAGTCAGCCATCTGTTAAGAAAGAAGGTGGGTTTAGATCAATTTTAGCCAATTGTTAGTTATTTGTTTACTCAATCTCAATGTTATCAAACTAGTCCACTTTTGGAAATAAAGAGATATAGTGTTTTACAACACCAATTAAAGATATTAACATCTCAACGAGAGTTATACTCAGAGCCATTTGGGTGTCGCTCGTGAGCAACCTACTACTTGTGCTTTGTTGGTTGACATTTAATTATGGCTTGCCTACTGTTTATGTCCATGCCTATCTCCATTCTTTGGATTATAATATTTGAACAGCTATCATTTCTGGTTCATATACATTGGAACCTAGTTACCTGCATGCTGTTCTGAAATCACCACTGTTTCATGTAAGAGAGAGTTTACATACAACAAGCTGGAAATTCATTTACAGCTTCAATAGTGCGGATGCTGATTGACTAAATTTTATTTGGGTTGGCAGATATAGCAAGTCTTAGGATATGGGATGCCTGGTGTCAACACCGAAAGATACAGTAGGAAATAGGAGGAGGCCCTCAAATATTGGGGAAGTTTCTGTCTATGTTCCTGGTTTGCGAATCCCTAAACCTGTTGATTTCTCTCAGTCACTCGGTGATCACTTATCCAAGAGTTTAGTAGAACGCCTATCTGCTTTAAGAACTCGTATAGTTGTAATGGCTGGCCAAGAAGGTCCTACAATTACAAGAACAAGGAGAAAAACTGCTACCCAACATGGTTTGTCATGGACACAAGTTTGTTGATTTTTCCAAATGATATGTGAACTCAAGTATTTCTACATCTGAATGAATTCTTGTCCTCAGGTGGTTCAACATTAGCTGATCTTCAGCAGGCTCTCGAGGATTACTTGCCTGTCCTTTTGGGATTAATGAAAGATGGTAAGTCTTGATCTTTTGTCATCTCATTAAACTGTATCCACAAGTTTAGTTAAATCCTAAAGGCGTTTCTTATTTCTAATATGAAGGAAGCCAGCTACAACACAAGGTACAATTTGTGTGGGTAAATCAAGAGGATGATGCAGAGGTGGGCATGTGGCAGAGCTCTTAAGTTCACATTTCTCTGTTATGCATGTCATATATATTTTTTTCCTCAAGTAAGGTTTAGATTCCATCATTTTGTCAAGGAAACCTGACTTGATTTGAATGAATAATCCTTCAGGAAACAGCTATGTCTAATGCATGGTACGAGGTGCTGTCCATCTTGCACTTAATGGCAATGCTATCGTTCTCACAAGCTAATTTGTTACTTCTTCCAAGAACATCTGCTGATGGTTATCAGCCAAAAGTAACAGAAGGTATTGTTCTTTTTTTGGGTCTATTGAAAGTAGCATTATTGCATGAGACTGGGCCATAGGCAATTAAATCTTGTGTTTTCCCATTTATCATCTCATTTGTTTTCTTACAATAGCTTGCTATGTTAATGAGAAAGTTGTGTTGTGGGCACTTTCTAGAATGACTGTGGACCTTTAATGGTCATGAAGTCTTCTCTTTACTGAGCACTTTCTAACTTAATGCAGCACTAAACAGTCTGCTGAAGTTTAGAATCAGATGCAAACTGCAGTAAACTTTTCTGCTGACTAAATTGCATACTTTCAAGTAATCTGTCTTTGTTGTAGATTCATATAGTAGACAATAAGCTTAAATACACATCTTTAGTTATAGGTTCAATACGTGTGTAATGTGTAGTTATATCGGCAGAATGTGCAATCGTATATTTATTGCTTGTTTCACTCCACTTCCGGGCTTCATAACTCTGGATAAAGTTGTGAAAAAACGAGATTGATCAGTTTTCCTTATCTTTCCTCTACATGGTTTCATGTGCTGACGGTGATTCACACCCATCAAAAGTATCAGTTTCGGATTGAGCCTACTATGGTTGACATGGAAACTGAATGACAAATAGGAAAAATTAGAAAACTAGGGATAGAAAACTGCAAATTCATTAGATTATGTCATTAGACCCTTTAAAACAGAATTCTAATATGTTAAAAGGAGATGACTAAAACAACTGAAAAATGGGTTTCCTGATCAGTATACTTAAATCAAGATTCTTCTGTTTGATACTTCGTAGTAAGTTATTTGTTCACCTGTTTATGTTCTGTTATGCTGCTTGGGTTACATGTTTTGAGAAGATCTTTTTTATTTACAAAAAAAGAAGAAAAAAGAACAAAAGAAGAAGAAGAAAACTTGTATATGCAGTAGTTGGTCATCAGTCAACCTTTTGGCTTTTGTCATGCTAATTTCTTCACTTGGTTGTGCCTCACTTGGCTTCTTTTGTTTTTTCACAGAGAGTAGACGAGCTTCAATTGATATTTTCATAAAGGCAGCAGGATACCTTGATTGTGCTGTCCGACATGTTCACCCACAGTTGCCTACTGAGCTCAAGTTTGTATCAATTGAAAATTATACTGATTTCAACTTCCTGTTTGTTAACATGTTCCTAATGCTGTTATTCTTAATCTTTTGACTATTGCTTGATGGCAGGAGAAACCTGCCAGTCGACCTAGCAGAAGGAGTTCTTCGGGCGCTTTGCCTACAAGCATTAGGACAGGTATTTCAAAGAATGGGCTGATCTGATAAACTGTTACATTTTATGTTTCAAACTTCATGCCTGAAATTGGACCAACCATCTAAAAGGTGTATTATGCTACTATATAAAATTATGTTGGAACTTTGTGTCTTCTGATCTATGATCTTTTGCTTACCCTTTTTCTATTTTTCTTTGCTTTTTCTTCTTCATCTGTTCCAATGTCTACTGTAGGGTGTTGATATTCAACTTGGGATGGCAATTGATAGCACAAAAGCTACTCTTGCAGTGAAGCGAAGGCTTGCATGTGAAATGGTGAAGTATTGGCAGCAGGTAAGAGATTTCTCAGCATTGATGGTGCGCTCTTCTCAATTAGTAATGTCATTTGAAGTCTCGGATTTTTGTAATAAATGTTCCATTCCATGCTTCCATTTGAAGTCTCCCATTTTTCTTCATGTTTTTTTTGGCTGTACATATATTAAAAATCCGCAATTTTTGTGAGTTAGAAGAGGAAAGATTAGTCCTACAGCCCAAATTGCATCAGTTCAGGGTCTGAATTTGGATATTCTAGGTTTGAGGAGCAAAATAGCAATCCTAAAAACTCGTTGTGGGTACATGATGGATTACATTGCACAGTGCTAGAACCAAAAATGTCAAAGTACTATTGCAGAACATTTATAATTAAGACACACCTCCATTTTTGGTTGATCCCCAACGAGAGCTTACCCCATCTATACTTCTTTGCTATATTTACTAGTGAGTGTGTTTGGTTCAGTAGTTTTTGATAATGTGCCATATTTGCTTTGACTTATGCTGTCATGCCTTTACGTGCATATCTGATACATAAACACACGGCCACATACCCACCATTTAGGATGGGCAGAAAAATATGAATTTAATATTCTCTGAATACCCCAAACAAGAGGATCTAATCATGTCCACTTTGTTCTTTTTGCCTAAAATATTTTCTTTATTAAATGTTCCTCTTAGTCATAACCCCTTTTTTTGGTTTGTTACAATTTCAGATTTTCTTTTGCCCTTCCAGATATTGGGTTATTTTGGCCATTTTCTATTCACATAAGTTCCTCTATATTCCATATCAGTTACATGTCATATTTAAGTTAATTCTGATGGTTCACTATGTTCCTCATGATTACACTTCTCGTCCCAGATATGTTTGTTTAAATCACATCAAAATTGGTGACCCTGAACCATATATTGCTTTCTTTATGTCATTTCTTCACAGGCTCAAGATAACATTATGAACCTTCCATTATTAAATGGTTGGGGTGAAAAGCATCGGCTCTTTGTGAAGTGGAAATATGTTGAGGCAAAGGTATGCTGCAATTTTTTATGTGTTTTTGCTTTTGCGCTCATTGCTATCCTTATCTCATTTTCTGAGTTTTTGTTTCATTATAAGGATAGTATTTCTCAGATTCTTATTGTAAGGGAAAAAAATGATTTACATGTTGTTTTCCCTTTTGGAGGAAAAAAAAAGTGACTTCTAGTGATTCCTCTAGAATTTTTTTCTTCCTAATTAATGTTTTTCTTCCTAAAAAGATACCAAGTTGGTCACTTGTATTTTCCACTTTGGTGATTACTTGTTAATACGGTTTGTCTACCCTTGGATTAAATTCTGTGTACGCAGATTTTGATACTTGTTCTTGGTTATGGTACGGTATTGTCTTTTCTGAGTAAGTGACTGCCAAATGAGAAGTAATATTGGAGATCACCATAGACTGTGCCAGTCCTTCTTTCACTAAAGTTATAATTTTCCATCAGAACTGTTAACAACTTAACTATTCATGAAGAGTTGTATGTCAATTGATTCCTCTACGTTGATCTAGCTGATAGAGAGGGGTCTTCTGCCACTAACGTTCAGTATTTGATTTCATTATGATTGAAGTTTGTGTTTTGCACAGCTGACCAAAGCTCATCTTTTTTCCTCCAATATTAATCAGGCTGCTGCATATTATTATCATGGTTTGATCCTTGACGAGGGTAACACCGAAAAATTTCATGGGATGGCTGTAGCTGCTTTGCAAGCAGCAGATGAGTATTTTAAAGAAAGTAAGAAAGCATGTGACGCATTTCATGCTGCTCCTCCTTTGTCGAGGTAGGTAGAGCCCTATTTTCTTGTTCATTTGTGCTGATAGATGGATTATTCATCTTGTGGCATCTGGCAGAGTATCTGCTCTTTTTCTAGGATAAGTATCTAAGTTTTCAGTTATCTTCAGAGCACCAAGTTCTTCACCTTTGAGAGTATGTAGACTGTAGCAGCAACGAAGTAGTGTACTCCAGTTATTCAGCCAAACTCTGCTCAGGACATTGGGTTTGTGAAACAGTTGTTTTTAGGCCAAGTTTCACACGATGAGGATTTTGTGTCCAACATGAGCATGCATCCTTTTTCAAGATCAAAACATTTTAGAATTTATTTACTCATTGGTCATCTAGCATGGTTCAGCTAGGTGAACTGGTTAGCTCATAATTATTTCCTCTGAAATAAATATGTTCGCTTTTCCTTGCAATCACCATTCTTTTGGTTTTCTAGTCCATTTTTTTAAATCTTCCTCTCACCTAAATTATGTAGTCTCTATTCCAATCTCTAGATATTTGTGTGCGTGTGTACTGAATCATGTGCAAGATCTATTATCTTGTAGCTACCGTTGGTGGATTGAAGATTGATGTGTCATTAGTTGATCAGTTTCCTTCTTCTTTTTAATCATTTTCTTATTGAGTAAGTGCTTAATTGATAGACATTATGCAGAAATCCACCGCTCTGGGGAACCATGAAATATCTATCTGAAAAAATTCCAAAAGATACTTCGAGCAAAGTGAGGATAAACCGTGACCTCTACTCACACGAAAAGTATGTCCTACTGGAGAGAAGTATAACTGATAATATTTATGCCCAAATGCAATTTCCTTCACACTCTTGGCACCTAATTGTAATATCGTTGTTCTTTGTTGATAGAAGGAACCATATGAATAATTAACGTCTGGTTTTGGATATCTTGACTGCAGAATCATGGAGACAGCACCAACATTGCCAGACTTTGCTTTGGCCCTGAAACCGGATGAATACCAACTTCCTCCGGTGGACCCGTCTTGGAACATGGAGCACATGAATAAGGGACAGACTGGTTCCAACCAGCTCAGGAATGACAGAAGATAGCCAAGCCATATATGATAGTTTTCTGCATCACAAAGTAACAGGGGCCGATCCAGAAGTGTGGATGACCATTCAATTGTAGTGCCCAAGGTCCACTTGAGCTGTCCTTTTGTTACCCCACTTCTTTTTTCTTTTTCTCCTTTTAATCCATTTTTCCTTATAAATTTCTTTTGTTCCTTCTCCCCATGCGTAATTTACTTATAGAGCTCTGTATTTATGTTTTCTGTTGTGTGTAAATTGTTAATTGGCTGCTACGGGGGAAGAGAAGAATGACTCATATGCAAATTACCAAGAACGGGTATTTGCTCCATCAAAGTTGAAGCCAGTCTTGTCCGATTACGTTTGTCCATCTGTTTCATAAGTATCGTGTTTCATAGAAAAGCGTTCTTTTTATTTGTTGTGATCCGTAATTTGTTGGTATACTCTCTGTCCACACACATAAAAATATTCGAAGAAAAACTCAAAAAAAGTTGAAGGTGTTGCGTCTGGCGAACTTAGAGCATCTTAAGACTGAGAGCGGTAAAAATATTATTTAAAAAAAATAAATAAATAAAATCGCACCATCTTTGTAATAGGTGAATGTCTCTATTTCTCCCGAAGTTGTCGGAATTATTCGTAATAAGATAAATTGGTCTTACATGAAAAGGATCTTGTACCCATGTCTCAAAATTTTCTTGCCAAGCTGCATGAAACGGATTTCCGGAAGTCCACAAAAATTATTGCTAATTGCCCGAAATGAGAAGCAAAAATATTATGATAAAGATGTTCCGTTAACGTTAATAAATATTAGAAACAAAGAGTAGGCTTACTATTTATGTATCGTTCACAACAATGATTTTTATCAGCTATAGCAAAGCAATAAACTTCATAAAAGTTGAAATATGAATATGAAGAAATAGGTATGTAGACTTTCTATCCTTTCATCTCTAGCAACTTTGGCGGGGTTGGATTTCTACTTTTCTTTTTAATATATCTGATTTGCAAGAGAAGGAGAAAGAGAAGAGAAAATAATAATAAAATATTTCAAATTAGTCAAAATAGAGAACATTGCCGGAGAAAACATTTTTTAAGTGGTTTGCTATAATAGCTATTATAGCTAAAATTTAGAGACTCTCCTAAAGATGCTCTTAGAATAAAATTCGTTTATTTGGCGAGAGCACACACACTCTCTCCCTCTCCCTCTCTCTAGGTCCAAGCTTCCATGTTACGGAAAATAAAGGGTTCGAATTCTGATTTTTTAAAATAAACCGCCCCAATTAATTGAATTCAACAACGGGTATTTACTTTTGAAGGGCAAATTGTAAATATTTTGACAAATGTAGAATTGACTTTGTAAACAACAAGCCCAAGTAACAAAAACTAACAAATAATGTCAATACAAACATCCCTAGGCCTAGCAAAACCAACAGCATCATCAAGCAGAGATCACAAATATCCTGAGGTGGAGAATCAAAGACCACACATCACTCCAGGCTGGAACAGCAGCTGGTCATTCTATCCGCTAATGCCATTCGTTACATGATGCCAATTTGCAGTTGGCCATATTAGTCTTCTGCACCATTTCTGCCATCTTCATCCAATTGCTTTTGCTTCTCTTGTTCCTCTGCCCAAAAAGAAAAAGAAAAAACAAGAACCAGTAAAGTGAGTTCAATATGACTCTACATCTAATCTAAGTTACAGCTTATTAAAGCCACCCAATTAAGCATTTGGTTCTCATTGTCACAGGGTGTAGGCTAATTAAGTGTAAAGTGAAAAACACTGGCATTGCATGCTTTTACATTACAAACTTTGAAGATGTTGGTCCAATAACTTCCATAAAGAAAAACATAAACTAGACTAACAGGCCATAATAAAATTATAGCATACAGGAACTTAAAAGATACATCCTCTTATGGCATGTTTGGGTGAGGGTCTTGGCGATTGGATTTGAGGTTAAGTGTTAGTTCAAAACTCCATCTTAACCGGATTTGGCCAATTTAAAACTGGGACCTAGGGCGCTGGACCTTAGCTCTGGGACCCTGGTCCGGGTACCCAGTTCTCGGGACGAGGATCCATGGCCAGAGGTCCAGGTCCTCGGCATGGGATCCTGAGTCCAGTGTCCTCGGTCTGAGGTTTCAGGACCAGGACACAAAACCTACGTTCCTAATTTGCATTCCATGACACTTTATATGCTAACCAAACAAGTAAAACTGAAATCTTGGGACTTTATATCCCATCACTTTAAAATCCTGTCATTTTGCCATCCTTGGCACCTCATTCAAACACAAGGTCAAGAAGAATGAACTCGAAAAAGCCACCAAAAATATAACATATTCTTTCATACAACATATAGCTTTTGTTTAGCCAGAGAATATATTCTTAACCAACTAGGCTCAGAGTGCTTCAAAGGCAAGATTGGGCCCTAACCTAGACGAAATGCAAGATATGCTTCCTAGAAACCTTTTTCCCATTTTCTAAACCCAAACTCACTCTCTACTGCATTGTTAGTTTGTTTACATCGTGAGGCAAGCACATCAAAGAAAAGACCGGATCTTTTAATGGAGAGGGCTGAAATGAGGCCCCAAAACTATGGTTCTGAAACTATTTACCCCCAGACAATGCAACAGGATATCCAAGGGGCCACCATTTGAAGTTTGATATAATTGCCCAGTAGGAAATAACAATCCAGATCATGCAGAAAAATTTCAATATCAAGGAATATGAGAAGAAAATGAAAAAAATCGAATGCTTTGTTTCTGAAAGTAAAAAATGGTCATAAGTTTTTAAACTTATGAAAACCACTCAACTGTTATCTATCCAACCAATTTAAGAAGAGATCTTTCATGAAATGCGTTCTGTTATATTTTTCTATGGAGGGAACATGTTATTAAGAAAATGGTAATTCCATACCCATAAGTTTACACATTGCCTTTTGGGTTCGCCTTTCAAGCTTATCAAGCTTCTTCTGCACATCCCTGCGAAGTTCCCAGTTTGGTTTTTTAGGAGCAATATTCACAAACGGGTCCTGAACATTAATCAAGAATTAGAACATGTGACATAATGGACAATTCACCATGAAAGACACAGAAGCTAGTGATTAAGAGATTGAGTAAAGAAATTCAAAGGTAATGAAGTACCTCTTTCTTCTCTGAGGGAGGAGGTACTGCTGCAACAGGGTCTTCAAACTTTGGTAGGACTGGTGGAACAAGCTTTCCCTCCTGAAGCTTCTTATCATGAGGAACATAATTTCGGAATTTCATGCTGGTGTTATTGCACAAGTTGACAGTTAAATATTAAAACCTCATTTGAAGTATCCCTAGCCAATAAAATTACAGAACTTGAAGAACTAACAACCCTTTATGTATCATTAAAATATGACCAATCACATCCTAACCATACCTTCTAATATAATTCATAATCAACTATCTCATTAAACTAAATAATTGCAATCATGACATGAAGTCAAATACTATTACCAGTACAAGTGAAGATATAGGTTTTGAAAAATTGGAAGCAGAAGTCCCTTATGTGTATGTGAAATTTCTACTTAACCTTCCCAAACTTAATTCAACTTCCCCTTTTGGACACTATTTCAGGTTTACTGTTTTCCGTATACTTAAAGATCTTGTACTCATCTTCTGAACCCATAGTCATGTTTTCCTTATACTTAAAGATCTTGGACACTATTTCAGGTTTACTGTTTTCCTTATCCATAGTCATGCTAACCACAAAAATGAGAAAACCATAAAGCACCTGCATACATTGTTGAGGTATATAAAGGATTAAATATAAACAAAAACCTTTGATGTATCATCTCAAATGACATATGAAAGCACAGCACACATATGCCTATAATTACAGAGTGGGTATGGGGGCATTGGCAACATCATGGGATAAATATTGTACACAAATCTCACTGCACAAAATCATGAATTTGAAAGGAAGATGCACTATAACACCTTCCAGGGCATTGAACTGAAATTAATATCATGAACAAAACCCTAAATAAGACTAATGGGGAATTGGAGGGTGGTAAGTAAGTGATATTAACTTACAAAAAGAATAGGATCTACTCACGTTTCTTCACTAGTTTCATTGTCTTCGTCAGCATTAGAGTCAACTAGAGAGGAATCCTCATCTGGAGTGTTTAACAGTTCCTGCGCAGCTTTAAGGGCTCTTAGCCTCTCTTGACGTGCTGCAACTACTTGTTCAATGGAGTCCTCTTCAGCGGCCATTGCTTCAAATGTAGAAGAAACAGTTAATATTTAACAGACCAGGAGTTTCATCTCCAAATGTGACTTATCTCCTCTCAATAATGAATAATGAAATAACATCAACAATATATAGCAGATATCAAATGCAAAAGGCACCATTCTGTACAAGGTTTCCCATAATAAGGCATACGACATTACATGCTCAATTGGAGCTATAGCATCAAATACTCAGCCCTAACTCATTATAAAAAAATTATTTTCCACAAAAGACGTTCTTGAAACACCAAGAATCTGTCTGGAGCAAATATACATAGACGCGAGTAGAAATATTTCATGAAAATTTTAGTCTTTCAGCACAAGTAGCGAGTCAGACACAAATAGTTCAAGAAGATTAAAAGCAAAGCTCCCAAAAAAAAGAAAAAAAAGAAAAGGTTTCTTGTTTAAAATAAATTTAAATAAAGTTTTTTTTCCTCTCATATAATCAAGACCCACCAATATCCTCTTCAAAACAAAAGAAATTAGTAAATTGTTAGAACTTCTGATCCCCAGACTACCGAGCAAACCAACCCATATTCATACAAGCGCTTAGCATAATCAATCTAATGCATAATTGATTCCTGTGTTAGGTTTCAATTTAAAAAAAGAAGAGGAGCAGAAAAACCAGATACAAGACTGAAAGTGCGAGTTTTCTTCGCACTTGAGTCTCGAGTGATAAATTTCTGGGCCCTTTTTTATAGTTACGGAACAACAGATAAAAGAAGAAGACGATAGAAGTATTACCAGAGAAGAGAAGAGAAGGTTCCGGAGCGTCGACACGTCTGCTGCACTGCTCTCTGTGTCACTGAGGGGATTGAAGAAAAGAAAGTGAAAGTTGGGAGGTGAAAAAGAAAGAAAGAAAGAAAGATATTTAGTATAGGCTAAGGGGCCTGGCCAGTCCAACTCCAAGTAAGTAAAATGAAGATCAGAAGCTATTGGGCCAGTAATGGGCCTGTATGTCTGTCAAAAGCTATTGTTTTTGTCTTTGTAAAGCAATAGACTAGCAGAAGCGAGAGCACGATAAGGAAGGAAGAATGAGAAAGGAAGCAGAAGCACAAGTGGAATTGGCAAAAAAGAGATGCAGAGATGTGATCGACCGAATAGAGGGATTGCCAGCTTCCACCAAGATCACTGCTTCTTGCAGACGCACTCTTCTCAAATTGGCCCACTCCGAACTCACTTTTCTCTGCCGCTGTTGCTCCTCCTCCTCTACTTCCACTCCCCTCAACCTCAGGTTTGCCCATTCCTTCCTTCTAATTTCTAAGATTTAATTCTAATGCACTCCTCCTAATAATAATAAAATATCTTCTTTATTTATTTATTTATAATTTACTGCTCCTTTTTAGCTTAGGGTATCTTATAATGAAATTGGAAATATAGGAGAAAATGATATATATAAACAAATGAAATACAAGTTATCTGCTTTACTTACTACTTGTGTCGTGTCGTGTCGTTGTAAATGTAAAGCGCATCAGCAATCAAACGAGTTGAGTTGAGTTGAGTTGTTTTGAATGAATGGCAGTGTCTGTCTTGTTTGTAAACTAAATAGTAAATAGTAATTTTGGCAGTGTCAATATCGGGCACCTCGAGGCAGTTGTTCACCTTGTCCAGCAGCCTTTCATCACTGGTGTTTCCCGCGTTTGCAAGCCAATTCCTTTGTCAACTTTAGCCCCACATCCACATGGGCAGAAAACCGACCCTTGTCTTAAAAAACATGTCCACGTTGATATAGTTTGTACTCTCCATAGGAACCCTGTCTGGATTATTGTATCTGATAGGAACCCAAAATACATTACTTGGAGTGGCAGCAGCTGCGGATCCCCTTACAAAAGGGATAAGAGTAAGGGATTAAAATTGCGTATTCAGCAAGTCACTGCTGCTGCCCGGTCAGCCGTGGCACTGAAACCTTCCTCAATTATTCTCTTCTTTTCAAACCGAAATGGACTTAGCAGCATTGTTTGCAATAAACTCAAAGATGAATTTGGGGCCACTGAGTTTCAATTGGATTTTCCTGTTTTAGATTTTAATTTTGATTTATCCAAGGAAGCAGGTGAATGGACTAATGTACTTGTTGCGAGAACATATCAAGAGGCTTGTGCATTCGAAATAAAGGTTAGTGATACAAGGAACGCTGTTTTGAGTTCAGAATCTGATGTGAAGGATTCAAGCCTGGGAGAGGCTGCTGATACTGAGAAAGATCCGTCCATCCCAACAGGGCACACAGAATTTTGCTGTGCTTTCTCTAATCTTATTTCAAGAATGGAATTCTACTCATTGTATCTAAAAAATGGGGAATCCGCTCAAGTTGGGAGTCTTCTGGGTCAAAGTGAACTTATAAACTTTGATACAACTGCCTTGATTGCTCTTGTATCAGGTATTAGTAATGGTGGCACTCCAAAACTTTTGGCTACTCCAGAAAGTGAATTGAGGCAGCGGTTTAAGGGTAACTACGAGTTTGTGATTGGACAGGTTAGTTCTTCCTGGTTGCACCTTTTGTTTGGAGTATTGGCTATTTCTTTCCACATTGTTGGAGAGCTCCCAAGTTTGAATCCTTCCACCCCCAATTCAGAAAAAAGGGATTGATATTATTAATTATACTTAGCAAGCGTGATAATATCAGTTATTATAGTAAAGTTTACTGCTCAAATCTTTTGTTACATTTTATGCTACCTATAAAGAAATTAATAAGTAGAAGATCATATTGCTCTCTCTCTCTCTCTCCCCCCCAATTCCTCTTTGCCCACGAGCAAAATAGTCCAGTATTAAGACTTGGCAGTACGTTAAAATGACAACTTTTAAGATTTTAGTCACTGGTACCCAATACATTGAACTTCTGTATTCTGTTGATTAATCTTTTCCTAAAATGTTTCTTGTGGTAATAACTACTGTGCTGATTCACAAGGTTTGTTTATCTTCAACCATTTTTTTTTCTTCTTGAAAAAAATTATTGGCCTTTTAATAGATTTAGTTTACATTAACATCCAGGGTACGGTTTCTTGATCTTCTGCCAGGTGATGTCTGAAATTCAGAATCCAATTCTTGTTGAACTTGGTCGCACAATATCTGGGAAGAGAGGCATAATCTGTGAAAGTGTTCGTTCAGAGTTCAAAGAGTTAGTATTGATGTGTGGAGGGCCCAATGAGAAGTTGAGAGCTAGTCAAGTTTACGTGAATGGTCTTACGTGAGTTTTTTTTGACTTTTTTTTTCTTTTTAACTTTTTTTTTTTTTTATTTTTATTTCTGCATTAATTTCAAAGGGAAATAATATATTGGAGAAAAAAAAAAAAAAAAAAAAAAAAAAAAAAAAAAAAAACAAAGTTGAGCATTTGATCTACAAGGTCTGCTTTAATTGCATTGTGTGTAATATAGTTATTTTATTTTGTACGACGTTGTTCTTTAAGTTAATTATTTAAAGCAAAATGGTTATTTTATTTTGTGATTCACATTTAAAGATGTTCTAATACAAAATAGTTTAGTGATGTCCTTCACAACAAACTCTTTTACTCACCTTTAAGTTTTAACGTTTTACCAGAGGACCAAAAATAGCTCATTGAGGACTAGTGGGACTAGCAGGTGACCCACAGAAAATGATTGCTGGGAAGGAGGGAAAACCATAAAACCCCCATTGATGAGGACAGATTTGGCCAATTTGGGTTTCCTCAGAAGTTTGCCGAATTTTCTTATTTATTGCTGTCAGGGTTAATTTCTCCCAAGGGTTACTTATGTCCTACCTCTGGCCCCTGCAGCCCTGCCTTTGCAACCTCCTTCAGTTGGTAGTTGTCGTTCTTTTGGGCTTTCTGTGCATGTGTGTTGTCTCTAGTATACTTATTTCTTAGAACTTCAAAAAATTTCACTGATATAATTCGCCTTAGGTTGCAGAATGCTTCAACTTAATTGGTGAGTTAATCTTGGATTCATGATTTAGGTGACCTTCTTAGATTGCATTTGGAGAATTACACTTACATATTTGCTTCCTAGGTTGGTAAAGTATGTAGATTCTGTTGCCCTCAGTGTAGGACATTAAGCATATCTATAGGGTTTTTTTTCTTCTTCTATATATGTAGGAAACGAAAAAAATTGTAGAAATAGGGAAACAAGCACAGTAGACATTTGTGAGAACCAACCAACCCTAGTCTGCAATCTGCATTAAGTCCAAACAGGGTTAAGCCTGTCCGAAAAAATTCGAGTTTCATTGACATTTTGTTTGATCTGTTTGATGATTTTTGCTCCCTTATATATCTATGGTTAATCGTGGTTGAAAATATATATAATATATATATATATATATAATTTTTTTTTGTATTATCCTGCACTAATAACCTTTAGGACTGGTATAGGGTTGTTCCTGATAGTCCTTCTGAACGCATGATGAACCTTCCAACCACTAGAAAACTGGCTTTGAAGAATAAGGTTGTTTTTGGTACTGGTGATTACTGGTGTGCTCCAACTGTAACGGCAAATATGGCATTTGTGAGAGCAATTTCACAAACTGGGATGTCCTTGTTTACCATTGAGCACAGACCTCGGGCTTTGACTGGTGATTAGTTCTATGTTGTCCTCGGATTAAGAAGTGAAGCATGCTCCCATGGATGGTGATATCAGGTATGGTTAATCCACGTTAACAATTGAAGTGATTGAATCTGTATCTACATTCATTAATAGCAACCTTTACACTTAAAGAGAAACAAGCAAACACATTATCCATTCTAACTGTTACATCAAAAGTGTGTTGAAACTGATTATAGGAGTATCCTCTAAATAAATGTACATCTAGAGTTTGTGAGAGTAATGGTTAGTTGGTTATGCAACTTTTGATGAATTGTTTCCTTCAGTCTGCAAAGTGGCTGAATTTAATTTCACACATAATTGTGGCTGCTAGTAGTAAACAGATTCTTGAAGAAATGAAAGGTAAATGCCATATATTTATTTCAAATCCTTCTGATTATTTCCTAGGCCAGTTTAGCTTGAAGTGATTTTCTTAATAGCTGCCCTTTACATGCATGTTAATTTTAATTTTAATTTTAATTTTTTCTGGGGTGGCAGTTAATTTCGTACGATTTGGAATTAATGAAAGTTCAAGAAATCGGAGTCCTGCAAATAATACAACGAAGAACCCAAGTTTCATATGGGAATGGGCTATGGTTTATGGAATGACTGAGTGGCTACTTCTTGCTGTATTGTGGTTTGATCTATGATGAGCTATTCCAGAGAGAACGTAAAAAAGAAAATTCATTATTTCCTCAGTGGGTTATTGAGGGGTTTGAAGATCTGCTTGAATTTGGGGGTGGCATTTTTGTGAAACGGGACCTGCTGGATCAGCTGGGACTTGAACTGATCAGAACGCCTGGTGGTTTGTGGCGCCCTTATGTTCCAGTCATTTGGGCACATCTAGGAGACAGTGTGTTCTCTGATCTTTCTAGTTATAAAACTCAAATTATTGACGGACATGCCACTGTCATGTAAACCCTATAATAATGTAGGTTTGTAAAACAGTTTTTATAAGATGTTTCTTTAGCCACACGGTATTGTGATTTTCATGCATTCGAGGATTCTCATCTTACTACAAGATTAAAAGGAGAGCAATGTGGAAAACAATAAAATTCAAACCTTCCATCTCAAAAACAAAAAGGAAAAAGAACTAAAGAAATGCAATAAAGAGAAGGGAAGGGGATTAAAACAGGTCCCATCCCATCTCCAAAATTGTAGACAGACAAACAGAGACTTGATGCCGGATTAATTCAATCAAAGCTTCAATCTAAATCTACAATTATTAGCTTTAATGCTAATCAAGTTATTAGCAGTTAAGCTATCCACCACCAACAAGCATTCCCCCAAGATCCTTACCTTCCTGAGCTTCAATCTCCCGAGTTGGATTGCTACGGGTGCATCAACCTTAAGATCCAAGGGGATGCGTCCGGTTTGTTGTTGCTGTTGCAGTGCATTCATCAAAGTGTTTCCGTACTGCGTTTGGCCAGTCAAGGCCACGTTGAGTAGTGTTTTGTTCTGGTGACCTTGGTAAAACTTTGGCAGTGTCCCTTGGCAAAGCTTCGTGTTTGTATACCACACGCTCAACCGGCCACCTTGCTCGTAGTGAATTCCGATCTTTTTGTTTGGGTTATTGGCTGTTATCTTTACGTCAAATTTAGCATATAGAGTCATGTCCAAATTGAGCCTTAGATTGTTTATTTTCAAGCTATCAACCGAGTAATTTGGAAGTTTTGGCTGGAAGATAAGGTAGAGAATGCCAGCAGTGGCTCCTATTATGATGAGTACAAAGACAAGGATGCCTATTGTGCAATACATGCACCTGCTCCAACAAGTACATGAACATGTGCTTGTGCTTCTCTTTAAATTTGTTGGTGGCTTCTTCGCATGGATATTAACCGAAAGGCTACTACGTGCTTGTAATTGTAAAGGGTGATGCTCTTGCTGATCAATCTCCTCTTTCTGATCTTTATCAAACTTTTCTTTCTCTGTTGTTGTTGTTATTGATGAACCGTGTCGGTGTCCCTGTGGCTGTGGCACTGCCAGAGGCACAGCCACAGTGGTGGTTGGCGCTTCCACATCCCCAGCAGGATGAACTCTCTGATGATCACCCATCTCTCTCTGTTATTTTAAATAGCTTTCACTCACAACTAACTGCGATCATGGATGATATTGATAGTGGTCTAAATAGATAGAGTAACTGAGAAAGCATTCTTAGTAACTCATGGATATAAATAGAGATACTGAAGTTTGAATTAACATTTCCTTCCTAATAGCATTTACGTATGTGTTCTGCTTCCTTCCTAGGATTAGGATAGGACCTTTTTGGGAGAAAAACCAAAAAGGTTTGAACTGATCACCATCCCCACCTACTCACAACAACAAATACAATGCCAGGTACCGTATATCATTATCATACATGTGATATGGTATGGTAGTTCAGCTAAGTTCTAATAAGAAATAAGCATACACTTGACACATACTTGAACTACCACATTTCCTTGTTATAAAAGCTCTAGTTTTGAGACGCAACTTAACGTGCTCCTACGAAATTCCAGCAGTCAGCTAGCAAAAGCAGACACTTAAAAATTGAATAAGAGAGATTTTGAATTTGAACCCATATGTCTTTATTTTTTTAATTTTTTCTCAAAAGAAATAGCGTTCCCCTTCTGAACTTTAATTTGGATTTAATTAAAAGGCTTAAATGTCAAAATGATCCTTGTACTTTACCATGTTGGCCAATTTAGTCCATGTGTTTTCAATTTAGCCAATTTAGTCCCATATTTAGCACTATTAGCCCATATGGTCCAATCCGTTAAGTTTACCATTAAATAAAGATTATACACCTTTTTTTTGTCCTTTAAAAACCTATAAACCTTTTTGAAATTAATAAAAAAATTGAATTAACTTAAAAACATTAAAACATAACGTTTGAAGAAAAAAAATGTTATTTGCCTTCATCTCTTAGTTTTTACATAAAAAGAAATCATGTGTTTGGCATATGTCACCATTTCCAAGGGTGTGGTAGTCATTTTACACCATAAACACCAACGGGGTCTAGCCTAGTGGAAAATGGTATTGACTTGCAAATCATAGGTCACAGGTTCGAACCCCCATGACATGATTTGTGTGTGGGTGTCTGAGAAATCCCCCTCCTCTTTAATTTAGAGTATCGCTTGTACTTAACAAAAAAAGAGGAAAGGAATCTCTCTCTCATGTTAATTTGATACTTCAAACCATATGGGTTTTGTTCACCCATCAAACACGTTGCACGTATGACCAAGAAGATTGAATTAAAACTGTCTTCCCAAATCCCATAGAATGCTAGTGTACATGCCCATAAGTACTTTAAGAATAGTTTTAACATAGTAACAAACAAGTAATACGGTGGGTTATGTGAGATAGGCTTGAGATTCCAGTAGATTGCCCACAGATAATCCTACTCCATAAATACCCACTTTCAGAATTCAGATGAAACTTACTTTATTTTATCAGAACAATATTGTACAATTAACTCTCTCACGTGTATCCAGGCAAGACAGAAGAAGAGAAATTACTTTGCCATGTGGATTACACAACGCAAACACTTCCCTTCTCTCATGAGATTGAAAGCTTTGTTGACATCTTCAAATGGCAGGTTATGTGTTATGTACTCATCGACTTGGATTTCCTGCAGGAAGATTTTTTGGAATTCAAACAGGCTGTGCATTTTATTTTGTGGATTAAAAAATGTAACAAGTTTTTTTTTCTTAAACTAGAAGAATAATCATGATCGGTCAATGGGAACATGTTAGCTGTTTAAAACAGAGATCAACTGTTAACATGAAATAAAACAAAAGAATTTAGCATCATACTGGCTGCAAATTGGCATTCTTTCTTAGCATACACACCTTTAAAGCTGAAGAAAGAAATAGTTTAACACAGAAGAAATAGCAGTGAGAAGGATTAGGAGGAACTTGTTCTAGATGGTTTATAAATTCAACCTAAGAATTTGATACTAAGCGAAATTCAGATTATAACCCTACTACTTCAAACAAGATGATTTGATAAGTTTGTACATTAGACATTTATCAAACTAAGACATGATAAATTGTTTGGGCATGCCCTATCGCATTCTTGTAACTAGGACTAAACATTGTCAGTAGATTTTCCAGCTACCTGAGGACACACTAAATTTTACAACAATGGGAGGGAAAAGGACACTTAATATTAGAAGGGAGATTGGACTTATTGAAGCTTCAATGAAGTTTGAGTTAGTATTACCTTTTTTGTGTACATATCTACTAATGAAGGGAGATCAGATTTAGGTTTCCATCCTCCAAATAGAGATCCCTTCAACGTTCTTCCAGTAAGAAATATTCCATAATGAGCTGTTACCTCCGGCTTCACTTTTGGCACACCAAGTGTAACTGTCAACCCCCATCCCTTGAAAGAAACGCCAGATACAAATGAGTGAAGTTCAATAAATAAGAACTCATCACATACACAAAAATAAATATGAGACTTAGGGGAAAAAAGAAAAACACTGAGATATGAGAAATTTACATCGCAACATGCCTGCAAAGCAGTAGTTACCATTCCAGTGTCACCTATACATTCAAATGAGTAATCAGCCCCTCCACCTGTCAGATTCTTAATAACCTGAAAGAAAGTTAGCTTATATGTAAATTTCAAACTAAATGACTTCAAGTTCATTCATCATGATTCCTTACACATATCACCGTTGCATTATAAGATTCACTATATCACCAATGAGATAGAAATTCCAATCACCTCATTCAATTTACCACCAAATCATCAGTTATGCTGGCTATTTAATTCTTTTTATTTCTTTCATAATAAATTTCACTTGGGAGGGCGGCCGGGGAGTATGGTTGTTTCTGTTTATTTCAACATTACCTGTTGAATAGGATCTTTGCTGTCATGAGGGTTGATAAATGCTGTAATTCCAAAAGCTTTTGCTGTACAAATGAGAGCACTTACTTACCAACAAATACATTAGGGACTTGTACCATAGAACTCCAGACAGAAAAAGAGAAAAAAAAAGAAAAAGAAAAAAAATACCATTTTCACCCTTTTCAGGATTAGTGTCAACACCAATTATTTGAGATGCTCCCCTAAGCTTAGCACCCTGTGCAACCTATCATACAAGAAATCATTACTGTTTAAGTCATGCTGCTGTCATATTTGAAAAGTGAAAACTGTTAACAAGTCTCTGCACTTACAGAAAGGCCTACAGTCCCAAGACCAAATATCACCACACTTGATCCATTAGATATATCAGCAACATTCCAAGCTGCACCCAAGCCTAAAAATATGTCAACATATGTCAGCAAAGTTTTTCCTTGATCAAGAATTGCAATTACATATGTATGTGACTACGTGCAGGGGCATGTGAGGGCTATCAGATTCCTTTTCTTCTGCTTCTCCCTATCCCCCATCACCTCCAAAACAAAGGAAGCCTTTTTATATTATTCCTTGCATTTTAATTGTGAAGAAACTTATCATGAACGGAAAATTCATTCCTGTATTACAACATGAACACAGACAAACACCGACTTGCATATGCGAACCAAATTATACCCCAATGTGCAGGGCAAGTGCAATATTACAAACATCAGTGATTATTTGTGCTTTAGCTTTTTTATGCTCCCACTCGAAATTACTATTTGATTCTCATTCACATTCTAGTATTTAAACTTCTATTTTCAGTTCATTTAGTTTGGTCACCGCAAAGAAACTTCTACCCAATACCAATAATTTCTAGCTACACCTGTATAGCATATCTGAGCTATATATGTATGTATGCATTTATCATATGCATGTATTTACATAAATACAGTGAAAGAATAAATGGTCATGGTATCATGTGATTTGATGGCAATATCATGATTTGAAACTCTACCTGCAGCTACTCCACAACTGAGAAGGCATACTTTCTCCAGAGGCACAACTGAGCTGATTTTGACAGCACATCCCGAGTGCACCACCGTATATTCACTGAAACTTGAAACTGCACAATAATGATAAATGGGCTCCCCATTTATGGAGAAGCGCGTCCTCTGATCACAGTGCATTACACCTCTCCTTTCCAGCCCCAGTACTTCACATATGTTGCTTTTACCTGATATGCATTGCCTGCATTTCCCGCACTCTCCAATGAAGACTGTTAGCACATGGTCCCCTTCAGTAAACTCAGTAACTCCCTGCCCAACACTCTCGACAATCCTGAAAAATAGCTATTGGGAACTTATATCACCTAAAGAAGTATAGCAAATTAGCAATAATAATATAATATCACAGCACTGTGGAGTAGTTGATCATCCTCACCCTACAAATCATTCAAAGCTTATTGATATTTTCTCTATGCCTTTTTGTATTTCTTATATAAGTGAAACTGTCCTTTACTTCAAACCTAAGGAAATAAGTTTTGGTGCTGTAGTGTATCACAAGAGCAACAGTTCAGTATAGCGTGGTTATCTTCAACACACTCTGATTGTATCACTTGTAGAACACTGCTTGGCTCTTCACCAGTGTGGATGAAGGTAATCACCAATTTAAAAGCATGAATTGTTGAAAATGGTGGGGAGTACCATATTAAATTGTTGTTAACTATAATCATTTAATGTTGCAAAGATGATAGGAGAAAATGGTTAGTGTGACACCTCAGTAGGAAGGAAAAAGTTCTTCCTCACCAGTGAGGAGCCAAGCATTGTCCTCACTTCTATACCTCAAGTATCACCTCTAACCCAAACCTGAGCATCCAATGGAAGGGCCAATTTAGCTCAACCACTTGTGCATTATGCTATAGTTTCTCAATCTTACATAAGATAGCTAGTACTATAATGTAAATTTAAGTAGATGAAAAAAATAGGGAAATAACTTACCCTGTTGCTTCATGGCCAAATATTCGAGGAAAAATCGCCTGCAAAATAACAGGGGGGAAATGGAGTAAGATGAAATACCAGAATTCTCATGAACAAATTCAGCACCCTTTTTCCTAAGTTCTTATCAGGGAAGTATAACTGCATTGAAAGAACGGCGGTGTGGATGAAATACGAGTATTCTCCTGCGTCATGTGATGATGTGAGGGAGAAGGTAGAAGATGCTCTTTAAGGAGAATCCATGTTCAGTAACCATCAAGGGGTATCCATAAATAATCATACTTTTGGTATCAACATACATAACTTTTTTCAGTAAGATGAATAGTCAGTCGATACTCAGCCCCTGATAGGTCTGAATTTCGAAAATTTTAAACAGGATATTAATTCATGGATAAGTTCATTACTTTAAACCAAGGTTTACTTCTTCTCAGTTACTTTGATGACTAATCTTGAACAATTGTTTTACAAGAAAATTAATCCATCCGGAAAGAAGAAAGCATTTCTGGCAGTGGCACAAACAAAATTTAAATTTTTCTTGGTCAGATAGAAACCATAAGTAATAGTTAAATGAATTTTCCAAGCCAGATAATGATTATTTTCCTAGATGTTCAATAAGTAGGAAACAAGAAAAAAATAATTGAAGGAAAAGTAATATTGTTTTATCTCTATTTGTGTTGAAAAGAAGAAGAAAAGAAAGGGGGAAAAGAGTAGGACAAAATAAGAAGAGGAGATTACCTGAGACTCCCAGGCAGTGATGTCACTGCGACAGAGAGAGGTGCAGACGACTTTGATCCTTATCTCCATTGCCTGAGGTGGATTCACATTCACTTCCTCTATCACCAAAGGCTTTCCAGCTCCCCATGCCACCGCAGCTTTTACAATTTTTTTTAAAAAACAAAATAATACATGATTAATAACTATAATTAGAAGCAAATTCCATATTCATACTGTGAATGTGAAGATTGCAGCAAGCATGCATTGTAGAAATAACATACATACCTTTGCAGGTGATGACATCGGGTTTTTTTACGCAAGGCAATGACATTTGCATTTGCTGCGCAAAGCTTGTCTTTCCTGAATTAATATTCCGAAGACAAGACAGACAGACAGACAGCGAACAATCAACAAAGAAGAACCAGACGAGGGAGACGACGAGGTTGGCTGGAGTGAGCGAGCAAAGCAAATGTCTTTAGACTCTCTCCTCTTTACAAGTCAACAAATAATCTGTAGCTGTAGTCTGTACAAAGGCGGGGGTTGGTGGGTAAAGGTTTTCTTCACCTAACCGTTGCATAGGGATAGGCTGTCTTTTACCGGACGCTCCACTCCACCTTGTTTTTCTTCTTAAATTAAAAAAAAATAAAAAAAAATAAAAATCAGGTACTAGAATTTGAGACATCTCATTCAACATTGGAATTGGAAACAAAAGTACCGTTAAAATGTGAAAGTGTTTTAGTTTGAGTTTGGATGATCGAATAATGAAAATAAATTTTATTTCTATATGCACAAAAATATTGGCGACTGGATTTTATTCTAAATTACATTATTCATTAAGTAATTCCTTTTATTATTGGGTTGGTAGCCGTTCGTAAGGCACCTTTGCACTGCATATCATATCATCAAGGAGAATATGAAGAAGGGATTACGAAATGCAAGTGCAAGACAGACTAACAACTCCGGCAAGACACACAGATTCTACCCATACTCAATAGACACCAATCAAAAAGATTTAGAGAGTTGGGGAAGCAAAGGTTGGTGACTGACTGGTGAGTAGAATTTACCAACCATTATCCAATTCCTGCATCATATTTCTCTGACTCAAACAAGTTAAAAAGAAGAAATGTAACAAAAGTTTGATTCCAAAATTGAAGCATTCACTTCTCTTCTGGCATGGCATCACACAAAACCGAGACTAAAAGAGATGAATACACGCCACAACTTAAGGGCTTTCCTCTCTTTTTCATGAATACAGGTCAATGAAAGTGAATTACATGACCATTTATGATTGAACTTGTATTGGTTATGAATTACCCATTGATCATTTCCCCCCTCAACTATCACTTCTTGACGAGAACATACAAAACAACACGACTGCTGCAATAGTCTGGATGCCATTGTCTTTGGTCCAAACGCCCAATTACAAAATCCTTCATTGCGCACTCTAAGAAGTATTCAAGGACAGCATCTGCAGTAGGAAGTAGAATTTGAGTACACTACAGAAAAAGGACATTCAAATAATATAAAAGGCAATTATTACCATTTCGAAGTTCCCCAGCCAAAAAGATTGTTGTTTCACCTCCACAGAGTTGCCGCAGCGTAGACAGCAAATCCAAAACTGCTCCCTCACTATAGATTACATCAGAACCTAGCACTGGAATAACATTTTGGTAAAAATACAACTTTAACAAAATTTGGTTTTGAGTATTGATACTATTCAATAGCACTTTGACCTAAAAATAAAGAACATCAAATGACATGAGATTGATTCTTGTCTCAAAGCATTCAAATCCAGGTTCATTACTATAATCAAGAAATGAGCAGTGGAGCATGCAGTAAACTAAGACGACTTTTGGCGTACCATAGAGATGCTGTCATGTAAGAGAATGCAATGAAGATACCAATTTTTTTCTCACAAAATACAAAAGCTGCTCCTACCACTTACCATAGAAAGGAATATGCCTTTATGCTATAAGTACTTGATGACAGAATCCTCAACGATTCAACTACCCTTTGGGTATTCTAAGAGAGCTTATTATGCTTTAGCACTCGAAATCATGCTTGGATTAAGACAATTTCAAATTTGATTCTAGAACAGATAACTCTCAGTTGGACTTTTACAAAAGTTTTTGCCATCAAAATGTGTCCCATTTTGCAAGAGGTTTTTCTCTCTGTTTTTTTTCTTCTCCAATTTGGTAACTTTTTTAATTAAAAATTAACCATCCAAGATTTGATGTGCCGCACTGCAAGGGAAATAGTACATGTTGCTGCTCTATAGGAGAGAACCAACATATTACCAACATCAGGTGGAGGTTCTGTCAGTTCCAGGTCAGGATCATCTCCCCATATGAATTCCATCACTTTTGCTGAACCTCGCATATCTTCATGTCTCAGATTGACTTCAATATTCTTTCTCAGTAGTCTGAGTCTATCAGGAAGATCTGTGAGGACAACTTGACCACCTAGAAGAGCTGCAATGCAGCTGGAAGAAAAAGGAAGAAGAAAAGAAAGATAGCATACAGCGAGTAAGAGAACCATTATTTCAGCCTGGCATATAAGTTAGAAACTCCAGCCAAAATTCAGATTTATGTTTTCATGGGGGTAGGCATATAAATGTCAATTGTATCTTGTTAGCATGGCCTATCAATCAACCCAAACTGCAAACAAGTAGAGTTCTGTTGGATAAGGTGATCTAACAGTACAAGCTTCAAATTTTACCCATTCAAAAGCTAGTGTAATAATAGAAAGTACTGATAGAACAGTCCGGTTAGATATTCTAGCATATGAAATATTTTCTGACAGAAATTAGAGAACAAAAAAAGATACATGTAAAGAAAGTGATTGTACTTATAATTACCCGACTAATCCACAGCCAGAGCCCAATTCAACAACTTTCTTGCCTTGAAGAAGTAGCAACTCTGAGTCTGAAGCATGCTCTAGAAACTTCCCCAATATAACTCCACTGTCCCACATGACAGCACCAGTTACTCCAGGTGTGCTCTACAGTTCAATAAGTTAAATTATTCAAGAAAATTTTGAATAAACATCGAAAATTCTAGAAGGTTAAAAAACTTAAAAGTGAGTGGGATGTGACGATGGTGGAAGCTTTAAAATTCATTCAATCAAAATCTATTCTGATACAATCATCTAATCCTCTGGAAAAAAAAAACAGATGTTGGAAAGCACCAAAAAAGGATTGGTCTTTATATTGCATCTGTATGCCACAACAAAATTAAAGCACATCTTCATTTATTTAGGTTTTTTTTTAAATATATATATTTTTTAACAATGACCCTCATTGGCATTGTTTTTCTGCTGCATTCTAATATGTAAACTGCAAGACACTTTCCAGTTGCCCATCTAACTTGATAACAGTAACAGTAAGCCAAGGCTCTTTATTCCTTTCTTTAGTTTTATGATAAACTGCAGCTAAGTTTCGAAAAAGGTTGTGCCCCATCATAACATGGTACTATAGATAGTCCAACACTTCTGCATTACAATATTCACACATTCAGTCCATATAACTCATTATAAAAGATAATGTCAGCAGCCTTTGATCCTGTAGATGTCATAGCCAATGGGCATACTACCTTCCCTATCATGGTCAAGCAATGCTTCATGCTCCTGACTATTATGTAACGCTACCAAAACTTCACTCTTTATTATCAGATACATGCGGATGAGCACTCTAGACACTACAATGGGTCTAATGTCATCTAGTTTTATTGCACATGCTTCCACTTAATCGAGAAGCTTTAAGATGTGATCTTCCCGTTGACATAGAAGGATGGTGCCACCAAGTACTACCAGTATTTAACTGTCAAGGGGAAAAGAATCCAACCTGCCACAACATCACACCTGTAGCCTCATCAATGTTTTTCTTCTTTAATTGCTTCTCATTTCTCAGCTAGGTATTGAATTTCATCTCAAGCTCGGAACAATATTACTGTTGAACTAACATTCAATTGTATAGGTCACAGGATTGGGAGCATAACGGAATGCATACCTACCGCAAAATGTGGCACATCGGGGGTACACGTTTTACAGCTCGTAATGAAAGCTGTCTCCAAGTCATGAAATTGTCAGCGGTTTATATAGGCTTACCTTGTGCACCCCAAGAACTTCAAAATCTATTACATTTCCATACTAGGTTTTATATTCTAGTATTTAAAAATGGAAACTCGGTTTGACTTTTTATCTTTATTAATCAAAGGCAAGGTACAGGGACTCTCAAGTAATGAAAAGTAATTTCATAAAAGCTCTATATTGGTATTTTGGCATGGAACTATATATTTCTCCCGGCCATAGTTACCTCTGTGGCCCAGAAGTCAGCAATCATACATTTTCTCCCAGCCATAATCTCCATAATGACTGGGGAAAACAAATATTTGTTTCCAGAAACTAGCTACAACAGTAAGTAATAAAGCGTCCGGATTTCTACTAGGAAGATTTCTTCTTATACTTCTTTCTATCTACGTATCTAGAATGCTATTTTCCTATTTTTTTAGCTTTCAAGAAGTCTAGGTCACACTGAAAACCAAGTTTTTCATTAACTAGACAAGAAGCATGCAAATGACATAAAGCAACAAGCATTGAAATAGTTGAATGGTAAATTAAAATTATTGTAGAAAGACAAGCAAAAAAAATAAATAATAGATACCAAAGAAGAAGGGGACTGGAAAATGGAGAGTGAGTGACCACAGACATCGAGTTTCAGTTGAAGAGAAGACTGAGAAACGAATGCGTTTGGTTTGGAGAGAGTTGGCTGTTGCATTCCCCACAGCAGCATTATCTCCTCTGAAGCTGCGGTAGCAGCAAATGAGTCCAATTCTTCTTCTTCTTCTTCTTCCTCCTCCTCTTGTTCTGCTTTCACCCTCAGCAGCCTAACCATCCCTTTGTAGGATCCCAACGTAACCATTCTTTCCTTCTCTTCTTCTTCTTCTTCCAATACTATTTCTTCTGTGGCCATGACTACGGGACTAGAGGCCTTCATGGTGGAAATGGAATTGGGAATTAATAATGGGATTTTAGGAGAAGCAACTTTTACAGCCCCCAGCCAGCCCCTACGGAGGAATTCTACCATTAACTTTGTTAGTCATAAGCTAATCTTGGCCGTCCCTTGCAACCAACGGTTAGGATTATGAAAAAGAAATGGAGAGGTGATTGGAAAAGTGTGTGAAGGAAATATTCCAAAGTTTTATTTAATAAGGTTTTTTTTATTTATAGGTTTATGTTGGTTTTAAAGTTGAGGACGTTTGTGTCTATTTATATGAGTTTTCTGCTATATTTGAATTTTTTTACAAAAACTAACATTTTTGAAATTAGGGGTCAAGTTTTGGCTATTTTTGATAAATTCTCCTACCTATGCTTATACTTATATTTAGTTATTAAATTCTTGGATTTTTAGGTAAAACAGTTACTAAACTTTAGTCCGATCCACATCTTCGTCTTTCAATTTCCAAAATAGTTGCAGTGGCCCTTAAACTCTACTTTCGTTAGTAATAAAAGTCATGTCGTCTGTTGTGTTAAGTTTTCTATTAAATATATGGGTAAATGGGTCTTTTATGTTAGTTTTAGGGTCCAACTTTCTAAAATCCATCTTCTGTCACAAATATGTTGTAAACCATCCCCAAAACAACCCCAAATTGAAAACCCCTTCCTATTTTGGCTAACCTTCTTCTTCATTCATTTTTCTTCTCTTTTGGGCTCACCCTCGTCAATTGGAATGTAAATTTTGTAAGATGAGTTTTTCTTTTCATGCTTGTATCTATCTTCTCTCATTGTGTTTTCCCACCTAGACATTTTTTTGTGTTTAGAAATGAGCTAGAAATGTATCAAATGAAATAAGGCATATAGAGAAAGTTGTAGGTTTAGGAGAAAATAGGAAGAGTTGTGTCTTTTTGTGTCTGCTAAGAGAGAATCAAAAGCTGCAATGGATTTGGAGGGTGTGAAAATTGTGAAAATGGGCATTGTTTAAGCTTAGCAAATGTCGAGATTTTCTGGATTTTTGGCAATGAAGAGAACGAAGCATGAAGTTGATTGCAGTCAAGTTGAACTCAATTCAATGAATTGGTCGAAGCCTAAGCCCCAATACTCATGTTGAGGCCCAAAAAATCTAAAGTTGAGCCCAAATATATTTCTTGCCCAATACAACACTTAACTAGGAAAGAAGCTTGACTTGGGTATGCAAGAATTTGTCGTATGCGCTTACGCAAGTTATGTTCCACATGCCACGCCAAGAAAACACGTAACCCGCCATGCAGAGAGGCCGTAACGAGCCTGTAAAATGTATTGGTTCTATGAACCGGCGCTTACTGTCCTGTCAAGCACCGTTTAGCCCGGCTATAGCTCACTGCAATACAAGAAAGCTCAAGCACAAACATGCCAAGCAACGTCCAACACCAAGCGAAAAACCTTTATTTTGGCACTAAGCCACGCTACAAGCTTAAGTGGGCCCAAGCCATGCGAATGCCTTAGGCTTGTTGAGCGGATTGTGGTACGAATGGTTACAAGTATTCATGAGATCCATTGGAGGTTCAAGGAATGGAAGTTTTGGGCTACTTGGGAGCACTAAAACTCAAGTCAATTTCTTGAGCCCAAACATATGGGTAAGCATGAGAGAGAGAAAAGTGACCCAATGCCTTATGAGAATATCCAATGATCTGAAACACTTAGAAAAATCCTACATCAGCTGAGACATCTAGCACATTGTCAAAAAACAAAGCAAATAAGCTACTCCAACAGCTTGACGAACTCACAGGCCATTGGAAATAGAATGCCAATAACCCAATACCTTAGAAAAAGCCCAGCCCAAAGTCTTATAAAATATATAGTATCTTATCTAGTGTTGTTAAAGGCCTCAGAACCAAGTCAAATGGTAAGCCACTGCAAAAACCAAAGGAAAATCATATGCGCATGAGGAATACCCATTATACTAACGCCCGTACCCATGTTCCTTTCTTCTGCAAGCTCAAATAGGAAAACCAGATTGTAAAGTGGTTGGTGCCCCACCCACATAAAGAAATCCAGTTGCTTGAAGATGTTGGAACCCTAAAAAGGCTTCGTGCCTAGGTGCGCAGGCTGAGGAAGTTTCACCAAATGAGGTTGAAATGGAAGAAAGTGAAGGGAAAGAAAGAAAGAGGCATGTTCCAATGCCTATAAAAGGAGGCACCTTCTACCCAGCAAACACACAATCCAGAAGTGTGACCAAGCTCTTGTCAAGCAACTGAAAATTTACTCAAGACACCCCATTCTCTATTTCCATCTCTCCCTCTCTTCCTTAGTCAAAATCCCCCCAAATTTCTCTCCCCCTTGCTCTGAACCTTTGTTTCCATAGGAAATCCAAGCTCTCTCTCTCTCTCTCTCTCTCTCTCTCTCTCTCTCTCTCATGAAGGCTCAGCTCCCATGCCACAAGTTTCTCATACCAAGTCATAATATTGATTTGTAACAATTGTCTATCTTGTTGGTGGGAGGAATCAAACACTTGTTCCATTATGTTTCAAGCAAACCCCTTCCATCATCTGCTTCACCTCTATCATCAAGCAATAGCTTCACAGCAGTTGATGTATCCTTCTCATCAAAACTTTCAATGTACTGAAGAGCCATTGAAGAAGACCAAAGCACTCCCTAAGGTCTCAACTCTTTTGGGGTGTTTTGGGGCCTGGTGCCGCAAACTCAGATAGGGGCGCAAGAGAGCTCGATCTACTTCACAATAGTCCAACAAGCCCATTGTAATTCTCAACAAAAAAACCTCAACAACTCAAAACCTCTTCATTTTTTGAACCATAGCATATCTTCATCTTCACAAATATGTTAAAAGTCTTATTCAACCCTCAATTGCTCCCCATACTCATTTTTGACAAAAAAAAATATGACAGAACAGACGGAAGGACTTCTATTGCTAATGAAAGTGGAGTTTAAGGATCAACGCAACTATTTTGCAAATTGAAGGACCAAAATGTGAATCAGGCCAAAATTTAAGGATTGTTGGACCTAAAAACACCCATCCATTTGGATGAGGGAAAATAACTAGGAATTTAGTTAAAAGTAGGGAATTTAAGAGGAGAAATTAACAATTCCATTGTTTGGTAACTTAAGCTCATAATTTATTAAATGTCGTAGAAAAAAATCGTGAAAATTGGGGCATCAATTCTTGAGTTTAATTTCCACCAAAATAGGTGTCATTTCACAATTTCCATACTGTCATTTACAAAATTCGACATACATAAATCCAAACAGTGAAATCTTCAATTGTCAGAAATTGAAATGATAGAAATATAAATTCCGTAAATTTAGAATTCTATGTAATTTTCAATTCCTTTATCCAAACGGAGGGTAAATTATTCTATAACCCAATATGCGGGAGATTCTCCAATATGCTTATGAGAGAGAAATGTGATATGCGGTTTTTTTCTCGGTCAAATAGAAACTTCATTAGATAAACTTCAACGATATAATCAAAAACATCAACAAGACATTTAAAATACTAATCCCAATAGGGCAACAAACAAACATGCTAAAAGCAAAACTAACGCGGAAAAAAACCACACTAAAACTACTAGCCCACATGTTTCATTTTCATTTTACCTAGATTACCTACCAACAAGATTCATGACTCCCAAGAAACCTTAGCTGCCCTTTCTCTTTGTAAGTCCTAAAGGAAAACTCCATAGAGGGGGAGGAGGAAAAATCGTCACTGCCTCTCCTCCCCCTTTTTTCTTCTCGTCTTTTCCTTTTAGGTTAGTGAATAAGTTCACTGAGGTGTTTTGAATAAAAAGTCCCTTGGAGTGGTTTCTTCTAAGCCATGGTTAGATTGAAATTCTCCATCACCCCAGTGGCCGTGAATGTGCTTCTTTAGGTAGTGGTGGTAAGGTTCGTTTAACCTTATGGGTTGATTTAGGATTTTGGTTATATTGAGTTTGTGGACTTTGTTTGGACTTATGGCTAATAGGGATATGGAATCTCAGTCTTAACCATCAAAATGAAAAAGGATAAGTTAATGGGAAAAACCCATATGACAATATGACAAGAAAGAACTTGAATTGAGGAAGAAATCACCAGCTAATTCGAGAATAATTATTTCCTACTTTAAGCCTACATGTGGTTATAACTTTTGAGCCATTTGATGATATTCAAATGACGTGGAGAAGAGAAGTCAAGCAACACAGGATGTGTATCCTATGAATTTATATAGTTCCATTATCCTGCAAGGATGAGGTATTCAAATCTTGAGATTGTTAGGCACGAGGTTTAAATCCCACCGAAAAAAGAAATAAATATAAAACCCAAATGGTGTCCCTTACATTTTCCTAACGCAAGGGAGATTCACTATTATACCCAATATAGGGGCCCAAATCATAAAAATACCTCATATGAAATGGACTTTAGAAACACACCCAAAGCCCATTTACAACATAACAAAGAGGTTTTAACTTCTTATAAATTACAAAACTGCCATCAATTTCTTAAAACAAGCCCAACCCCAAAATCTCATAAAAAATACCCAAAACACTCAATAGGGCATCAAAGTAATTTAATAATCAATATTAAATTCAATAAGGCCAGCTGTTATTTTTTAGGTTTGTTTATAGAAATTCAATGGTGTAGGGTTTATCTATAATATTAGTGCTAAGAATGGGTATATCACTAAATATCTCAAAGAGGAATCCATCTAACTAACAAATCGAATTACAGGATCCAAATCTGAAACCCGACTCCAGTAGAGATTCAGTTATGCTCATGCAAATTACTTGTCTGAAGTAGACCATTAACCACTTGGTAAGCAGAAAGAGTCCTTTATGTTATATCTTTCAAAAGCTGTCATCATAGAGGCTTTTTGTTCAAAGTGAAACTATAAACACAAATACATAAGAATGATACTTACAATGAATCCGCAGGCATATGTGTGCCATTGTGTCAAAGAAGTATTTGACATAAGTTTCCAGCATATATCATATCAATGGGGCCATGATTACATGCTTAACCAACCAGAGGAGCCTAGTATACACATAGAAAGATAGATGTTATTCAATCTCAATCTGTAGCGGGGCTTCTTCTTCTGGTTCTAACCCGCTAGCATCAATTTCTTCCTCGGTGATCCCAGAGGCTTCCACAGTCCTTGAAACCCAATCCTTGAGTGGATCTTCATTCAAGTCAAGTCGTAAGAGACCAGCAAACATCCCTCCCATGAACGCAACTGGCTCCTAAATGACAAGATATACAGAGAAATGATGGAAATAATAGTATACCATTTATGTTGCATTCTCATCGAAAATTCTTTTTATCTAGTGGCAGTGGCACATATCATCTAAAACACAGTAGATGGGAGAGCTGGGAGAACAAATGAATAATATATAGTATGGAATGCATCTTCATTTTACAGCTCACGTCATAAGAAAATGATCAAAGAGAGTTACTTTTAACAAAGCAAGCATTGAGGTAGTACACGCTACTTGGATTTGGAAGAGAACTACAGATGATACCATCCAAACATGGACAAGACAGATATAACTCAGTGGTGTCTACATCAGGCAGACGTTTTTTGGACTAAGATTTTAAAAGAAAAACAAGAAGAAGTAACTAATGAATATACCAAAGCAAATGATTGTGTTGTGTTATGCTCCAAGACCAAGAGTGACATTTTGAATCCATATTTTGCATCCGCATGAGATGCTGTGTTATCAAGATGCAAAAATCAGTTGGTAACAGTCTAATCCCCTAAAAACCCTAAACCATACAGAATAAACCTCTTACAAAATCATACACTGAATCGGGAGAACAAACAAGCAAACCAATATCAAGATAAAGTCCCTACCTTACGCGGAATTTGGGAACTCAGAATTGAGTAAACTAATCGGGATTTATTTATATATGAATTGACTTAAGCGCTAGTAGCAGTAACAAGTAGTACCTTAAGCGCGTCTCTGAGAATGGGTTCCTCAGTGGGATTGAAGAAAAACGCCTTAACCCCATCATTGTTCCCCAAACGCACTTTTGTGCTGCTGCTGGGACTCATCTGCTTTGGTAATGTCGATGGTTTTATAAACCGAAGCTTCTTTGATTTCCACTGTTACCCAAATTTGAATTTTTCATAAATCATAAATAAATACTGGCTGGAACACCAGATCAATAGATAGATGAAGAATAGGAAAAGGACAAGTTAAGCCTCGGGTGGGATTCACTCACCAGTGCACAGCAAGGAAAATTCACAACAAAGACTGACATGTTGAGCTTCCTCTGCTGCCTTCTCTTCTCTTCGCTTATGTTGAACCTTGAAATGCTTCTTCTGTTCTGCTGATTCCCCGACTAGTAGATTTATTAAATATATATTTTTACAAATTTTGTTTCTCTACGGTTACAAGTTACAAGTCTTCGGCCCGTGGTCCTTGGGCGGGCTTTAGTACAGTCCAGTGATCTTTGACCCACACTAAGACTCCAAAAGCTACCCAGATTAATCCAACTTTAAAATGTGGATAGCCAAGTCCTGGGCTTTCTTTCGGACTACCTCTATATACAAGGGTCTGTTTTTTGGGGTTAACAAGAGTCTTTCTATAGTGAAGTCTTTATATATGACATTTAGGTGAGGTTTTGTTTCTCAACTGTTGGATCGTATTAACTAATTTGATCAAAGAGTCTCACTTAAGAGCCATATATAATGCCCTCGCTATAAAATTCTTAGGGGGAATAAAGAGGACGGGAGATGCTACAATGTGAGGGATTTGGGCGAGGGGGTTGAATGATCTCTCATTATTGCATTTGACATAGAAGTATTAAAATAGAACCTTGACAGTTAGTGGTAAGCCGAGAGCTTGGGAATGGGGTGCGTGCTACTCGAAAGAAGTATGCTTGGCTGGTTTTTGCTGGCATATATAATTGCGATCTAAGGACCATTTCCACACCCTCTTGATAAATTATGGCACAAATTTAGGACCTTGATTCTTGGATGAATTGACAAGTGTGTCCTACCTAACCTAAAACTTAAAGTGGCAATATTTAAGCCAAATAAAAGGTTCCGTTGCTCAAAGCTGATAAAATTTGTATTAAGTAGAGCTGCCAAGCCAAAGAAAGTGAGTCTCGAGCTTACAAATTGGGGCGAACGATTATGCGCTTGGAAATGTGTTAAAGACTTAAAGGTGGCAATATAATTATTGATTGTTCATACGAATAAAATATATACACACATAAACAGAGCAAGTGGTCAAACTTAATTGCGTTAATTAGGATGTCTTAAAATTGAAGACGTACGACGCACCTCACCTGGATTCATGCTTTTGCAGTTGAACAAGCTAATATATATATATTGAAACTTATAATGCACCCCAAAAAAGGGGACATTCCAGAATTCTACCCATGTGGCTCCCAAGTTTATGCGAAAAGAATAAACAGTTAGAGTCGAGCTAGCAAGATATAATAATAATTGATAATCATTAGAAAACTGATGATGAATCATGATTGGGGGGGTGGGGGGTGGGGGTGGGGGGTGCCTCCTCTCCTCCTCTGCTAGACTATGAATACATTAAGGGATGACCGCAATCTAATTTCTCTCTGTAACTCGACGTGGTTCCGTCAACGATGCCTGCTCAGCAACTAAATGATTAATTATTACTCTTGTTTTATTTTAATAATAAATATAATCATGTTTGTGTTGTCTTGTAACTTGTAACTTGTACTAGACTAGTGGTTGAATTCCCTTCATATATAATATATATGTTCAACGATAAATATTTCTGGCTGGCAGAGAGGTTTGAGCTGATCTCTCCTTCCTCCTTCCTCCGAATCTATTAATTTCTCTAGCTCTGATAGGAAATGGTGGGAGACTTTTTCACGGCGAGCAGCCTGCTTCTGAACTCGACGACACTATTGTTCATTTTTTTTCTTGCGAAATTAATTAGAAGAAGAAACAAGGTGGTAATCAGGAGAAGCACATACAAATTGCCACCAGGGAGAAGAGGCTGGCCAATAGTTGGGGACAGCTTCAGTTGGTACAATGCGGTCGCAAGTTCCCATCCCCCTCACTTTGTTGAACAACAGGTCAAAAGGTATGCACTACTACTGCAGTCTGCAATTTGGAACGTTTGGCTATATATAATTAATGCAAGCTTTGTGTTTAATTTTGAACAGGTTTGGCAAGATATTCTCATGCAGTCTGTTTGGAAAATGGTCTGTGGTATCAGCAGACCCAACCTTTAACCGGTTTGTAATGCAAAATGAAGGGAAACTGTTCCAGTCTAGTTATCCAAAATCTTTCAAAGATTTGGTAGGGAAAAATGGTGTGATAACGGTGCATGGAGAGCAACAAAGGAAACTCCATCGAATCGCCTCCAACATGATGCGTCTAGAGAAACTCAAGTTTAATTTCTTGGAAAATGTTCAAATGGTTATGACTCAAACTTTGAGCAATTTTCCAAGCAATCAAGTAATACTTCTCCAGGATGTTTGTAGAAAGGTAACAAGTTCCAACCCCTGATATTGATTTTCAGGATTCTCCTCCATCGCGTACCTAAATAATATACCATGCTGCAGTTGTCTATAAATCTAATGGTTAATCAACTTTTGGGAGTATCGAGCGAGTCAGAGATTGATGAGATGACTCAATTGTTCTCCGACTTCGTTGATGGTTGTCTCTCTGTTCCAATCAACTTTCGAGGTTTTGCTTATCATACTGCGATGAAGGTGCGTAGATATATTTAACTTTCCACTGGAATTATATATGACCTGTCACCTACAAGGGTCTTCCTCAAATAAGCTTATATATGAAGGAATCCCTCAATTGAAGCTCTTTTTTTTGTTTTTTCTGTTTCTTCTGATTCTTTATGCATGCAAACTAGTAAGTAACTAAATTTTACAGATGTGATAATCAATGTGTAATTAATGGTTTCGCAGGCTAGGGGAAAAATCATAACCAAGATAAATAGGATAATGCAAAACTACAGGGAACAAGGCGCAACAGAAGTTGGTAATGGCGTGCTTGGGAGATTATTGGAGGAAGAAAGCTTACCCGATGAAGCTGTAGCAGACTTTATTATCAATCTTCTCTTTGCTGGGAATGAAACGACTGCTAAAACAATGCTGTTTGCAGTCTATTTTCTTACTCATTGTCCCAGAGCAATGAAACAATTGGTGGTACTTATACTTAACTTTACCATTCCTGATCGTGTTACGGTTTTTGCTGCAAATGAGGGCATATTGTAATCTAATTTTCTTAAACAATACGAAGCAAGTCATGATCATATATGCATATCTTGTTGAAGCTCTACTTGTTACTTACTTCTTGTAGAACGCCCCTAATAAGTAAGGTCGCTCAAATCACATATATCTCAATTAATCTAAACATGTATTCTGTCAAAATATCTTATCCTTTCTCTTTGAAATTAAGATCCCTTGATGTAGAAATTATGATCATGACAGGATGAACAAGACAGTCTCCGAGGCAAATTTGTTGCAGAAGAAATGCTTACATGGCAGGATTATAAAGCAATGTCTTTTACTCAATGTGTAAGTATCACCAAATAGAAAAACTAGTCACAGGCCATGATTTCATATTCGAGATTTAATCTTTCCTCAACTTTAATTTAAAGAAAAGAAAACTTCAAGCTGAAACAATATATTCTGAAATTAACTTAGGGCTACAATTGTAATTATCCTTTTTCATTGATAGCATATGATGTCTGTGTACTAGATGCCTAAGTAATCTTCAATATGTACAGGTCATTGATGAAACACTTCGCCTTGGGGGAATTGCAATTTGGTTGATGAGGGAGGCAAAAGAAGACGTTGAGTACCAAGGTAGTTTTATCTCTTTTTGTATATCTGCATGTGTCTCTCTATTTCTTAATAAAGACATCATATCATCTATAAACCAGGAAATGGTCGTATCGTATTATGGACTCTTCAAGAAACCTTACAATTGGGTATTTAGGAATATATATTTGTTGTGTCCCAAGTCCTATATAAGAGTTCACTACTCTGTCTAAATTACATATCATGCGCATATATTGTTCCTACCTTAAGTCAATACCTTCCACCAACAACTGGTACCTTAAATGCGTATATTAACTCTTTGTCATAATGTTTTTGGGTAGACTACATTATTCCAAAAGGATGCTTTGTGGTTCCGTTCCTTTCAGCAGTTCATTTGGATGAAAATGTGTACAATGAAGCCCTCACCTTCAATCCATGGAGATGGATGGACCTTGAAAATCAGGTTAGTGACCTCTAATTACAAACGTTAATGGTGTTTATCTTTTTTATATGTTATAATATAATAATAAAAACATGTGCGTATGTCATATTTTCTGAGTAGGAGAAAAGAAATTGGAGAAGTAGCTCATTTTTCGCACCCTTTGGAGGAGGAGCCAGATTCTGTCCAGGAGCTGATTTGGCTCGCCTTCAAATTACCCTTTTCCTTCATTACTTTGTGACAACATATAGGTAATTCTTTTCTTATACATACATTTCAATATTCAAAGCTTAAGAAGTTATTATACAATCACGATCACGAATAAGCTCTTTGAAAAATATCCATGCATGCACTCTCCTGAAATCTTTCATTGTTCTTGGTCATCGTACGTACAATTCCCACTTTAAAACCTGATATATGGATTGCAATCAGATGGACTCAGCTTAAAGAAGATCGGATGTCCTTCTTTCCCTCAGCTCGTTTAGTGAACGGCTTCCAGATTTGCTTAACTAGACGATCGACGTGAACACTGCAAGGATATGGAGTTATCCATTTATTTTATTTCGTATTCAAATATGTGTGTAATTAAATTGACTTTTGTGGTACAACAAAGAGTTGAAAATATATAATACAGAAATGAATGTTGCTTTTAGAAGGGTTTTCTGGATTGTTTCCCCACTTTCTCCTCTAGTCTGGCCGTTTAAGTTTATTGTTTGTGACATAAAGTAAAAATGAAAAATTGGGGGCCTCAGGGCCAACCCATTAGTACCTTTTTTTTATCCCTTTTTACAAATTGGGGGCCTCTCTCTCCACCCTTTATTTATGGTATATGGACAATTTGTCTGCTTAATTACATGTTATAGCTAGGCAGATCAGTTTGGCCATACATGATCAGGGGGCTAATTATTATTTATCAAGACTAGATTTTGTTGAATGCAATGTTTGCGAAAAAGTAAAAAGTAGAATTTTGTAATATAACAGAGAGTGTAGCCTAATTATTTCTGTTGAGGTGCAGGCATGTTTATATATCATATCTCCACATCGCATGATGGGCGTAAGGCTTAATTAGCATCTGGATCTTTTGATGCATTTTAAAGCACCAGATGACCTTGTCAATGAGCGGACAGATTTGGCATTAACAACTGGGAAAGTTTGTTCTCCGTTATAGTTTGGCTTTGCTCTGCCGGCACCTGTTTCGACGAAAGAAGCCCCATTTTCAAAGATATCTCCTACCGAGTAAAACTTCCAGGATTCTTTGTTTCCAATGCTGTCCTTCCTCCAAGTGATCTGTGCATTGCATTCGAACTTTATTATTAGTAGCTAGCTATATATATTCTTAATATATATACATTTGAGTTAATTACCTCTTTATTGTTTCTCGATTTTGGTGCAATGAAGAGGTTGGCTTCACTCTTAACGCTAGGGTTCATGCTTCCCCCAATGGCATACTGCGACCATTCTCTGTAAAGATTGTTCACGACATGTGCATATCCGTAACGAATCCTGCATGCATACATAATACTCAAGTTCTGTACAGGTATATATTACGTACTTTGCTTATAGTAATAGCTAGACAGCGGTTGAAAAGTAAAGGTAGCCTATTTAGCAGTAAATTAATTTAGCCCCTCGAAAAGCAGCTCATTAATTAATACGTACCTTGGCATTCTTTGGTTGCAGTTAGGTCCAAAATGGTTGTACACTACGGTCACCCTCATGTTCTTATCCCGAAAATAGCCATCATCGTGGCCCAGAAGCATGACCTTGTCTTGGTCTCTGAACCAATTGTTGGAGACGGTGATATCGGTAGATCCACGAGTAACATCGAGAAGACCATCCTCGCACTCATACAGTGTATTGTGGTCTATCCAAACCTTTGATGCAGTAACCAACCTGATTGCATCTCCATCAACCTGGCCCAGTGACATTTTCTTTCTATCTGGACCCATAACTAAGCTTGGTGCTTGGGAACGGCAGTGGTGGATTCGAAGGCCATGGATGATTACATTGCTTGCCTGATGATGGATATATGTATAAAATATTCATTAAGGAATTAACATGATATAGTCTGGTCGAACCAAAAATATTAAAATGATCTACCAATTTCCCAAAAAGGAAAAGAAAAATCATTCCCTTCTATGAACGCTCTCTGACTCAGAAGAAAACTGATGTATAAGATGAACACTTGGACGCATATATATTATATTACGTACCTTAAAGACCACCAAGCATGCATTACCAGCAATGTGAACGCTAGGACCTCTTCCGTCAATGGAAGTGAAGCTACTAATGAGAAGTGGTTTCTCAAGCCTAATGCGCATGTCCCTCTGGAAGGTGATCCACTTTTTCCCTCTGATGATGGTAGCCCCATATCTCAAAGTTCCGGGTTTGGGGTCTAACGCATTGTCACTTGGGTCCGTGACTTGATAGTATACGATATCTCTTCCTATGTTGTTGCTCATCTTCCCAGAAAATCCCACCGAGCATAACGCAAGTTCCTGGCGGTTCCTTCTCCAATCCGAGTTCCATCTCCAGCAACCATCGATCACGTTCAATTTCAAGCCATCAACTTTGGTTTTCTTAGCGAAACTCGGGTTTGGAACGAAGCTGGCAATGGCGATGAAAAGGCCCAAAACAAAGCACCAGATATTGGCATTGGGACATTGATGACAAGCCATTATATGTGTTTCAAACTTACAGATGTAAAAGAAGGAGAATGGAGGGAGAGGTATTTATAGCCAGATTTAACATTCGGTAATTGCTCCTAAGTTTGTTTAGTTGTTGAGGATCAGTCTTAATGGTTAGCTAGCTGTCACGAAATGGTATGCACGGAAAAGTATGAAGGTTTTGCAGTTTCGCTTCTCCTCCTCAAGTTTAGCTCGTTAGCTATCTATCTTTGTGCTTGTTTTTTCGTTAGCTATCTTTGTCTAGCATCCAAAAGAAGGGAGCGATGGACTGTTTAACTGTGTTTAGTGGTGGAGCAATGGAGTCCTATGATTTTCAACTACTACGTAGTTGCATACATCATATACGGTTAAATATGTAGTGAAAATTCCCCCTCCACTATACAAGTCCATTAATTAGTGCATTGGCTTAGCATTGTGAGAATGTAAAGGTGAAAATATCCCACATTGGAAAGGTAGAAAACCTTACAAGGACATAAGGTGTTGGGCTACTCCCCATTACCAATTGATTTTGCAATGGAACCTCAACCTCCTTCAAGCATGAAGCGAGTTTGGTCCTGTCCAGTTATTTAGAATTCGAATTTCAGAGTTCATAATGAACGTGGTTTCTTCAAGAACAAAATGAATGAAGATTTTTTTAATACATACAATTTGAAAACCGGTCAACTTTGAAGAGATAATCAAGACTAGAACTTTAGTACCCAAAAAAAAAGAAAAAATCATTCATTCACTTTCTGAAGACACAACCCATTCACTTATATGCTCCTTGATAAGAAAATAGAAACATCGTTTAAAATATATATTGGGGATCGAAGGAATCCAAAAGTTGCAAATAGATAGATTCATGCTGATAATTCTGCTTCATTGAATCAGTGTTTAAGAAAATGATACTGGGAAACACCTTTTGAAACCTATTATGCATGGATATAGCAAACCCGGATTTCCATCAGTGTATACCTATTCTGCTTCATTGAATCACTCATATGCTATGACATTTATTTGGTAGGTCACAACCTATCGAGTCCCCAACCGTTCCATGGCTTTCATGCTGAATCAGTGGATGACAGGCTTGAGGGGATAAGCTCTCATATTCGACCAGTCAACAGTAGAATCAAGATCTGCATCTAGTTCCCCAACAATGCTTCTGCAACAATTGGAGGATACATATTTATAGGAAGTACAAAGAAATTTGTAAAAAGTCTAATTCAATCCAATTCACTTCCCGCAACCAATGGGTAACTAATGTAAATAGAATAAAGTCTTGACACTTACATGTTGTCACCTCTGATTATATACAACCCCAACACGAGTTGCTGAACACCCTCCTGCCAGTCAGAAATAACAAGAAGTTACCACAGTGTCAGTGGGACAATAAAACGAGTATATGTTTGTATATAGTACTTTGGCAACAATACCCCCATGAGCAGGGTGTCAGGCAGTAGAGAGGAAACACAGTTGCACCAATTAAAACTTAAGATACTGAATGTCCTGAGGAAAATAACAAATGTTACAGTGAAGATGCAAACCTTTGTAGAGAAAACACGTTCATGAGATTCATCGAGAATGATATTTGTAGCTTGGTCAAAGCCTTTCAAGACTCCCTGAATTAGAAAATAAAAATAAAAATTGTCAGTAAAACTAATTCGATCATTAAGAAAAAGGTGCATTAGAGTATTAGTGTATAATATACCACAATATTCCGTCCATCATTTGTGATAACTGAAATTGTTTCTGCACATAGAAATGCTTTAAACAGTTAGAGAGAGAGAGATCTGAAATGCTCACAGCATAATGCCTAGGCTCATGCCCTGCCTTAAATGGGGTAAAAACTTTGGGTATAGGATACAAAAACTATATTCATGCATAGTAATCAACAGCATTGATATTTGATGGAAGTAATAATGGATAGTCGAGAATTTCCATACGATCAACAAGTGACTCAAGACCAGGGCCACTGGACATATTTCAATTCTGAATCTTCTCTGCAGTACTGTTAATGAACAAACTTTTCTGCAAGAGAGAGAGAGAGAGAGAGAGAGAGAGAGAGAGAGAGAGAGAGAGATTCAGAATGAATAATACCCGTCTATAGGAAACAAAATACATGACAACACTAAAAATAATCTTCTTCTATTACAATATTTAGGTGTTGGGGGTGCATGAGGAGATATTCATTCTAAAGTATTGAATTTATACCCAATAATACCAATTCAAACACTCATCAATAGTTTAAGCTATATAACTCTTGACCGACTAGAACATAAAGAGTTTGTAAGTTAAAGCATTTCGGAAGGCAAACGTAATTTACGCAATATTCCCTGGAAACATAAAAGGTATGTGAAGGTCTATTATATTCCCAAAGATCCACATGATATAACATATGTGAAGGCCAAACACATGAGGCCTAACACCTCCAATCCCAACATGCCCCTAGGAAGTTTATCTAAGGTCAGTTCTAGTTACGGGACCCAGGGCCGGAGCCAGGATTGTCTGGCAGGGTGGTCTTTAACACTACTACAAAATTCGCAATAGACGACGGTGATAAAGTACATATGCAAAAATTGGATCAAGCTCCAACTCTCATGATAAAGTACATATGCAAAGCAAAATGCACACCAAGGAAATCAGCAGTTCAGTAGACAAGGAGGGAACCAAAAGAAGCTCTAAATAGGGAACTGCTAAACTGCATCAAAATAATGTAATTTGTGATTGTTTGATAAATGCTTGGTGAACTTTGGGAGACAGACTGCAAGTTTGCAAATGCCACAGGAGCAAATTGAGTAAGATTCAAAATATAACAACTTGATCGTATTAAATTAATGAGCATCAAAACAATAGAAAAAACAAACCACTACAAGTGAAGCACTGTCATACCCAAATAGCAAACCTCCAAAAGCTGGAAACAGAAAGCTAGAATTCCAAGAATTTAGTTATTAAGACAGTTAGAGAAAGCAAGCAGGAACAGAAAGAGAACATAAGAAAGTAATTATTGGTCAGCAACCATGGGGAAAATAACATTAAAAGACAAAAAAGAGAGTAAAAGAAATAAAATAACAGAACATATTACATATATGTCAGACATGCAATTTAGAACAGGTTGCGTCATTTACTTTAAGGATTTAATCCCTCAGAGACCAGAATGCGACTCAAACACCCTCAAATTGTACCTCTGAAACAAACAATTAAACTAAGGACTGCACTGCACAAGAAGAATTAAATTAACTGCACGCATTTGAAATAAACGAACCTAAAATCCCTACAAATTAAAAAATAAACTTTCGAAAACGGGGTATATATTATTATTGAGAATATTATGTCGGGAACTTATGAATGGAAGACATATAATCCGCGAACACCCAATACAAATGTGCTGACAATCAGACTTAGGCATCAAATCTTAAGTGAAAACCAACCTACTATCAAAATTTAAAGGAAAAGGATAAATATCCCAGAAACGAATTCGAGCACCTTCTGTCGAAATCGAAACCAGAACCCTAACAATGAAGAGATAGTGCAGGGAAAAGAAAAAAAGCAATACCTGAAAAATCTGGTTAGTTTGGCCTCAGAAAGCCAGGAATTAGAGTTGCGAAGGTTTGCGGTAATAAGTTCACAGTAAAAACCCCAAAGAATTGGGAATTTTGCTCTAAGAATACACTATTTAATGTGGAAAGAGCAAAGGAGCGAGCGAGAGCGTTTCGTATTATGAGATTGGGTTGAGGACTTGAGTGGAGAGAGACACACGCCCACATAGGATAGCATAGATAGGAAGGACAGAGAGATAGAGAAAGATCAGACGAGTTGAGAGATGTGACCTGGATAGCGCGAGGGAGATGGTGTTTCTGAGACGTGAGAGAGTTGAGGGAGAGGGTTTTTTGCAAACGTTCGCGACAAAGGAGTAAAACTTTACGGCATATTTACGTATCAATAAAGGATAAAGTAAGGATTTAGAGAACTTAGGAATTGAAGAACTACTGAATCGGTATGGGAAGAATTATTTTCATTAAGTTGTTTATTAAACATACGGAATTAGTAAAGGAATATGGTTGATTCCCATTGTTATTATTTACTAATTTTCATGAATTAAAATCAAAATTAATTTGATTACTAAAATTCCCCATGCATTTTCACCACAACACATGTATGATTCTCAGTAAGGCAGTGTAAACATGATTTGCACAAGTGAAGTAAGGGGAAGCAGCACCAGAGCCTCGGTGAAGACCAGGCCAAGCTTTGAGGATTCGAGACATTGGAGAGGAGATGAAGTTGCAGATGATGACCCTTTGTCTTGAAACATTGGTGTCATACAACAAACAAGAAGGATTTGGTAATTGGGGAACAAAATTAGATAATTGTCAACAGAAAGAGAAAGATCAATATCACTTCACAATGGAACTAGTAAGTAATAAGATAAGGCCAAGAATTCTAAGGAAATATTCTACTGCTCATGCAAGAATCATATTTGCATGAATACAAAATTTCAGAAAAATGCATACTCTCAACGAGCCATTCACAATAAGTAATAAAAGTAATTTAGAATCAGATGAGCACTTTTCTATCAAAGCACCTAAAGGGCTAAGAATTTATAAAATGTATCACAAATTCACAATAAATAGCAAAGAACAGACCAAACTATCGGAAAAGGGGTTTTGAATTTATCAGTAACAGGAAATCCGTTATCAAAGAAAATTATTAGCAATTTATTATGAACCAAAAGCTAGACAAGCTAACCTGGCTAAGAAATCTTTGATCAAGTGAGATAAAATTCACAAAAGAAGTCACCTAAGGGCTAAGTAGTTACAAAGAGCACAGAGAAAATTAACATAAGCAGAGCCAATTCAATGATCATGTTAATAACACCTTTGTACAGAGCCAATTTCAAACGAAAAAATAAACTCCAATAAATATATATCTTTCACCTACGTAACTAGTAAACAATCAAATAATAATAACTTGCATAATCTTCATACGATTAAATACATAATAGTCATACTACCAAAAGAAAAGATATATAATCTCCACAAAAGTCATTCACCCATTACTCATCAATCACAATCATTGTAAGCCATGCTCCATAAGATTAAATACATAATCTTTTTTTTCTTCATCATTTATGGTAAAGAAGACCCTCAGCAAATCGTGCTCTTTGGCTAAAACATTGGTGATACGAAATACTTGCAAAGGAGATAGGAATTCTATTTTCCTCAATTCACCACCAAGTTTAGCTTGCATATCAACAAGATCATTCTCTGTTGAAAGAACATTAATCAAGCCTGGAAGCTGAGGTGCCATTCCTACTACAGCTTCAGCCATAAGTCCAAATTTGTTAGACATTTCATTCAAAACATTTACCTTCCTATGAGGATTACTTGGACCACTTGCTACATCTTGTGCGGGACGTCTCTTCTGTTAGGCACGTTGTTGGTCACTTGAGGGTTGGGGATTTGGTTGTGTAAAAATTGTCTCATCATCTTCTAAATCCTCAACATCATCAAATTGAGATCCCTCATATTCTGAACCCCCATATTGTGACCCACCATCAAGATGTGAAAACATCTCCTCAATAAAATCATCACCCACACTTCTATTCTGATGAACACTTGCATCATCTCGCCTAACATCTTCTTCTTCATCTTCAACATTTCCAGCATTTGTTCCAATAACATGATCTTTTTAGTATATCTCTCCAAGTGCATAGTAATGTGGAAACGACTTGCCATACAAACCCCTTGCATCCTTTTTGTTCTACAATTACAATATATATATATATATATATATATCTACATTAGTATTCTTAAATAAATATTAAAGACATAGCATAACATATTTATTTTTTAATTAGATACGCACTGAATAGGATATGCTTAGATTTACCTTCGCCCATGCATCAAATACACTTTCCTCACATACCAACATCATCTCCTCTTCATTCCACCCAAAACCACTTTGAGATAATGCATCAGCTAAAGCACCATATTTTCCCTTCAAAGTCTTCACCCTTGATTCAATATGGGCTGATGCCTTCAACCTAGAATTCAGAAGTTTGACTTCTAGCATAGTTTCTAATTTATTCAAGTATCCATTTTTAAAGCCCGAGTCACCTCGCCAATTGGTATTTTGATGGAGTTCCATCAAGCATTCCGTCAATGTGTTATCCTCCTTAGTTGTCCAATAGCGCTTATTTTGTCCCCTTCCTCCCCTTACTTTTCCACTTTAAGTAGCAGTAGAACTCATGACGATAAATGATCTACTACAAAAAATAAACAAAAAAAAGATACAAGTGATGAAAAACAATGAATCTGCTATACAAGTGATGAAAAACATTCTAGCTCTTAAAAATGAATGAATGAATGAATAAAAAGGTTCTTAAAAACACGTACTCACATTAGTTGTTCATATTCAATACATTACACAAGCACAATAAATAAATAATGTCTTGTGTACATTAAATAACACGATAAAAACAAACAAATAATGTGCTCATCACATGTCTTTATTCCCTATTTCCATTCCATGTATTCCACATTTCATTTGCAAGGTTTTGCCTTCATACACTCCAGTCGTCTGAGGACTCAACTGTACTAGTGTAATCTGATACCTAGTTTTGAGGGAATGTGATTACAGATTTTGAGGTAGGGCCCACATATTTTTTTCATTCATGATTGCAAGTAAACGCATGAGAAGTCAGGAATGGAAATCATTCCCTTTCCTCCCATACCCATTACTGATACATAAACATGCCCAACATGTTTCATACCCTTTCTCTCTCCCTCCTTCATCAGAGTGTTTGAGAGAGATGGGTTTTTAAAAAGGTTTAGGGTCATTAGAATTTTAACTCGCTGTTTGGACGAAGAAAATTGCCTCATCAGGGTATTTGAGAGAGACATGATTTTTTGAAAAGGTGCGGGCCTTTAGAACTTTAACCCTCCATTTTGAAAAGGTGCGTGCCGTTAGAATCTTGATTATCAATTTTTGATTTCTTTGCGCGTCATTTATTAAGTTTTATTGTACAATGAAAATATCACTTTATACTAATTCCCAACTTTTAGCTAAATCCCGAATTATTTTCCTCCATCTAAAAAGCAACCGTCAACCCAACACAATTTATTTTATCAGTGTATTAGGCATCCTACTACGAAGATTATATAACATCCGTGGTGTTCTATAAAACCACGTGGTTTTTATATGGCGTCGTGGTTTTACATAATTGTAAATGTAAGAAATTCATATCAGAAAGGAGAGATACCATACAAAGCCCGTCCCATATAATCTCTATGTCAATAACAAAAGCCCTATCCCAGATAAAACCAGAACCAAAGCAATTGAACCTACCGTTGTAAAACAAACCACCCAAAAAAATAGACAAAAGCCCTATCCCAGAGAAAACCAGTAACCAAAGCAATTGAAACTACCGTTGTTGTAAAAAAAAATGACTTTTCATTATTTCTTTTTTTTGGGTAAAACTTTTCGTTATTTCAAGTTCTTGCTTCCCAAAGCATAAGCTTATGACTAGAAACTTACTGTTTACACCATAATCAACCGAGCATATCCAGCCTCAAAACAACTAGCACCAAGGCAGACACGTCTTCTCCCCTGCCGAAGGAAGACACTCTTTCAAGGTGCCAGACACCTGCCGAAGCTCCCGACTGTAGAAGCTCTCAAACTGCCGAACCTAATCTCCAGGACATGTGTTACCACCACAGCGACTTGCACAAAGTCACACATCGAAATTCTACACAAACCTCCCACTTTCACTTCCCTATAAATAGGGAACAGTACCCTGGTAAAAAGGGTAACTACTTTCTTACTTTTACTGTTACTCTGCCAAAGTTACTACTCTTAGCCGACTTAAGCATCGGAGAGCCTTCTGCCGGCACCACACCGGTGTCCGAAGCTTAACAATTGCTTCTCCCACTTTGTCTTATGCAGGCTAGTCCCTTGCCGAAGGTCCTCACCTTCTCCACTGTTGAAGACAATCCACTTCTCTCTAAATTGATGACCATCTCTAAAAAAGAGCATCAACACCTACAATTCTCAAACTCACCATTATATCATCAGTAACGAATGAAACCAAAAAACAAAAGTATACATTTTGTTTTCCAAAAGGCAAAATTGATGCCATAAATCCACAGCACCGAAGGAAAAAGAACTTCCCAACAAATCTATTTTATTACAGTCGAAACTCATAGTACATGTTCAAGCTAGAATCACTTAGGTGGAAAACCCGAGAAACTCATATCTGAAAGAAGAAATACCTTTCAGGAGCAAAACAAGCCTCAAATTTCTTGAATAAGGAACTTCTGAACAGGCTAGTTTGGGACTGTGGGAGTGACTGATATTTCCTACTGCGAGCCAAAAGAGGGATAGTTGAAGAATGAAGAAGAACACGAAAAACCTAAAGCTTAATAATATGCCTAGGTTCACGCTTCGGACTGCTCCGAAACAGAAAAGAACACTGCAGGCTGCTGGAGAATGGAATGGGAAAACCCTTTTTGATTTGATGAGCTTGGCTGGGATGAGTTGTTGGTGGGAAGGCTAAGATGGGGTTTTTTGGTGGAGGGCTGCTAAGTTTAATTTCACTATCTAATCATAGGGGAAGATTCTGTAATAAGTATTTTGTGTTAAAGATTAGTTACATGTTTCTACTCTCAATCGTTGGATTGCATATTAAATCTATTAACACATCTAATGAAGACAATTCAATGGCCGAAATTAGAAATATGTAATCAATCATTAACTTAAATATTTATTAAAGAATTTCCTATAATCATAGTATGACAACATTGTCCAAAAAACACGGACCCACCGACAAGATAACCTACCGGCTACAACCGCGCTGTAATTAGAATATTGACAACTTGGTGTTGGGGCAACGACACAGCATTTCTTCCCACGGCCTTTGACATAATTCCTTGCTCGTCACGAAGTTTAATATAAAACAAGAATGAGAATTTTAACTATATAAAAATAATATACCTTTCATTGAAATTGAACTTGAATAATATACTGCCTTGCCTGCCAGTGGCAGTGCCTACAAATTAATCCTTGAGAAAATGGGGGCTAAAAAACTAAACTAGTCTACAAGCTGTCACTTTGTTTAAAAAATATGCCGGATTCTTTGTTGTAATCTATCTGTAATACGTTTCAGGCGGATATTCGCAACCCCCTTGCACACTTCGTCAAACTGTCATAAAATTAATAAATTAAGAAATATTGTGAGACGTGCCCAGAGCTAGAGTAGAGTAGTAGAGATTCAAGTTTAATTTAATCTTTCCTTCCCCAAAACCATGTCTTACTTACCTGCTTCTTCTTGCCATTAATCCCATATATGATCCATCCATCATCATGAATTTGCCTAAATACGTTTTAGTACTACTAGTTGTTATGATGTTGATTTTTTTGAATCCATTGTCAACCATGAATTTCGTTGCATCGGTATCTTCTGAAATTGATGAATACTACCCAGAAGAAAGAGAAGCACTATTGAAGCTGAGAGATTCTCTAAGCTCAAACTCAGATTTGCACGGGAATTGGACTGGTCCTCCATGTATCAATAACAGCAGCAGATGGGCTGGCATTGCTTGTTCAAATTGGCATGTTGTTCACATTGTCCTGCAAGGAATTCAGCTAGCAGGTTCCCTTCCACCTTGTGCATTTCTACATAACATAACTTTCTTGAGCAAACTTAGCCTTAGAAACAACACACTCTCCGGCCCTCTTCCAAACCTCACAAACCTTGTCTACTTGGAATATGTGGTTTTGTCCTACAACCGCTTCTGGGGTTCAATTCCATTGGAGTATATTGAATTGCCTAACCTGAGAGTGATAGAGTTGCAGAGCAATTATTTAGATGGACACATTCCACCTTTTGACCAACCCACCTTGAGAGCATTTAATGTTTCTTATAATCATCTTGAGGGTCCGATTCCACAAACTGCTGTGTTACAGAAGTTCCCCAAAAGCTCCTACGATCATAACTCAAATCTTTGTGGGAGTCCTTCGGAAACATCATGTCCACCCCCACCTCCAGTAGTCATTGCGCCATCTCCTTCACCCCTTTCCCCGAATATTCCACCCAAGAAGAAGAACAATCTCCAAGCATGGAGTTTTGCTTTGATCGTGGCTGCTTCAGCGCTGGTTCTGTTTCTCGTCATATTTGTTTCCTTATGTTATTCCAGGAAGGTGCATAGAAAACAAGCAGCAAAGGAGGAACAACAGACAGGTACGTATGCATTAACATTGATCCTATCATGTCCCAATAATTAATTGCATCTTTTTATGTAGTATTCATGTGACTTTAAAGTTGGCGTAGGCTCTGCATTTAAAATTTTGTGTCTTTTGCTTCTTCCGCTTTCGTTTGTCTCCAAATACAAATAGGAGATGGTACTTCAGGGTGGGCACAAACGAAAATGCCTCATTTGCAGAGCTTGGGGGATCCTGAAAAGAGGGTTGAGTTGGATTTTTTTGACAAGGAAATGCCAGCAGCTTTTGACCTGGATGATTTACTAAGGGCATCTGCACAAGTGTTGGGCAAGGGGAAACTAGGCACTACATACAAAGTAACACTGGAATCGGGTCCTGTTGTGGTGGTGAAGAGACTTAAAAACATGAATGAGTTGAGCAAAAAGGAATTTACCCAACAGATGCAATTGCTAGGGAATATGAGGCATGAAAACCTTGTACAGATTCTCTCTTTCTACTATTCCAAGGAGGAGAAGCTGGTCATCTCTAAGTTTGAGTCTAGTGGCACTTTGTTTGAACTTTTACATGGTCAGTTTCAATAAGTAATATTCTCTCCCGTTAATTAGCAAGCTAGCTAGCTTCTATATATACAAACAAATATAATTAATAGTTAAAAATATTGCATGAAAATCACAAGAATAATATATATAAATTCAAGTACGTTGGTATCAAATATATCTTAATTAATTTGGGTGCATGCATGGATCCGATGCTAGAGAACAGAGGAGTTGGAAGAGTACCTTTGGATTGGGCAACAAGACTATCAATAATCAAAGACATAGCAAAGGGTCTCACATTCCTTCACCAATCCTTGCCTTCACATAAGGTCCCTCATGCCAACCTGAAATCGTCTAATGTACTAGTCATCCAGCGAAACAGCCAAAACTACCATTTGAAGCTTACAGATTTCGGATTCTTACCACTTGTGCCCTCTCGAAAGTACAATGAAGATCTAGCCATCGGCAAGTCACCCGAGTTTGCTCAAGGGAAGAAGTTGTCACAGAAATCCGATGTCTATTGCTTTGGTATAATCCTATTGGAGGTCATTACTGGCAGGATCCCAGGTGAAATCTCACCGGGAAATGATGAAACGATGGATGATCTTTCTGATTGGGTTAGAATGGTGGTGAACAATGACTGGTCCATAGATATTCTGGATGTAGAGATACTGGCAGCAAAGGAAGACCATGATGAGATGCTGAAGCTCACCAAGATTGCACTAGACTGTACAGACTTGACACCGGAGAAGCGGCCAAAAATGATTCAAGTGTTGACAAGAATAGAAGAGATTGACTGAAGAAGATCCAAGGGATTGGATCAATGATTATTTTTCATATTCCTTTCCTGTATTACGAGCTCTTCGAGCCATGATAGATAATTTACTAGTACGTACAGGCCAGGCCTCCATGGCTATGAATATATATATTCCTAGGCATGACCCGCCGAGTTAGACAACTTCAATGATTCTTTTGGCAGAATGTAGAAAAAACAGAAAAAGATGAATGTTTAATTTAATTAAATCCAGTTTATAGTAAGGCGGGAAAGGTGAGGTGAGTAATATTATTTTTATTTGTAACATTTGGTTTAGTCTCTAGTCTTCAGTTGGATTAGCGTTGATCGTGATCAACTATCAAACCTATCTATTTATTTGTACGCCTATCTATTTTTCTATAAATTTATCACTTGTCTGATTGTAATTTTGACACAACTAGCTCCACTACCTGTCAAAAGAATATCATTGAGTCATTAGTCTTATCCGGTTTCACTGAAGAAGAGACCTTTTATTTTCTTCAAAAGCAAGCAAAAATCTATCGATAAGAAGAATGAGCCTTAAATATAAGAGCCATACGCAACCGAGGAAAGGCAAAGGGCTTTCCGTTTTTATCTTTTTTATCTTTTCTAAGAGCATCTCCGGCACTAGGCCTTTGCCCTGGCAACAGGCCCTCCCAAGCCCAGTTTCATACTCCAGCGCAGGAAATTCAGCTCGGACAAGGCATGATACCCACCAGCTCGGGCAAGCTCACAGGCAGAAATTGACTGGGCTGTTGCCCGCGGGCTGTTGACTTCAACAGCTGGTTTTCAAATATTTTTTTACTGTTGCACCCACCATCTCACATTGCCCAATGGTTACAAGCCACGTGGCTTCTCCTGGAGTCTCCGATAAAAAAATCTTGCACAATCCAACGGTTGAAAAAATATCAAAAAATTTTAAAAAAAATATCAAAAAATTCTGGAAATTTTTTCTATACATACCTACCAATATTATTCATTTTCCACACCAAATTTAATTTCAAAATTTTATCCAAAAATGTTATCTTGATTTTTAGGTGAGAATTTTACGATAAATATTAACACTTGGGAATAGAAAATCTTATCCGAAAAGCTCATCAAAATCAATGGTTAAAGTATAAAAAATAAAAAATGAATTTAAGTGAATAGTAATTGTCTTAGCCTTAGCCTTTTGGGGTGGAACCACAAATGGCAAGGCTGCCACTATTCACGTGAATAGTGGCAGCCCTTGCCTTAGCCTTAGCTCTTTGGGGTGGAGATGCTCTAAGGGAATGTCATAGACCTAAAACATGGACACAATTAGGAGAAACTGGTGCCAAATCAAATTAAGAAGAAACTGGTGCATCCAACTCAACTCCCTAAACAAATAGAGATACTTTTCTCTTTGCCAAATCAAAGAATGACTAAAGATAAAAGATTAATTAACTAATTACGAATCTCTCACTATAGGTTACTTAGCGCTATATATAGCCTGTAAGCTTTTTAAAAAAAAATATTATACAATCAATATTCGGGAGGGAGGAAACCAACAGGAGACCTTGAATACAAAGATAATTATTCTTAATCACTTGAGCTACAATCTTCTCGCAAATATGTAGCTTAGACTATACTAATTATTGAACAATATAAAATCCCACATCAAAAACTTCAAAAAAAAAAAATTTCACTACTAATATCATCTAAACATTTCAAATAAAAACACACACCTAACAAATATGCACTAAATAGAATGAAGGCATGCAAAAGGATGAATTCAAAATAGTGCTAAAGAGATAGAGACCGTTTCGGATGATGCCATTCCATATTCCAAGACATTTTTAGTACGATTTACCAGCTTACACATGATCCCTACGTGTCACTATTCCTGCATAGCGACTGCCCAAGTGTCCCAGGTGAATACAAGCGCTCCTGGCTAATTTAAGACTAAGGGCCTCCACATTTCAAACATGCAAAGACCCTCATCACCGCACTAGCTAGCGATAGCGCTCTCTCTCTCTCTCTCTCTCTCTCTCGACTCTAGAGATCTGGATTCTTCCTTTCATGTTGATTTCGTTGTTTGCTAAAGTAGCTGGCTAGCCAAGTAAAGTTAGCTTAATTATTATAAGCAACCGGCAACCTTCAACCTGCAAGTGGCAGATCATATATTACTATTCCTGGGGAAAGGTTCAAGTACGTAGTCGTAATTAAGAAAGAGAGTGCTGATAATTGCCTTCACCATGCCGCCTCGGAGATATGCCTTTGGGAGGGCCGACGAGGCCACCCACCCTGACTCCATGAGAGCCACTTTAGCTGAATTCGTTGCCACTTTCATCTTTGTCTTTGCTGGGGAAGGCTCTGTTCTCGCTCTTGGTACATATATATATATATATATATATATATATATATGTGTGTGTGGATATAGTGCACAGAATAGTCCTAATCAACCAACCTAGCTTATTGTTGCATATAAATAACCTTCAGCAAATTAAATCATTCTGTCTGACAATTAGCAGCTCTATAAAATTAATATGCATGCTTCCTTGCTATTCTTGTACAGATCTACATCAGGCATGCCCTCAATTAATACAAGTTAATTTCTACATATGCAATAGTTAACTGATCCTCCGCTTATAGTTTTATTTTTTTTGTTTGCAACTAATTAATTTTGGCAGGGAAGATTTACAAGGATAGCGGCACATCAGCAGCTGAGCTGATAGCCATAGCTCTTGCACATGCCTTCTCTCTATTTTCGGCCGTCTCAACCAGCATTAACGTATCTGGTGGCCACGTCAACCCTGCTGTAACCTTCGGTGCACTTATTGGTGGAAGGCTCTCTGTTGTTCGCGCCCTTTACTACTGGGTTGCTCAGCTCCTTGGGGCTATTGTGGCTTCCCTTTTGCTAAGGCTTGTCACAAATGGCATGGTAACTAATGAATTATCAAAACAAGCTTGCTGTTTTTTTTTTGGCCAAAGAATTAGCTTGGTTGCTGTTAATTAATTCATTAAATTGATTTATTCAGAGGACAGTGGCGTTCAGCATGGCCTCTGGTGTTGGCGAGTGGCATGGGCTAATACTAGAGATTGTGATGACATTTGGGTTAGTTTACACCGTGTATGCTACTGCCATTGATCCCAAGAGGGGTAGCTTGGGAACTATGGCACCACTGGCAATTGGATTGATTGTTGGGGCAAATATCCTGGTGGGCGGGCCTTTCGACGGGGCATCCATGAACCCAGCAAGGGCATTCGGACCTGCACTGGTAGGGTGGAGATGGAGGAACCACTGGATCTACTGGGTTGGACCATTTATAGGAGGTGGGTTGGCAGCTCTCATATATGAATACATGGTGATACCAACAGAGACCCCCCACCACACTCACCAGCCCTTGGCTCCTGAGGATTACTAGTCTCTAGTCTCTAGCCTAGTACTACTTCTACTTTACTTTACTCTCGTTGTTTGTTTTAGCCACCCACTACCTACTCTAATGTTTGAGTTTTTATGTTCCATTTTCTGTAATCTTCCTCTTTCGGTTTGACAACTTTTCATAAACACCTCATGTCCATCGCATGCATATGTGATTGTAAAGCTAATAAAAGTGTGCCATCGAGTTTCTTTGGCTAATTTCTTGCTCCACTCTTCTCCCCTTCTCCCCCCTTCTCCATTTCTTCCCTTCTGGGGTAATTTTATTCGCACACACGCACACACAGAGGACAACCTATTGCCACAAATTTATCATCCACCAACGTTAATGTTAAGAAATGAACAAATGAGTGTTTTCATAAATAGAGCCACAACATTCAGAATCAGAACCACAAGGTTTATAGATGAACAAACGGCATGAACAGTGATCACTACATATTCAGCAAGTTTATGTAACATGAACAGTGATCACCACAGATTCAGCAGGTTTATGGAACATGATAACAGATAATCAACATTTTGTCATGTTTGGTTATAAAATCTGGCAACCCAAGGAGCAAGTTGAGTGTTATGAGGTGTTCGTGGGTTGGTAGAGTAATAATCAGACCAATAACAAGGTGAAAGTCTATCAGAAAACTTTCCGTTGCTATAGACACAAAATGGCAACCACTTGTCACCCCCATTCATTCTTCTCTTCCGTTCTCTTGGGTAAGCCAATGGAGCCTGCACATACCTGCATTGTTCATCATTGACTTGAGAGTAACCGCTCATATTATTGGGCACCTTCAGGCTTCAGATATCATTCAGTGTGCAATGCAAACAACCAATTGTGTAGGGGCAAGTGTATCACAGTAAGAGATCGATGCTAAAGAAATTAGGCAATGCTAAACTCAACCAACATGAGAATGACTAGTTGATTGATGCTAAATGCATACTTAACTTTACTTCTCACTAAACCAAAAATGGATTTTACTCACTGTATTCTTCTAGTACACACAAGACAAGATCATGAATCTTCATAGGTTCAGAGGTTTTCTCGGCTATAAATTTTGAAGTCCGTTAGCTAATGTTGCTCATTTGGTTTGTTTAGATGTAATATGTATATCCACTTTTGCACGTTTTGATGCAATTATGCTGTCTGCGACCTAGCAATTACTCTTCCTACAAGTAATGTACCAATTAAATGAGTTCAATAAAACTCTGATTCTCATAAAATTGAAAATTAAATTTTACGTACATAAGCTAACATGGAGGGCGTGCAAGATGATTACTTGCTTACATGGGCCATTACATGTTGGTAAAACAGGATCAACATGCTCCCATGGAGGTGGCAGCAGAATAACTTGGAAGTTCAAACAGCAATTTAAAATCACCATAGATTAAACCAGAATATCGTGTTGATAACTCTTGGAGGTCAACAGAACCAAGCGAGCTCATTTTCTAGGATGAACTGAATGAAGGTTTTCAGAATGCTTTAGGACCTAAGGTTGTTTCTAAAGTCTGAAAATCTCGTTATCATGAGTCAGGATTCAGGACCCAGGTAGGAATAGTCTATAATAATAAGACATAGGATCATAAACATTGCGCCTTTTCCTCGCATTTTTTTTCTTCTATAAATTACATTATCTAATGTCTCCATAAGAAAGGGGCAGAGGTGTAAGAAGAATAGAGCGTGATCGCCATAGATTTACTTAAGCAGTAACTATTGTATTGAAAGATATATCTTTAGATGAAGAGGAAGAAATAGCTAAAACTAAAAGCTATAAATTAGATACAAATTTATAAATAAACCCAATCCTAAACATGTATTTATAAAAAAACCCAAACACTATTTAAACATAGAAACACACCCATAATTAACCTCAAAATCAACAATTGTATATTTTTTGGGTGTGTTTATAAATGAGTTTTGAGTGTGTGTAATAATGGGTTTTGGGTGTGTTTATAAAGTGTTTTGGGTGTTGGGTTTTTTTATAATTTCAGCCCCCATTTTGGGCGTTTTAGTGAAACTCCCTAAATTAGAGCTGAGGAATATTTAAAGGAATAATATTCTATATTATAAAAAATACAAATACGCTATAATTAAAAAAAAAAAAAAAACAAACCAAATAAAAACAAAAAAAAAAAAAAAAAAAAAAAAAAAAACAAAAAAAATATGATGTTTCATGATATATATAGTAGTGGGGGATTATGGGACAAAAAATAAATCCGCCTGGTTTCAGACTTGGTGGAACCCAAGGTCAAGATACTTTTTATGAATGTCAACTAAGTATCGTAAGTAAATTGCTCCCGGTTGTTCAATCATTTGATAACTAGAGTCATTCTTTGATAAATGATCACTATGAGCTGATGCAACATGCATCGCTCATAATTTTCTGTTTCAGTTTGACAGGCGTAAGGTGCGTAATTAATGTTCTAGGAATCTGTTTTAAGCAAATATTTTTGTTTTCCTATTTCAATTAAAATTGGGAGTTTGGTTTAGGAAGTAAGTTTGTTTTCCTACTTCAACTAGGGTTTGGATTTTGGTTTGTTTTCCCCAAGTATAAAAGCTATTTTTATAGCTAATTGTAAGACAATTTTTGACGTTGAATATTAAACTTAGAGAATTCTCTCTATTTTCCTATAAACTTGGTATTATATAGGAATCAACAAGGCATAGAACCCTTTTGTTCTTGGTTATTCTCATCTAGAGAATCAACAAGGATTGAAGGTTTATTGTTTTCTTTTGTATTCTTCATCATTCTTGCTATTACGCGCTGTGTCAGTTGGTAATCAGAGCCAGGTATGTTTACCATGCCGCCAAGGAGGGAACTTGATGGAAGGGGCCGTGGTGGAAACAATCAAGACGATTTTGAACGTTTGGCGCAGCAAATTGAGCGCCTTACCCGACAGATGAAGACTTTAATGGTTCGTCAGCAACAGGAAGAAGATGATTATGAGCATGAAACAAACCCATTTAGTGAAGACAATCGCATGGAAGAGATTCGGCACAATAACAATTATGGTACGAGGCGTTGGGAAGTGGGTTTGAGAATTGATATTCCTGAATTTCATGGCAGCCTTCAACTTGAGGATTTTCTTGATTGGCTTAATTCTGTAGAAGAGGTACTAGAGTTTAAAGATGTTCCTGAAAATATAAAAGTTTCCCTTATAGCGACCAGGTTTCGTGGGCGTGCTTCGGCATGGTGGCAGCAATTCAAGGCAACCCATCTGCGACAGGGAAAATAAAAGATTGAAACTTGGGAAAAATTGAGAAAGCATATGTGGTCAACCATATGTGGTCAACCTTTCTACCACCAATTACTCAAAATTAGTGTATCAACAACCTCAAAATTTGAGACAAGGAAATCGTACGGTGGGTGAGTATACGGTATACCACCGAATTTTATGAGTTAGTGGCTAGAAGTGACCTTGTTGAGACAGATGAGCAGATAGAATCGCGATATATTGGGGGCATGAGGGTGCAATTTCAAGATACCTTGAACCTCTTCGATCCATTCTCAGTAGCCAAGGCATAACAAAGAGCCTTGCAATTGGAGAAACATATGAGTCGAAAGGCAAATAGTGAAGGGGCTTGGTCTGAAAATAGCCCGAATAACCGTGGTGGAGGAAGCAATTCAGCCCTTTTTCGTGCTTCTACTCCACTAGTTCAGAACCCAAAGTCATCCGTGAGTGCTCCCCTCGGCAAGGCACAAACTGTGGTACCTGAACGTACTGCTTTTTGTTGTTTTAAGTGCGGAGAAAGTGGACATCGTATGGCAGAACTCAAGAAAAGAGATCATGATTTCGAACATGGTCCGGTTTATGATGATGAACCCAATGATGTTGTGAAGGAATATGTGACCGAGGATGATGGCCCATTGCTCATGGTGAGAAAAACTTGTTTTACTCCTCGTGAAACTGAAGGTAGTGATGGATGGCTTCGCAATAATGTTTTCCAGTCCACTTGTATTATTGGTGGCAAGGTATGCAAGTTGGTAATTGACCCTGGAAGTTGCGAAAACGTAATATCTAAAGAAGCAATCAGGAAATTAGGCTTGGAAACACAACCACATCCCCAACCATATAAGCTTTCATGGCTGCAAAAGGGTACTGAAGTGACTGGGGTTAAGAGGGCTCTTGTTCCTTTCTCCATTGGAAAACTACAAAGATAAAGTGTGGTGTGATGTTGTGCCGATGGATGCAGGACATATTTTACTAGGTAGACCATGGGAGTTCGATAGAGCTATTGTGCATGACAGTAGGAAAAATACGTATAGCTTCATGTTCAAAAATATTAAAGTTACTCCTTTGCCTACTAGAGAACAGTTTCCGAACTCAAGAAAAGGGATCCGCTACTTCATTGTCAATGAGAAGATTTATGGAGGAGGCAGGGAAGATATGAGTTGTCTATTTATTGCTTGGTAAAGAAAAGTCAGATGATGTGACAACTATCCCCATGCCCGTGCAAGTGTTACTTGAACAGTTTCGAGATGTTTTCTCGGACAAAATGCCAAACGAGTTGCCACCATTAAGGAATATCCAACACCAAATTGATTTAAGGTCTGGTGCAAGTTTACCTAATAGACCACACTACTGAATAAGTCCTAAAGAGCACGAAGAATTGCGTCGTCAAGTGGAGGAATTGCTAGAGAAGGGTCATATTAGGGAGAGTATTAACCCTTGTGCCATTCCTGCCTTGCTCACACCAACGAAAGATGGCACATGGTGGATGCATGTACACAGCCGTGCTATTAATAAAATTACAGTACGGTATCATTTTCCCATTCCTCGTTTAGATGATTGGATCGATTAAGTGGTGGTACAATCTTTAGCAAGCTGGACCTTAAGAGTGGGTATACTCAAATTCAGGTTAGAGAAGGAGATGAGTGAAAAACTGCATTCAAAACTTGCGAAGGCTTGTATGAGTGGTTAATCATGCCCTTTGGCCTCTCTAATGCACCAAGTACATTCATGAGATGTTTCGTTTGTTTATTGGCAAGTTTTTGGGGGTTTATTTTGATGACATCCTTATATATAGTTCGACACCGGAATTGCATCTTAAACATTTGGAAGAAGTCATGAGAGTGCTGCAAAAAGAAAATTTTATGCAGCAGCAAAAAATTGTTCTTTTATGACAGATAAGGTGTTATTTATTGGCTGTGGTGTCGAAAGATAAATTTTTTATGGATGATTCAAAGGTCGACGCAATCAAAAATTGGCCACTACCGCAGAACGTACATGAAGACCGAAGTTTCCATAGGTTAATATTATTTTATAGGTGCTTTATTCATAATTTAAGTACTATTATGGCACCCATAACAGATTGCATGAAGCTTGGGAGGTTTAGTTGATCTGAAGAGGCTACAACTGCTTTTCACAAGATCAAACAAAAGCTTATTTCAGCACTCGTTTTAATTCTTCCAGATTTTAGCAGGACATTTGAGTTTCATTATGATGCATCTAAAGTTGGGTATTGGGGCTGTTTTAAGTCAAGAAGGACGACATGTAGCGTTTTATAGTGAGAAGCTCAACGGTTCGAAATTAGACTATACCAAATATGATGTGGAGTTTTATGTGGTTGTTCAAGCTCTCAAGCACTGGAGTTCGTATCTAGCTCATAATGAATTTTTTTTGTTTACTGATCATGAGGCCCTGAAGTATATTAATTCACAAGATAAACTCTGTGCTCGCCATGCTAAATGGGCATCATATCTGCAGCAGTTCACCTTTGTTCTTAAGCATCAGTCAGGCGCTTTGAATCAAGTAGCAGATGCGCTTAGTCGTAGAGCCAATTTTCTCACGACCATGAGGAGCCATGTGTTGGGTTTTGATTCCTTGCGTTATTTAATAGATACAGACCCGTACTTTGCTCCTATCATACATAATGTGGCAGCGGGTGTACGTTTTAATTTTATGATACATGAGCCTCTCCGCACGCGCTTCCGCGCTTGCGAGAGGATTTTTTTAAAAAAAATTTAAATTTATTTTAGAATTAAAAAAGATAATGTGTAGTTGTGTTTCATAAAAATAAGATTCATTATCTATTTTTTTTTTAATTTTTTAAATATGAAAAAGTGTGAATTTACTATATTATCCTCGTTTAATTAATAATTTTAATTATTAATGTTTGGATTAGCAAAGGACATTTTCTGATATTTTGAATGTTTCACCATTCTCTACCTTTTGCTTTATATATATATATATATATATATATATAGAATATGGCTTTTTATTTAAAGGAAATCAGTTATGTATCCCCGAGTCTAGCTTGCGCATGAAGATTATTCATGAATTGCATAACGAGGGCCATATGGGGAGAGATAAGACAATCCAGCTAGTGATAAATTCTTATTTTTGGCCTAGTATCCCTCGCGAAGTGACCAAATTTGTTGAGAGTTGTAGGGTGTGCCAATTATCTAAGGGTGTTGCAACTAATGCAGGGTTGTACATGCCACTTCCGGTTCCAAATCAGCCATGGGAACATTTAAGCATAGATACCATCCTCAAACTGATGGGCAGACTAAAGTTGTTAATTGATCCCTTGGAAATTTACTAAGAAGCTTGGTGGGAGATAATTTGAAGTCATGGGATCAAAAGTTGAGCCAAACAGAATTTGCTTTCAATCACTATCAATAGGAGCGCTAGGTTCAGTCCATTTTTTTTACTTATGGCTATAACCCAAAGTGTCCTCTTGACCTTGCACCAGTTGCATATTTGAAGTGAGTTAATGTCAAGTCAGAAGAATTTGTGGCTACACTTTAGCAAATTCACTCAAGCGGCTTGAGGATGCCAATGCGAAATACAAGCAAGTGGCTGATGTGAAGAGCCGACATGTCGAATTTGAGGTAGGTGACTTTCTTTGGGCTATCTTGACTAAATATCGTTTTCCGGTTGGGGAATACAAGTTGGTTGCAAGAAAGATTAGTCTAGTGGAGATTGTGGCTAAGATTAATCTAAATGCTTACCCCCTCAAGCTTCCTAGTCATCTATGTACTGCCGATGTGTTCAATGTCAAACATCACTTTCCTTACCATGGTGATAGTTCTAACAATGAAGATTTGAATTCGGGGGGTGAATTCTTCTCAACCCGGGGATGATGATGCAGCACGCATCACTCATAATTTTTTGTTTTAGTTTGATAGGCGTAAGATGCGTAATTAATGTTCCAGGAATCTGTTTTAGGCAAATATTTTTGTTTTCCTATTTCAATTAGAATTGGGAGTTTAATTTAGGAAGTAAGTTTGTTTTCCTATTTCAATTAGAATTGGGAGTTTGGTTTAGGAAGTAAGTTTGTTTTCCTATTTTAGCTAGGGTTTGAAGTTAGGTTTGTTTCCCCTAAGTATAAAAGCTAATTGTAAGACAGTTTGTGACGTTGAATATTAAACTTTGAGAGTTCTCTCTATTTTCCTATCAACTTGGTATTCCACTGGAATCAACAAGGCATAGAACCCCTTTGTTCTTGGTTACTCTCATCTCATCTAGAGAATCAACAAGGATTGAAGGTTTATTGTTTTTTTTTGTATTCTTCATCATTCTTGTCAATACGCGCTGCGTCAGAAGCTAAGATAATTCATTACCATTTCAAGAACGATTAATCCTATCATCCATGGTTAAGGGGATAAATCTCCTTTTCAATTCTTACCATGCTAAAAAATGTTGATGTATAATTGATAAAGTTACACTTTCTACTCTATAGCCTTCATATTTTTTTGGATTAACTGCAGTAAACCCCCCAAACCATACCCAACGTTTATTGACCCATTTAACCAGTACACAAACTTCATGAAACCTTTCAAAATACACCCTCAATAGGAAAACTGTTAAAAAAAATCTGTTAACTCATGATGTGGCAAAATTGAGTTTCAGTTTTAAGCAGATGTGGCATCCACAGAGACTGAAAAGTTAATAAAAAAAACTTATTAAATGAATTTTAAAAAATAAAAAATAAAAAAATAAAAAGCCAAACCCATGTTTCTCCTTAATCTTCTCCCTCGCCCCAGACCCATACCCTTTACCATCACCTCCTCACCGGACAGCCCCAACCTCCCCACCGGACATCTACCACCCACCCATCATACCTCACAAGCCCACCATCATCCCAGCCACCACACCATACCCACAACCCACAAACCCAGCTCCATCGCAACCCACAATCCCAACCTCGCAACAAACTCAAGTGGCTTCGACACCACCGTCTTTGTCAAGGCCATGCCATTGTCTTCATCGCCAAGTTCTTTGCCCACCACAACCTACAAGCCCAGCCCTGCAGCAAACCTGTCTTTGTCTCTCTAGTATAAATCTGGGTTTTGAGATGCTTTTGAAAACCCAAGTGGACTTCATCGTCTCAAGGCTAGAATTCGCAGATTCAAATGACGATTTTGAAATTAACTGGAGATTTTTCAAAGAGATATAGATAAGCCTTGTGGTCCATGGAGGTTAAACCACATATCTCCATCAACACTTGAAATTAGGAAAATTGCTGTAAGAACCTCTCTACCCACACCCTTCCCCCTCCTTCCCAACCCCGTCTCCGACCCACCTTCCCCACTCCTGCCACCATCACCCAAATCCAGCCACCCCCAACAGCGCTGTCTCTCTGTCTCTCTCTCTCCCCCCACACCAAACAACAAGACCAACACCAAAAGCAGCGAAAATAACAAAAACCCTTCTCTGCAATCGAGCAGCACCACAAAACCCAGGTGGTCGAGGGCTCTTCTAAAGCTGGAGCCAAAGGCGCTCAAAAGAAGGACAATGAACTAAAGATATCGGTTTCTTTAACAAAAGAAGAGATTGTCAAAACCCACAGCAAACTTGTGAATTCCCAATTTGGTTTGGTTCTAAACCCAGATCCCAAATCACCAAATTTGGGTTTGAGACAGAGACGGAGAGATAATGGGGGCGGTGGAGAGCTGAGATGGGTCTGTTGAGGTATTTTTTTGGGGGGTCTTGAGAAAAAAATCTTGTGGTTGCTGGGTGGGGCCCGTTGTGGCAGTGGCTTGTTGGGTAGGTAAGAGGCGCTAGAGGATTACAGGGGAAGTAGAGAGGTGGACAAAGAGATAGGGTGGTTGATAATGGGGTGGGGCTGCTGGAGATCCGAGAAACGGATGAGGTCTGAGGGAGATTGACGAGATGGAGATTCTTAGTGGCCCTGCCATGGGTTTGGGGGTTGGAGCTTCGTGGGGGTTGTGGTCTAGGGCTAGGGTGAAGGGTGGCTGTGGGATGGGTTAGGGGGTTGGAGATTGCAGGTGGTGGTCATGGGGAATGGGGGGAGAATAAGTCAATTGGTTGTGGGTGAGAGCGAGAGTTTTCTTTTTTAAAATTTTTTTTGGTTGTTAATATTATTGAGTTTTTTAATTAACTTAAAATTTAATTTTTCGTAATCCACGTGGTATCCACCTCAGCCAAAAAAGCCACATCGGAGCAGCCACATCATCACTTAACGCCTCCACTAACGGTCTGACTAACAAAGTGACTAATTTGTATGTTTTATGAAAGATCGGTATGCCCGTGAAAAATTTAAAAGGTTGGCTACTAATTTAAAACAACCCTTAAAGGTTGGGTACTTTTATGTAGTTAATCCTATTTTTTTAGATGCACTCTTCTCCCTCTTGTTCCCACAGAAGCAGAAATAAATTGTATGAAATCATTATTGCAGAGGTAAGTGAGTTATGAATGTACCTGATACCATGAAGCACAGAATCCCAGCAGAAATGTGTATGACCAAACACATGACATGCAGATGGACTTCCTTCAACCCCATGGATAGACCTTATACGGAACTCAAGACAATCAGAACCGATAATCTTTGGAAGCTTTGGATAGAATAGCATCCTTTTCTCTGGGCACAGCTCTTGCCTGGCGACATGGTATGCAAGCAATTGTCACGCTAACAGAAGACTACTGACTGAATCCATAAACTTATTGACACATGAGATTCAGGGAAAGGACACAAGAACAATGCACACTAAAGTTACAAGGAAAAAAAAGAACGAAAGGTTAATTTGAAAATGGTTTTGACATTGGCCAAAATCCTTTTATATCAAGCAGGTTCAAAGTTTCCAACAATGGAAGCAGCTAAGAATTCAGAAACAATGTGGCTTGGCTACTAACTACAGAACAAATAAACCCTAAACAGACAAAAGGGGACTTTCTTTTTTCTTCAGTTTTTGTACTTGAACTGAAAGCCAATCAGCAAGATATATGATCTGAGAAGCATTTTTCGAATATTTAAAGTGAGAAAGCAACTAGTCAGACTTAGTATTTTGGAAGGCATAAATCACGATCAACCTGACCTGGGAACAAAATGAGAAAATGTAATTATTTGGTTACATGTGTTCTGGATCTCCTTGATCACACTCTGATTCTTTTCATTCATTGCATCAAAGTACAGGGCAAGTGAGATATCTCCATTTGACAGTTCCTTGGACCACTTGCATGCCTTGAAGTCCTTACATGCCTAAAAATTGAAATAACGATATACATAAAAGCATCTATATATTGTTCTGCTCCCCTACATGATAAAGCAGCCATAATAACTGCAGCAATGTAAACTGACAAATCAAGTGCATATAAGGAACACAAATAAAACAGGCAACAACACAACAATGCCGAACCAACAGATAAAAAGAGATAGAATATAAACCTTCCGCACTAAAGACGTAAATGCAGACAGGACAAACAATCAATAAACAAGAAAAGAGAATAAAGAAGAAAGCCGAGGTCCTCCATTAAGGACTTTATGACACTATTATCAACTTGGTATGCTAATTAAGATTTTGTTCAGTCACGAACTCAAATAACATTGAGGACAGTAACAAGAATGAGAAAAGAGCAGAAAGTTCGTTATTGAACTTATATAGAGAAAGAATAGCTTCCAGCATGGAAACTTGTATATTATATTAGTCATCAAAATTCTTAACAGTATCATATATTGGTGATACAAGTAGAACTGGTGGCCACATGCATTAGAAATCTATAGCAAGTATAATTAAAAACAAGAACTGCAGAATCATGTTATGATCAAACTTTTTACAAATCTTACTAGGATAAAAGAAAGTGAATCACCATCTCCAAAGGCAAAACGTGGATGCTGGTTATTTCCTCCTCCCTATCAAAGCTCTGTAAAATAAGCAAGTCTATTAATTTATTTTATGCTATCTTAAGCGTTACTAAGATAAAGCTATCGATGGCCTGAGAGATGAAAAACAACATAAAATTAAAATATATGTTAATAGACCAATCACCTCATGGTACCATGAGAACAAAGGAATGATTCCTAAGCCATCTAAAACCATTGGACTGGTCTGAACTCCAAGTCCTCTACACGTGTCAAGCAATTTCTTTAATTTCTGATGAGAATCAAGCTGAAAAAACACAACCACACTGTTGAGCTAATGCTTTCACACATAGGAGGCAACCTTGCTATATCACATGAAGAAAATTGAACGAAAAGCATTGACAAGAATCACATTCTGAACCAGATACAGCTATGCCATCATTAATATCATTAAAACTTGAATGTTAAGATGGCACAAACAGACCAACCAGCTTATCTGCATATCCCCTTTGGCTTGTGAAGATGTTCTTTTGGTTTCATGGGTGACTATGCACTCCCTGAAACTGAGTGCAAAAAGTGTCATAACTCTCAGTTTAATCTGAGAAGAGACCAAATGCAGTCTCAGTGTTATTTGATTTCACATTCTCTTTACGGGATGGGTCACTAATGGAATTTCCAACTTGCAACTAAATCTGGGCAGATCTGGTTAAAGGTCTCTTCTGCTTGCTTAAAGGCATCCTCGCAAAGTCATCATCAAAAGTCAAAGGAGCTGATTTCAAGTCTGCACTGGGTTAAAATCAATCCTAAATCCTAAACTAGGGAAATATTGGCTTGTTTTGACTCTCTAGCGAGTGGCTGCAGATCAAACAAACGAGCCCTGCAGTGCTGTTATATGCAAGTATGATAAATATTATGAACATGTACAGATGGATGTATATAACATTACAAGGTTAGCAATGAGATTCTGTGAACTATTGCAGTTGGAGGAGGTAGTGCATGCACCACAGAGGCCTGATAATTAAAGAATATTTCTCACATAAATTTCTCCCTCGTGACGGCACCAAAGGTCATGGTTGCCAGGCACATACAAGACATGCTCAAATCTGTCCTTCAAGAGAGACATTGTCACGATAAAGTTCTTGTACGTCTCAGCAACATCACCCGCAACAATAAGAATATCATTCTTGTATCTGACAGTTGGTAAGCACTTGACCCATTCCATGTTCTCGGTATAGTCGGTGTGCAAGTCGGAAAGCACAAACACACGTAACCCAACAGCATCTCCAAGAGTAGAAGGCAAAATCTGAGGCCTTCTAAGGCAACCTCTCCGTATGTCTCTTCTATATTTACTTAATGCTATATGCTTTGAAATGTAGTTTGAATGACAGGTTTGTTGAGAAAAACTCAAGCAATAAGGCGCAATGCTCACTGCCATGTGGAGTGAAAGCTTTTGATCTGCAATGACACAATTGAAATTGTAATAGCCAATTCAATTAAATTGAAACAAATTAGCTACGTTAACGTTTGACCGACATTCTTTCTAATTTTCGTTTCCCTTTAATTTCTGGAATCAAAACCTTAAAACAGATGCCCATGTTGTGCCCTTATATTTTTAACCTAATCCTGGTACACTTCCTACATAATCAAAATTTAAGCCTACCCACAACCAACTGTCTAAACTCTTTATCTGTCGAATCCCACCAAAAAAGAAGAAGAGAAAAAGACCTTCATCTGACTTTTGAAACAGTCCTGGAATTACAATTACAATAGCAGTACCAGTAGGCAGAGCTACTTTTCTATTTAAGTTAAATAATTAAATTAGTGAGAGCCGTAAGTACCTGAACTGAACCTCTAACTGAGCGAGTGCAAACGGACCGACTGAATATCCGAGTGTCTATGTATGAACATAAAAGAGGACCGGGACTACCCGCTTGTATTGGGTTCGGGTCAATCGGATTAGCAGATCCTGCCCGCTATTATCAACTTCTGTTTTGGGTTACATGGGGCCATGGCCCAAACAATAATGTGCATACTAGCTTCATCTAAACCAAATTAAACTCTTCACATTAAAACTTGATAACCTATGTGGCAATTTGAAAATGTTTATTTGTTACTTGAATAATTTTTGCTCCAACAGACTCTTCAATTAAATTAATGTAATATCATGAAAAATATGAAAATATGTGAGGTAAAGAAAAGAAATGGGGGAGAGAGGTTTCTTACATACACAAACTACTACGGTGTCATAGAGGTTCGAACTTGAGATCACTAGTCTACAAGTCAATGCCTTTTTCATCGAGTTTGACACCTTTGGCAGAGAGTTTTGGTATTAAAAGAAGAGTTTTGGACTGGCCACTCATCTGTTGACAAGATATAGATTTTTCACTTCATAACTAACGGGTAAGATATTGCATTTTCATATATATAACTTAACAGTAAGATATAGGCTCATTTCAATCCTAAACAAGTCTTTTCATAAGGAGTGCCCTAAACTGTTGAATATTGTAAGACCCTAAATTCTAAACCCTAAATACTAAACAAATGGCAAGCATGCAATGCTAATGCACAAAGGCAAGGCACTGTAAAGGAATGCATTCTATGTCAATTTGCAACAAAGGGAATGCATGCAATGTCAAGGCCCGTTTAATTAGTGCCTTCAATCCGAAGGTAGATCAACACAAGTAAGGGCCAAGGCATGATACAGGAACACTGGCGGACCCATAGAGGTGCAAGGAGGTGTATCTGCACATTCCCTCACAGGAAAAAGCTTTGAAGTCGCCAGAGTTTACCCATCAGCTCTGCCTTGGAGGTGCCCACCACCTATTCGAATAAATGCCTCAGCAACCGAGCGACTTGTTCTTTTCTTGTTGACATGATGCACTGTTTTTTTCTTTGTTGCGATGAGGCCCAAGTTGGAATTGTTGAGGCCCAACAAATCCAATGCTAGGCCCAAGTATATTTCTAGCCCAGTACGACACTTAACTCGAGAAGAAACCCGACTTGGGTATGCAAGAGTTCGTCATATGCGCTTGCACACGTGTCATGCCAAACAAATATGCAACATGCCACACAGAAAGATCGTAACAAGCCCGTAAAATGTATTGGTTCTATGAACCCATTTTCATTATCCTGTCAAGCGCCATTTTGGCCCGGACATAGCCCTTACAAAAATGCAAAGCTCGAGCACAAGCACGCCAAATAACACGCCACACCAAGTAGAAAATCCTTATTTTTCACCAAGCGACGCTACAAGCTTAAGTAGGCCCAAGCCACGCGAATGTCTGGGGCTTGCTGAGCGGATTGTAGTATGGATGGTTACGAGCATTCACGAGGCCCATTGATGGGCCAATAAGTGGAAGTTTTGGGCTGCTTGTGAGCTCCAAAATTTGAGCATATTTCTTGAGCCCAAATATATGGGTAAGCATGAAAGAGAGAAAAAGGTAGCCCATTACTTTAGAAAATTGGCTCATCACCTTAGTAAAAATAGTCCATCACTTTAGAAAGTTGGCCCATGCCATTAGTAAACTAGCCCATCACCTTAGGAAATGACCCAAGTGACTTAGAAAATATCTGAAAGTCTCCAGCACATAGCCAGAGACAGAACCACGATAGACCACCTAAAGAACCAAAAGGTATTTGCATGTGCAGGCTGCTAGGAGTCTCCAGCACAGGCCAAATACAAACCCAACACAGGCCATCCCAAAAATCAAAGGATACTTGAGCAAAACACCCTTCAAACCATGCCATTACCCACTCATTTCTCCCATCAGCTCTTGCAATAAAATGAATGAGAAAAGAAGGAGAAATGATAGCCCAAAATAGGATATGGTCGCAGGGACAGCTGCGAGAAGGCTCTAGAGCCTCCAAAAATCTTGTCGCTGTGTGTTTGGATTGAGAAGGATTTCACAAAATAAGGATGAATCAAAGGAATATAAGAGAAATTGAGGTGGAGACTTGGCTGATTTGGGAAGAACCAGCTAGGGTTTCTTGGGAAGAAGGAGCTTCCAGCGCATATAAAAGGGGCATCTCTTACCCATCATCTAACCACACATCTAGAGAGAGCAAGCATTCCTTTTCACTATTGGCACCTTTCAATTTCGAGCCATATTCTTCCATTTCCTCCATTTTCCTCTTCTGGCAAAACACTCAAGAGCTTGATGAAGCTTTCGTCAAGCTACTGGAAATTTGCTAAAACCACATATTCTTCCATCTTCTTCCTCTCTCTTCTTTCTTCCTATTTTCTCTTCTAGCAAAATGCTCAAGAGCCTGACTGTCACATTCCTAGATCGGCTTCGCTGTAGCACGATATTGTCCGCTTTGGGCCCCGCTCTCTTCCTTCACGATTTTATTTCTGGGCACTCAAGAGCAACTTCTCAGTGGGTCACTTATCTTAGGATTGCTCTAGCCCCAACTCACTTAACTTCGGAGTTCCCATGACTCCGAAGCCAATGAGCTCCCAAAAAGCCTCTTGCTAGATGAAGATGGGCATGTACATACAAGGCACATCACCCCCTCTTCGTTGGTCGATATGGGATGTTACACTAACGAAGCTTTCGTTAATCACCGGAAGTTTGCTAAAGCCATCATTCTTCTTCCTTCATTCTTTCCTCTATTCCCTCAACAAATCCTCTCAAAATTCATTCTCCCCTTATTTCGAGCCTCTGTTTCTCCTAGGAAATCCAAGCATTCTTTCTCTCATGCTAAACTCATGAATGCTCAGCTCCCATGCCACAAGCTTCTCAAGCCAATTCAAGATATTCATCTATAAGCAACTGTTGGTTTTGTTGGTGAAGGAGACCAATGTGTTTCCTAAGACTCCACAAGCCTTTTGAAGCACTCTTGGGGCCTGATTCTTGACCTCAGACACAGGGGCAATGCCATCCATTTGCTCTTTACAACAGCCCAGACCCATCTGTAGCTGCCGGAATGAAAAAGCCCCGACAGGAATTAAATGGACCAAGGGATGCCTTACGTTGAATTCTTGATTCTTGACGAAACTTTGTGTGCTCTTGAGTCTTGTTGCAGATCCATCCCTCTCTTTCCAAGTTTGAATGTATTTTTGTTTAGTTTATTTTTTTTGTATTTTATAATATGTAGTTTTTTTTTTTTGGGGTAAAATTGTAGCAACGGTCCCTCAAATAAGACCCCACTTTACTTTTCGTCCTTCCACCCAAAAAATTGTTATAGTCATCCTTCATTTAGATATTGAGTTGCACCACTCGTCATTTCGTCAATTCTATTAAATTTTCTGTCAAAATTAAGGGTAAATTGAGAAATTCATATCAAATTTTAAGGGCAAATAAGATTTCTACCTAGTCACTACCTCATTCTAACCAAACCCAACAACTCTCTCTCTCTCTCCAATGATCCTTTTGGGTTTTGTTTAGATTGTTCAATTGATTGATAGGAAGACTAGTCGATGAAAAGGTTGGGCGGAGGAGGGGGCTGACGAACAAAAGGAGGAAGAAATGAGAGAAGGAGAGAGAGGAATGGGGAGGGGGAAAGAGGTTGCTTGGGTTGGTTGGGCAATGAAGTTGGTTGAGATGAGGGAGAAGGTGGTAGGGTTGATGATTGAGGGAGAAAAAAAAGGAGATATTTTTATCTTAATTCTATTTTAAATAATTTCAAACATTTTTTACATTTATTTTGAATTTTGAATAATTAAATTTATCAAAATATCCCCGCCACGTCAGCTTATTTTAAGATTTTTATATGAAAACTAACGAAATGGGTCAATCTTGGTCACATAATGGAAGTTTAGGGGGAAAATTGAGCCATTTGAAACGTTAGGGGCAAACTGAGACTATTTGAAAACAACAGGGCTTTTAAACAAATAAGCCTTTTTTTTATATTTTTTTATATTTATTTTGGGCGCAAAATCACTCATGTTTGTTCGTGGGTTATGCGTACGGGAAAACTATATGTAAAGAGGAAGCATCAGCGGGAGCACCTGATTCTTGAGTTCCCGATTGTAGCAAATTATGTTATTATATATACACAGCATTAGCAGCTGTTGAGGTTCCTCCGAGTCTGGCTGATGGATCTGATATGATCAGAAGGCTCAAAATTGGACTTGGAATTCTAAATTCAAAGGGAACTAGGATAAGAAATGTGGAGTTGCTTGCTGTGGTTGAGTGTTGGGTTTGTGGCCGGGGTTGTGGCGATTTTGGCCGCGGAGGTCCTGATGGTGTATGTTGTCATCAACAGATTACAACACAAAACCAAACAACACCAAGAGAAAGAAGCCATACAAAAATCTCAAGAAATAGAATCCAAGCCAGACCTACACCCTCGTCAAGCCCTAGAATTCGCTTCCATCAAGGAGGTATGTACCACTTACGTATTCATATCAAATGTGTTCCTTCAATTTCTAGTTGTAAATTATCCCCTGCCTTTCTGTTGGTAGTTTCTTTTTTGCCTTTAAAACTGAACAACAACTACTAAGAAATGAATTCCCAAATTCAATTAACTCTGTGGGAAGTGGGAAGGGCAATTGGAATTGGTACTCTTTATGATCATGAATATCTAAGTTGAA